CCTTTATTCACCAGTGGCCTCTTCCAGTTCTTTCTCTGATGAACCCCAGCACCTGGCCGTTGGCCTACCCCTCCACTGCCTGGACCTGACCCTGCCTTGGTTATTCCGATTGTAGACCTCGTCGGGAAGCCCCCCGATTATGCGAGTGTTACCCGGGCGTGAGAAGCGATCCAGCTGGCGATGGAACGAGCCCAAGTTATGGAGACCCTTGCTGACAATCATAGGGCCCTCTGGCAGGCCTATCAGGCTGAGCATCGCCGGGCCCAAGACTTGCAGAGCCGAGTGGACGAGGTCATTCGATTTGGAAAAGTTGATCTTCCCCGGATCGAGGCTCGAATTCGGAATCTCGTCCGCGATCACGAAACCGACCAGCTAACTATTGCGGAATACCGAGATGCGATCGCCACCCGGAAGGATTATCGCCTTGAAGTTGAAGCGCTCGGTCCAAGATTCGGTACTGGAGGGGCCAGTATGAGGCCACGGTGACGAGCTTCACACTCCAGATAGAAGATCTGGAGGCCAAGTTGGATACCACCACGGCCGATCTTCGGTCCACAGTATCTCAAGTATCACTACTTCGAAATGAGCTGGCCCGCTCTAAATCATGCTATCCGCCACCTCTTCATTGTGGATCTCGGCTCGACTTTCCATTGCTGATCGCAATGACTCGTCGACTTGTTCCCTTGCCCGGCGATACTGTCGCTGTACGCCATATCGCCACCGTCGGGGGTCACAGTCACGCCGCCTGGTACTACCCAGCGCTATAGTGGCCTCCAACGTGCTTCGTGCATCCCAACCGTGCACCAGATAGAGCGGAGTCTCCTTTCGGACCCGGTCCTGCGCCGTGTTCAGCGCAAATGTGAGCCGTTCCGCATATGCACCCTCCAGTTTCAGTGATTTAACCTACAAAGCAACATAACTAGTGAGTAAAAATGTTTTTAATGATGACGTCAGCCTTGTACACGTAACACTTACGATTGCACGGACGATAGGAACCCCAACAAAAAGTTATTCATTCGACGTCAGCATAGAGCGAAACATCAGAGAGAATTCCGAGTAGAACGAATAGTTCATGACAATCTGTACTGAGCGTCTTACTTAGCTAGCAAGCAGTCGAGCCATTTTCTTCCGCCCCTTCGTCATTTCTTGACCGTGATCCGCCATAACAGCCTCAAGTTCTCTCAGTGTCAATTCATACAACTTAATACCACGAGTGGGTTGATTTTGCACTTTCCAAATAAAAGGCGCACAACGTTTCGGGACCAGAGTTGCATGTCCTTTGCGCCTTTTAAATGTTTGGCACCTACATGCAAAACACCATGCTTTCAAAAAATTGCTCTTTGCATCGCCGAAAGAAGAGGTACAGAGAGGAGCTTACTTATATAAAATGTAGGAAGCCGATTTAAGACTTCAACTTGTCAAGTTTATCGTGGATACTCAAATGACTTGTACGTCGTAAACGAAATTCCATGACATATTTGATTGAAGCTTTATAAGTCGTTAGTATAAACACGTACTTCTCTAAGTGATTTCACTCGGCATGCAGATTTGATATTCCTCGCGGTAGCAAAGGCTGGTGTCGACGCAAATATCTCGCGCCAACAGCTCGAAAGCCAAGACTTGCCCCACGGCGTCCTTTCAAGAGTAATTCCTCTTGACAGAGCGAACGGTAGCAGTGTCAGTTGTTGCACCATTTCCAGCCATTGTGATGGGAAAAGTAGTTGTGGTAGCAACTGAGTCAGCTGCCGTAGCGCTGGCTGTCGTAACGGTAGTTGCCTCAGGTGGTGCGGTGGTGACGATCGGAGAAGAGGTTGTGGTGCGTGGCGCTACCGTGGCAACGGTGGTACTACTGCTCGAGCTCAGTCCGCCACGAGAGGCCGCATTGTACAAGGCCCAAGAGCGGGAGAGACCGTCGTCCATAGTAGCCGTTGCCAGCTTCGCCAGTGCATCGGCTTGGTTTATGACGGCCTCGTTCACAAGCAACAAAGACAGCCAGGGGTTCGTGGTGTCAGCACCCGTAACAATCGCCTCCTTCGATAGAATGTCGTCCCATTCTTGCTGGACAAACGTTGCCGTGCGGACAAGCCCGTTGATGGGCGACACCGGGATCATTTGAATGCCGTGGATGCAGTACTTCTCGGCGCTGAACCAAGTCGCGTAGTCCGCCTTGTTGTCGAAGAAGATTCCCGTGACGTGGTTGCGTACGAACTGGGGCGGGTGAATCGTGTTGTCTGACGTCATGAGGAAGTAGGTGCGCACGGCACGAGCGTTCAGGCGTAGCATGATGCTACCCAGGTCTTCAACAGCCTTGTTTCCCGTCACCTTGCCCCACAGCATCATACCGTAGCTAAAGTTCACGTCCTCTGATGAGCTTTCCTGGTCCTTGCCGTCACCCATAGGTGTCACACCGTGCGAGTATGAATGGCCCAGATACCAAGAAAAGTGGCGGAACTTGGGGAAGTACGTGTCATCAGCGCTTGGGTTGGCGACGTCACGCAGCATCGTCCACACCATGGTCTCAAGCTGTGCCATGCCCGACCATGACGGGTCCAGCTTCTTCAGAATCGCCGATGCTGTCACCCAGTAGCCATAATGATAGTGGTGGTCGTTATAGATACCGTTGCCGAACTCAACATTAACGTCATTGGCAGCAAAAACCTGGCTGGTCACGATGCCCTTGTAGGCGGTCTCGTAGACAAGAGGTGAGCCCAGCGTGTTACTCAGGAACGGCTCGATCAATCTCTCTAGCTTCGACAGACAACTGCTCAGCAAAGTTGTGTCATCGCCCACGATAGAGCTGTCAGCGGCCATCAAGCAAAGTGACGCGTACTTTTGATACGCCTTGCCGTTGAAGTACCAGCTACCGGTATTGAGGTTCCAGTCGCTGTCGATATCACTCTTCAGTGTGGACAGAAGATTAATCTGCGAGACCATCTCAGCTGACGGCTTGTTGGCCGGGTAGAAGTCCACCTCGTCGCCCGCTTCGTCCTCAGTCAAAGTCCAGCTCGAAGACGTAGTCACTTGACCAACCATCTGACCGTGCGTTGTCGAGTGCACGACAATGGCTCCGGCGGACTGGGCAGTGATGGCGTCTTTCATCGCTTCCACTTGGTGGGGAAGGGCAAAGTGAAGAAGCCCCGTGCTGTTGCATCCGGCGCCCTCAGTTTCCCACTGGAACGAATAGGTGGTGCGAGACTCCATGAGGAAGTTGCCTCCACGGATGATGCAGGATGAGTAGTCATCGTATACGTTCTGGTCGCCGCTGTCAGGAATGATTGCCACACGAAGCGTACCGGTGTAAGCCGCACTAGCCACCAATGCCGATCCCGTAGTATCAATTGAAAAGGATGCGCTAGTATCGCTGGAGTAGACCACCCACGTCTGCTTGTTCGGCAACTGAATGATATACTTGCCAGGCGTTGAGCTATCCATCATGGTCATGGTGTGCTCGGAATTGATGCTCGCGGTGAGACCGGAGTACGTAGCCGACACGAAAGCCATGCCGTTGACAAGAGCCGAGTCCATGCAGCTGTCACTGCCCGACACACAGGTGCGAACGCTGACGCCCATATCGCTGAACGAGTAGATTTCATAGTCGGGTTTGGTCGACATGAACTCTGTTGCCGAAAGCGTGACATCGTTGTGGAATCCGTGCAGGTAGTACTTGACGACACCGTCAACCTCGTTGGCCATGCTACGATACGAGTACGAGTAGCAAACTTGAAGGCCATAAGGTGCTTGCTTGGGCAACTTGAGTGCGTACGGGTTCGACCACGCTGGGTTAGCCACCGTGTCGATATCCTTTGGGGTGGTGTGAATGAGGTTTCCCCACCACTTGTTCGTGGGCAACGGCCGCGTCAACAAGTCGGAAGCCACGTTGATGATCGGTGCCAAGGTAGTCAGAGTATCGCGGCGCTGGAAGAGATTGGAAGGCGCATCAGTCGAAAACGGAGCGTGATAGTTGCCACCCTGGATTTGTTCTTGCGCAGCATGTACCGTTGCTACTTGGTCACTGTTGCCCTGTTGAGACATCACAATGTCCGCCGCTACGGCTGTCACTACGGCTTGAAACAATTGCGAGACCTTCATCGGTGCGACTGACAAAACAATGAGATGTGATGTGGCTACTTGTTGCTGTTGTTGCTACTGCTGTTGCTGTTGTTGTTGTTGCTGCTGCTGCAAGCCAAATTGGAAATGAGTTTTGTCTACGAGGGCGAAGCACCACCAAATCGACAAGTCAGATGGCAGTGAAGATCGAAGTCAGCATGAGAAAAGCTGGTGTTCGTGTAAGGTTGTTGGCACCACTTCTGAACTCGTGACAAGTACGACCCACTAAGAAAAACGCACAAACATGTCGACATTTTTGCACACCTTGTGGATACGTGCATGAAGGTGACCAGCCAGTACTCTTTTGAAGCATCTGACGTTTTTGACTCCTACTAAAACGACGTGACTCAAGTTAATCTTTCCCAACTTCACTCGAGACTTTCTACAGCCGCAATCACCCCATCTTTTTTGTCAACTGACCATTCGTTGTCTGTAGTCAGACATTTCGACGTGCACTGAACAGTTTTTATCGTCTTTTGGTAAATAGCTGCATGAAGCCAATCAGTTAATTAACGCTTTACGAGTAAAGTGACGTTACGCTTTTCTTATTTTACGCATCAACTTTTTTAGCACGTGCATAAAAAGCTGTTTATTTGTCACTACAATACAATATCGCCAAGCACTTGGAGCTTTTTTTCTGTCCAGTGGGTGGCTTGGCTCAGTATTAACACTGAGCCTCCAAAACAGGTGGTTTTGCAACGAAGGAATTAATTTCGCGTCGGATGTTCAGCTGAGATACAGGAAAAAGTAGTGGGAGAAGACTCATAACCAAACACTGTTTCGCTCAATAAGAGCGGTTATGAAATGGAAAAAATCTCTAGACATTATTCCCAGCCTACACACTACTTCTCACAATATGAGCAATTTCAAAGACAAGAGAACCGTTTCATCTCTTAGTTGAGGGCCAAAGTGAGAGCAGCTTGGGCGTCCGGGCTCATTCGTGCAATGACTTCCTTCATCTGGGCCTCATAAGCTTGGAGCAGGCCGCGCACGCATACTTTCACTTCTGCCTGAGTCTCCTCATCCACGCTCGACGTGGGGGCAAGGGCCTTGGCATACACGTCTAGCACCTGTGGCATCATGTTGAGTGCCACGGGGTTCTGTGAGCTCACCAGCCCGTTCAGGCAACGGAAACACACAGGGCTCTCGTCCATGTCTGCCTTCAGCGGCAGAGCGCCCAGAAACACGGGCAGCACGGCCTCCAGCGGCATATTGGCTCCACTGGCAATGATCATGCGAGCCACAGCTGCGCACGCATTGTCAATCACGACCTCGTCATTGCCAGCACTCTCGAACAGTGGTCGCAGAGCCTGCAGCATCTGCTCATATGCGCTTACCAGCTTGTCACCGCTGAGCTCCGCGAGGATGCCCATACAAAATGCGCTATTAGCCTTTAGAACGTAGTTGTCCGAAGCGAGGCCTTGCAGGACCACCGGGAACACGCTCTCAACGAAACCCAGAGCGGCGGGGCCCAGCTCACGGAGCACCTCAGCAAAGCAGCCAACAGCAGCGGCACGGTCACGCACAGCGCGGAGACCAGTGGCAAACGACAATAAAGCCGGAAATAGCTCCTGGAATGTGCCGAGGAACTGCTCGCCGTAACACTTAGCAAGTACACCAATCAATTCTGATGCGCTTTCCAGTACAGATCCTCCCTCCTCTTCTTCCTCGTCCTCGTCCTCCTCGTGGGTCGTCTGGCAAACGTGTTCGTGGGCAAGAACTGTCTTGGTGACACGCATCAGCTCGTTCATGTGGTCCATTGTTACGACAGGGCCAACACGGGCGCTCATGGCCTTAATGGCGTTAAAGGCCTTCTCCACCACAACCTCCTCAGAGTCCTCAAGAAGCTCCTCCACGAGGCTCTTCATCACGGCGGATGTGACCACCGCATTGTTAGGCGTCAGGATGTTCTTGTTGAAGTCTCCCTTAGTCCATACCTGTACGTCACCGCTCGAGGCGTGTGAAGCCTCGAAGGAGCAGATGACAAGCGCAGCTAGGGCTTCGGCCACAGCGCCACGAACGTCCTCGTGAATGTACTCCGTAAGAGGAGCAAGAGCTTCAAGGAATTTCGGGATATATGGCTCGAATATGGGGCCACCACAATTGAGCGCAAGCTCCTCCACAGCCGCCACAGCGCGAACCTTGGAGTTCAGTGCATCCGTGCGGATGCTAATATGGCGCAGCACATGGTCATCAGCGTCCTCCTCGTCGTCCGAGTTCAGACCCTCCAGCACGTCCTCGTCATCGTCCATCACCCGAAGACCTTCGTCACTTACAATGGCCTGCAGCACGTGCGCAGCAGCCTGGTCTAGGAATGGCGCGAACTCCTCCTTGAAAATGCTCGATACGTTAATAAAATACACAAAAGCCTGCTCCTTCAGCTCCGAGTCATCTAGGTCAAATGACGCGAATACAAACGGCATCGAAGGCGCAAAGTACGGACGGAACGGCTCCTTGCCCAAAGCGGTGGCCAGGTAGCCAAGGCACTCAATGGCAGCACCACGAAGGAAAAAGAACTTCGGGTCTGTGACACCCCAGAACGGCTGGATCAGCTCGGCCACAGACGGAAAGTAAGGCAGGAAAGCATCCTTGGCACCAATAGCAATCGAGCCAACGGCATCGAGAGCCATCTTCTGCAGCTGTGGCGAGCCGGTGCGAAGTACATTCACCAACTTGGTCACTAGAATGTCCAGGTACGGTAGGACCTGGTCGCTCTCCATGCTCTGTGTAATCTCGTCAAGCACGTACAGGGCCGTAGCCTTGATCACCTTGGAGGCGTCGTCAAGCAGAGCCAGACCTATAGGCAAAATATCTGTGTAGTGGTCCGTAATTGTAGGCTGCAGGAACTCAGCAAACTGGCCGAGGGCAAAGCAGGCAGCCTCACGAACGTGCTGGTCAGCGTCTTGTGCGACACGGTACACAGCCGGGAGCAGTTCGTTCATGTTCTGGCACATGAATTCGCAGCATCCCTCAGACAGGATGCCAAGGACCAGTACACCAGCCTTACGCTTGCGGGCGTCCTGTGACGTGATATACTCATTGCAAATGCCAAACACCACAGTGTTAAGATACTTGGCGGGCACACTTAGAGCTAGCGAGTCAAGGGTTTGTTGAGCCAAGTGTCCAGGGGACTCATCATCCTCATCCTCATCTTCGCCATCGGCCTTGCCTTCACGCGCCAGCAGATTCGAAATCAATCCGCAAGAAACAGCCTCATCGGCAGCCACAATGTCCAGCATTGTGGTAAAGATCGCGGCAACCAGGTTCTTCTTACCGATAGTCTTCGGTTTCTTCTTGATAAACTCGCCGATAGCGTAACTAGCCGACGCACGAGTGCTCACTTCAAGCTGCTCGGCCAAGATGATTTGCAACAACAGCTCAATGAACTGCGGGAAAGCCTGATCCAAAATAGGGAAAGGATGCGACGCGATCTCAGAAAACACGTCCATGAACTCGACGGCCTCCGCCTCAGCACCGCTGGACACGCACTGCTGCAACACATTGATCATGAATGGCACGAGGTCACGGAAGCCACGGAGGTCGGCCTCCTCAAGGAACTCCACGAGGCTGCAAGCAGCACGCATGGCGCCTACGCGGACCTGAAGGTTCTCTGGGTCTTGTAGAGCCTTTACGTACAGCTGCTTCAGTTCATTAAAGTGCGGCTGAAGCGACGTGCCCAATGACTCGCTCAGCAATTGCAGCAACTTCATACTCAACTCGCGCTGATCCACGTTGGCGCTATTGGCGCACGTGTTTATAAACACCATAAGCTCCGGCCAGTTTCCAGCCGGTACCTCGTGCAAGGCCAGTGCGGCGATGAGCGTAGCCACCGTGGAGCGCACGACGTGCACAGGATCTTCAGCAGCGCGGCTGAGCAGCACTTGCTTGGCCTGGTTCTGGGCAGTGGCGTCGAGCTTAGGCCAGTGCTTGAAGATCTTCTTGCGCAGCATGAGCGCGGCAAGTTGACGCACCTCGGGTTTGGTCGAGAGCTGCAGCTGCGTAAGCAAACTGCCCACGGACGCAATCTGCTTCGTGTAGGCCTTGAGCACCGCCTCTGCCTGCTTGATCTGCTCCGTGTCCGGATGGGTGAGCTGCAGCAGACATGCCTCCAGCTGTTCCGGGGTGAAGTCCGCCATGGTGCTCAGTCTTAGGTCAATCAATTGGGGGGAAGGGTGGCTGCAGGCGAATCCGTTGATGAGCAGAAGAAATGACTGGTCGACGCTCAAACCTCTCGAACCTTATGCCAACTTGGGTGGGTTCCCGCCAAAAACAAAATGGCTTCAAAATCCCTTTTATGCATGAATCGGGGATATGAAATGGCTTCACTTTAGTTTGATAACGTCTTTGTTGTCACGTCGCCTACAGTTGCACACATACGTGTCCCTCCTGTTCCAACCTCTGGAATATACACGGAAGTGTGTATGTATAAGGCCAAAGTAAAGGATCTTGACTGTAAAGGTTATAGTATGCAGCACGCTGTACAATTGTCATGCAGTATAAAACGGACTGACATATTCTGCAGTGTGCAGCTCTTCGCCGTGTAGACCGATCAACGAATATGGTCACACTTAGACTGCATCGGCATACAATCTACAGACGATAAATCTAGGTTTGTTCTGGTCGTCCAGCAAGTGGTCTCAATGGAGAATATAACCGTTACTCGCAGCATATCCGCATGAACATGAATGAAATTCATCCAAAGAAAAGTCTTTGTCTAGGTCTTCCATACTGTGAGCATCCGACTTGAATAAGCATATATTGCAAGAGAATCCTAGATCATTTCTAGCAGCCTAGACCATGCTAGCTTGAGCAGTCTGCGTGAGCAGTCAATAGAATTTACAAAATCTGTGCAAATCTGTCATCTGGATAATGTTACTTTTTGTGGAACCTTTCCTCGCTTTGCTTGGCCCGCAAATTCTGTCACGCGACCACACCGTATCCTTCAGCATGATAGACAAAATTTATTGACTCCACCGGTCCTGCTTTGACCAAAACTTCATGTAAAATGCTGCAATGCGATTATACTGTAGTCTTCGTGCATGCAACACTCTGCCATATCCTAAATGGCTACATCCTATTGTCACAAATCACAAAAAAAGGAATTTGGTCTTGAAAAACGACAAATTGACGTCATGTCGGACGCCTTTAGCTCTGGCTTTCGCGAGTTCTGCGGAGGAGTGCAACACGCTGTATCTCTACACCGTATCCTTCTATTCTACCTCAAATCACGACTTATATGCGTATCCAGTGCCAAGGTCCTAACGTACTATTTCATCCCGAGACCTTTTGTCCTTATTTTTGTAACACATTCTTATTTTTATGTCAAAAATAGTGTTTTGTACTAAATGGTCTGATCTTTTTGGGAAGTATCTACTTCTTCGACCAAGCTGTGATCCCTGTTATTCATTTGTTTGGGGAATTACTGCATCGCTCTTTCTCCTATGGGTGAGAAGGATTAGTAATTGACCCATTCGTGCAGCCAAGATGTTTTGTAGAATTTTTGTACGTTATTTTGATATTTTTTTATTGTCGTGATGTTATTTAGGACCACTACTCAAGTGGACGACGTCCGTGATCGTGTGGATGGTTTTGTATTCTTGCTGTACCAGGTACTGTACGTATCAGGAGATTTGTCTTAGTAGTTCTGTAGAATAATTGGCTTTTTGGTGTTGTCCTTTGTGTATGTCAGGTGCTGTGGATGTACCCAATCTACTGCATCAGCTTCATCCTGAATACCATTTGGTACCAAGAAATAGCCGACGATGGTGTGGCAAGACTATTTTGGAGCCACAACGTGGAGATTACTGAAAACTGACATGAAATATGATGGCACTTGTTATCCAGCATACTTGCAACTTCATGGCAAACCGTCACCCACGGCAGTGACCGATATGATTCGGTGGGTAGATTTTTTATGGTTGTGTATGTCGTACTTTTGTATGATATTTATCTTATCAATGTCATGTGGTGTGTGGAATGTGAATGGTGAAGCGATGAGATGTATCGCGCCATTCTTGTGGCATTCTTTCTGTTGCAGACTGTGCTGTCGTATTTGATTCCAGTAATTGGTCCTGCTACGAGTTTCATTCATTTGAGCTGGCTGTATTCACTGTACTGCTTTGAATACAAGTGGTCGTTGGCTGGTTGGAGTCTTGAGCGGCGGTTGGCGCATTTAGAGCAAAACTGGGCCTACTTCGCTGGATTCGGTAGTCCTTTCACGCTTGCCACGTTTTTCGTGCCGAACTTTGTGAGCAAAGGAATCTTTGCACTACTCTTCCCGGTGGTATGTGCATCACTACTTGAAACTACTTCGTATGGGTGGCATGTAGCTGACTGGTTCCATATCGTGATTTGCCGGTGTTGCATTTTCTTTAGTTTTTGCTCCTAGCAATCGCGTGCGATCCTGTGTCAGAGGGCGAGGAAGCCTCGAAAAAGTTGCCAATTTTCAGGTGCGTGTTTTTGCTATGATTTGCTCATTCTCATTCATCAAGACTCGGGACTTATGATGCTTCCAACTTGCAGATTTTCGCGATGGTGGAGCTTGCAGTTGTTGCGACGGATCGGAAAGGCTACAGGATTGAAAACCAGAAAGCAGAGGTCGATGGAAAAGCAGAAACAGAGTAAAAAAAAAGGCGCTGAACACTTTTCAAATACTGGGTGAATACAAATGACGAGACTACATGCGCAACGAAACCGCATCTTGACGAGAATAAACCACAGATCTATCAAATACAGAACGATTTACGGTCGATTATGTCGGTCGGATTGTGCAAGCTATTTGATCAGCAAAGGCGATATCAAAGATCGGCAGATATGGTGATGCTCGGTACACAAGTTCATTGTATCACAGTCGTTGTTGCTTCAAAAGAGGGCCTGTCATCCTTGCTTTGACAGTGCTGCCATCTCACGCACAAAGCAAGTCGCTCGTTGGCCCACGACTGCAGTTTGTAGCTTGTAGACCGACTACAAAAGAGCTACACTATATGTCTCGGTCTGAGTCATGTCCTCGCAAATATCGGATGAGGGTGATGCAAAAGGCGTAAAACCCTATTGCGAAGGAGGTCGATTGTGAGCAGTTTTTCGTAGTCATACCCTGTCCGATCTCTAACGATCTCTTGGCTGCGCGAACCATAGCCAAGAAATCGTAAAGAGATCGGACACCACGCCTCAGCTACAAGAACTGCCGTGAAATCGTTGGTGCTGTAAACTTTGAATTGATCTGCTTCGCTGCCGTTATCATGCGCTCTGCATCGTCCCCTGACATTCCTCGACGAGATGTAAGATCTCGGTCTCTAAACAACACAATGACATAAATTCATATAGCTCTTTAGAAGCAGCTCACGTATAAATCTCGCTGAGCCAGACTGCAACCTACGAACCTGTTCCATCCACCGCTGCTTTGCGTAGTACTGACCCCATCATTTGCGTGCTCAGCTTGTTTGCGCTGGTGTTGTTCTAACAGTGACGGGCCTCGTGCCTTCCGTAGACTCGCCATTTGCTGCCGCATTGCTTCATCTGCCTCGGGGTTTGCATTAGGTAAGATTGACTCGTTCACTGATGTTGGGGCTATTGTCATAACGCTTGCAGTTGCATCACTAGGTGCATTTTCTTTGCGAACGTAACCAAGCAACTCCCTGCAGACAGAAGAACGACCCTGTAAGTACAAACGCAACAGTTTCTATTGCAGCATACTATCGTACATGTCGAGCTTGGCACGTTTTGCACGTTCCCGTTCTTCGGGGGAATCGAACCATGTTTTGTCCACAGCAGCAGGCTCCTTACTGCACCATACAAAATTGCAGAACAAAAAGATTAGCACGATCTGTGACCAAAACGCCAGAGAGAAGGTCAAATGTGTTGTCCTTGCCTCCGAAACGCAGCAGGTTTGCCGGAAGGGGGCCTGATTTGTGGTCCAAGCGAATCCTTCAGGATCGAGCTCTCAGGCATCATCGTCATCCACTCTTCTCGCACCAACGTCTTTTTCCCATCCGCCTCAGCCATTGTGCTCTTGCCACCATCACGCGCACGTTCCCATTGTTCTTTTTCCAATTGTTTTGCCTTACGAACCATTTCAGCCTCCACATGCTCATCAGCTAATCGAAAGCCCTTCATACCAGGAAGTGCTGGACCCACAACCTCATCGTCGTCATCGTCTTGGACATCACTACTACCAAATTGCGAAGAGACAGGAGGAAGTGTCGGCCCAATAGGCAGCTCTCGCTTCATTGGCTTTCTCCTTGCAGGCTCAGCAACTTCCGCGAGCAATGTCGTATCATCGTCTCCACTTCCTGAAGTTGGAGCTGGCTGTGATGACAACCCACAATGCACAACACATTAATCCTGTAATCATCTTTACAATTTGGTAGAAATCACCGACCTCTTTAGTGTCGCCAGAAAGCATTATTCGGAAAACCGCCACCAAACTTCCCGCTGCAGTATCTTTGCGTGGTTTAGCAAAGGCATCCTTAGGTTCTCGCAGCTAAAAAGCAACGGTCCCCAATAACCACATATCTCTTGTTAATTATCACCACCACCACCACTTCTATCTCTATCTCTTTATATTTTTACAGACAAACCTTATGTAGTCCAAACAGTGGGAACAGCTCCTTGAGCTTGGAGCGAATGCGTCGGTTTTTAATGCCGCCAATAACGGCCACTTCACCATCATCCACCATCTGAAACAGCTGGAAAAGGTCCTTGCTAATCTCCGGCGTCTCCATCAGTAACTCCTGCACAACCTTCATCGCTCTTTTGTAGTCCGGAGAGGGGGTGTCGCTAGCACTGTCACTGTCACTGTGGTGGCTCCTTTTGCGTCGCATGCGGTTCTTTTTGTCCTTATGCTTTTTGCTCTTCTTTGTCTTCTTCTTGTCGTTATCATGTCGTTTCTTGTGTCGCTTCCGTCTCTCATCCAATCGACTAGAGTCTCGGTCACGCTCGTGCTTGCCCATTCTATAATTTTTATAGTGTGTACTTGTGATGTGGCAGCGAAAAAAAGGCAAGTTGAAGTGGATGAATGACCCATTTTTTTGGGTCACAGTACATCTGCAATATACTAAGTCAGTACAGATATTATCCTTTTTTTTTTGGAGCTCCGATTAATTATCAAGGTATCCGATACCCGATCTCGATACGAAGATGTCTCCGTCATGGGTTTCCGTAGACGTATTACGTCCATCCTGGTGAATCAGCACGCGATACTGCTTAATGCGGACTATTTTTGTAGCGCCAACAAGCTGATCCATTTGGACAACAGAGACGAGAAGCGGCATGCCAATCATGTCGTCCAACTGACCAACTTCCAATAACCATTGTCAATGAGACGAAGCAGGCCAGCTCATTCGACAGGATGATAGCTCGTCCTAGACGGTGATGAACTCGAACTTCTTTTTTGTTGGCAGCTTGATGTACCTATTACCTACCGGCGGTAAAACTTTGCAAATTCGTGATGCGGATAGTAAAACCGTTCAGCCTGTTAGGCTGTCTACGTGGGAAGCATTTGTCGACGAAGTGAACGCATAAGGACTCTCGGAGCGCACCACTCGTCGTAACATCGGGGGCAATCAATCATCTACTCCTTACTAGATGTAAAACGTCTTGTGCAGCTCGCTAGCAAGCCTCGAATTTCCGTAGACGATCATACACTTGCCGGAGCGGCTGAGTGGCTTCTTGGTTCTCCGGGAAGTAGCTGAGGAAATGTCCTAGCTGCCGGATCCACGGAAGCAGCAGGCGAGGGAGCGATATGACGTCCGCAGGGTCGCTGCCGCTTTGTGCGTCGGCAACAAATGACTGGAAGACCTCATGGTTGAACACGACACCATAGGCAAGGTCGGCAAGCGCTAGGCTGTGTCGCACAGCATTCCCACGTACGCCATGCCATACCAGCTCGTCCGTAATGTAATAGAAGTCGAAGTACAGTGCTCGATACGACTGTACTAACTGGTAGAGATCGTCTCGACTGGGTGCTGCTTGAACACTCTTCGCTTCCTCAAAAGTCTGCATTGCCGCATGCGTGAGATTGCGAGGGCTCAATGGCGACGCCAGATCTAACACGCTTTCAAGGTCATTTAGAATCTCTGCCAGCTTTGGCGCTGGTGATGGGGGTAGTTGACTGGGCGAGTGCTTCGGTGAAACTTGCGATGTCAATAATTTTTCGTGATACGAAATCAGCCACTTCCAAGTGCACTCATAATTCTACAGAATCAACAAGTTTTTAGCAGATGTTGTAAATGATGCGTAAAAACCAAAGTATAAACAATACCATACCTGCAAAAACTTTGCAACGATGTCTTCAAGTGCCGAGATGGGGTAGCTCTCGGTGATATTCGGCGGGACGTAGAAACTCGCAACGTTACTACACCAAACAAAGCGAATCCTTAGTTCAATATGGATGTATCAAAGGGAAAAGGTAGCCGTACCTGCATGTGAAACAAAGAGTAACTTGGTAATGCTCCGCGAACTGTCTGATATTGTACAGCGTGATGTGCTCTTTCACGCTATGGTCCCAAAGTTGATGGTGCTTCCATAAAGCTGTAACATCAAGTTTTACCCGAAATACTGCAACACTTTGAGGTTGTACGGTCACCAATAGCGTTGGCCTTCGTCCAGAACAGACGCCGTGATTCAGTAAGTCTACCGTGACGGCACTAGATTGAGTCAAGCTTTCATCAATCGCTATACTGAAAAACATACTGTCGTTGCGCAGCGCCAGTCGAGCATTCGTGTCACTCCTGGTATTGCGCACAATTAGAAACTTCTGGGTTTCATCAGCAGCTTTTGCGGACAGACCCGGAATTGAAAGGGTTGATTCCAGCATCGGAAAGACCAAGCCAAGGAATGTCGGCTGGGCCGAAAAGTATGTTTCTCTTTGTGAAGGAGACTCGTTGGTTTCACCATTCACTACCTTCACCATCAACTGAGGTTGGCTGCAAATGGCGCGCAAGACGACCGTCTCCCTGAAATCCTTCACCAGTCGGCAGCTTACATAGACCTCAATTTCACGCACCCAGGGATCGTTCACTTCACTGTCGACCGCATCGCTAGCTCCAAGCAGAGAAATTTGTTTGGGTTGGGGTCGGAAATGCAGAAATACTTGCATGCGTGCATGAGCTCCGAGGGTGACCGTAGTCACCTCGTTGAATGACATTGGCGTGACAGAAAAGCTCACCTCCTGTGGTCTAGCATTAGTTGACAGGATGAAGTCAAGGCTTAGGCCAGACGAGTTTTCTATCACTATCGAGTGATTCTGGTAAAGCTTGTAGTAATACACTTCACTGAAGTCAATCGTCAATCGTTGAGCACCGCTCGGAGTGCTTTCTGGGGGCATCTCAATACTGGATCCACGAGGCCGTTTAGGGTTGCCATGATTTGACACAAGCACACGGAATAAATTTGTCATAGGATCTAATTCAGACGACATTCCACGCAGAGAATGTAGATCTGCAATCACTTCCAGTCTCACGTGAATCACCTTCAGATCGGATGGGTTTGCCAAATTCTGAAGCACCAGGAAGGTCATATACACTCCCACAACACCTCGAAGGAAATAAAGCACCACGCTCTGGTAGCTATGTGCTCTGTCTAGTGTACCACGTTCATGACTGAGCTGCAACCATGATCGCGCATTCTTATCAACGAGCAGGAGACGATACTCGATAGAATCAAGACCAGGATCTGCAACGCTGCTGTAAAGGCTCTCAATCGTTATCTCCCACTCTACTTCTCCACCATTTCGAACCGTGTGCTGGCCCACATCAATCAAATATCGCGTACTCTCTAGCGATGAATACTCTGCTGGCGTACAGCCACGAATAGCCAATACAGGTAAGTGATTAGTTCGCCCCACTGACCCGGAACGAATCAAGGAGATATCGAACTCCTCAAAATTATCTAAACCAGACGACTCCGATTGATCAAATAGCTTGTTCTCCAGATGAGTCTCCAAAGCAGGCCCGGAGCATAGTTTTCGGGATTGCGCGAGCCGATTATTACGAGCATCGAATGCTGCAGTGATTAGAGCTTTGTCTAGAATAACACCACCTTGTTTGCCATTGTCTCCCGAGGAGCTCTGCTGTTGCAGTACCAATAGCACATTAATCTCTGTCGATACTTCAGTACCTAGGTTCGAGTCGGCATCACGCACAGTCAAGAACATGTGATTCTGTCCGTTCTCATCCGGCAACGATTCTAGGCTGTCTGCATCCCATGAATTGCTCCGCCAGCTTGGGTTATGGCGCATCTTGTGCAGAGGTGTCATTTTTCCCGATACACTGATATCATTTCCATCGCGAAACGAATCTATGTTTCTAGGAGCCGCTTCTTCGAGATGAACAGTGATTTTCACAGATTCACTTGGCGCAATAGTTCCTGAAGAAGGTACTGCTATCGCTTGAACCCATTCACTAATGGCACACATTTCTGCCTCCGCCGAACCCTCGACGAGGCAAAGCCCGGGCTGATACATAGCGATGGGGTCGATAACGAAGTTTAACACTTCCGACGTTGACGGATTGCGCACCCAAAAGCTTTCAAATAAGTTTAGCAGTTGGTGGACAACACAAGTTGTGGTCTGCTGCGACTTTCGAGGCGATGTGATCTGAGAAGAATCTCTGCTGGCTCCAGGTGTTGATTTTTTCAAAGACGGTGGCAGTTGACCAACAGGAATATTTGCCGGTAAATCTGTCGCTGTGGCAAAAAAGTGAAGATTAGATGCAGACAACAGGAAAGTTTTGCCCGGCAACAGCTTCCCCTTTACGTGAACCTCTTTACGCTGGGCAGTGTCCTCCATATCGTGAATGCTGATATCGAGCCAAACGCGTCCCAGATCCAGAGTTTCGGACGTAGGGCTGTTGTTGCCTCCAGCAGACCACATATCAGCCGATAGACGAGCAGACGAAAGAACATGACACACAACGCGAATATCCACTGATTCTCCGGGCGCAATTAAAATCGAGGTCAATGGCGTATTTGCTGAACGAAGCATTAAAAGTAGCTCGATTGTTCTGTTGAAAGCAGATGAACACACAGAGTTAGTGCACTTCCCTTGACAATGACACAATCACACCGTAAAGAAACGTACCGGTCAAACGGACTGTGTGTTTGAGAAGAAAGCTTTACACTCAATTCTTCGTCGTACACATTTCGTAGCGAAAACCAGAAGTTGGCACGGTGAGGAGCTTCATGTGGTGTAGGCACCGTGACTGGTGGAAGGAAAGCGACATGACGCTCATTTGACTCGGCCGGCTCCGCCTCATAGTCGGAGCTCTCCGGGTCTACTACCAGTTTCGCGTAACTGGAAATAATGTGCGCCTGAACCAACACGTCTTCGTGGTTGCGGGGATTGTATAAATTAAAAAAGTGGAGCGGAAATTCATGGAAGCCTGGAGCAAGAAACTGTAGCATTAGCAGTCAAAACAGAATTAGTCGTTTAGATACATCACGTAAGCCGATAAGAACGACAGTGTACCTTCTTCGTTCGCACTTGTTCCATGTCGAGTACGCACGTGGCCCTAGGTTGTAGTTTCCACGCACTCCAGCGTGAAGTGCTTGCATTGTCTAGCTGCTTTTCGGCTTGCAGTGCAAGCATTTGAAGTGATGGGACCTGATCCACTGAATTTTGATCACCCTTATCGTAAAATTGGATGCGACTCGCGTTGCGGGCGTTGCGCAAATGAATGAAATCTGGCAAGTTGGCAATCACAAATGATACCGCCACGTCGGATACATTTTTCACTGAGACTTCGAATGTTGATGATTTCCACCCAAGGGTGTAGCCAATTTTTCCCAATGCAATGCGTTTTTCAGCAATGTGAAAGCGCGGTTCGCCATAAGAACCATAGATATTTACTACCTTCAAAGTGCACGCATCTCCCACATCCTCGCTCTCATTGCTTTCAAAACTTTGGATTCCAATCATACCTCGAAGTGGGTACAGCTTTCCGCCCTCGATAGTATCCACAGGCAATGGTGCAGTTGCAGCGATCGATGCAAAGCGAAACGAAAGCGAGTAAGTGCTCTTTGCCTCTAAAGTAAACGGCTCACCGCAGCATACGCTTGCTGGTCCATTTCGTGGCGCAACGCCCCCCATCGGCGGCATGCATAGCCTTCGCGCATCCTGTGTCGAGGCGAATCGAGCCAATAACGGACTTTGCTCTACGTCCGAGCTATTGGGTACGTCTTCTTTGCCTTTCCATTGAAATGTCAGCGGAAGAGTACTTACGGGGCGCACCACCATGCTCCGGTCTGTTGCGTTCGTTAACACAAGGGTTTTCTCACCAGGTAAACGCGACATACTAAACGCAGTAGGCTGTGCTTCGATAAATAACCCATTGCTGTGTTCACCATTAATCCGGTATTTGCGGCTGGCAGGTTCATTTTCTCCAGAAACAGACATGGTGTCCGACAATTCGTCCTCTAGTCTGATCACGTTAATAAGGCCCAAGTCTATAGTATGGATTGTTGCCGACTCGTTCATCACATTACAAGGTGCACGAATATTCTCCTCAAGGCGTTGATAGTCATTTGTGTCTGACCCTGCGATTTCGCAACTCAGTGCGCCACTATCCACGAAAAGTAAGACGTCGACAAAACTGACTTTTCCAGGATAGTAAGTATTTTCCACCATTATACGACGACGATATAGTCCGTTTGAGTATGCCATCACCCGAAACTCGATTATTCCTGTTTCGCCCGCTGGAATTTCCCCCTTTTCGTGTTTCAATGATACATGCAGAGAATCATCATCATCCGAGTAGCCGTCTGTCGCACTCGTCACAAATAGGCGATATCCCAAGGGAAGTGCCTTACTCATGTTGATCAGTTCAAACTGACCCTCGTGTGTTTGACACGTTTGCATTTGACCACTGTTATATTCAACGCCAAAGTCGACCAATGACGGCGTAACATGTGCAATACTCGCACCAGCCACACCAATAAACTTGACAGTAAACTCGGCCAGCATCTCACTCTTTTCGCCTTCTGGTGTATCACCTTTTGCCAACAGTCCAAAAAGCTGGACGCGAATGCCACCCACCAAATCTCGAGTGGATCCTGTTTTAATAGCGTCTAAAGACAGTCGTGGGCGAATCGCCACGTATAGATCAATAGACTGCATTCCATTCATTACAACGTGAATTGCCTCACGCTGCAGGCGCGCGTCTTCATACACGTAGCACTGAGTCTTTAAATTCGATGAAGCACATATAACCAGCCTGTCCTCAACTTGACTATGCAACGTAAGTTTGTGAACTTTGCTGAATCGAAGAGACACATTTGGACTGTCTACAGCTATGTCTTGCATTTCAGGTGTAACATAGCACGGGCCCAAGTCAAGAATTTCCAGCTGCCCTGTCACTTGGGGGTCCAATTCAGGAATTCGAACATACACCGGTCGAACAATACGTACCGACAATGTCAATACTGACGTGTCCAGACGATCACCACTGAGATTCCGCAATACAATTTGCTCATTGTGGTGTCCCGGCACACTACCCTTGTATACAAATGCTGCTGTCACGAACGACCCTGCTTGCACAGTTCCCGTTGCATTCTCGAACGTCATATCGCCTCCAACAAGCAACGGAGAGACGGATGATAATATGCTCCCACCAGTTTGATCACGAGACCCGGCCAACAAAAGGTACTGTAGAACTTGGTGTGACCTGTTGTGGATAACAACTTTGCCTCGTATTTCGTCCCCTTGCTGATGCTCTCCTAAGTCAAGCGCTTCAACTTCAAAACATAGCGACCGTTGTACAGCTTTAACAATCGCCACGTCAACTGACGATATCGGAGTACGCGGCGTCGAATCCTTAACATGCTCCTGCGGAATCGAGTTGCTCGAGTGATAGAAAAAGTCGATCGTACCTGCATTCAGTTCCGCAGCTTCAGATGCGCTCTCCAAAACCGACCGACTCACACAAGATGCCAAGGGAGTTGACGATGCAAATCCCGCATCACTAGTGAAACACCATTTTACATTCAAGTTCACCGTGCGATCCACAGGGATATTCAGCTTCAGAGGAAGCAGCACTCGACCACAAACCTCAATCTCGCCAGTCCTTGTGTTCATATCATCCTGTACCAAGAAATCAGGAGGAACGACATCACACGTAAACGCCAACACGTTCTTAAAAGTGCCCACTGGATTCCATGCAACCTCCACAACTGCTGAATCTTTGTTCGAGAGAGAATCCAGCGATACCATCATCGACCAGCCATGATTATCTGACGGTGATTCTTCCGCAGGAACTAGCAGGCTTGAGCTAGTGGGGAACTTACCAAATTGATTGGGGGTTATAGCCACATTCAGTCTTTGTGTCACCTTACCCGAATCAGGTATTTGAATCGTTAAATTGCGGCGACGCTCCACCGCAGCAGAATTAGTCTCGACTGGTGCAGTCAATGATGGTAAGACATCATCATAGCGTGAAACAGAACCACCACTAATGCCACGCGGTTTCCCTGCACGGCTCTCCAGCAAACCCTCGTCCACGATAGAAGGCACTGTTCCGGTCTTTGGATGCGGGGGAAGCACAGATGGAGGCTTTCGGCCAACAGCGCGGCAGTATGCATTTTTGCCTGCAGGTGTTCGCAAGAAGATTTCGGCGTTATACTGAAGTTCCTTGACCACGTCCTTGTTTTGTTGCTCAAAGAGAAGAAACTTTCCCACGCCTACAGCCGGTGTTGCATCCCGACATAGCTGGTGCTTTTTCATTTTTTGACTTTGGTGAACACCATGCTTGTCACCGTCCTCTCCAGCTTTTGGCGAGCTGTCGCCACACTTCAGAGGATTAAAAATTGCATACGCTACAACTCTCCCAGTCGCCTCAGCTCCGAGGGAAAAGTGTAAGGTATTGGTGTTACTTGAAGTAGATGACAACAGTCCGGGTTTCACATCCATCACCGATTTGTCGGGCTGCCTCAAACTGCGACGCCAAGACCGTGAGCTTGATTCAAACTCCGAAAGTTCCGACTCACTGTTGGCACTGTCGTACGGATCAAATCCTCCCACCTCGCCACTCCCTCCTGACCTTCCTGTCGTTTCTCCGTCACTATCTGTTGGTGACCCTAGCGCATGTAGTATTTGTTCGCCCGACAATAAAGCCTTGACTTGTGAAATCTTGGCGTTTAATTTGACGATTTTATCCGTCTTCTTCTTCGTTACCGCAATGCGCAGCTTGTGTTCCAATTTCTCTAGCTCCTCATCCAGCTTTTTTTCTTGCGCTTGCGTAATCACGGTTGCCGGTATCTCGTCAACCGAGAAGTAGAATGTAGGCCGCAAGCTTGGGACTGTAAAGCTTGGGTCCACCTGGATCACGTACTCCCGTTTCTTTCGACTTGTGTTACGGACAGCAATCTTCACCTCTTCGGTCTTTTCGCCCACGATGCATTTTCCCAACAAGATCGTTTGGCCTGGAGAAGCAGAGATGCACAAGCAAAATAAGAAAACAATTTTGAAGAGTATATAAGCAATAACGATGGTATCATACCTGACTGCAAAAGCTTGAACGTTTCCCGCTTGACAACTTTCGCTTTTATTGTAACCGAAACCGAGTTTTCCACGTCTTGAACGTTGATAATGTTCAACTTCTCTTCAAAAGGGCCAGCCAGTGTTGGTTGAAACTGGAAGCAAATTTCTTTCGCACCGAAGGCTTTGACCACTCCAACCTTTCCCTCCTTAATCTGTAAAAATCCTGATGAAATTGAGCCTGTTTTTTCCACGCTGTACACGAGAGGTATAGGAGACATGTTCTGTACAACTAACCTCTTTGAGCTTTTTGAAGACGTCGCAATACGACCGAAATTAATGTTCTTCTGGTTCACATTCATCACCGAGCGACACACTCGACTCTTAAGCAGCAATTCTCTCACGGACGACCGTGTATCGAACGGGTGCTTTGATGCAGCCCATACCAGTTTGTTTTGATCGAGCTTTGATCCTTCCGTGACTGCTTTTTTATTCCCACCAGGTGGTAGTGCGATCATTATCTTATGTCTTTCAACTCGAATCTTTGCAACATCCTTAGTAGCTGTTGTTTGAGGAGCCATAGGGCTCAATACAGCTACAATCCGTAGGCGCGACTTTGCTGGGACCCTTACGTTCTTCTCCTTGTTGAAACTCAGCAATGTTAACCTTTTATCAGCAAGAAGAGCCTGTAGACGTTTGGTGCGCTCCTGAACCATCGCCACAATCTCCTCCTCTTTTTCTTTCGAGGGTAGCGAGCTATGGCAATACGCATCACAATCAGCGCGCGATTTTGCAAATAGCTGCAGGAGGGTTGCCACCTCTTCTGAAAATCTTCTATCTGCAACCAAGTCTGCAGGCGTCAGTAATGATGCATTAGATGCTCCTTCCAAAGGCTTTCTCTCACCAGCTGTCCCTTGCGACAGGTACCCTCGACTTTGCAAACCACTAATATTGTGTCGCTCTTGACGACCTTTGTCACTCTCAAAATGCTGAGTAGAAGCCGATCTAGCAATACTGCTCGTACCGTTCGAGGAAGCTGACGATTGGCTGCTGGTTTGAGATACTGAGAGTTCAGCCAGCTTTTTCGTTAACAATTCTCGAAGTGCTGTAGGTTTTCCTCTCTTCAGGTTCGTTTTCCCATCGGCCAGGTCCGAGACACTGCAAAACGACCTGCGTCGACGAACAGTCCGTCCAGCAGGCGGCTGACTCATTTGCGTTGAAACGTTGCTGGGAGTGCCACTACCACTATTTTGCAAACTTGAAGCCGCTGGCGAAACACAAACTTTGCTTTCTTCATCGCGTTCCTCGCCGTTATTTAAAGACATTGCCGGGTTTGCCACATCAGCGAATGGATGCTTCATACAGTACAACCGAAGCTTGGATGGAGCTGAGCTGCCAATATTTAAGTGAAGCGGAGCGTTTGTAATATTTTCCAAATCAAACACTTGTACTCCAACCGAATTTATCGTCACCTGTTCAAAGTTTAGGAACGCGGACCTCGATTGGGTCAAGAGTTTGTAGAATAGTGAGTGGTAGATCACATGATGCGCGTCCATATTGCTCGAGCGCACGCAGATTTGCGAAACATTGCTCTTATTCTTCATATTGGTGATAGATACAAGTCGAGAATAGTTGGGATTGGTCTTCCGCGGAATAATCTCAATTTTGAGCTCAATTGACTGCTTCGGACCTAGCATCATGTCATCGTTTGGGACCGTCGAGATCACTTTGGACGTCACTAGCGGTTTCACAACCGTTGGCAACTCGGAATGGTTTGTCAGCATACACGAACTGCTCTTAAGTTCTCCAATGTTGCAATCACCCAAGTGCAATATTGATGGCGTCACTGTCACTATAGATGTGCACGTACGTGCGCGGATATGAATCGATTTGCCGAGAGTTCGGTCATATACACGGGATTGAGCTTGTTGCCACGCGCCTTGCATAAGAAAGCACCGAAATGATACACGAAACGTTTGCTTAGTCAAACGGGCAGCTTTGAGATCCACTGCATCTGCGTTTTCGCCATACATCCCTTCCAAATTGCTGCTCGAAACGGGTGAGTACCATATTAAGATGGTTCGCTCGACACCAGGAGGCAAGTCAATTGTTTCAACTAGAAAATTTGAGGCGTTATTGTCATCAACCGAGACCAGGTGACGATTTCGGGAAATGTTTCGTTCATGAGATGAGCGTGGGCTTTTACACAAAATGAAAGGAATACAATCAATCGAAAGCTCAGTCATGTCATCAACTACTGCTGCATCTTACCTGTCCATACCACTGTCGTAAGCAACATTTTTTGCTTGAGATGCGGTCTTCTTGGACTCTTTTCCTCTGGTTCGAAATACTTTCTTCCGTTGATCAGCATTCTCTCTTGAACTACGCGTTTTTTGGCTATCAAGAGTACTTTGCGGAAGCACGCGAAGCTCTCGATCAAACTCAAAATCGTCGTCCAGATCCTCAGTATCGCCCATGGGGTTTTCCTCGAATGAGCTCCGCTTCGTTTGCTGGAAATCTTCTTCGTAGAAATCCGCCTGCCACGAAATACAAAGCAGTTAGAGCACGAACGATTCAGCAAAGCCAAAAGAAACCAACCTCATTATCATCGACCTCTTCGTCGCTGTCAGGTCCATATGCGTCTGTGTTTGGAAACGAGAGTGGCACCTTGCTTCCATCAGGCAATAATGATCCTTTCGGACTCGTTCCGTCGTCTGAATGTGTGGGAGAAAGAAGTTCGTCAACGCGTGGGGCCCTTGGAACGCGCGAACGGTTTTGCTGCAGCTTCATCTCAAAAGTAATTTCCTTGGGGCGATCGCTGGTCAGATCAACATGCAATGCTACTTCGGTCATGTTGCGCATAACAATTATTTTGGAGCTGGCAATGCCAGTATAGCAATCACCAAAATCCAACCGACTTCCACTCATAAGGTATGAACCGCTTGGTTCTTTAATAGATAGCCCTTCCCTGATAGTCCAAAAGTGAGCTGTTAGTACATGCAAGCCGCAAACAATATACTAGATCACGTAGCTTATCAATCAGTGTAAGCTTACCTGTGATGTTCTTGATTTGTAATGGCATGAATTCTAAGAATCTTCACGTTCCTGGAGTCGTGCAAATTTTGAGCCTGAATCTCGAAAAAAAGTTCTCCGATCTGTATGTCACGCACGAAGTCAGCCACGCAACGAGCTGAAGACGAACGAGGATACATAAGCTCGGTAGCTCCCTAAAATTTGCTTACCTCTGTCGGACGAAATGTGACGCGAATCCGCACATGTCCATACGCGGCAGCTTGCAACGTTTTGTCTCCAATAACATATCCAGAATTGTAGTCCGTACATACAAGCAGCTCCTTATTCTCACTCCATGGGGTCATTGGCGAGACCAACTTGAACAACAATGGAATCTCCGAGCGGTTCCACACAGTAAAATCCTTGACGAACGATCCACCCGGTACGCAATCATCAAAATGCAGCTCCTTGACATCCAATCGTAGCAACGAGCGACACACGTGTCCTTGCAAGGGCACCAACATCTCCGGGGTCGGCAGCCTGCTGATACCACTGCCGTCAACATAAGAAGGCTGGAGGATCAATCTTCCAGACAGAACAAAACACGACGTTTCGCTGAGATGCGCACGCTCTTCCTCTGACGAGTCCTCAGCCGCCGCATAAACTGCATTTCCCGTTGCATTATGCTGCGAAGTCAGCTTGGTATACATCGAGAGCACAATCCGTTTGCTCTCTCTTGGCGCCAACTCGATCTCGTTGACCGTCCCAATATGGTTAAAGAGCTCGTTGTAGCCTTCACACAAATACACGTTCTCGGCACAGAGCGCAGCTTTTGAACATGACCGCAGTACTGAAAATGGTACGTGATTAAACTCATCCTTAGCCACGGCACGGTCTTTTTCCTGCTGCAGCTCCCGCTGCATGATGCTGACGTTCTCATTCTCGAGCTGAAATCCCCATTGACTGTTCTGGAACGGCATACGCAGCTCCACACGCAGCTGGAGCTTCAAGTTGTGCGTCTTTTGATTGGTCACTTCAAACACAAAGATGTCCGACAGTTCATTTAGATACATCTCGCCTAAGCTCAGCAACTCGCCCTTGCCGCCGCGATAATCGACTCGGCTCTGCTCCGTCTTACTCAGCATGGCTACAGATACGGCAGGAAGAGGTGGGGAATGAGCAGCAGTGACGTTGATTGTCGCTTGACCGCCTACAACGGCATCCGCGTTGCTTACTGTCGGCGTCAGTGCGGTATCCTCGGCTCGCTTCTTCATGTCAACGTCAACGAGTGCGGAATCTAGATGTGATGGATATGATTGGTTGAGAGTTTTATATAATTTGTATATGGACCAATCATATGGTGCGCTATGAATATACTGTGAATTTCATATTGAATCATGTCTCAATCTTTTGGTCGGACTAAAAGAATGAATGAAGCGAAGACTGCTGCTGATGCTGCTGCGACATCCATGTCGGACGCCGCCTACGCTTTTGATGAAGAGGTACTTAAGGATGTACGCAACAATAAAGTGTGGATGCAAGATCCCAAGTACTTTAAAAAGGTGATTGTATCGCCTGCAGCAACTATGAAGATGCTGAACCACGCCAACTCGGGCGTCGAGAAAGGTATTAAAGCGGGTGGAAAGCCCGTCGAGATCATGGGTCTGATCATGGGACGGCCATCTACTGGCACTGATAGAGATGCTGGAGATATGCACACGCTCGTGGTCACTGACTGCTTCCCGCTGCCGATTGAAGGAGCTGAAACGCGAGTGCTGGCGGATGATGCCGAGGTCATTAACTATATGATCTCACTGGGCGAAGCTGTCGAGCAGACACGCAAAGAAAAATTTATGGGATGGTATCACAGCCACCCGTTTGATGTAGAGGTACATAGTCACTGCTTTCTCTCGGCTACGGACGTCAGCACGCAGCTGCAGTGGCAGCGCTCAGAAGATCCGCACGGTAACCCTTGGCTTGCAATTGTGCTGGATCCGCTGCGCTCAATGGCCAAGAAACGCCCAGAGATGGGCGCTTTCCGCGTCTATCCACCAGAATTTGCTGCGCCTGTGAACGAAACCCCCGACGGAACAATTGTCACGGACGAGAGCGCAAGACTCGAACGCTGGGGCAACTGTTGGAACCGCTACTATACGCTGGAGATCGACTATTTTATGAGCGCTCTTGGTTCTCAGGTCGTGAGTGTGCTATCTGAGGAGTTCCTGTGGATGCGTACACTGAGCTCCAACACGATGCAGGAGCGGGAAAACCGTGATCGTTTCTCAGAGCGTATTCAGCTGCTGGCAAACAAGTTGGACGGCTGCGAGGCTCACCTGTTGCCGCGCACTGGACGAAACGCTTCGCGAATTGGTGAGTATTATGTGCCAGAGAAGCAACAGTCGCATAAGGAGACCGAAGAGGCCGTACTTGACAAAATTACTCAAGCTGCCAACGAGCTTGCGATCGAGAACTCACTTGGTCAGGAGCTACAGGTCACCAAAAAGGGCCTTTTCAACGACAAGTGAAAGAGTCCCGCAATTGTAGCGTATGGTGACTAAGTAATAAACATCGATTGTGTGGACTATTTTCCTATTCTCTGCGATAACTTATTGTCATCAAGTGCTAGTCAAGAAGATTCTGGATGCAATGGCAAGTCTAAAACAGCTTCGTCTTGGTTCTTCCTTCTCCCATAGCAAACAACTCCTCCGCGATTCGCTCTTGCTCTTCCATAGTTTCGAGATTTTCTTGAAGCGCCACCCGATCGGCATTGTCAACCACGCTAAGTATAGTCTGCTGGGGAAACAAAGAGGCGGTAGAAGAGCGTGACTTGTATCCGTTTCCTTTTTTGAAGCGCTTGTAGTTCACCAAACCAGGTTCTCTCTTCTTGCCCTGGCCAGACAGCTCTCGCTTTTTCACGATCAACTCACAGCTAACCACAACTGGCTTACCAAAATCACCTTGTTGTTCGGGCTTCACGTCGTGTCGCAACACACGTGAAGATTTCCATGCCGATAGATCCATGTCTTTTGACTTCTCGGGCATCATCACACGCTCACTCATTCCTGGCGACGAAGACGCTTCATCTTTAGCAAAAGCAAAATAATACGAGCCGGTATTTGTGGAATTATACAAAACGTTAGCATCAAGGTACTCATCCCAGCAGTCCAAGCCTTAATATGCAGTACTCACCTTGTTCTTGAGTCCCCATATCGGGAACCTGCACAATGTTAATGTCTGGATCCTCGAATGCACCACCTTTGACCTGGCAGGAAGTATGCAAACTTATATAATGATTGAAAGAAAGTGACTCCAAAGCCAACCGCGTACCTCGGCACTATTATAGTGAGGGTCAGTCAGATGCTCAGAATCCTTCTTGATCATTGCATCCGCAACATTGTTTTCCTTGTAGTCCGCGCCCTGCTCCTCTTGATTTAATTGAATCTCTTGGTCCTCATGTTCCGCTGTCAATGTGGATCGTAGGCTTAAATGCTCTGGAAAGCTCATAACATGAATTGACGATCCTGCGTGACTGCTGAAAACAGAGTCGTTGAGTGCTGTGGGTGTTTTCACAAAAATCACACTTGCCGCTAGTTCTTGCACGCTCGTAAAGACAGCACCCATTGACTTCAACAAGTCCACTCGTCGCTCCGCTATCGCCAAAGGAAAGGCATGGTCATCAACAGCTGAAGCTCGCTGTTCACTCTGTCGTGCCGTGCTCGAGAACTCCGCACCCTTTTGAGGCTCCACAAGCAGCAAGCGCTTACTGGAAGCTAGAGATTCCAACTCCCGCAGCAGATTATTATCCTCTTTATAGCCTTGGTACGCAGCAAGCACGACGCCACCCATGGCCGGAATGAGCTCTTGCATCGACTGTGGCGTCAGAAACACCACCGCATATCCTAGAAACAGCGTCTTGCGCAAAGGATTTGGGAGATAATTGCTCTCCATCGATGGAATCGATGGGTCGGAAGGTAGAAACTCTTCACAGCGTGGCAATGGTTCTGACAGACTTGAACGGTTCAAAATGGCGTATATCCACGGCGTACATACCACGGGTTGATTGAATACTAAGGCCCAGAGTACCTTGACGGTCGCCACAATGCGTCCTGGATCCATAATACAGTGCGTGGCGTCCTTAGTCTCCGTCCCTAGTAAATGCATACCAATGCGCTGGCACGTGTCATTCACCTGCGGCCGATTTGCCCGGTGGATACGCGAGGCGACGAGCACAAACACTTGGTAGCGCACTCGTAGCACTATCTTCTTCGCCCCGAAAGAAATCTGGTCGCCATGACGTAATCGACGAGTGTCAAGGCACTGCTCCTGGTTCACGAATGAACCAAAACGTGAGTTCATGTCTACCAGTTCCAGCACTGGTCTCGTCGATGGATCTTCCAGTTGCTCGAACGTTAAGGCCCCCACACGGATAAGAGCGTGCGTGCGCGAGATAGACGTGTCTGCGTGAAAGTTGAAGTGGCAGTGCTTACGCCCTATGCTCCACTCACCAGCGACGAGGTAGAAAGTCGTATTGGAGCATTTGTTATCACCCGCCACCACGTCCAGGACCCACATCACTTAAGCTCTAAAGCTCTAAATTGGTGCTGTGCAAAGAGAAACTGAATGGTGCATACCTTAGCACATACACAAGTAATAAATAGCAAACAAGTTTGTGACCAATGTGAGTAAAAAGTCAGCACATGCCATGTTAGTGCACCATTTGCAGCCTAGGCTGACTGATTACTGCATGTAAAACGAGGCAAACACGAACGTGGCACGATATCTTGATGCATTTTGTACGGAATAGCAACAAAATGCTCATAATGACAACGAAGAATGTCCAAAGCACATCCGACTTCTGACCACGTACACAACCTGACCTTTGATCTTCTAAAGCATATATAGCGTCTCCCTTTTTTCTAGTGATGATGACGATTGCAAATGCTTCATGACGCTTTGTTCGCACAAGGAATGAGCTAGTGTCGATCTCATAGTGCGACCTTGTTCCAAGAGAAAAGACTTGGCTTTAACTTTAGTATTTGCTGCGATTACTACAGTAGATGCCACCTCTCAGTTCTCATTGCATGTTACAGGAGGTGTCTAGTTCTTTGTCGTTGCTCCATCAGCTCGTAGACCGCTATACTTCACTTTTGCATGATGTTTACAACTTCTTCGTATATCAAACGACGGTGCAAGCAATGAGGAAAAACACGAGCTTAATCAGCAGTAGCATGAGTCTTGTGTATAGTATACGCTCTTGCTTGAACAGCTATAACGATAGTAGTAAGCAGCAGCAAGAAGAGCGCCATCATGTGACGCGCGACTTTATTTGATTGAATGCTATTTTCTGCAAAGCTTACTGTAATTATTCGAGTTTCTGAAGCATAATGTTACCATCAATAAAGCACAGAACTCGATCGCAATTGGTTTATTGAGTGAGGACGATGACACAGATGAAGCGACGACGCGAGGAGGTGTCGCAGCGCAGCAAGAGATCTCTTCATCGTACGTTGTCATAAGCTCTGAGTGATTGTGGAACTCGTTTAGTGATTTGACATCATTTAACGTGGCAGGCGACTCGGTAAGTAGCGAAGATGCGAGCGAGACTGACGACGATGTACAGCCCACGAACGTTGTAATGGCTAGCGAGCCAAGCGACAGCGAAGAGAAAGGAGAAGACAATGATGAAGATGAGGAGGAAGCGCTGCTGGACTTTACACAGACCGACTATGCGGTGCAGATGAGTCAGGCGAAACCAGCAGACGACGACGACGAGAACGATGACGATGAAGGAGGCGGTAAGAAGACTAACAGAGAGCCAACCAAGCCAAGAGCATTGCACAAGCTGCCGGACAAGGTGCAGCATACTTGACGTCTACTACTTTGAGTATGTTCGTGCTAGATGAAGGTGTAAAGCTGACGTGGGTGTGTGGAGTAGGCATTGGAAGAGCTCGTGGCTAAGCTGGTGCGCTATATACTGTACAAAGGCGGTCTGAAGCTTCCCATCAAGTTTGCTGACATTAGCAAGGATGTATATCCGCAGTACAAGAATGTGTCAAGGTAGGGTGAGACGAGATGCTTAGATGAAGATACCGTTAGTTTGCTGATCGTTATGTTCCTTGTTTGTCTGTGCAGATACTTTTTCTTCTATGCAAAACAGAAGATTGAAAGTGTCTTTGGCTACCGCGTAGTACGGGTGGAAAACAGCTTGAGTAAGGAGTTGTACCTTGTGCTTAACAATGCGTCGTCGCAGAAACACTTGCTCCTTATGAACAAAACTGGAAATGCTGCCTCGCGCGGTTTCCTCATGATCATTTTGGGGCTCTTATGGTGCGCCCCCGCTCGGCGACTTTCGGAAGGTCTTGTAGTCATGTTGTTTGAACAAAAGTTCCAGCGAGTGCTGACATGTTAATTGTGAATCCAGACGACTTGTGGAAGCAATTGATCCGTCTCGATCCTAAGCTGAAGGTAAATCATTCATTGCTTGGAGACATTCCTCTTCTTTTCAGAACGTTTGAGAATCAGCTGTAAGTAAAGTGTGTTTTTTGATGCTAAGTCGTAGTCGCTCACTCACGATCGACATTGCATGTGAACCCTTCTTCATTAGCTACCTTGACGCCACATCGGAGCTTGATTCGGACCTGAAAAAGATCAAGTATTACCAGTATGGCCCACGTACGTTCCTGGAAGTGGGCAAAGTGCAGATTCTCAACTTTGTGTGCAAGGTGCGCAACAATTGCTATTTATTCTGATGTTTTGGGATGGCAAATGTTAATACTCTACCCCCATAGCTGATCACAGGACGTCCTCCATCTGAGGTGCAGATTGACGAGGTCTTGGCAGAGGACAGCTAAAACTTATTCTACAACCATTCAACCAAGGACTTCACCATCTTGTTCCCCGTTTATGTCCCTCTCTCCTGTCATTTTCAAAATTTGCAATGGAGTCCATCGTCGCGGCCTACGGGGGATCATCGTCGGAGCTATCGGACGCTGCTTCACCAGCCTCATCCCAAAGTGAAGCAGAATGCACGGCAACAGATGAGTCTACGGGTGATGGTGGCATGCGGTCTGGCCTGAAGCGAAAGCGTTTTGATGAACCGCAGCGGAAGCGTGCATTTTCTCACGTGGATGGCAATTGGCCAAGCCACGTACGAATTAACATTCCAGTTGACCAGGATCTTCGTGAGTTGGCTAGAGAAGCAATAGATCGCACGCAAAAGGCTGTCGGTAAGGCGGTAGCATTGGTGGCGTTTGAGGAGCTTGGCTTGGGCAAGTATCCAGCTACAAGCGAAAACCCTGAACTGCATTTGAGTCTTTCGCGACCGTTTGTGCTCAACTACGACCAGATCAATGTTTTCGTTGACTCGCTCCGTGCCGCACTCAAATGGCGAGAACGGTGCGTCTATTATGGTTGCTTACGAACGATGTACTCTTGCAGAACAATCTGACCACTCTCGTAGTTTCAGCGTCACTCTTTGCCGCACACTTGTGCTAGTGAATGATAATAAGACGCGCTCGTTCCTAGCGCTTCGTGTTGTGAAAGGAGAAGATGAATTCGTGAAAGTGCTGCGCTGCGTGGATGCATGCCTTGCGCGATTCAAACAACCTATATACTACATGGTGCGCTGATTCTACTCGAACAAACATGAAACGCAGCAACAATTAATTACTTCTGTCGTTGTGTTTGCTGCTAATGGTGTGGCGCTTGCTCGCTTTGGTCGGGGTGGTGGGTGATCCTGAATCTTACAGGATCCTATTCCGCATGTTAGTATCGCATCCTCAATGGGCGAAGAGCTAGCGCAACTAACATCGGACCAATGTGAAAGCCTCCAAATTTTATCACCGGAACGGCAGCATATGACAACGTCACGTTCGTTTACGACAAGCGTAGCAGCAGTCCACGTTGCCATTGGCAACAAACACTACGACATCCCACTCCGCTAACTTCCAATCTGGCGATTCCCGCTCCTCCGGTGCTGTGTTCCTTAGCTCGGTGCATAGCTTTCACACCATTCCTTTTGTGGAAACGTATCGTGAAAAGCTCATGTTGTGTCAATCACTGTCCGTGTCAGAAGCGAGATTGATAATTTCATCCACCCCAGAAAAATCATGGCCCTGCGCTATCATTACGGGTGCCCCTGTCGCTGGCCCCAGTGGCACAGGCAATGGCGGTTTGCCAGTATCCTCATCAGAACTAATATCCGACAAAGTGACAACTAGACAATCGCCTGCCTGTTTGCCCCAACGTCCTCCTCGTTTTGACCGCTTTTGTTCGCGCTTGTCTGTGTCTTCAGATGCAACGCAAATGGCATAAGTCAGTGCAAGCACTTACCATGGACATTACACGCACTGTACCACTTCTTTTCCGTCTTTTGCCATTTTTGCCTCCCCACTCGCGTTCGCGTTTTCCTCCAGCCTTCGGATTCCTCATTGCCGCTCCCGATTGAAAATGTGTTGTTGTTGCATCAGCGTCAGTGACTGCATGTGTAGCCGTAACTTCGCTGCTATGCTGGTTTCCACGCGGTCGATCCCTCGATCGAGACCGGCTGCGTCTACGACCATTTTTTCCTCGATCTCTTCCGTTTAAGCGCCAATCACGACCACGACCTCTCTGGTGAGAACGAGGTGCAATGACCACTTGGCGACTATTACCAACGTCTTGTGCATCATCGAAAGGTAAGGTTGAGTCGTTACTAAGCTGAAAGTCTTCACCTTTGTGATCCTCAAACCATCGCACTTCATCCCTACACCCTTCATGCTTTCGCCCTTCGTCTTTACCGCCTTGCTCGTGGTAGTTGAGATGCCGAATACTTTTTACTTGAGACCATAGGTCATCCATCCAAATAACTCGCGACGCCAGCTGCTGGAGGTCCCCAGATACTGTCCCTCGGTAACCTGAAAACACCAGCAAGTCAGGTGTGTAAGCATATCATTACCTAGTACTTCGTACTTCACCAACTAAAGGATAACATCGTTAAGTCGCCGCAGCACTTACCCATTACCCAGATATCCTTTCGCAACACGTTTCGAACGTGGCTCAGCGAGCTATAAAAATCGCCATCACCTGCTCCACACACTCAGTATGTAATCTCGTCGTGCACTTTTATCATCTAGATGAGCATCAAAGCGTACCCGCAAATAAAACAAAGCGGTCGCAAATCTGGCACGCAAGAAGCATACACACGATTTACAAAATGACTTCATGAAGCATGAAAAGTGGCAACACAGAAAAAGCGTACATTTTCATAGGCGAGAGACAGGATCTTGGTTGCAATTCTTACAAAATATCATCAGGAAGTTGCATTCTAGGTGACGTATGGTTTCAATGCACGCACCCATTGTCAACACCCTTCTGCACATTCTGCGTAAAATGATTACCACATCTTCTACAATGGCAGTTGTACTTTTTCATAGGAAACAAGCTGACTTGAAACTATCACCATCCACACATACCATCACGTCACACCTACGCAATAACTGCAACCTATCACCATTTACAACGACAACACATTCCAGTCCAATACCTGGGGCCCATCTGGTGGCGCAAATTTCAACCTGTTATACTCCACTGTTAAAGCTGGATGAAGCCGCTGCGTCGAGGGATTCTGGTCGAAGAACCAGCAATCTAATGGGGCACGAGAAGGTCAAAAAAACATCCGCAGTGTTTACGCTCTCGTGGGCATCAAGCAAAACACCTAGACACGACTACACACACAAGCATGCAGCGAAACGGTAGCTTATAGCGATATGAACGTTTGTACCTACCTCCAAACTGCGTCGATGCCTGCTCTTCCAGTGCTGCACGGAGCTTGACGTAATCGATCTTGCCCCCCTATTGAGTCGCAATTGCAGCCATAGTCAGCATAACAAAGTAATTGCAATACAAGAAATGTAATCCATTCGAATTTCATGCTCTTCGTACCAGACTACGAGCTCCAATCATCGCATAAGATCCATCTACACTTCGTCAATCGATCACACATCGAAACCATTCCTTTAGAAAGAGAATAACGCTACCTACAGCATAAAAACTAAGCCTACCAATAATCAATGCAGTCCGATTGGACCCAACTGTCTCCGTCGTAGCAGGTGAGGACTCTGTAGAGCTCACGGAGGACAATACCTGGACGGTCTTCATTCTGCGATTGTCCATTGTTTTTTTGGAAAATTCTCATTGGTGGAAAATATTTTGTATTTATCCAATCGTACATGCTGAGCGTAATGTCGCCCCTCCCTACTCCCTCCCTAGATTTTGTATTCCCGTCTACTTCAGTGGGCCACACAATCGAAATCTCCACCAACCGACTGCCGCGTATCGCTCGATCCCTCGCAACTTCAGAAGTTTATTGAAAGAAGAATCATGCCGGGTGAAGAAAACAAGGAGTTTGACGACGAGTTGGTCGACTATGAAGAGGAAGAGGAGACGACGGCGACGACGGATGCCTCGAAGGCTGCTGAGGGAAAGGACGCCAAGAAGTAAGCTAAACTAAAGAATTTGCTGCTAGAAGAGAGAGAGAGAGAAAGAATGTGTGTACCCGAGAGACGGAAGAGTAAGAGCCAGAGAGCAATGCCGAGGTAGAACACGACGCTTTCTTGCTTGACTGTTTGTTTGCTTACGGAAGGCTTCTACCTATATAAGGAGGGAGCTGGCCGTCTTGATGACAATGTCCTAAACGCTCGACTGGCCGCTCATCCGCTCGCTCGGGACCGCGAGGAAAGGGAGGAAGACACTTTTGTTAACAACTTCTTCTGTATTCTGTATCCATGGTGCTTCTGCTGGAATCGCAATCATTGGGGATTGCTTTCGTTAGGGGCCACTACGTCGGCATTCATAGTTCTGGGTTCCGTGACTTTATCCTGAAGCCCGAGTGCTTGCGCGCTGTCGTGGACTGTGGTTTCGAGCACCCTTCGGAAGGTGAGCTCTCTTGATTTAAGATACTGGAGAACGGAACAGCTACTGACAGTTATGGACCACGTGTGATTGATATGTGCAGTCCAGCACGAGTGCATTCCTCAAGCCGTGCTCGGTATGGACATCATTTGCCAGGCCAAGTCCGGTATGGGAAAGACCGCTGTGTTTGTGCTTGCCACCTTACACCAGGTACGAAGCGGGTTTTTGTAGTGTTGTTTTGGTGGTTTACGGCTACTCATGAGGTTTTTGTTGTTTGTGTCGTAGATCGAGCCAGTGGACGGACAGATCAGTGTTATGGTGATGTGCCATACTCGCGAATTGGCGTTCCAGATTGCTCATGAGTATGAGCGTTTCAGCAAGTACCTAGTGGACGTCAAGACTGGGGTGTTTTATGGCGGTAGGTTCTGAGAAGTCAGAAGCAGTGAGGTGTTGGACCTCAAGTGACAATTTACATTTTTCTTATTGCAGGCGTACCCATTACGCAGAACCGCGAGGCTCTAAAAAACAACCCGCCTCACATTCTTGTGGGCACCCCCGGTCGTATTTTGGGTCTGCTTCGCGAAAAGACTTTGAAGCTAGACAAGGTGAAACACTTTGTCATGGATGAATGTGACAAGATGTTGGAGGCTGTCGGTACGTGTTGCAGTCAGTTGCAAAGCTCAACCAATAAGGATACGTAAAGCTAACTTCACGGTATGAACAGACATGCGTCGCGACATTCAAGAGATCTTCAAGGCAACGCCGCACGACAAGCAAGTGATGATGTTCTCGGCTACTTTGAGCAAAGAAATCCGTCCAGTGTGCCGCAAGTTCTGCCAGGACGTAAGTAAACCGCTAGACAAGCGATGTGACTATTATATACGTGTAGCCTAACCAATGCGGATCGTTTTTTTACTGCATAGCCGATGGAGATCTACGTCGACGACGAGACGAAGCTGACTCTGCACGGTCTGCAGCAGTATTACATCAAGCTGGAGGAGTCCGAAAAGAACCGCAAGCTGAACGACTTGCTGGACGCGCTCGAGTTCAACCAGGTGGTTATTTTCGTGTCCAAGAAAAACCGTGGACGAGAGCTCAACCGTTTGTTGAACGAGTGCAACTTCCCGTCGATTTGCATCACGGCTGACCTCTCTCAGGATGAGCGCATCAAGCGGTACAAAAGTTTCAAGGATTTTCAAAAGCGTATCCTGGTGACTACGGACCTGTTCGGACGTGGTATGGATATTGAGCGTGTGAACATTGTCGTTAACTACGATTTCCCGAACGACAGCGATCAGTATCTCCACCGCGTGGGCCGTGCCGGTCGTTTCGGTACCAAGGGTCTGTCGATTAGTTTCATCTCGTCGGAGGAGGACACTGAGATGCTAGCCAAGGTGCAGTCGCGTTTTGAGGTGAACATCCCGGAGCTCCCGGACCAGATCGACATCTCCACTTACATGACCACTTAGGCAAACAGTTCTGATCGCATGGAGAATGATGTCAGAGGATGAAGGGGGCGAAATAAGCAAAGACTCTTGTCAAACCAACCAACCTCGTTTCGGCATGTGCGAGCTCCATTTTTGGTAGTGAAGCTTTGCTGCTGCTCCATGGCTGAATGAATATACCCAACGCGAAATTGCGGATGATGCTATTACGACTCGGCTCGCGCTGTTTGTACTGGCGTCGTCCCAAGTCGCCGGTTCGAAGTGTTACTCTTTTCTCCGTCGCTTCGTCGATCCATCGATATCCTTCATGCCACCAAGGCGGCTCTTGTATTTTTCACGGATGCCGTCATCGCGGGCCCACAGCGAGTCCCGACTGGACGTGTCTTGGTCTGCCAGATGCGTGTACTTCGTGCTACGAATTGTAGTTGTAAACAACATTAAACGGGCTTACGTTAGAATTCTTTCGATGAAAGGATGCAAGTACAAGTTCCGTACCGGCCAGCACGTCCAAAGTTTTTGACCTGCATCACAGTTGGGAGCATCTCCTTGTTGAACTTGTCCTCTAGCGTAGCCTCGGTGGCATCTCGCTTGCGCACGTCATTCTTCGAGCCAACGCTGTCGTCATCCACGTAAAATGCACCTTTGTGGTAGTATTTTTGCATGAACTTAAGCTTCTGCTTCTGCTTGGGCTCATTCTTTTTCAATTTGCTGACCGTCAGAAAATAACGCAAAAGTCACAATCTGCTTCTTCATTATTGCACAGCAATACGTACGCGTCCTCTGCAGTACGCTCTTCCTGTGTCATGTTTCGCCTCCTCAATGCTTCTTCTTCCTCCTTTACTCGCTGCTCCTTCCGGTCTCGGTCGCTGGAGCGGCGACAGACATGAAAACAAAGCCAGATTATCACTACTAGCCAAAGTGGTTTGTCATCAACAAACTGCGTACCGTTTAATTCGACGCATTTCGCGCAGTTCCCAATCGCGGTACTCTTGCACCGGATCTAGACCATCCGTATCGTCAGGCATCTCTACATCAGTATCGTCACCCTTATTGGCGCCGTTTTGCTCGCGCTGAGTGTCTTCAGCAACCAAACGACGCGACTCCATTTTTCGTATCTCCAGTTTTTCCTGCTCTCGCTTCTCGCGTCGTTCTTCTTCTGCTGCAAGTTCTTCCTGGCGTTTTATCGTACCACGAGCTCTCTTAGGTACAAAAACTGGCTTCATGAACTCTTCACCAGGTTCCGAATCATCTGTATCAGTCTCATACTCAGAGCTAGAACTGCTACTAGACTCGGACTTTTCGTTTCTGACCATAGGTAACGGAGCTGCCACTGGACTCTGCTTCATAATTAGAGGCTCCACTACCAATCGTCTAGACTTGTCGTTCTCTTCACTCTGAGCTTCGCGTGCCTTTGCTTTACTGCGTAGCAAACGGCGACGACGGTCAATATCGGAATCATCTGCTTCATCCGAGCTGGAATCTTGCAGCGCCTTAGCTACGTCCTCTTCACTCGAATCCTCATCGTCACTAGAAGGTGCAAGTCTTTTTTCTATTTGACCGCTCCTGTTTTTTGCTACATGTGCAAAAGAGCTCACAACTTGCGCCTCCACGCGTTTTCGTCCAGTACTGATCACTTGATCCGTCTTGCGCTGTGCTTCGGCCTTGGGCAACACCCGTACTTGGCTACTTGCCGTTACGAAACCACGATCATCTTCATATCCATGTGCAAACTTTGGCACCTGACCTGCTCGATACCGTGTCACTTTCTTGGATGGGTCCACCTGGGGCTTCAGTGGCTTAAACACTTCCGTCTCTTCTCTGTAGGAATAAAGCGCACGAGCGTTAGGGTACACAACAATTCACAAGGTTATATACAACAGCGATCAAGCGTAAGTACTTGTTATTAGTGTGGCGAAGAGACACCGGATCTCCTGGAGTATCATCCGGCAGCAGCAGCCCTAGGTCCTTCTTAGTAAAGAGCGACATTAACAACGAAATGGAATAAATTCTTGTACTAATTTTTACCACGTATTTTTGAAAGTTAGCTTGTATAATACGCTGTATAATTTAGCACACAATAAGTATACTACATGTACTGTATTATAAATCCTTACAGCTGGATAAATATCCACATTGGACACCTTTTATCGAAATAGTGCGTTTACTGATCAAAGGAGGAGTATGCAGTTAATTTAGGCTCAAAATATAGTAACTTTGGGTCAAATGGAATAGAAATAGTTCACACATTGTCATCATTTTTTCGAAATGACGTTCCAGACACCCATGTTAGCGCTGGCACTCCCGCAGACGCAGCCTCGTGGTCAAAATGGTGTTTCGTTCACTACGAAGGAATCTGCACTGACTCGGCGTTGGCGTGTGATTGTCGGTGTGGTGGTTGCATCTCTGTGCCTGTGCGTCGTGCTGGTATTTTGGTGCCTCTTTATTCGACTGCCGCCGTATGAGGCGTCTGCGGGGCGCTCAGTGCACAACCCGCTGTTTTCTGAGATGAAACCGCAGCAGCATATTGAGAAGGAAAACAATTTGACTGAAGAGCGTCAACACGACATCGAGAAACGTTTTGAGACGACGCGGGACTTCCACGACGAGAAGCAGATTGTAATGGTGCTTACCCATTTCAGGAACGGCGATGCGTGCGCTCAAACGCTCGTTGATGCTCGTGCGACGGCATTCTTGGCATCACGGGTGCACTTTCGCGTGTTCGAAGAGCTCTATCTAACGCAGGAGAAGACGTGTGTACAGCGGTTTTGCGAGCTGAAGCCGAGCGATTGCAAGCAACTGCTGCGATCTGGACAGCTTCGCACGCAGAGGAGAGATGCGTCAGGAGCAGTTGGAGCGACCGTTGCCCGATACATGGCGGAGGGACTGGTGGAACGCAAGTTTGCGAATGACTTTTACCTTTCGGTGGATCCAGCAGTCGTGGTGTTCACGCAGCAGTGGGACCTAGAGCTACTGAAACAATGGTACAATGTGGGCAATGATATGGCCATCTTGAGCGTTGCACTCAAGTCCGTTGACCTGCGTGAGCTGACAAACTCAATCATCCTCGTGCAATGCTCGGCGCGCATCCACTCCAAGTCTGCAGATGCTGTGGTGGCATTCAATCCCCCTGAGCCACTACCACGTCAAGGCGCTGCATTGCTTTCGCCGGTGTTGCATACACAGTACTCTGAAGTGTTCCACTTTGGTCCGACTCGAGCGCTCTTTGAAGTGCGTTCGGACCCGCACACGCCTTTCATTTCCGTCGGACATGAGTACGCGCGAGCCGCGCGCTTTTGGACTCACGGTTACGACTTCTATGCTCCTAACAAGGACACGCTATTTGCTCGTTACCAGTGGCAAGAACCACCGCTACCCATGTCTTCTGGAGCAATTGATGATGACACGGACAAGCTACGGCAACTCAGAATAGACAAGGCACATCGGCGTATTCGACGACTGCTTGGATTGCCTGTATCAGTTCAAGATGAACAGCTCGAGCAACCTGTGACCTACGCATTGGGCAGCCATCGAACCATAGCGGCATGGCTGCACTTTTCGGGCGTCGATCCTCGTGCAGCTTACAACGAGTCCACGACCAATCAATTCACACGCTGTGGTAAAGTCCATTACGTTCACTACTGAGATTGAGAGAGTTGAACCCATGAGCCATAAAAAAACATCATTTGATGCCTATCATTGGTGCAAAACAAGATTTCGTTATTAGCCAATCACACGATTTAGATTTGTACACTCCAACTCACTAACGAAAATCCCGAGCGGCGTCCAGAGGACGACGATGAATGTGGATGTTGTGCGTCAGAAGCTATTGGACGGCGACACGGACGTTGTGCTCAAGGAGCTTACGGATCTGTATCGTCGTGCTGAGATCTTGCATACTCCGCAGCTTGGCCGCATCCTCGAGGCGCTTTTTCCTGTTTGGAAAGGTCTACTGCAAAACAAATTGCCACCACAGCTACACGCTTCGACGCAGAACCGCTGCCGTAAGATGCTGTTGCAGATACTGAATCGTCTGCCGAGCAACGAGACGCTGCGGCCGTATGTGACGCAGCTGCTGCAGTTACTCATGGAAGTCCTGCAGAAAGACAATGAGGACAACGCGCTCATTGCGCTCAAGACGCTGTTTGATTTACATCGCAATTACCGCCCAGGACTGCGGACTGAAGTGCAGCCGTTTTTAGAACTCGTGCAGCTCATGTACAAGAACCTGCAGACGACGATGAAGAAACAATTTAGTGGCCCACCAGAGACTTTCAAGTCGAGCTTTGTATCGACGGCAACAACTCCTACGGCTGCAAAAGCGGCGTCATCACCAGCTATTTTTTCAGAAACAGCAAAGGAATCGACAGTAGCTGGGAAAGAAATGCTCAGTGCAACAAGTGGTGCTACGACAGAATCAAAACCAGCAGACACGACGGTACAACACGTAACAGATGGTGGCAATACGGGTGAATCTACTACTGTAGCAACCTGTAGTACTGCAGCACCGGAATGCATTGCTGTTGGTGCCACGGCGGCTGCTGACAGAGAAGCAGCAACGGACGAACCCGTCTGCAGCAACTTGGAATCGTTTAAGACAATTTCGGAACTGCCGCTAATTATTATGCTGCTCTTCCAGTGCTACCCGAGCTACATTGAAAGCTACATACCCGTGTTAGTGCCGTTGATGATGTCAGCATTGGCATTGCGAGCGCCTGAAACGTCCACTACAACACATCCGTCGCGGTACTTGGATTTTTTAGATTGCCAAGTCAAGACGTTGTCGTTTGTGACATACTTGTTGCGCGGATGTGCGAAACTTATGCGTCCATTTCAAGATGCTATTTGTGAGAACACAGTGAAATTGCTTATCGCCTGTCCAAAAGATGCCTTTGTGTTGCGGAAGGACATTTTTGTGGCCGCCAGGCACATAATTTCCACTGATTTCCGGCGAGGATTTTACCCACAGCTTGAACTGCTCATGGATGATGACGTGCTTGTTGGAAAAGGACGTTGCAGCTTCTACCAGATTCGCCCACTGGCATATTCGACGCTTGCAGATATGATTCATCATGTTCGCGATATGCTAACACTCGCGCAGGTGAGCATTATCGTGAATTTTTACGGCAAACGAATTCATGATTCAACGCTTCCAATCTCCATACAAACGACTAGCATTCGTCTGCTGCTCAATCTCGTCGACATTAGTGCAAAGAATGAGGACGCTGACGCATGGAAAGGCCGCAATATTCTGTCACGCATATTGTTAATTATATCGGGAAAGTTTGGTACGACACTAGCGAACCTGCCTGCAGCTCTCGCCACAACACAACGCAGTAAGTCCAGCGGGGATCGATGCGACTTGTTGGAAGGAGGTGCCATGGATAAAATCAAACAGTCTAGCCTGCTGCCAAGGGACGTAGTGCAGAAAACGCAATACGAGAGAAAGTTGGAGGCTCTATTGTTGCCGCATATGCGTGTTCAGCGTCCGGCAGATTCTGCCTTAGAGGAAGAACCAAGTATTCGTGACGTGAAGTCGCTGTTGCGCACAATGACCCTTGGTATCCGGGCTGTTATTTGGTGCACAGCTAATTATCGAAATCCACATGCTAAGGATCTATCCACCGTTGACGCCAACACCACAGATGGAAGCAGTTTGATTACTCCATCGACTTCACAGGGGATCCATGCTGGCTTGAACGCGCACTCTTTCGACGTGGTGGGGAGTTCACCTGGTCGGGTATCTGGAAGCAATCATGTGTATCCACTGACTGATGATGAGCGCTTGCTTATCGCAAAAGTGCTTCGAAATGGACTGCGTTGTTTTATTCTGTACACATTATCGGAAAACACGCTTTCAGAGGAAAAACAAATGCTGGATCACTTTGCTGGTGCATTTACCGTATTGGAGGCAGCAGATTTCCGTGATCTTTTTATCTCGAATATCCAGCTACTCTACGAGTGTATCCTCCAGGACCATGCCATTCTGACGATTCCCCAGCATTTCTTGGCTAACTCGAATGTGAGCTGCTGGTTTGCTGAGATTCTACTGAAATTTTTAATTACGCAGATGGAGGACCTGAGTGTTGAGGCAGAAGGAGACCTTCCTGACACCAAACGACTGGAAAAGATTATGACTATTGATAATCTAGAGTTTGAGAAAATGCGCCGCGTGCCTCAAGTGCATCGTGCTTCCATTGTGCTTCGGCTATTCAAGATTGTCTTTGGCTCGGTCACATTATTCAAGTTGAACGAGTCGGCGCTGTTTCCACATTTGCGCACGATTATCGAGTCGTGCTTAAAGCAAGCGACGTTTACTAAACACCCCGACAACTATTTGCTTTTGCTTCGCGCCCTGTTCCGATCAATATCAGGCGGCAAATACGAAAACTTTTACAAGGAGGTATTTCCCTTGCTCCCGGGCGTGTTGTCTGCTCTGATGCGACTACAAAAGCACATGGGTAAACCGGCGATGCAGGAGGTACTTCTGGAGTTGTGTCTGACAATTCCTGCAAGATTGAGTTCACTGCTACAGTATCTTCCATCGCTTATGAAATCGGTAGTGCGGGCGATCACATCACGCGGAGAACTCGCGTACTTAGGACTGCGGACACTTGAGTTCTGGGTGGACAATCTTAACCCGGACTTTTTGTATCCGATCATGACGTCTCAGGACCGATTGCTTACAGAGATTATCGAGGCGTTGAACACACACCTTATTCCACCTCCGTACTCGTACGGTGAATTAGCTATGCGAATTCTTGGTAAGATTGGCGGGCGAAATCGGCAGTATCTCATGGATCCGCTGAACTTAGACTATCATGAACATTCGTTCACTGGATTAACTTTCATGTTTCAGTGGGGTGAAGAGAGAGATAATACGGATTTCGACATGAAGGGAGATGGCGTCGCTTTTTCTCAAAATGGCAAATTCCAAATGAAGATGGATGTGTTGGTTACGCAAGCAACGACCATACTTCGCACGTACCTACGAAAGTCGTCGGCAGAGCTCGATAATAGCTGCAAGACTGACTCACGGCTTGCAGATGTCGACGAGTTTGAGGAAGGTGAAAACCTAACAAGTCCCTCTATCTTGCTCGAAAAGGATGACAAGACACTTGAACTAGAGACAGAGACAATGGAAAAAATCCGCAAATCGATTTTGCAGCATAAACGATGTGCGTTTGTGTTTGTCTCTCGTGCGGCTGTAGTATCGCTCAATGTCAACGACTACGCCAATGCAGATCAAGAGAGTGATGAACATGAAATAGACGCCGATGATCTGAGCGCACAGCACGTGGAGCCAATGCGGAAGGTGATTTCGCAGGAGGCATTGCAAGCTACGCGTAAACAGCTTCTGCTGGTTTTATTTGAGACGATGGTGGATATTGACGTTGGTTTGGAGGCCAAAAAAATGCTGCAAGGTATTGCGGGTCACTTGACAGTTCTTGCCTTAACCAAGTGCTCACGGGAGCAACCAGATTTTGCTGTGCTTTCGTCGTTGCGTGCATCAACGTTGTATGCAGCAACAAGAGGCTTATCACCTGGTCGACATTTGGCAACTACAAAACGAATTGAAACGCTGCGCCAGGCAACTTATGGTACCGCAAAAATGGTGGAAGCAGATGTGACAAATGACTTCTTTTCGTTTGTGCAAGTCGTAACACTTGCGCTGAGCTCACCGGATCAACATGCTGTTGATACCGCAAAAGAGATTGTCACTTTTATTATCAAAACGGCAATTGCGCAGTTTGACTCACCACGGTCGGCTGTAGAACTTGGCGGTGCATTATTTAACAGCATGTGTGAGGTCTTTGCGCACGCATGTTACGACAAGGGAAGTTGGCGTCAGAAACTCGGAGGTGCAATCGGCATCCAGCTTCTTGTGGATTTGCTGGAGCCTCAATGGTGTCACGAAAATGAACTTACGATAATCAAGGCGTTTTTCTTCGTCCTTTCGGATCATCCGCCAGAAGTGAGTGTGACTGTAAGTGCTGAGATCGGTGAGGCGCTAGTGAAGATTGTAAAGACAGCTTGGAGAGCTCGGTTGGGGTATGTGGACCAGCTTGGCGATAATGGTCAGAAGAAAAAAGATTTTTTGTCGTGTATTGCCTTCCAGGATACGGAGGTGTTCCAGATGTTTGTCGTGGAATTTCTTAGTGCAAAGGCACCAACACGACGGTTTGCGAAACGCTGTATCGCCACAGTGGCATTACTACAAGATACGAGTGCTTCAGCGCTGCTGTATCCGTACAATCAGCTGATCAGTAAACAGATTACTGGGTGTAATCTTCGCATGCTGCCTAGTAACACTAGGACGGGTTTTGTGGATGCTATGGCGTACGCACTGTCGCTCGATCCACCGATCTTTTCGCTTACAAAAGAGATAATGATGTTTCTTCAGGAGGTATGGAAACTAATCTCAGAGGATTCACAGCGCGATGGAGTGACGATGATCGGGGCTGAGAGTCCCGGTAAGGTAGGAGGCATGGCGCCAGCAATCCCAGGTTCAGGTGTATCAGCCCAGGAGTATCCGTTTGGACTTTCACAAGCGTGTGAACTGCGCATTGCTGCTGCCAGATTGCTCCGAGCAGCCTTTCTTGCAGCGCCCCACGATCTGAATCAGCATCCTGAGTATCGCAATCGTTTCGTGGGTGTGTTCTTTCGATATCTGACGGGCCAGCCTCCAGAGCTGGTGCAAGTAGCCCAAGACGCGCTACTGGACGTCATCCAGCTGAACAAGCAAAACAAGGATGTGTTTTTACCGAAGGAACTTCTGCAGCAATGCTTACGACCGGTACTTCTTAACCTGGCTGATTATCGGAAACTTAACCTACCGCTGCTCGAAGGACTGTCACGTCTGTTGACACTATTAAGCAGCTGTTTTAACGTGACACTTGGAGAAAAGTTGCTAGAACATCTGAAGCAGTGGCGGGATCCAGATCGAATTATTAAAGCAGGAATTTGGAAGGGTGGTGAAGAACCCGCTGTAGCAGCAGCAATTGTGGATCTTTTTCACTTGCTGCCTCTTAATGATGCGTTTTTGAAGGCACTGATTAATTGCGTGGTAGATCTTGAGGCCGTCTTACCGAAGTATGGAAGTTACGGGAAAATGAGTTCGCCATACCGAATCCCACTGACGCGTTTCTTGAATCGCTACGCGTCCATGACCGTATCATTCTTTCTTAAGCGTGAGCATTTGGTTGAAGTAAAGTATTCGTCACTCTTCCAGCAACTTATTAAGCTACCAGAGGCAGCTCCTCTTCGCGCGGTCATTATTGGTGACGGTGGAATCGAGTCAGTGATTGAGGCAACATTTAATGCAGCGCTAAAGCTAAACGCTTCTGGTTTTGGGGACACGAAAACGGGTGCGGATGTGTTAGGAGATGCAAAGGTGCAGACTCAAGTCCAGCTGAATGCACAGAAAGCGGCGACACAGGCTGCTGTGACCGCGCAGGCTCAAGGGATGACAGTATCCGCAGCGGAGGCTCGTGGAGAACAAGCTCGTGCGGCATACGTAGTAAAGGCTCAGTCCCAAATGAACGCTCAACAAGCTTTAAAGGTGCAGTCTCAAGTGCAGATTCAAGCCAACGCTCAAAAACTGCATGCACAGACCCTAGCAGCAGCACAGGCGCAAGGTTTGTCGTTGGTACAAGCCCAGGCAAAAGCTCAGTTCGCCAGCAAAGACTACATCGCTAAAGCTCAAAGTCACATTTCATCTGTAGCCGTGCAAACGTCGTTGCCAAGTCCGGCAATAAGCGCACTTGTCACGCAGCAGCAAGCAAAGCAGCTGCAAGCCCAAATACAAGTAAATGCGCAGAAGGTCCATGCTCAAGCCCTCGCGACGGCACAGGCACAAGGATTGAAGCCAACGCAAGCGCAGGAAAAGGCAAAACAAGCCCAAGCAACATACGTGCATCGTGCAAATGCCCAAGCACAGGCGAAAATCGCTCGAGCTCAAAGTCAAGACCTAGCATCATCTTTGGTATTGGGCAGCAGCTCAACTGCAGTCATTGGTGGGCCATTCGCATCCAAGACTCAGCAGGAGGCGCTGGAGCTGCACTACCAAGGGTTGCGGCTTATTCGGTCAATTTGCAAGCTACATCCGTCGTGGTTGGCGTCACAGATGCTGATAATCGATTGTTTACGGAAACTTTGGCGATCGCCAGCACGTGTTCAGCGGCTCATGGCACATGATCGGCTACCTATCAAGTTTCATCTTGAGTCTAAATGGCTTATCAAGTGTTTAATCATTTACAGTCGTGTTAAACAAGACGACGTCCAAGTGTTACTGGACATGCTGTCGGTCTTCCTGCACCGGACACCTTTCGACTTCGGTTTTCTACAGACGTTCTATCGTGAAGAAGTTGCAACCAAGTACAGCACTGCAAACAAGCGGAACCTCGTTCGATTGTTTCTGCGCATGCTTCGTGACACTGGTGCGTCCGAGGAGCTGAAGGTACATGCTGTTCAGTTGTTAATAATGCCTGTTTTAACCACATCGTTCGAGGATCCAAGCATTAACAATATCGACGTGATGGACCTTGATACCGTTATGTGGATGTTACGGGAGATTCTGGCGAGCAAAGATTATCCACCTGATGTGATGCAAAGTCTTCGAATCGAGTTGCTCAAGCTAGGCACTTTACTCATCCAGCACATGAGCAAGTACGTAACGGACCACCGAAAGGAAGTGATTAAGTTTGCGTGGAATCATTTGAAAGCCCACGACCTGACATCCAAACTCTGGGCGTACGTAAACGTGTGCCGGTTTATCTCAGTGTACGATACCCCGCCCAAAATTGTTTTGCAAGTCTATGTGGCACTATTGCGTACACACGAAATGGACGCGCGCTTTCTCGTGCGCAAGGCGTTTGACATTCTCTTGCCGGCTTTGCCAAGCCGCTTGCCGTCGAACGAGTTTATCAAGGCCATTAAGTGGACGAAGAAGATCGCTTACGAAGAAGGTCATGTACTCGGACAGCTTGTGCACATTTGGTTCTTAATCGTTCGCCATCCAGCTTTGTTTTACCCGTTCCGCGGTCAGTTTGTTCCCCTCATGGTGAACTCGTTGAACCGTTTGGCAATCCCTCCGAGTAGTACGCCAGACAATCGTAGGCTTGCGGTGAATATTGCGGATTTGGTTATTTCATGGGAGCAAACGCGTCAAGCTCGACTGGCGATGCGGGGTGGGCCAAAAGGTACAAGCCCTGGTGGAGAGCTAAAGCGAACTTTGCCCGCAATGAGCGCAGCAACAGTAGAAACTTTGGACGCTCATGTCCTGAAAAAGCGGAAGATTCTGACAACTGAAGGGTCTTGCGCATCGAATACAAACACACTTGTTGTCCAAACAAGTGAAGACTCGAGCGGGCGAGGAACTGGTTCTCTGCAGATTCAAGTTCCAACGCAAGCTTTGATTGCTGGAATTGGCCAGCAGCAAGGACAAGTTTTGGCATCGCCATCGTTGGAAGCAAATCGCGTGGCGAGCAACGAGGACGACTTTGAGCTGAGTGGCGCTATGGTGGATCTGGTGATCAACTTTGCTTTTCGTTTTGCTCTTGCGTCTGCGGACAAGCAGGAAACAAGTCGATTAGCAAAAACGTGTGGTGAATTGTTCGACAAAGCACTTCGATTGTGGCCGTCCGCGTCCATCCGGTTTTCCTACTTTGACAAGCTCATCGCTGTTACTGCAGAGACAGTGATTCGACAACAGCAACAATTGCAGGCTAGTGTGAACGCTGTTGCTACCGATTCTGGAGGAACAGGACAGCAAGTTTCGGCTCCGGCACCATTGCCGCCGACAGTGATGCCCCCATTCTTTGATGTTCCGAAAGGCGCGCCCCTATCGTCGCCGGCAATTCTAGATGCCGTCCTGGGTATCTTGAATTCGTTGGTCACCCCCGAGGTCGTTTCGATGTCTAAACGTCCGATACAGTATGTTATCCAGTACGCGCCACGTATAATGAAGTTGCTCGAGCCTTGTTTTGATCGTCAAAACCATGAAATTCAAGCGAGTCTGACGAAGTTTCTACGTCGAATGACAGAGGTACGTGATACACCATTTTTGTTCGTAAGCATATGTCATGTCGAATGCAATTACTTACATACTATGCATTGCTATTGCAATGGCTTGCTTCATTTGCTAGTTGTATCCGCCATCCCGCGCACCTCAACCTTTGGTTGCGTGCAAGTTCTATCCGTGGCTTCGCGAGATTATCAACGAGCGTATTGTGAATGCGGCGATGTATCAGCAAGACTTAAATGCGGGCAGGACAGGCTTGCCTGGGGGATCGAACTTGCTTGCCTCTAAGACTAAGGGAAAAAACGTAACACAGAGTGTGACAGGACCGAAACCTAAAAAGGGAGGATCAAGCAGCAATGCTACAGTGGGCCATAGCCACGCCGCCGGCAAGCAGCAGCAGAAGGACCCGAGTGACATCAACCCATTAATCAACCACGAGGCAGCACGTATGCGCTTGCTATTCTCACAACATCCTCGAGCTGTTGTGTCACCTTCGAGCTACCCCGGCGAGTTTACTTTAAAGCTTCTGAGTGGCTTGGCTGAGACTACGCCAGATTTCGTGGATCACTTTGCTGCAGCACTGTTAAAGCTTGCGCAACGATTTACGCGTGAGCATTTGATTCAATCAGCTTCAGAAGGAAGTGGAGGTGCTTATGGTGGGAAACACGGAGGAAGCAATGGAACAGCAATTGGCGTCGAAAGTGGACAAGCTGTTGTGGATTCGTTTGGACGAAACCGAGTGATGGCTACACCGTCGTTAGCAATTGTAAATGAATGGAATCAAATGCAGGCAGGACGATCCAACTTAGCGGTGAACAACATTGTGCGACATGTCGTGAAGAAGCGCGAGGTTTCGGGTGAGAAGTCTGCGTCCAAGAAGAAGGGTAGTGCCAATGATCAGTTTTTAGGGAGTGAAATGGCGAAGACGAAAGTGGGCAGCACGATGAAAAAGAAGATGGGGACTAGTGCAAGCAGCACCTCAGCGCGAAGTGGGTTTGTTGATGGTGGTAGCAAGAGGCCAATTGGACTCCTTGTCTTGTGCTACGCTTTATTGGCAAAGTGCAGTTTCCCATCGAGCGAGCACCGTCGCCTTTACACGAATTTGCTGGTGCACTGTCTTGAAGGGTCATTTAACATCCCGCTTTTGCTTCAAATTACGAGAATTGTTGCTAAGATGGTTGCATCTACTGATACTCATCATCAGATTTTGACGACTAAAGATAAGATGACTTTGCTGAGCAAGATGGCGACATTTGATCGGCTGAACGAAATCTCTGCTATTCCTTTGAATGAGGAGTATTATCGATTGGTAATCAAACTCTGTGAGCACCCACCAAGCGAATTGAAGACCCAAGCCCCTGTGTTGCATCTAAGCCCAACACCACAGAGTCACAGCCTTACTTCTCACTTTATCGCGGGTTTACTTGCTCCAGATCCAGCTACACGAGAGAAGTTCCTGAAGATTTTCTTCACAGCTACCGGCCCAGGGCCAGTTGCACGGGTACAACTTGTGCTGCGTCAGGATTGGCAAGCTTGCGGAACCAGATACTGGCCCGTGATTGCGATTGAAACGCTAATGGCGGCACTCTCACCGACTGCGTCACCATCTGTTTCCACTGTGCGAAGTCCAACATTTAGAGCGACCACAACCTCAGCAAAAACTTCAGCAAAAACTTCTACTCATTCTGAGTTCCTTAATAGCTACGGGCAGGTGAAATCATCAGAACTGATTTCAAGCTTGTGCGACTTGGCACATATCGATTTGGAGCTAGCCAAGGAGTTGTGGGTGAATTTGTTCAGCGCAGTATGGGAATTACTAAAGGAGTCGGATCAAGTGCAGATGGCGAGCCAACTGCTGAAGATTCTGGCGTCAAAATACAACAAGCGCGACCTAAATGTGCCACTTGGTGCGTCGACTCCTCGCCGCACAAATGTGGTACAAACCCTGATGAAAGGTATTGTGAGCACAAGGTCCAGTGCGCCAGTGATGACACCCGAACTTGTTCTGCACATTGCATCAGCCTACGATGTCTGGAGCTACGCTTTGAGGCTTTGTGAGTTTCACGTAGAGAAATCGAACCAGAGTGTTGAGACCCGACTGCGATGGATTGAAGCCCTCAGTACTATCTACAAACAGCTAGGTGAGGACGATCTTCGAGTTGGATTAAGTTTCGAAAATGTAGCGCAGCCGGAGACACGCACAGCATTGACTTTAGAAGCGCTCGGCTGCGTCCACGAAGCGCAGGAGGAATATTTCCGTGCTCTTTCTAGGGCGCAAAGCGGGCGAGCGAGTATTGAGGATGTAAACCTGTTCGAGTTAAGATTGTGGGAGGAGCGCTGGGTGGGGTGTGCAAGGCAACTGTGCCAGTGGCAGCTCATGAATGACTTTGCCAAGTCGACACAGAATCAGGAATTGCTGCTAGACTGTGCGTGGAAACGTGGAGACTGGTCTTCAGCGAAACAATTGCTGCTATCGCCATCAATGCAGTCCTCAACGGAGCTGGGATGCCCGCAGACCCGTCTACAGCGTTTGTACATTTCGATTCTTGATGCAGACAAACACAGTGCTATCGATACTCTTGCCGCCCAGACTGCTGAGCTTGCGCTGCATCAATGGCAAGGACTACCACGTATCCTTTCTCGTGCGCATTTGCCGCTCATGCACCTCTTTCACAAGTTTGTAGAGGTGAAAGAGTCGATCCAGATGATGGAAGACATTAAGTCCGCAAGTACACAGCACGCGGCACTGCCAAACCTAAAACCGTCCATTAATACATGGCGAGAGCGCTTGCCGAACAAGTGGGAACCCATTCTTCTTTGGGACGATATTCTAACGTGGAGATCACACATGTTCCAAGTGGTCAAGACTACGTTTTCGTGGAGCGACGCGCAGGTGCTTGCTTGCATGCACGACAGTCCGTGGTCAGTTATCAAACTTGCGCACACAGCACGCAAGCAGCGACTGCCCGATGTCTGTCTCGGTGCTCTAGCCAAGTTGTACTCGGTTCCTGCCATGGACGTACAGGACGCCTTCTCAAAGCTGCGTGAGCAAGTAAGCATTTGCTACGAGAGTGCTACGGAGTATTCAGGCGGACTTAGCATTCTGAACACAACTAACCTGGATTACTTCAGCATTCGGCAGAAGGCGGAGATGTTTCGGCTGAAAGCGCTTTTCTCTGAGGCACAGGGATCTCTTTCGGAAGCGAACCAGACATTCTCTCATTGTTTGCAAATTTGCGATAGTTATGGCAAAGGATGGCTTTCGTGGGGGCACTATTGCTATCGGTTATTCCTCCTGCGGAAAGAACTTGCTCTGGCCTCACAAACGATTGCGTGCTACTTGCAGGCTATTCACCACCGGTGCAATTCAGCACGTCTAATGATTGCGCGTGTGCTCTGGTTGCTAAACATGGATGACCGACATGGAGTACTTATTCAGGCTTTCGAGACACATGGAAAGCAGTTGCCTATTTGGATTTGGATCATTTGGATTCCGCAGCTACTAATGGCGCTCGGACGTCCGGAGGCGCCCCAAATCAGAGGTTTGCTGCGTGGCCTCTCAGCCAAATTCCCTCAGGCGCTGTATTATACAATGCGAGCTTTTTTTCTGGAAAACCGTGACAACGCACTGATGCTTGCCAACCAACACCAGCCATCAGTTGCAGCGAGCTCAATGGGCGTGTCGCCTTCTGCAAGCGCAACCTCTCTGTCTGGAGGGGCGTGTATGTACTACAGAACGAAGTCGGGACATGTTGTAGGAATTCCTGCGACTATGTCAGTTGCTCAAGTTCAAGAAGTTCCAGGACTCGTTGGTCCACCTCGCCTAACACCCGCAGCATTCAATGCAACACCTGGTGTCGTATTGTCACTGGATGCATGGGCTGAAAGAGTTCGCAGCAACGGGAGTGATGGACAATCGCTGAAGGCTGAAGTCGGCCCCGTGCAATACACTGAGGACTTGTTGAATTTTTTGCGTAGATCGCACGACTCCCTTACGTTTGAAATGGAATGTATGCTGGAAGAGATGATTACTCGATTCCGTCCAGAGCCGGAAGAAGAACTTCTCACAGCCGTTCACGCACTTCTACTGAAGTGTTATCAGCTTCCAAGATTGACGAAAACTGAACCTGTGCCGAAAATGTTGCGTGCAGCACTTGCGAGGGTGTGTCGCAAGCTTTTTGTATTGCTTCCACACCAGAAGAATGAAAACCACGAGGCGTTTGTGGAGGAGTTTAAGGATGCATTCGAACGTGATTTTACCCTGCTTGGGAATGACGACGCACCTCAGCAAGACAAATCGGCTACAACTCTTTACGAGATAATGAACCGCTTAAAGCGGTGGAAAAGTTTATTACAGTTGCGTGTAAAAAAGGCAGGCAAACGGAACGCTGGTAAGCTGTACCTGGAGCGATGCAGTCGTCACCTGATAGAGCTCAGCAGTTCAATCATGGAGGTTCCGGGACAGTATGTCTCGGATAGTGAGCCTATAAAGGACCTACATGCACGCATTCAGCACTTTGAGAGTACCGTAGATGTGCTGCTGCGCAACGGATTTACTCAGCGACGCGTAACCATGGGTGGTAGCGACGGCCGAGCTTACTATTTTTTGGTACAGTATGCGATGACACATATTACCCGCACAGACGAGAGGATGATGCAGATGTACCTACTGTTAAATCGGTTGCTGTTACGCCACAAGGAGACCAAGAAGCGCAACACGATTTTTCATGTACCAATAGTAATTCCTCTAACGCCGCGGGTCCGGCTGCTCGAAGACAACCGCGACTTCGTCACGCTTGGCGAAATCTACGAACTAGATTGTCAAATTGAAAACAAGGACCCAGACATCCCATGGGAGCTGTACCGCGATCGTGTTAGCGAAGCATTCGCAGCGGCAGGAACAGAGAACGACACGAGCGTGCAGGAGGAGAGACGTGTCGCGCAGGCTAAAGCTCGTGCTTTCCACGAGATTTGCAGCGAGCACGTACCAGAAACCCTCTTGGCTAAGTATGTGCACGGCATCTCGGCGCACAGCGACGCGTACTTTCAGTTTCGCAGCGAATTTATAAAGCATCTGGCACTATCAAGCTTCCTGTCATATGTACTCTTTGTTGGAGACCGTGCACCCCACCGCGTGCTCTTCTCACGGCGTACAGGTCGGGTGGTGAGCACCGAATTACGTCCTGGATATGCAAGCAGCGGAATTTTGGAGGAGGCGACGACGATGCCTTTCCGCCTTACGCGCAACCTTTACAGCTTCATGACACGCTCGGGGGTGCAGGGACCATTTAGTCTCGGGATGACGGCCGCTGCAGAGGCTTTTATGAGTGAGGACATCTTGAGCAACCAGTTGTGCCTTTTCTTTAGAGATGATTTGCTGTCATGGCACGCGTCAAAGACTCGACTTCTATCTTTTGATTCGCAAGCCGTTGGACGTGCATCGTCGCCTAGTGCATCTCCTCGTCCGGCGTCGCCGGCATTGACACAGCGCCGTGTGGAGTCTCAAGTGCAGCAGCGCGTAGAAGCAAATGTGAGTCTCGTGCTAGAGAGGATTCGCGGAGTGTCGCTGAAGAAGGCAAGTGGCGAATCTTCGCGAGGCAGGAGCGTGCAAGAACTGTTGGATATTGCTACCAGCCCGGAGCGTCAACGAGAAATGTATCCTACGTGGTCTCCGTGGCTGTAAGTCGCAGAAGAAGTAACAATCACGTAGCTTTCGTTCGTTTGACAAAGCCATCTTGTTACCACTAAAGATGGTCTCGGAAGCTCGCTACTGACGGACCCATGTAATGGCAAGGGCAGAAGAATCTCGTCTCTTTTGCCAGTCCAGCTTCATCCGTTTAACTCTTTATAAGAGGCACACCACATCAGAAGAGCGACAAACTGCCTGGTTTACATTTTCACAAATATGTCCCAGTCGTCAGATACGAAGCAAGTACGGGTCAAGTGATCTACAAGTACCAATGGGCCCAGTTTACACTTGCCCATCCGAAGAAATACTACGTGCAAACTTTGTCGGATGCTCATGCCTGGACGCACCAACCTGGAAGACAGACAGCCAAAGATTAGCTTATTGCACATTGAGATGGCAATCGATTCCGCAACTTACCCCAATCGGTGAGAGGACTCAAAACCCACAACTGTGGCTGCAGCACCATTCTTCCGACCTATACCGTCTTCGCTTTGTGTTGGGAGCACTAGCGTCAAGTCAAAACTGGTGTGCGCCGAGCGATTCGTCACCGTCGCACACAATTCAGCTGCATCCCCAATCGATAAGCTGGATGCAAGTGGTGCAATGATCGTCTGCAACGCCGAGTCCGGAAGAAGGCGCACACATTTGAAATCAGCAAAGGAGTTTCCACCTTGCTTGAAGTGTCCTTCTACTGCAAACATCACCAGCTTTTGTAAATCGGTCTGTGCCTCGTGCTCGCCACTTAGAAGCGAAGAAAACGAGTGTGAGGGTGCCTTCGGAGACCAAACGATTGTATGAGTTTCTGTGGTAGCATCCATGGAAACATTGTTTGCTTGCCAGGACAGTGTCAACAAAGCAAGCTGCTGAGTAGATGCCGTACAGCGATGTGATGACTCAACTTTCTTCTGCACCGTGGTTGTCAATGTCATCGTCGTCGCTTGCTTATTGTCATCAGGTGCTCCGAGTGGCTCTTCAGACACCATAACCTCTACTGGCTCCAGTACGAAGAGGAAGTTATAGCGCTCTTGAGGTTGTAATACAACTGGAAACGACACCCTGTCGCCACGCACGATACGGAAGCGTCTCACCTCTTTGCTTAACGCATTCTGTGCTTGTAAAGATTGGTCCAGATAAAGATGTAAGTCTTTCACCGTCAACCCCAACGTTGAGTGTGTATTCAACACTCGAGCCAGGACCCCCACACGCCGTTCAGCCAACTCACGGATCTTGATCTCAAGCTGCAACGGCTTTGTGACGACAATGCGCTGCTCGACACGACGTGTCATCAGCGGCATCGGCTGAGCTTCTTCTCGAGTAAGTGAAAGCAGATCGCTCACCCACTCATCTCGAAGCAGCAAAGCTTCTATAGGCTCTCTTGATCCAAACTCCAGCGGCTCGGGACCATTAACCCCTTGAGCAAGACGAGCAACACCAATCTTTGGTGTCATGTGCACAGTCAGCAGCACTGGTCGGTCCAGGAACTCGTGACCAATGTTCAAGTCAAAGTGAGCTGTTAGCGCCACGACTGCTCCAGCTTCACCCTCTAGGTGATCCACCGAGACGTGAAAAAATTGTGTTTCCTGCCGAAACAAAGTGGCCGAGGATGGAGTGAAGCTGGTCGCGTGAGAGTCCGTTTTGGGGACCTCTACGACTTGAATATGGACACGAGCACCTTGACACTGTTCCTGCCAACGTTGCAGCAATTGATTAGTAGTTTCGAGCCCCTCAATGTTGGTATTTGAAGCTGTAGAACCACCACAAGATAGCAACACGTCCGCAAACACTTGCATGTGTACAGTCTCCCCTAACGATTGCAATACAGCACGTCACTAGATGCAAACCACACCCCAAAGTGCACCATTATTCAGCTTATACAATGACATGTACTTACCTTGAAAGAGCTCTTCGTGGCGAAGATGTAGCCGCAATCGTGCGCACCTCCATTCCTCACTCCATACTTTCATTGTATCAGAGTCCTATCAGTGTCAAAAGTTGATAATGGTTGACAATAAGTGTCTCGCTCAATTGATGCTTGGCATTTTTTTTCCTTATGGTCGCAACGCGCCCCCCACACCCGGGCGAACTAACTAAGCTACACAGCACTTTATATCTGCATGATTGAGCTGCCAAGTTCAAAATCAAATATACTTTAACTTGTTTCTCGCTCCAGCCTCCCTTCCTTCCACTTTCATCTGCATCGTCAGTACTTTATCTCCTCTTTCATCCGTTTTAGTATCTCCTGGGGCTGTTGCAACGCTTGCTATCCATCGTCAACACCGAGTGGAAGCGCTTTCTGAAGCAGCACACGTTCGCTCATTACGATCAATCTGCTGATCATCCTACAGGAAATAGTCTGGAGCTGGCTTCTTGGCAGGCACACCACGTGCATCTTGCGGAGCCGCTTCGAAAATCTGTGCACAGCCGTCGTATTGAACAAGAAAATGAGTTGTGATCAGTTTCTGATACATAGTCTCGCCTCTACGTACCTTGAACCGCTGCTCCAAGTTCTCGTCAAGCTCCAAGATAGCCGCGACATTGCCGCATCGGTAGCAGTAGTTGGGCGCTGACCAGACCGTCACCAGTGCGTTGTTGAACATGGACTTGTGCCCTTCCATGACTAGCTGATGTGCTCTGCATATCAGCTGAATATCGTTCGTCTGGTTGAACTGTAGCATCACGCCAACGTTCAAAAAATATCAGCAATAGATCACAAAAAACTATCAACAAGTCTGTCCAGCTAGAAGCATGTTTTCTTCACCTTCTCCACAACGTCACCACCAAACAAATATCCAGCACCGCGAGGACTGAGTCCCCAACCATCAATGTCCTCCGGATCGGACCACATAAGGTCACACATTGCACCGTCATGCGGGACTTCCTGTTTACGATCAATGATACGAATCTGATCCAACGTGTTGATCGACGGTGACAGACCACCGTGCACACAGAAGATTTTGTCCTCGATAATAGCTGATAGACTTAAATAATCAAAGATTTCCGTGCAGTATCGCCACACATTCACCGAGCCATACTTGCGTAGACACTCATCATAAAAGCCATAGACTTGTGTAATCTGACGACTCTCATGGTTGCCACGAATGAGCGTAATACGGTCCGGGTATCGCACCTAAACCATCACGTCAAAAGTTATTTTCTCTCCGTCTCTTTCTCTCTCTTTCTCTCTCTCTACTGATCTTCAACAAACCTTGAGTGCAAGTAACAATAAGAACGTTTCCACACTGTAAAACCCACGGTCGACAAAGTCACCCATGAAGAGGTAATTCGTCTCGGGACATTCACCTCCAACATTGAATAACTCTTTAAGATCATAAAATTGACCATGGATGTCACCACAAATCTGTCATTTTTTATACATTGTCAAAACAAATAAATTAAACTCTTTTTTTTCTACCATTTGATTTTTATATATATATAAAAGAAATATATGCACGGCCTCTGGTTTGTTTTGTTTGTTTTTCCTCTTCTTACCGTTACGGGGGCGTCAATACGCTGTACATTACTCTCATCTACGAGAATCTCACGTGCCTTTTGACATAATGCTTTCACTTCCGACTCCTTTAGGTATTCACAACGCTTAAGTTGCTCAATCTGTCGATCCAATTCGCTCTGACTTGTCGCCATCTCTTTTTCTATTGGCAATTGAGTGCCTTGTCTTTCTTACCCACCACGTCGACCGGTCGTTTTTAGACTAACATATCGCATGATAAAACCTATGGAATCGAATAACGCCAACAACATGGATACATTTTCAGGCAGGACACGATCACTTGGCACGTTTTAGCTACCAAGAACTTGCGTCGCTAGCTCTTCTTGGGTGAATTCATGGCATCGAGTGGATCCTTTACTTTCTCCATAAGTGTAGCCAATTTATGCTCTGTCTTCTTCCGCTTCATCTGTTCTTCACGGATCCAGCCCATGTACAACTCGTTTAGGCTCTTCAATTCGCGTTCCAGCTTCAAGCGACGTTCCTTCTCGTGACTCAGCCAGTCATTCACATCAGCTGCGGCAACTGCTTCTTGCAACGCAGGCACATTATTCTCTTGACTCGTGCCGTCCAAAGACGCTCGGGACTGCAGCACTTGGCGGGATGACAGTTCCACTTGAAGCGATGCCTTCTTGCGGAGCCAAGCACGCTTTATGCGATTCGCTTCAACTACCGTAGCTGGCGTGTCCGGGACGAACATTTCCACGCACACCTTCACGGCCACCATAGCATGTTCCATCAGAGCTACTGCCACGAGCAATCCGGCAAATGACATCTTCGGGAACAGCCCGTGGAGAAATCCCGAATGCAGCCCGAAGATTGCGCAGTTCGTCATCACGGACATGTAACCTAGTGCACTGAAGGCATAGAACCATGTACCAATGCCTTGCGTGGAAGTTCGATGGCTTCGGCGGAAACTGACGCAAAGCTTAAAGCCGTCACTTCGAATCTCCATGATGTTGTTGCACAGGCTCCAAAGTGACGCAAGAGGGTATGCCGCTGCGAACAGGGTCACTTGTCTACACAACCACAATATTGTACGTCAGAGCAGAGTCGAATCATTTACAAGACACACAACAATTGTGACGAGAAGGGACTTGCACACATACCCAAACTGCACAAACATCTCCAAGTAGTCATCAAAGGTTCCATCGTACGTAGGGAAGAGAAGCTCCGCGTCAACCTTATTAAAAATGGCGTCAGTGTTATGGGTTACGTTGACCAACCTTCCTTCTTCAGCCTTGAGTGACGATTGTTTACTTATGTAGGGCATAAGTTGCTCTTGAACATTTCCCAAAAGCTGTCGCGTGATCAGCAGCGAGCTCAGAGTTTGCTCCAATAGGGCCATATCGCGAGATTTGAACGCTACGTAGAACAGAAAGCCGAAGTTGTTCACGAAGTAAAACAACGCTAACTTCAGCACACGCGCGTTTGCAAACTAACAGTAAAACGACAATATCAATATGGATCCAAAATACAGCGCAAAAATGAATCGTAGCTTACATCACTCTCGGTGCGGTGGTTTTCGTACTGTGTCAGGTCGGATGCGAGCTCGGAATACTTTGAATCCACGTAAAGTACCACGATCGAGTAAATGATGGAAGGCACAAGGTATACGTATTCGTAAAAGCCATCCCACCCTGTAGCAGGAATAAATGCAACAGCAAACCATTCCTCCATCCAGCAGTAAAGCATCATAAGAAAGGTTACCACAGCTATCGCGGCCATTGTCGCCAAAATCGTCACGAAGTAACGTTTTGCACGGTCCTTTGATGAGAAGTAGATGTAGTAGCACCCTTCAACCGGATCAAATCGTTTTTCACCGACAAATTCTGTGCGGGCGGGCTCCAGAGTCATCGAATCTGAAGAAGAGATACCCCACTCATTGCGTAACGAACTCTCGTGGCGCTTCCAAAACTTGAGAAAGGCTGTTGCCCAACTCGTCACCAAGAGTGAGTACAATCCGCGGCCATACGCAGCCCAGCCCGGAGAGAAATCAAGCACAAACGTCAGCAAACCGACTGCTGCCAATGGTATCAGCCACTGCGTGTACATTCCAAGAAAGCTGAAGTAAAAGCCCACTTCGTCTCCAAAGTACGAGCGCACAGTGTTAATCGGTTGCGGTTTCGTCCAATTTTTCACCCACTTCTCAACAAGCTCACTGCGTTCCTTGTCGTCATGCAACGGAAAGTGGTCTGTCAACAATTTGGAATGCATGGCCTGTTGCAGCAGTAGACCATGCTCCTCATCCTGAAACGGCTCAGGCATTTTCACCACATTGTCTTCCGCCTTCTCACTCTGATCATCTCCAGTTGAGCAATAGTACGATGAGCGTGCTTTTAAACGCCCTAATTCAAAGAGAAGGAGATCGATTCGGTCTCCAGAACAAAAGCGCTCAGGCACAGGCTCCTCGCTCACTTCGCCATACAACGCCCGCTCCTTTTTCTCCTTGATAGCCACCAATGTAGCGTGTGTGCCGCCCAGCAAATAATACCTCTCTGTCATCCTCGTGTCTTCTTTTTTCTTCTTTTCTTCTTCGTCTTCTTCCAGCACGTTCAATGGCTTGGGAACGACGATCAAGTGGCTTTGCTTCTCCACCATTTGTATAAAAAAATCCACCGCTTCCTGTGAGTAATTTTTCGTGTTAAAGCACAGCACCACGTCCATATCATGCTCAGCATCGCCAAGTGGTGCGGTTTTCTACAATCAAAAAAGAATCTGTCAGTTGGGAGAGAATCAATCCCATGTTCTTTTTTATAGATACGCACCACGGGCGTGGCCACAATGAACTTGGCGAGCATGTAGGCACTCGCGGCAAAGCCAGCACCTCCAACAGCACCCTTGATTACTGCATCTGTTACAGTAGTTGACATTGACGCTCTCTTTGTGAGCAATATCTGGATTTTTTCGTTCTTTCGGTATTTATCCATGGATTCATTGCGACAGTATACGTATACAAAATGAGCAACATAAGGGAAGGGGGCTCTTTGATTTCTAGTCGACGAAAGGGTTGCATAACATTCTGACCAATCAGATATAGATAACGTATCTGGGTGGAGGCTAGTTAGCAAGAAAGTATATCGTAAATGCTAAAGAGACAATTTATTTTGTACCCGTATTTAGGAGATTGCGATGATTGTGTCGAGGTACTATAGGGATATAGTGAAACCAAGAGAAAAGCATTGCTGGACCAAGTTAATTTTCTTGGAACGAAAATGACAGAAATTTCTGATGCCACTCAACCTTTTGATCCTGTGACGAGTGATCTTGCCACTTCCGATGATAACACGAAAAAGTTATCAAAGCGTGCAATGCGGAAAGAGAAGCGCCGTATGGAATGGGAAGAGCGCAAACTGAAGAAAAAACACAAGCGCCAGGAGCAGCAGCGAGTGAATAAGGCAAACGGACTCGTCCTGCTTCCAAAGGAATTGGACATGAGCGAAAAGGCCGTATTGCGACGCAAAGAGCGTACAATTGCTAAGCGTGAGGCATACCTCATGGCTGCAGAAGAAGGTATCAAGGTGGTCATTGACTGCGAATTCGAGGAGAAGATGACTGAGAAGGAGAAGAAGAGTCTGTCGCAGCAGATCATGTGCGTACTCCTCATAGACACGAGGACTTCATGTAGCCAGTCTAATTATTCTGCTGAATGGTGATACCATGCAGGTTTGCATATGGTGTGAATCGACGTAGTAGAATACCCTTGAAGTATGTGTGACGGAAAAGAAGTGAGCTCGATACCGGTTAGTGGTTGTAACGTTATTTTGGTTTGATTTTCCAGCGCGTACATCACTTCGCTTCACGGAGACATTCTACAGAACCTGGAGAAAATTAGTGGCTTTCACGAGTGGCAGGCGGTATTGTTTGTATAGATTCCGGATGCTTATCTGACATGTCCAAAGCATCTTGATGATTAATCATTTCGAAAAATCTTTGCAGTTCACAGGATCGTCCAAGAGCTATATGGATATCTTCAAGAAGGAGTCGCTTGTCTATCTTACAGCTGACTCGCCTACTACCATCACAAAGTTGAGTCACGACAAGGTTTACATCATTGGTGGTATAGTGGATCGCAACCGTTTGAAGGGTATTACGTACCAAAAGGCGGTGGAGCAGGGCATTGAGACGGCGAAGCTCCCGCTCGATGCTGTCGTCGAGATGGGTTCTGCAACGCGTGTTCTGACCGTCAACCATGGTACATTACGTTGATATTTTGTTGATACGTAGGTCGAGGTCCTTCTAATACCTGTTGCTTCGCAGTCTTTGAGATTTTGGCGCAATTTTCAGAGGTAAAGGATTGGGCTCAGGCTACGTTAGCAACGCTTCCGTCGCGCAAGGGTGCTTATTTGAAGGCGGAGTAGTTGAGCGGCGCCTTCTAGACGCAAAGAGAAGCTGACCAGGTTATAATCACGAAAGGCATGGATTTTGAGTTTTGCTAAAGGGTTTTTGCAAGCCGTCAATCTACGCTCCTCTAATATTGCGCAGCGCCATTTCCAGACGTTCTTCTGCCAGCTTCATGTCTTTCACCTGCACGCACAAAAGAGATTGCGAACCAACACGGTAAGCTCAGTGTAAAAGTCAAGCTAATCAAAAGTGGGAATACCTTGAGAGCAGCGACGGCGAACTTGGCGAATTCAATTGCGTCGTTAATCTCGCTTTGTGATACAGGCGTCGTACGGGTATGAACAGAAGTTTTTTGCGGTGTATAGCTGGGAGCAGGTTGAATTGACGGTGTTGGAGCAGAAGGGGGTCTGAATGACGGAAGCGGGGCTAGCTGTGCTGGGGGTGGTGGTGGCGTCGGAGTAGCATGGGGGTGGTATGCCGAAGCTGGGGTCGAGGCCGTGGGAGCTGAATACATTGGAGCAGGAACGGAATGACTCGGTGCTGAAGGAAGGGTCGGTGGCTGCGTGGAAGAAGGTCTATGACAAATACTGTCGAGTTCGCTAGCGCTCATCGCACCAGCAGAACTCGCTGACTCGGTGCGCGAAAAAAAGAAGACTGCTCCACGGGTCGCGGTGGCGGGGAATCAGATCTCGGCATAGCTGGTGCAGCTGCTTGCGGAACAGAATTAATTGCTGTCGTTATCGGCGCTGCATCGTCGCTTGCGTTGTCAGTCTGCATGCGTCAAGAGCAAGTCAGCTTTCCATTGATTGTAAATTCATGACGAAACACACACCAACATTTCTTATGTCCATTTCTTCCGGAGAGCCAGGTGTCGGGACTTTTCCATTTTTAATCGCCTTCAATATCGTCGCAGCCTTGTATTTGCAGTACCGTCGCTTCTCCTGAACCTGAAACAGTCATCCCATCTAGCATCAGACACGACTGACCACCCACCACCGTTCCACTCCATTTACTCACATCTTCCGAAATGTCTCCAAATTGGTGCAGAATGTCAAAAAACGTGCCGGCGGCGTAGAATGTGCGAGCTGTACTCCTACACCAACCAGCGACAATATATCGGTTATTAACTTTACACACCATCAAAAATCGCCCACAATTTCCCATGCTTCAGCCATGAACACATACTTGGTTGCTATGCCTGTGCGGTCTTCATCGTCCGCCTTCGAAAAGATTTCCATAGCAAAATCCTCACAGATTTCCTGTCATTCAAATAGAGCGACCCAAATCGAATTCAGCACCACTGCCAAGGAACATACCTGATTGACCAACCCACTAACCTTTCCTTCCTCTTGTGTAAATTCTGGTAGCTTTTCTTTTTCGCCCTCGAGGCGGTCCATAAGTGACAGCAAATAATCTGTTGCTTCGTTGGATGTATCGTTCTCACGCAGCTTTATACCAAGCTCCATCGCATACTGGCGACAAAAGTACGCAATGAGCTTTGACTCGGGGCGTGACGTGTCCCTATCTAGCTCCTCGGCACGTCGAATGAACGGCAAAAGCGTCTTGAACGTCGGTGGCACCTTTACAGGCTGCGGATCAGTCATCGTTCTTTTCCTCAGGTTGAAACTTGTAGAAGAAAAAGTAGGAATATGAAGTAAATATACACGTAAAAATCCAGTGTCGATTTGGATAGTATCCGACAGAAATTCAACGATAAAAATTAATATCCCCCCTATATTGCAATCATTTTTAGCTTTTTAACTGCTGCAGTGGAGCAGGTAGTGGTTCTGTCGTGACCTGCAGCTTTAGTAGACGCTTTTCCCCACGGCGCTGTACCTGGACAGGTATATGACGTCCGATAGTGTAGCCCACCGTTGTTAAAATGTCCTTGGTGCTACAAACCTTCTTCCCGTCGAACGAGACAATCACGTCGCCGGAAAGCAAACCTCCTTTGTGGGCTGGTGAGCCTGGGGCGACTGACTTGACGATAACACCTTCCTTCACGCCCGGAAACATCCGGCCGATCTCTTTCAGTTCTCGGGAGTTGAAGTTAATCATCTGCATGCCAATGTACGGACGCACCACCTTTTTGTGCTTACGCAGCTGCTCAATTACTTGGACTGCCGTATCAGCCGGAATGGCAAAAGAAATGCCCACGCTTCCATACACTTGCATTGTGTTAATGCCAATCACCTCACCGTCCAGATTGATAAGCGGACCGCCAGAGTTTCCAGCATTGATGGCCGCATCCGTCTGGATGTATTCGCCACCTTTCTGCGGGTAGCCCAACTCGCTGCTGTGTCGAGCTACAGCACTGATGATGCCAGCACTCACGCTGTTTTGCAAGGAAAATGGGCTGCCGAGAGCGCACACCCACTCGCCAGCCCGCAACTCAGACGATGATGCGATTGAAATCATAGGCCACTCTTGCACTTCGTCAGATTTAATCTGGAGAAGAGCAATGTCCGAAAGAGGATCCGTGCTGTGAATGACAGCAGGGTGGTTGCTGCCATCGGCGAACGTCACCTACGGACAAGGCCAAAAAGTCTGTAAAAACAAAGTTGACTTGACCACAATTACAGTTGCAGACTTACCTGGATCTTGGAGTAACGATTGCATCGCGCGACAACGTGAGCATTTGTTACAATCAAACCTTCCTTCGAGATTATGAAACCCGATCCATTGCTACCAACGTATCCTGCAAATTGACATAGTACAAACAGTATAATAGTATCACAGCGCAAAGTTAGATCACGAAAGGATTGAAACGCATGTGGTTCATTGCTCACCTGAATCCACAGCAACGTTCACAACGGCAGGAAATGCTTTCTCCACAGCATCAGCAATAAAATTTCGCGACAGTACGTTGTTATATTTCGATCGTGACTCTAATAGCGTCTTCTCTTCTACAAAAATACGTGAAAAATCAACACAAAACGCCAACTGACTGCCTTTGTCACTCGATTATACTCGCCTCGTGTATTGTAGCTAATGATCGCTGCTACCGCCAAACCAGCGCCAGCGACAACATAGCCAGCAGACAAAAACGAAGCTGGTTCAAACCGGCGAGCATCACCATTGGCTTTGTAGCTTCGGAAACGCTGCGCCCCGACGCGGCGAGCTGCAACACGCCAAGAGCTTCGCCACATTTACGACAAAATAATATTTTGCGCTACATCCGTTTAAAAATTGACCAATCATCGAGACGAATGACTCAATATAATAAGTCCCATATGTGTATGCACAGCTTTTATATCACAGAAAGTATTAGTCTCGTATATCTAATTTAGTTCAACTCAAACTCTCTTTTTATCGTAGATGTGACTATAAAATGAATTGATTGTAGCGTGCATAGTGTGCACTTTATGTATCTAACCGGGCGTCTTGTCTTACATAATGTTTGCTATCAGTCCTACTACAACTGCGACGACACCAGCAACGGAGACCGTGCAGAACGAAGCTACTGACGTCGATTTGATTTTGTCTCCGGCTGCACTGGCCATTTCATCGGCTTCACTGGCCGCTTCGTCCACTGTATTGGTCACTTTGTCGGCTGTAGAACTGAGGCCGCTTGCCGCGCTATCGAGCGCCTTGTCGGCGTGATCGACCGCTGCTCCACCAGCGCTCGACACGCTGTCGACAGAACTATCGGCCCAATTACCCGTCGCATGTGATGCGTTTGTAGCAGCACCTGCAACCGTGTCAATAGCGCCATCAATCCAACTTCCAGCCTTATCAACGGCAGGGCGAGTTTCGTGCGAAATGTCGTGAGCAATATCTTTGGCCAAGCTGCCAGCGTCATGGGCGACATGGTTCGCGCCGTCCACGACGTCCGCATTTTCGGCAGACACAACGGCAGCCATGGTAGCGATAGTAAGACAAGAAAAGTAACGGGTCATCATGACTAGAGGTTGTTTTGGTTGTTCTTTCGTATACTGGGGCTGCTCAAGATGTGTGAGCTTTGAAGCAAATGTAGGAATGACATTAGTAGAGAGCATTGACCGTGTGGCTCAAACGTATGGGTTTTACAACAGTAACAATGCGTCTAGCAGGTGAAGGCAGGAGAGACATTTGGCGCCCACGAAATCTGATGTGGACACGATTTCATGCGACCGTGCGTCTTTATTTTCAGCATTAACTAGTAAAATATGTCGGCAACTATGCATGCTTGCGCCGGTAACTTGTCGATCACTGTAAACATTTGCATACCAAAGGAAAACACCTCCTAGTACAGCAAAAACAAAGCAAGTAATGACTATGTTTTGCCAGCATTATGGAGTAAGAGTGCTCGACTTACAAGTGCACCTATAGCGTTAACATGCAAAAACAAGATAGTATCTCTATTTAACTTGTTTCAGTAGTTGACTCGTTGATACTAAGTGGATAATTTGCACGTTAACTTGTCTCTCTCTATATTTAGAGATCATGATCCCTTTCTTACCTTTTTATATCCCTCTCCTGATTGTCTACACTCAGGTAACGCTTATCTTTTCAAAATTGAGCAAACTAGTCAGTCCCTTTTACTGGCAGAAACATCCGACACTCGTTTCCTTCCTTTCCCTCTAAAACTAGGATGTATAATTTGGGAGGTGTGATACATAATTTCAATTTCTAAAATCACATTAGCATTGGTAGTAGGTGCGTGATAATACAAGAAATAGGGATCTGATGATTTCACTATTGTACGACACATTGATAGCCAGCCGTGAGAAATGAATTTCTTGCCTGACTAATTCGTTAGCTGATCAATGTTGCCTTTTTACGATAAAACGCGGCAAATTCTCTCTTTCCGTCATCTTAGAACAAACGGCTTAGATCCTCATTGCAGTCGTCCAGGAGAGACGACGCTTCATCATCTCACCCAAAACGCCTTCTTATGACAAGTGCTCAGGTCACTAAGATATATTGTTAGACTCAAGTCTTGATCTCAATTGCTCCTTAGCCGCTACTTGTGTGACTTTATCGAGCGTGTTGGCAGCGTGAACCCAGTTCTCTGACCCTCAGCAGCTACTGTAGCTTGTTTTTGACCGCACAAACAAAAAGAAAGAGCAAGAGTCAATTGTCACCCGTAGACACAAACATTAGTGCTTGCACAACCACTTTGAACACAACGATTCAATCTTTCTTAGCTCCTCATTCAACAGTAGACAACCTTCTGCTCTATTGCCCATCCAAAATTACCTAAAGCACGGCTGACTCTCAAGATATTGTGCAAGTTGTGCCCGGAAGAGTTGACTAGCGATTGGTTTACCGCTCTTGGTGTCACTCAGTGGGTTCCTGGCCACTGTCTCCACATAAATCTGCCCGTAAATATACTTGAGTGTAGGGGTCATGTCCCCCGCTTGATTGTCCGTCATCATCACAAACCGTAGACCACTGAGCGTCTCATAATGGTGACACGTGTACGTGTTGGTCTGATATCTCTGCATTCCTTCGGTTGCCGCTGCTGTAGCAGGTTCTGCTGTGCCAAATGGGTCCGCAGTCGTAGAAGTCAAAGAAGACGCAGGCGTGATCTTTCCGACAAATTCCTTGAGCGAGAACAAAAGACCAAATAAAAGACGCTTTTCCTCGTCCGGATCTGCATACGTCACGCTCTTACCCCCGGCCACATTCCACTTCTCCTGGTACAAACACGATCCGCTACGCGTGTAGATGTAGAAGGAGTAAATCATGGTCGTCAACTTTGGTGATGGTCGTCAACTTTTGTGATGGTCGTCAACTTTTGTAAATGGTCTTAAAAAGTATACGAACATAAATTTTGGGTAGCACACAAAAAACAACTTGATCCTTAGCAATTCAAATTGACTCGTCGACGTCAGCACAACCAATTCATTTCAAGCTTTGAAAGCTCGACCAGCAACAGTAGAGAGCTTTGTTCTAGACAGAGAAATGGTGCTGCATCAGCTCTCTGTGTGTATCTCAAATGCACCAAAAGTCGCTCCAAACAGCAAAGCATGCGTGCAGCAGGTGGCGCGCGGTTGTGGTCTTTTGGCAGCTTTTCACGATGACGAGTCCAAGTTTTGCACAGTCTCAGGCTTTGCAGACAGTAAACAGCAGCTGGCGGTGGCATGTATGCTGTACTGGCAGCTACAACAAGCTAATGAGGATGATGTCAAGGTTTTTGTGAGTGATTCGACCATGGGCACGTGCATCTCGCTCGCGCAGCTGCTGAATTACGACAAGATGGCAATGGAAACACGTGAAGGTGGCATTGTGAGAGTGCTGGACTCTGCTGCGTTTTGTAATGAGGTGCTACATCTGGAGGATGATAAAAAGATGCAGATGGTGGACTGCAGAGAGCAGAAGGAGTTCCTAGGTCTTGCAAGTGGCAAGGAAGTGTCGGGACACCTTGACGGTGCCAAAAATATACCGTTTGCATCCATTTTCACAGCCGATAGCGATGATGCTGACGATAAGAGAGAAGACAAAGTGTCGAAGGTCGAGGAAATGGGCAAAGATGCGTCATTGCTGCCTGCACAAGAATTGCGAGAGTTGTTTGAATCGAATGGCATTGACATGGAAAAACCTGTTGCTGTTGTAGCAAGTTTACCGGCTGAAGCAGCTGCAGTTGCCACTGTGTTGTTGCTTGCTGGTCAATGCGCTGGAGTTTTGTTTTGTGCGGATGCACTTAGTGACGAGCTGGTGGCATCTTTTCCCTCTTCTTACACTGCTGATATCTTCGACAAAGGTCGATTGCTATACAAAGACGATAAGAACGGGTTTGACCTCTCGCCGCAAACAGATAACGTTGACATAGCTGAGGACGCAGTTAAAGCAAAGGTGGCAGAACTTGATAAGGCCTACAAAGAAGAGCTTAGCGGGAAGGCGAAAAAGGAACGAGGAAATGCCGTAGAGGAAGATAAGGGAGAGAAAGTGGAAGAGATCGTGTGGATTAAGGATGGCCAGCGTTTCTTTGATATGCCATCTCCTATCAGCAAATCTGAATTCTTGGATGCATCAAGAACAATCTTCCGTGTGGTATCCTTTGTGCTGGCGCCTTTTGGATTTCCTGCATCGTTGCGCAAAAAGCGCTCTTTGCAGGAGGTGAAAACAAAATGTGGATCACTCTTTCAGGATGTGATTGAGGTATGCTCAGATCTTATTTATCAGCAAAAAGAGCTTAACGAAGGCGCGATGGCTATGAGCGTGCACAAGTGGGTGGAAGAAAGTCATGACCTTGAATGCACTGAACAGGTAAAGGCAATCAACGAAATCTGGGAAGTCTTGTACACACCTCCTGCCGTGGTAGAAGTGCCAGACCTTACCGGGGATCATGTGCTTGAACTCGCAATAAAATTGGAGCAAAAAATACGCGACCTGGTTGGCCAGCGTACACCTTGGGCTTTTATGAGCGCGGACGAGGAAGAGGTGGAAGAGTCTAGTGACGAAGAGGATTATGACCCTCAAGAGAAAGTAGTTGACGTGGAGGAGGAAGAGTGCAGCGATGAAGAGACCAGCGAGATGGACAAGGAAGACGATGTAGCTACAGATGAAGACACGATCAGCGAAGATACGAATGAGCAAGAAACCAGAAACAAAGAAGGCGGAGTCAATGAGACTGATATTTCTGGCAAAGAAGACATTGTGTTTGAAAATGAAGTTCGTAGCAAAGTAGGCGACGATAAGGTGGAGGACGAAGTCTCTGACGAGGCGATTGGCAATGACAACAAAGCGATGGACAAGGAGCAGGGTTCTAAGGAAGTGCAGCTGGCTAACGAGAAGATCGATGTCAATGGCAACGATGTGGAAGCCACAAACGCAGGAACAGAGGCGAACGTCAAGATCGATAGCTCTCCTGAACGGAATCGATCAGAGTCTGTGGATAAACGTACAGAAAGCTGGAAATACATTTACCCGAGTGTTGTTTACTCGCTGGGTTTCATCCCACAAGATTTGGACACAAAGCATAAGAAGCTGAGTACGTTGCAGATCAAGTCACTCATCCAGGCCGTAGCAGAAGCTTCATGGGATGTTATCAAGGATGAAACCGAGGAGCTTAGTCAGGTTGAATTTCAGGCTCTGTGCGAGACGCTTGACGGTGAAAATCGGGACCAACTGACCGACCGTGTTGCTGAGGCAGAGAAATCGCTATATGTTCTCAAGCACTTTCTCACTCGCTCACTGAAGGCAGATGACTCTCTAGCTGACAAGTTAGCAGGTGTGCGTGAAGCTGTGTTGGATGGTGAGACTCGCCGGCGGTCAGGACGCAACCAAGTCGCCCTTGCAGCATATTCCAAAGCTTTTGATTACCTTCCACTTTACCACAAGGACCTTGAGAATGCGGTGGTCGGTCGTGCCAGGTGTTTCCTCGACATGAAAGAATTGGGTCGTGCAAAGACTGAGGCTCTTATTGCACTAAAACTAAATCCATATAGTGTCGGGGCTTACGAATGTCTTGGAAGCGTTGAGGAGAAGATCGATCACCCAGAAGCAGCAATGCAGCACTACGTGACGTCTTTCATTCTTGATGGCTCGCGCTCGCCGGAGCAGGCTGAGTCCATTGACCGCGTGTCGCGTCTGGTAGGTCGACGTGTGGCAAAGGCTCTGTTCGCCGAGATGGAAAAGGTGCATGAACTTCCGTCTTCGTGGCTGATGAATAGCTACTTTGAGGCTTTCGAACATGACTTTGATCACGCTGCCCGAGTCCCGTTCGATATTGCGAAGACGGAAGACGCGGACCAGTCAGATCTGGATGCGCTCACGCTGCTTCACCGGGCGATTCACTACAAGCGGAGCAAGAAGTATACTGAAGCACAACGTGACATCAGGACTTTGGTTTCCACGGACAGGAAGGCCGAGGAACTTTCAGTAGAGAATCGCGCTTTGGCACTTAACCTACATGCATCACTGCTGTATGTTGCGGGCGATGTGCACACCGCGCTGGAGGTGATCGACAAAAGCCTGGAGCTTCAACCGACCCTGGTGAATTCCCTAGTGAAAAGGGGCGGGTTCCTGGCAGAACTCGGTCAGACAGACGAGGCGACATCGTGCTTTGCTGAAGCCATGGAGCTAGACACGAATGAGGCAGACGTGCACCTGCATTTCGGGCAGATGAAGCTACTTGACGGCAAGTATTACGAGGCTGTGCAGTCTCTTCGTCGCTCCATTTCGCGGTCTGACGCCCTACCGGTTACGCACGTATCATATGGCATGGCTCTCTACAAGAGCGGATCGACGTACCAAGCTAAGGACGTGTTCAAAGAAGCCTCAACGAAGTTTCCAGAGTCTGCCGAGGTGCATTTATTCCATGGTGAAGTGCTAGCTGATCTCGGGAATTATGCTGACGCCATGCGTCACTTTATGACAGCGTGGGAGCTGTCACCACAATGCCCACTGCCATTCCTGAACGCTGGTCGCGTCTATGTCGGCACAAATGACCCCATGCGAGCCATTGCACACTTTAATCAGGCGCTTGAAGTGGATCCTCGCTGCAGTTCGGCACATTTGGATATTGCTCAAGTGCTTTTTGCTCAGGGTCGCACTCGCGAAGCATTTGAGCACTTTGAAGTGGCTGCGTCGTGCTGTCGTTTTCTTCCTGAAGTGGAAGAAGTCTGTGCTTGTCAGGAGATGGCCAAGATGCAGCTTAAGGTCACGGAAATCCTTGGTGTTGAATTACGCCATATCATGCGCTCCAAGTAGATAAGCGAGACCTATAAGAGACGTACTAGCTCTGTAATATTGGAGCGAAAAACTGTCGTTTTTACTAATACTACGATACAGAATATATGTTGAATGGGCAAAGCTACATAGACTGCAGTATCGACTCATGGCAGGAGGAAAGCATCAAGCATTTACGTACGCTACGCTCTTGGGTCTTGCAGGCGGTGCTTGCTACGTGCTCAAGCGTCACACTCCATCACTTGTGGCTGGTATGGTCCTAGGTGTCGGGTTCTTAGGTGCTGGTATGTTGGTGCTTACAGATACTATTACGGACCATCAATTCGAGCACGGAACGTCGCTGGTCATGTCAAGCGTCATCTCGGGTATTATGGGAAGACGCGCAGCACGCACGGGACTACGAGCTCCTGCTTTGATTGCAGCAGCTGGGACCATCTCGGCTGGCTACCATGTGCAGCAATTGTGCAACCCGCCACGTAAGAAGCGTTACATTCCCGGCGCTCCGCCCGTTCCGAGCAGCTACGAGTAAGGACAGCATTATATGCGACCAATTGCATACCATAGCTGCATGTAATGCATTAATCTATATAATAACAGAACGGCTATTGTTGAAGTGGCATGAAGTAACATAGTTTCGTACAGTGTACCAACTCCTAACTAAAGTTCGTTTCGCGAACTTAAGATTCAGGACCATGGCGCAACATTCTACGTACACGATGGCTGGTTTATTGGCGGCCGGCGGTGTCTTTGGTTACTTCAAGACTAAGAGCATCCCTTCATTGGTGGCAGGTGTGACGCTGGGTGCGGGTTTCGGTGTAGCAGGATACCTACTGCAGAAGGGCGAGATGGCTCAGGGTCATGGCATGGCGCTACTCATGTCTACGATAACTATGGGTGCAATGGGCCTGCGTGCTGTGCGCAACAAGAAGCCGCTACCAATGGCAATTGTATCACTTGGAGCGGTATCGGGTGCGTATCACGCGCATCGTTTCACTGAGTGGACCGACCAAGAGTAAATCAAGCTGCTGCAAACCCCTTAACAAAGTTGACAATGTCTTTTTCATCTTGTTTTGCTTCACCCACGTTCTCTATTGTCATGGACTCATAGGCAAAAAGTAATGACGTCTCGTTAAGTAGACGTGCTCTCAACGGAAGAGACACAAGCTGCCAGCATGTCTTCAAACATCACGCCGGTCATGTTCTTAGTGAGGTAGATCGTGTCGTGCACACCTTCGGTGCCAGCAGGTGAATCTGCAAGTCCATCGTTGACGCCCGCGGAGAAGGAGATTTCCACGCGAAAGCGATCTTCGTTATCTTCTGGAAGTGACGGGGTTTCGAATACGCGGATAACAATGTGCGCGAGGTAATTGATCTCCACTATGCGGTCTAATGCACGCCAACTGTTGTCAGAAATTAGCTTGGACTCGCAGAAAACGTATTTGCGCTGGGTCATGTGGTCGTTAACGCTAATGCCCATTCGTTTCAAAATTTCGTTGCTGAACAACTCCTGTTCCAACGAAATATTATACTCGTCATCCTCGCCGCGATCGTGGATACGCGCGCGCCAAGACGGGCACTGGAAACGCAACACGTTCAAAAGCGTGTGTAGATGGCTTTCACTCGTAAAGTAAAGTCGCGTGCGAACCCGCGTACCTGGGCTTTTGATACGAAGTTCCTTCGCGAAGGAGGGATCCAAGCGGTAGCCGTGATGCTCGATATCCTGATCTGCGCTGTCAACATTCGTTCCATCTTCAGCACCATCACCATTCCCATAGAGACTCCCTGACGAAGATGACGATAGCTGTTCATTGACTGACGCCAACATGACAGTCACAATGTCAGCACGAATTTTTGCACAAAGCGCCTGCGAAACACGGTTGCCGATAGATTGCTTCTCTTCAATGTCCATGCCGTATTCTTGTGAGACGTAGCACCGTGCTAGAGCCTCAGCAAGCTTAAAAAGGTCAAGACCACACTTCCAACCGATGCTCGCGTTGTGGAGCAGGTCATATTTGATACAATCGTGCACGTCGGGAATTTTACTAAGATTGAACGTGCCTGTCTTGGTCGAGTAGAAGTCACGAAAGATCTTATCCCAGCGCTCGTACATGAGCGAAAACGTTTCACCCATGTATAACGGTGTAGCCTCATCAGCCTCTGTGAAAACAGCACAACTAGGAATGTCAGCGTGTCACTCAATATCTCTGTAGTCTCAAATGCTGACTTACGCTTATCTTGCACGAGCTCCGCAATTTCACCTCGGAGCTTGCGAACCAGTTCCAGCAGGCGAACTAATGCCTCTTTCGGATTCTTTATGATTTCGAGTGCTTGGATGATAGACTCGGCCTTTAGCGGCGCAATTGCAGCTTGCATCTCTTCAACGGAAGAGTAGTCGCGCTGCAATAGCGTCCCCAGTTTGGCTTTTATAGCCTGCATCTCTTCCGTAGCATCAGCTTGTCCGGAGTGGTCCAGCATTTTGTTGGCATCTGGACGTACACACGGTCACGACAATTTGAAAGGTTACTAACCCCACGAATACACACTTTATCTGACGTAAAACCACAAATTGTACCTCTGTCGAGCGTGGTGACGAGACCCACGAGAATTGGTGTAAGATCTCCTTCCAACTCTAAAAAACCCTTAGCGAATGCTGCTGCAGTCATTTGCACTCGGCCCTCGTCTGACGTGAAGATTTTGAGGTCGTGACGGAACGTCGAGTGTAAGCGTAGCAACCCACCTTCTTCTACTTCAACAGGATAAAGACTGTTTCTGAAAGACTGTCCCAACGCTTCACCTTGCCGTCTACCTCGTTCCGTCAGGTCGCCTCCCCACTTTAATATCATGAGAATCTTCGGTTTTTCTGCTCCGTCGGGATTATCTGCATATGCAGCAGCAGCTACCGCAAAGTTCTTGTGTGGCTTAAACTGTACCTTACGATTTATACCCGCAAATTTCCACCGCTCCAACACGCGTTTCATTTGAAGCACCTTTTCAAAGCTATCTCCACCCTCAACTTCCCACATGCCATTCTTCGAGCCAACGCTGGGTGCGTACGCCTTAATGAGGCTACGTACCAGGTCTAACAGCTCTTGAAGATCCGCAACTGACTTTACCTTTACCTCATCATACTTGCCTTCACTACGCCGCTTTTCGTAAAAATCAACGAGATCTTTCTCCCATACATGAGTTTTCAGTTTTTGTTTAGGCGTGCGATCACCATGACGTACCACAGCAATGACGCAGCGTAGTTCCTCTCGGTTTTCGTCCGGCACCAAACCTGCGCTGGTGTTACTGGTTACGCTCGATTCAGATACATCAGAACCCGAGCTTTGACGAGTTTGGTGCCAATCGTGGCCTCCGTTGTTTACAAGCCTGGGTTCTGTTGCATACTGTGGACACATTTGCGTACCCGTTACATTTAGTGAGTTCGCACGACGCTGACGAAAGTACCTCGAACGCAGTGCCGATACCAAGTAATTATGCAATATCAGCCCGCAATCATCGTAATATTTCTTCGAATTCTTCACAAAGCTCCAGCCATTCACGTCACACACGTACGAGGTGCCCCGTACACGGAGCAGATCAAATCCACACACCGTCTGATGAAAGGCCAAGCACACTTTCCTTGCCATCTCTTTCTCCGTCGAATTCAAAATGACAGGATAGCGTACTTCTTTCCCAGCCGAGTCACGTACTACGCGGCCATCAAGCACTGGCGACTTGCGGGCTTCGGCATGGCCATAGCTCGAGCCAACAGTGTACACCTTGACGTCCGTTCCTTGAGTATTTAGAAACTCCTCGTAGATGTATGAACCATCTCTTCGTACGTGGCTAATGTCCGGATAAAATTCGCTCGAACGGTCTCCCACTTTCCGAAACAAACGTTTGCTGCCTCCACCTGCACTCATGGGATAATAAAGATAGACATTATGGTCTTCTGCATTTGCCGGTTTCTCAACAAATGGCTTATTGATCCGCACGTTATTGATCTCAACGTAATTGTCATGTTCAATAAGTTCGTCCTGTTTGCCGCCAGGTAAATCACGATTCACAATAATGTGACGAGGCACCTGAATACCATGACACGTAAGAAGCGCGTACACTTTGCGGCGGTCAAAGAGCACGTGCTGCATGTTCAACTCATTGACCAGTACGGGCCGTACAAGACGGACATACTCTTCGGCCTTTTGAAGAGGAAAACCCGTCGAATAGAATGAAATAAGTGCATCACAAACTGGCCACGACTCGACTGGACGATTGAAAATTGTCTCGTCATCAAAGACAAACACATCAAACTGCCGTTTCTTCTCGAGACGGCGTAAAATTTCACGCATGGGCTTGGAATGCGTCTTTTTCTCCATAGCACATACACCCACGACATACTTGGACATAACCGACGGTGGGGAGGATAAAGGCGATAAGGGCGATGACATGGAAGCCATCACGGGCAGCGAGAGCGATTGCGTTCGCACCATAGAGTGATGGTCTTTCTACTATTAGGGTGTACTTGAAGCAACAAATTATCAAGTGCCGTCGATTGGATTTCATCCAATGAAAAGAAGCAAGTAATGGCGATAAAAGACTATCATCCATCAAATGATTGATGGCAGGCTGCCATTTGGCTGTCTTGTCTCAGTATTTGTTGAAGCTGTGATTGGTCAGAATATTTTGTAACTAATTGCGCGGTTATGGATGGTACAGAAAGCAAATTTCAAGTTACAGCATGCGATTTTTTCACTTTTGTGCTTATACTCGCTTACTATTTGCCGTGCATTCCTCCAGCTTTGTTTATCTAAAACGCTTCATAGAGATATGGATGAGAGACTTGAGTCCACGCAGCCAATCCTTGTGCCGCGCCCAGTCTGAGGCTGTAAGAGCCACGTAAATGGTCTGTGCGCTACCAAAATCACGTTGTCCGAAGCACGCCACCAGCTCGTGCAGTCGCGACACAACTTCCGGCAACAGCTCGCCGATGTTGAGCTTTGTAAACATGATTTCTTTACCCTTCTGGATCTCCTGTAACTGTTTCTGCTCCATCTACAAGACAACGTGTCAGGTCAGCCTCAGCTCCATTACTTGTTCAATCAATGTCCAACGTACCATGGTGAGAGGTAGACTCTGAAGCTGGATCACGAGGTCGTTAAACGCGTTCACGATAGGAAGATCCTGCGGGCTGACGTTCTCGGTGCTGCCCGGCACAACGTTTGGTGGAAACCCGCCGGCTTTCGGTGCAGCGTTCGCGACAGGCGAAAGCGAAGCTGTCGTAGCATTTCCATATTTTAGTGTCAATTCCTTGTTGCCCACACTGCTAACGAACCCGTCGCGTTGATGCGAGCTCATATCAACAGAGGGTTTGGCAATGCGCGATGACCCCGTTGCCGCAGCAAGCGGATTTACCCCCGTACCTTGAGGGATGGATGGCGAAGCAGAGGCGGCAACAGGGGCACCGAAGCCCGTTCCAGGACGAGGAGCACCTCCATACGCAGGGGACGGCATGCCAGGCATACGGGAAGTGCCGCCCGTTGATGGGGGCCCTGAGTACATCTGCTGGTGCGAACGGTTACCTGACGACGATGGGGGACCCGACAGGAGTCCTTGCTGGGGAGGATGCTGGCCTGAAAAGCCCGGCTGCTGTGAACGTCTGTAGGCAGGTTGTTGTGGAGAAACCGAGTGCTGTTGCGCCTGGCCTGGAAATGCAGAGGCTGCAGACTGGCCTGAGAATGCGGGAGCTGCAGCCTGACCCGGGAACGCAGGGGCTGCAGACTGGCCTGGGAATGCGGGAGCTGCAGCCTGACCCGGGAACGCAGGGGCTGCAGCCTGACCCGGGAACGCAGGGGCTGCTGACTGGCCTGGAAACGCAGAGGCTGCAGATTGACCCGGGAACGGCGTCGGTGCCAAGTGCGCAATGTTCGGAGGTGGTGCAGACTGGCCTGGGTAGGCAGGTTGCTGCTGGCTTGGATATCCACCAGACCGCTGCGGTTGCGGGGGTAGACCAGGGGCACCAGAATACTGTGGCTGCTGGGGTGCCTGCTGATAACCACCAGGACGGCCAGGGAAGGCTGGTGTTTGCGCCGGCGCATGTTGTTGAGGCGGGTAGCCCGTACCATGCGCGCCACCGAAACTCCCTAATGCCGGTATCGGAGCCGCGCTGGACGTTGACGCAGCAGAAGCACCAAACTGGTTCCTTCCTGCCCCGTATGCCGGCTTGTTGCCATAGCCTCTTGGCTGTTGCTGGGCAGGAGCTTGGCGCTGTTGCCGTTGCTGTTGCTGTTGTTGTTGTTGTTGTTGTTGTTGCTGCTGCTGTTGTTGTTGCTGCTGCTGTTGTTGTTGCTGCTGTTGAATTTCAGCCTGCGATCTAATTTGAACCATGTCGAACGGAAACGGTGGAGGCTGGTACCCCTGCATCGGGTAAGCGTTAAAAATGCGATCCTTCAAGATCGCACAACTGAGATCCGGGAAGCGTGAGTACTTTGCGGCAATATCGAGTCGGCCCTCCGCTGCCATCTATCGAAACGTAGCAACAATGTCACAAAAAGATAAGCGCAAGACTGTGTCAAATTCTTAAATGCGTTCCTGCATTGTCGCCACGTACCAGAGAAGCGTAATCAGCGAAACGCTGCGCGACTTCTGGACCCATAGATTGGTTAGGTTGGTCAACAGCCATGGCAAACACAGACACCTTCTCAACAAGACGGTGGAGTGCAGATGTATGTCCGAGTGTAAGCGTCTCAGCTTCGCTCTCCTTGCACCACGCATTTACGGTCTTTTCGACATTCACAGCACACATGAAACACAGTGTTGCAGAGTGCAGATCGCCAGCTGCCTCCAGTCGTGTGGCCAACTTGTCGCAAAGCGATGGGAACTCTTCGCTTTTGGCATACGTGCTCAAGATAGCCAGCGTTTGGCGCCACTCCGCGAGGTCTGATACTTCCACGAGTTCACTCAGCTCGTTCTTAATGATAGCCGCCACCACTCGCATTACAGGGCGTGTCTGATGAGAAAAGAATGCACGCTGGGTCTTCTCCCAGAGCTCAGGGCCACCGCAAGAAGCTAGCAGCAGCGCATCCGCAAGCTGGTTGTACGCCAAACAACAGTTAACGGCCACTTCAAAGTTGCCTACCAACAGCGCCTGCATCAACGTGCTCTCAGATTCTTCTGTGTATACAGGAGCGGGAGCAGCATCCAGACGCTTACTCTTGTCTTCATCCAAAGTAAAGGGTAATGAAGCAGCCAAAGCAGAGACATCCGACAATGGAGATGCCGGCGTAGCAGCAGTAGCTTCGCCACCTCCATTAGGCTGGAAGCCTGATGAAAACACGTCTGCAGCTCCCAAGCCGGTAGACTAAAGAATACATAACAAAGTAAAAAGTAAGTTACGTGAATCATCACTTTGTACAACAAAAGTACGTACGTCAATCCTGTCGCTCAGCAATGCTCCTGTTACAGGGTCCACTTGTGCTACAGGGGCGTGCGACGTCGGATCGACACCAAGTGAAGCGGTCGCAGCAGCTTGTGCTGCCGCAGCTTCCGGGTTAAACTTGGCGTTTAGTTTATCAATCTCTTCCGCGTTCAACCCAAGGTGAAGCAGCAGGTGCTGGCGGGCATCCTTCTCAAAGAGAATTTTCATAAAACACCACACACTACGCTCGCCAGCAGTTGTGGCAGTCGCAATCTTTTGCTCACAATGACCCTTGAGATTTTTGGTTTCCAAAGAGCGGTCCAACGCTTCTGCCTCAGCCACCAGTACTGTGTCACTAATAACGCGCTGCATGTGAATAAGTCGACGTTGGTCGCCATTAGAGCCTGCAGGTTCCTGTGGGTTGACGATCGTCACCAGCTTTCCTCCGAATCCAAAAGACGCGCCAGCCGGTCGACAACTCCACTTCGGTGGACGACAATTCGGGTTGCCACCACCGGAAAGGCCCCAAATCTGTACCTTACCGTCCAGTGAGCACGTTGAAGCAACCGCAGGAATCTGAGGTGACCACTGAACATTCCAACGACGCTGGCCAGCAAGACCACCACCAAAGTACTGGTTTGATCCCATTGCTGGAGCGTTAAGGGCATCTGAAGGAATTTCTGCAACCGTCTTGCGCGAAAAAAGGTCCCAAAGCAGCGTCCTGTTGTCCTTACCACATGACAATAGAAGGCCAGGGTCATTAGGACACCATGACATGGATAATACGCCGGCAGTGTGATCATGGAACTCGGCTAGTGGCGTACTGGTCGAGTTGCGCAGGTCCCAAAGCTTCACCGCAGGTTGCTGGTCATCGCCTGAGGCAGTTGCAAGTTGCAGACCTTCGTTGGGGTTCCACACAAGAGCCGTGGTTGCTCCACGCCCCGGGTCACGCAGTTCACACCACGGTTTTTTCTGCTTGAGGTCCCAAACAACGACGGTGCCGTTTTGCGATCCAGTGGCCAAAATGTAATTCACTTGAGTGTTCCATGCTACACTGATGATCTCATTCACCTGTGGCTGCGCTGTCGTAGGACCTCCAGGTGTAAAGACACCAGGGCTCGTGAGCTTCTCCAGCGACATAATGTACACTTCACCATCGCTGCCGCCTGAAGCCAACAGGTGCGCGCTATCTTCGTGCGGATTGAACTGCAGTGCATTGACAGCGCCCTTATGGCGCGTGATGCGACCAATCTCACAAGACACAGGGGTCTCGGTACCTGGCTCCTGGTCCAGCAAGAGCGCTGGGTTCCAAAGTGACACGGAACCGTCGGCCATCCCACCAGCGATGATGCCGTACGGACACGTGTCGTGATGACGCGGCACATCGCGCCACGCTAACGACGTGAAGCGTGATGGCGTCTTGATGGAGCCTAGTGTGATCATGGCCCTACTAGGATCGCTCAGGTCCATGGATACGAGCTTGAACTCGCCGCCATTGTTCTCAAAGCCGACGCCACCGTCACCCTTGGAGCCGAGCGCCAAGAGCTCCGCACGTCGCTTTATGGGGCTCCAGGCCACCGCCGCATTTGCTTGAATCTCCTTCAGCAGCGACATGTTTTTCTATTGGATACACGTGTGCCTTTTTTCCGCCTCTTTCTTCTGTAGATGCACGCAAGTCGTCAGTGTCTTGTCTTGATCGGACTGCAAGGGGGGAAGCTGAGTCCAAATGGTAAAAATAATGAGCCAATAAAAGACAAGAATGAACAAGTTTGTACCAATGATCGAAGGACACACGCTCCACGATCCTGCCCCAAGCACTAAGTACGAAGTCGTGCGCGCCTAGTGGTGATTGGATAAAATACTCCATGTCTCGATTAGCTCCGTTTTAGAGTGGCACCACTTCACTTTGGGACTAATCATTTTGGTGGAGCTTGGTGCAACATAAGCACTCCAACAGCGTATTGTTCGAATTTTTATATATAACTGACACCAGGTAAATTACCGGATCGGAAGCAGGTAAAAGTCCAATTTAACGTCATTTTTCATTTCTCACAGAGTCGAAATGGTACGCACCTTTCGTCGCTCGTCCATACTATTGCTTGTGATGCTGGCCACTGGAACCGTCTCGGCTGTGGCATCCCCTAGGTACGTCCACACTACTACTGCCTCTATTGCAGATTTTGATGTGCAAGCTGACGTTCTCTGCTCGTTGAGTATCGTAGTGAACTACGCCGTCTAGTGACTCTTTCTCGCCACGGCAGTCGAGCACCGAACGATGTCGTCAAGATCATGTGCCCTCATAACAAGGCCAACTTGGACGCGTACAAGGTGCCATTTAAGCAGCTTACGGAAAACGGCATGAAGCAGATGCAGGCTGTAGGTGAGCATATTCGCCTCACGTACATGGTTGACGAGCCGCTCCATGAGGACGCCTTCCTGTCGCGCTCATTCAATGGTGTGAACCACTCGCACTTCGAGACCTACTTCCGGTCCGACGCTGCAACGCGCTGCTCACAGAGTGCAGCAGCAGTAGCGTACGGCCTCTACCCGGACGGAACCGGTCCGCAAGGCTACCCTCACCAGCTTGTACCAATCACTATGCAGTTAGTGGAAAATGAGCATGCATTTGCAGCTACAAAGGGACCCTGCAAGAATACATTGGACGCCGATCTCGCTGTATACGCTAACACCCGAGCGCCTGAGCTTTTTGATCAGTATCGCGACGTTCTCGACCAATTGGGCGCAGTCTGCGGTGTCGCCGTTGAAGATATCCCAAACTTGCCGGGTGGCGAAGACATCGTACTGGGCGTCAAAGACTTAGCGGATATGTTTGGCTTCGATCGGGACGAGGGTCTTCCACTTACCGAAGGAATGACTGTCGTGGCGCGCGAGAAGCTAGAGCAGTTGGCATTCACGAACCTCATGGAGAGATACTACTCGACGGATCGCGAGATTACGTACTGGGTCGGTGGTTTTGGCGATCTGCTTATCAACACGCTTCAGGGTGGAGCTGTACCGACGGCACCAGCTTACACAGAGTATCGCTACTTTTCCTTCCATGGCCACCGAGAGTTGCTGCACGGTCTGGGTATGATGCTGGGCTGGGAGTTCCACTTTGACGGACTCCCCCAAGCTCTTAATGTGACGGCTTTGCACCCGGGAACCTCCATGTTCTTTGAGCTGCGCGCGCGTCAACTCACTGCTGAAGAGGCCCATAAGCAACCGGAAGTGAAGGAGGCTTACTTTGTGCGAACATACATATGGTCGCCGTTCACTGAGCGCGAGCACATTAAGCTAACGAAGTGCTCGGTTGCAGATTGTCCGTTTGAAGAGTTCAAACAGATCATTACCAGCCATATTGCCAGGACTGGAACCTGGGATGCTATCTGCAATTATCATAAACCAGTTTGGGACGAAGACCATGCTCAGGGCCGCGCTGTGGAGAGCAGCTATGGGTTCGCAGGTTCCTCCTTCTTCGTCGTAATTAGTATTGCCATAGTGGCAAGCCTGGCGTTTACGGCGTTTAAGGTCTACAAGCGCCGCCGCGGATACACCATGGTGTAAGCCCGCTCGCTGCCTTACCGTATAATTGCAGCTGCCACTGACACCAAAATAGGTAAAAAGTAGTTGAAAGGATGTCCAAATGGCACCATGTCCAGCATATTTGTTACAAGGACTAGAAAGCTTCGTACCATACCCTTTCCGCAACCAGCAGCGGCTGTCGCGGACATATAGCACAAGTCCGACAGCTTTCAGCTCTGCGTTTTGTCACCAGACTTAAGCGCTATCCGGCAGTCAAGAAAAAATTATTGCTGCTGGCGCAACTCCTGGAGTTTTGCAGCCAGAGCGTCAACCTTTGCCAACCCCTTTGCTTTGCCTTGAATGACACCATTCTTACCACCACCGCCCTTTCCGTCGATGAGTGGCAGCACAGACCTTCCATGAGCGATAATGAACTCCGGAGGTCCGGCAATAAGGAAGAGGCCGTCGCCTTGCAGCGTACCAGCTGTAAGAACAAACACAGCATCATTCTTCGCATCACCCAAAAAACCCAGTAATGTCTGCAAGAAGCCAAGATTGCCCTCATGACGGTGGTACGTGACGACACCCTCAGCCGTCCGCGCCGTTAGATCGCGCGCAATGGACGCGGCCAATTCCTTCTGCAAATTTTTAAGCTCTTTTGTAGCGCTCTTCTGGAATTGCAACAACTTCTCCGTTCGTGACGCGTGGTCTTCGGGTGCACTGCTTAACAGCTTCGTCATTGTGTGCTGATTTCTCAACCTAGACATACACAAACACACGGATGTTAAGCAAAGCGCAATAAATTCTGTTTCAACTAGAAAAGCGGCACTCACATCCGTGAAAATTCGCGGTTTACACGATCACCAGCGACAAACCAAACGCGAGTAGCTCCGCGTGTAAACTCAGTACTGAGCACACGCAGCGATCGAAGCTGTGCAAGGTTCTGGACATGTGTACCGCAGCATGGGTTCACATCCAAGCCGTCAATAGTCACAATGCGCATCGCCTTAGGCATCTCTCCATGCTCAAATTTTGCAGCAATCTTGTTCCACTCGTCCGTCCCAGGTTTCGCAAACGAAGGCGTCATGGTCAGACCAGCAACGATAGCTTCATTCACAGCATTCTCGATCGTCTGAAGCATCTCAGCAGAGATCACGTTTTTGTCCTTGCTAGCGACCTTACCACCCTCAGCAGTTGTCGACGACACTGAAACACGATCCATCGGCACAAGCTCGACATTGCAGCGTTCTTCTCCAAGTGACCACGTCGTAGTATCATACCCATAGTTCCCTAAGATCGCACTGAAAAGGTGCTGCGCCGAGTGCTGCTGCATGTGATCAAAGCGGCGAGCCCAATCGACGTTAGCGACCACCTCCTGTCCCTCCACAAACGGCGCCTGTTCCTTATCCTTCACGGGGACTCGATGCAAACAACGACCATCTTTCACGTACACCTGATCCACTAATACACCATCAATATTGCCAGTATCACATGGCTGTCCTCCGCCTTCAGGGAAGAGCACTGTACGACGTCAAGAGAAGGCATCAATCCTCAGCAAAATAAGAAAAACACCCACCAACGCACACGTGCAATCCAAAATAGTTGCAAGATCGTAATGAAGCGAGTTGCTATGCACCTGTATCGTATAGCTCCACTTCGTAAAAATGTTGGGCCTTGGTCTTCTTGGTAGCCAGCACCACAAGCTCATGGCACGCGTGCACAGCTGTACGTAGCGAACGCAGTGACGAGTCACGTTGACAGGCGAGAGCCCCTGGAGTTGCAAGACACAGCGTCACGCGATCCGTTCCATAGGCCGCTGAGGCTGCAATAGAGCCTTTCGTTAAAGCCATTGAAGCTCGCCGTGACGTTGACGTGTAGGCAAATATGTCTCAAAAAGGGACAAACCCAAACGGTGGCTCCCTATGTTTTTCAGAGTTAATATCACTGTTAGATTTAAGGTTTATCAATGTACAAGATAAGATTGTTTATCCTCTATCTTTTATTTAATTGCATCAATCTATTTAAGTACGATAGCTACGTCAGAATGGTGCTTTGTGCGATCACGTTTTTTTACCCATCGAATGTGACCATCAGTCACAACGAGAAGATCAAAGAAGCTCCTGCATCGTCGTCTCATCACTTAATTTCCTTATGAGCACCAGTCGTGAGGTTTCGAACTCTTCCGCCACCACTTTTCAGACTGCACCATTCGCTAGTAAGCATCCCAAAGGCTTTGGCGAGATGGTGCTGGTTGACGGTGTCAGCATTACACAGACGTACTTGTTGCCGGTGCCCCACCTTCGTCAGTGGCTACCGGAGAAAGACAAGAAGGTCTGCAACCGTCGCAAGCTTGATACGCTCACTGAAGACTCAGTAGAGCGCAAGAGTACCTACAATAAGATCATGGGCAAGTCCGACGTGATTCTAGGCGACATTCGCCGCAATAACACACAGGCCGCCGTTTCGCGTGCCTACTTGCGTGCTGGCCCGCGTGAAACCACTTATTTCGATCCTTCTACAGTCAAGGCTGCTATCGTGACTTGCGGTGGGCTGAGCCCCGGTCTGAACAATGTTGTGCGTGACGTTACCCTCGCTCTGTGGAACTTGTACGGCGTGCGTGAGGTCTACGGTATCCGCATGGGCTTTTCCGGCTTTTACAACTGGAAATCACTGGACCAGAAGGAGGCTCCTATCATGCTCACGCCCAAGTCTGTGGCCAATATTCACCACTACGGTGGCACTATCCTTGGTTCCAACCGTGGCGGCTTCGAGCTGGAAAAGATCATAAACTTTCTCACCACGTACGATATCTCGCAGGTGTACGTGATTGGCGGTGATGGTACCCATCGTGCTGCTAACAAGATCTCGGAGGAGTGCCGTCGCCGCAAGCTGGCAGTCGCTGTCGCCGGAGTGCCTAAGACTATCGATAACGACGTGGACCTTCTCGACCGCAGCTTCGGCTTTAACACAGCTGTCGAGGAGGCCCAGCGCGCCATTCGCTCGGCTGGCACAGAGGCTCGTTGTGTGCCCAACGGTATTGGTGTCGTCAAGCTTATGGGACGTAGCGCCGGTTTTATTGCTGCTCACGCGTCGCTTTCCAGCGGTGATGTCAACCTGTGTCTCATTCCAGAGATTCCAATTGAACTTGACGGTCCTCGCAGTTGCTTGGACCACCTCGAGCATGTGGTGGAGGAGCAGGGCCACGGCGTGGTCGTTGTCGCAGAGGGCGCCGGCGAGGAGCTACTGGGCACTTCGGTGGAGGCCGACGCCGGCGGGAACAAGAAGTTGCCGCCTATCGGCGCTTTCATGAAGGACCGCATCGAGGAGCACTTTGCTAAAAAGGGCAAGGCGTGTACTGTCAAGTACATTGATCCCTCGTACATGATCCGTTCGGTGCCAGCCAATGCCGCCGATAGTCTGTACTGTATGCTGCTGGGCCAGAATGCTGTACACGGTGCCATGGCCGGGTACACCGGTTTTACGGTCGGTCTTAGCGCCAACCGCGTCGTGTACTTTCCCATCGAGGCCATCACGCGCAACTCGCCGCGTTGCATGGACCCCTTTGGCCGTACGTGGGAGCGCGTGCTATGCTTGACGCGCCAACCCAACACAGCTCGTGAGGGAGGCATTAAGGGTGCTAAATCTTCAGACTGAGCCAACTGCATGTCAAGAGACTATTGAGTACCTACTGAAAAGTGCCTAACGTGAAGTCGTCAATATATCGACGAAGAGGATCCTTTTGTTTACTATCTTAGTGTAATGGAAGTCACTTGATCGCCATACGATGAATACAGGACAAGATAACAGGGTATTGATTAGACAACGAAACACTAGTTAAACTAAAAGCATCAGATTGTTCGCTAAAAGCATCAGATTGTTCGCTAAAACCACCCAATTGTTTACTAAAAGCACTGGATTGTTAGCCGCTCGCTCTTCATTCTTCAAGTCGCCGTCCGCCTCGCAATCCACAAACACGTAGTACGATGCTCACTTATCAGGCACTTAAGCAGCTACGCACCTCATCCTTCCTAACCCGCCGTGGCTTTGCCGTGCTCACCACTGACACGATCAACCCCAACATCGTCAAGGCCGAATACGCTGTACGTGGCGCGCTGGTGCTGCGCTCCAACGACTATGCGGACCGATTGGCACGCGGAGACAAGTCGTTGCCCTTCGATAAGGTCATCCCTTGCAATATCGGCAATCCGCTCGTGCTGAAGCAGGAGCCCATCGAATTCCATCGGCAGGTGCTAGCGCTTGTCAATGTACCGGGTCTCGTGGACGAACCAGAGGCGCAGAAGATCTTTCCGCCGGACGCCATTGCCCGCGCCAAGTTTTACATCGACAACATCGTGGGTGGTACAGGTGCTTATGGACACAGTAAAGGCTCGGCCGTCGTGCGTGAGGAGGTCGCGCGCTTTATGGAGCGACGTGATGGCCACTCCGCTAATCCGGAGGACATTTTTCTCACGGACGGTGCCAGTCCGGCGGTGCAGAACTCGCTACTGACTCTGATCCGCGATGAAAATGACGCCATCCTTGCCCCTATTCCTCAGTACCCGCTGTATTCGGCGGCCATTGCCCTTAACGGCGGCTCTCTGGTGGGCTACTACCTGAATGAGGAGAATGCCTGGGGCCTGGACGTGAAGGAGCTAGCACGTGCTGTAAAGGAAGCTCGTGACGCAGGCAAGAACGTGCGTGCAATGGCTGTGATCAACCCTGGCAACCCAACAGGCCAGTGCCTGTCATTGGAAAACATTGAGACAATTATTAAGTTTTGCAAGGAGGAGAACATTTTGATTCTGGCTGACGAGGTGTACCAGGAGAACGTGTACGCTAAGGGCAAAAAATTCCTATCGTTCAAGAAGGTGTTGCGTGACATGGGCAAAGCGTACAAGGATGTGGAGCTTATTTCGTTCCACTCGACGTCCAAGGGTTTCACAGGTGAGTGTGGTCGTCGCGGTGGCTACATGGAGCTGGTGAACATCGATGACAGCGTCAAAGACCAGATTTACAAGCTCATGTCGGTGAGCTTGTGCTCGAACATAGACGGCCAGCTAGTGGTGGGAATGATGACCAACCCGCCACAGCGCGGCGACGCGTCGTACGAGCGGTATGCCGAGCAGCGTGATGGTATCCTTGGATCGCTTAAGCGCCGTGCGGTGAAGCTCGTGAAGGCCTTTAACGAGCTGGAGGGAGTCACGTGCAACGAGACTGAGGGTGCAATGTACACGTTCCCGAACATCACGCTTCCGGCTAAGGCCATCGAGGCCGCCAAGGATGCAGGTATGGCGCCTGACGCATTCTACTGCACGCAGATGCTGGATGATACGGGAATTGTGGTTGTACCTGGCTCGGGTTTCGGCCAAAAGGAGGGTACGTGGCACTTCCGCTCGACGATCTTGCCGCCCGAGGAAGCTGTGGACGAGGTGATCGAGAAGACCTCCAAGTTCCATGCCAAGTTTATGGACAGGTACCGATAGATTGATATCAAGTTTAAAAGGACACGCTTCATGTGTTTTACCATGAATGCACAACAGGTAGGAATCGCCTTGTAAAGCCATTGCTGCTACTAATACTTCAACATTTGTTCAGCAAATTAGTCCAGCTTTACCAGTAAATTAGTCGGCTTTTTAGTACGATTTAGCAGGAACAAACGCCCAAGCCACTACTGACTGTAACATGCTCTTCCTGCCGCTGAAGGAGGACTCGTTACTGTTCCGCTTGTGTTTGTACTATGGTGTGCTCGTACTGCTATTAGAGCTCCTCATACCTCTTTTATTCCAGCGCCGAGTGCGCATCGAGATTCCGCGTTTGGCGTTAAACGTGCCTGCAGTTCCGCTATCTACTCGAGAGTTCCAACAGCGTCGACTGGCACTGCAGCAACAGGTGACGGAACTGCAACGAGCTCTGGCTGAGACACCTCGTCGATCGCCACAGAAGAGGAGGCAATTATCGAGTGTGACTACTATGAAGAACATGACGGCAGCTTCACCGTCGCCTTCGTTGGCGTCTCCAGCAAAGATTACGAGACTGCGTTCTTTACGGAAAACAAGCAGTGGTAAAACGGAGAAAAAGGTGTCTCGACCGCCTTTTGCTGCTGATTCTTCAGTGCATACATCAAAGCCATCGCCTACGACGATGGGTGACTTTTTAGCGACCCGTACAGTTCGACGAGGCGGGTTTTCCTTTCACGAGGTGTTTGAAGAGAAAGAAGACAGTGAGGAGAAAGATGAGAATGTTCAACAAGAGCGAGACAATTGGATGCAGACAGTGACCATGAAAACAGCGAGACGAAGGGAATCACCGACGTTCTCAAGACGAAAAAAACCCGTGCGGTTTGTGTTTGAAGACGCCGACGGAGACGGGTATATGGGAGTCTTATTGGAACCTAGTGAGGCCGCTACGCGATTGGAGGCACTGATCGAAGCACGTAGAAGACAGCGAACAAGCACTTCACAGATGCACATACTTCCACCGCCGCCTTCAATTAGAATTCCTTTGTCAGCAGCAATAGCACCAGCTAAAAAGGTGTCAGAGCACTCTCCTCTTAATGAGCCCAACCTAACAGTGCATGGAGTTTCACCTCGACCGCAAGATGAAGGCAAGGCTATTGAAGGTGATGAGGAAAGGAAGGAGCCAAAGCAAAGTGAAGTTTCTTCGCCAGAAAGACAGCAAGTTGGACCTGATACCTTGGAAGAAGTCGAGAGGAGAAAGGAACCAGAGCAAAGTGAACCTCTTCCTGATTTCCAGGCATTTTGCGCTTCATTTGCAGCCGGTGGCTCAGCAGCAGCCCAACGAGCTGTGGCGAAGCGAAAGTACCATGAAGCGTTTGGAGCAGTAGACAAGGAGGTGAATGACAGTGCTACGACACTTCACCAATGTTTAGATAGGGTCAAACATCCGCGAACATTACGACAAGACACGAAGCAATCGAGTGGCGATCACAGTGCAGATAAGCGCACATGCCCTGAAAGCTTTGGTTCCGACGACAAGCAGGCGATCAACAATACTGTAGTGACTCAGATTCTAGAAAAGCGCAAGCATGACCAAGCGTTCGGTCCGGCAAAAAAACAGAGTCAACCAGAAGAAAAGTACGGAATCATGTTTTTGAGTGCATGGGCGGCATTGGGGTTACCGTGAGGCTAACTGCGCTTGATGTCTGTGTTCACATTCTACAGAACACCCCGAATTGCGAGACAAATCTCGTTTGATGACGAGGTAAACGCACTTGCGGATACACCTTTGACGAAAATGATGGGGCGACTTTCAAATAGAAAGCGCAAGCGTACGCAGCCGTTCGGTATGATAGATGAAGACGACGAGGATACAGAGTGGCGTGACTCCCTTGCATTCCGGCCTCATCACTCTAGACTAGCGGAATGATGGCAGGTGCAAGCAAAAAGATCGGAACAATGATGACACTGACGTTCTCGGCTGCATTAGGAAATGCCTTGCGCACGAGCTACGGAACAAACCAAGTCATTGGTGCTCCTTCATTCCAGTCGTCACATACAACGTAGAACAACGCGTGGATGTTGGCAAGCTGTGATGACCATGGATCCGGCATGTTCGAAGCGCAATCGTGTAGCCACACGTTCATCGCAGCCATAGCCCGTTATCTGGTAGCGTGATCTTCCTGATCGTCTAGAAAAGCTCGTTTCCGTCACGATCAAGTCCTCTGAGCGAGCATTTGCCGTCTAAACACGATCACCTACGACAATCAATTCATCGGTGATGCAGAATGCAACGTGCTTAGCGCTCACCCCATCGAGCACCATCCTAGTGAATTCTTCTTGACGCCAAAAGTCAGCAAATGCCCTCTGCACTGATTGTCCACCACAAGAGTATCGCTCTTCATCTTTATTGACCTTGCAACGACTGCGCACTTGTGCAACATTCAGTGCACATCGAAGCGCATTGGCGGACACTACACCAAAAAAGCTTTGACACCATGTCTAGTAGCAAACCTGTGCTGACGTTCGTGACTGGTAACGCCAATAAGCTCAAGGAAGTGATAGCCATCTTAGGTACCGACTTTCCTTTTGAGCTACGCAATCAAGCTGTAGATCTTCCAGAACTCCAGGGCGAGCCGGCCGATATCGCAAAGGAGAAGTGCCGCCTTGCGGCCAAGCAAGTACAGGGCGCCGTGCTGGTGGAGGACACGTCGTTGTGCTTTAATGCACTCAAGGGACTACCTGGTCCATACATTAAGTGGTTCTTGGAGAAGACGGGTCATGATGGGCTTAACAACATGTTGGCTGCCTATGAGGACAAGTCCGCCTACGCCCAATGCATCTTTGCTTATGCATCAGCAGGTGTCGAGCCGCAGGTATTTTCTGGTCAGACACACGGAAAGATCGTACCTGCTCGTGGCCCGACCACATTCGGATGGGATCCAGTCTTCGAACCTGATGGATTCGAGCAGACGTACGCCGAGATGGACAAGGTCACGAAAAACCAGATCTCGCATCGTTACAAGGCACTTGAAGCCCTAAAAGCCCACCTCATGAAAGACCAGTAAATTGTTGTGTTGTTTGAACGCTCAACAGCTGATACATTACAACACCATGTTCCATCTTGTCTTCCTTCTATCGACATTGGCCGGACTTGTTCGTGCGACCTCTCTTTGTTTTAACGTTTTAACAGTGTTTTTTCATCCCATCACAAAGCATAATCGAACCCGACATTAAATATGGCGCTTCCGATCGGGTACATGGAACCCTTGCATTACATCCAACCGTCAGCACTTGTTGAGATCCTGCGTAATCCACATGCACCTGGTAAACGTCCTGTAATCATTGATGTGCGTGATACGGACTTTGCTGGTGGCCATATCCGTTCAGCAGTGAATATTCCAGAGGACAATTTCATGGACGACGACGACGTGGACGCCCTCGTAAATAAGTACAAGGAGGAAGACATCATTGTCTTTCACTGTATGATGAGCCAAGTGCGTGGACCTTCCTGTGCCAAGAGATTTAAAGCCCGGATGGAGGTTCTGCTGGAAGATAAACACAAACCTCGAGTGCTCATTCTTCACGGTGGCTACGAACGTTTCGGCAGTGTAAGCAAAGTGCATGTGGCTGCGATCAGTTAGTTGCCTGATAACAGACACTGCTAAATATTCTGCATCATTGCTGTTCGTGGACAGATCTACAAGAACGAGACCGATCTCATCGAAATGGACGACTGAGTCGTCTGACACACTGTCGCATACAGCGTGGAGCGTCGCGGCAGACTCTAGAGATGGTAGCTTGCTCGCTTGACTCGAGGTGTTTGCTTCTTCGTGATGTAGTCAATCAGGAAGTTTGCCTTTAAACATTCAATGTTGTGTGTCTTGAGCTTCTTCAGCCACAGATCTCGGGTTGGCACCTCCGGTGGAAATAAAGCCACGACGGGCGTCTCGGGAGTCGACTCCTTCGCTAAATTGTCAAAGTCTGCGGACTTGGTGAGCGGAATCACGGAACCACCACCGGCGAGTACGATACGTTCGCACATCTCTCGCGGGGGAGTGCATTTTGCGTGGATGAAAAAGCGCCAGCCAGCGAAGGCACCAGGGTGCCCTCCAGCGCGCTCCTTTCGCCAGTATTCGCACACTTCTGGCCATATTCTCGAATCAATATCCTTGTTGTCCGATTTGTGGCTTCCCCACTCGTGCGCTGCCTCATTGACAAATTTTTTTGCTGCAGCGCAGGCATCCAGGTACGATGGCTTCAATATCCACTACAATACACATCATGGACAATGTAACATTTGTTGAAACACAAGCCACGACCCACTCTCTCTCCTCAAACACTCACCTTGCCAGCCGCACATCCGGCAATGAACTTTTCTGTTCGCTTGAGTTCGCTGCAAATAATGTGAGTACAGTTGCTGTCAAACACGCGACCAAACTTACTGACGCTTGCACCCAAAGAAGAGATGATCGAGGTGTGCAACGTTGCCTGGTCTCGATCGCCGGACAAAAGGAACACGCGTTTCATCTTTAACGATGAAATTACGGCAGTGTCCTTCTTTTGTTTCTTTGAAGAGCTCTTGCTCAATTTGGAGGTGTCCAGTTCTACCGAGTCAGCACCCTTGCGCTTCTTCGTTCTTGACTTCTTAGCATGTATCATTGTCGCTGTCTCCACATTGCTATCGCTGCTGATGTCTATGACACTTGGTAGCTCCTTCACAGCATCATCTTCAGGTTTCGTAGCCTTTACAGCAGGTTCTTTCTCCACTTCTTCCACATCTGCGAACGCTTCATCAGGTTCATTCTTTCGAGACTCCCGCTTGTGCGTTGGAGAAGCGCTTGTGTTTGTCGGTGTATCGAACAGCGTACAAGCGACGTCTTTCGAACGGTCAGGGGTCATATTTGATGGATTTGTGATTGCTGCCGGAGTCGTTGCCTTTTGGTTTGTTAGCAACTTCTTGTCACTGGGAGTAGGCACTTTGTCAATCTCTGTGAGAACATCATCGACGTCAAATCGTCCCTGACCAGCCTTCTTATTCTTTCTTACACTTCTGGTGCTTGGCGTGGTCGGCAGCTTCGTTTTGCTTACTATTTTCTCGTCAAGATTGATATCTCCACTGTTATTCTTCTTTGAACTATCGGTGTCTCCCGGTTGCTCCTTGATAGAATTGTACCGGAACGTATCTTCGGCGACGTGCTCCCACTTTGACAGGCATGCAAAGACCCACTACAAGCATACCATATTAACAAAATCACCATCATTTTAGAAGTGACGATAAACCAAGAAACCATCACGGGCATACCTCGTGATTCAAAACGTTGTCAAATCTCCAGCTCAGTGCCTTCTTGTACTTTTCTCCAGAATCTTCATAGCACAGGAGGTGCGTCGAATGCATTCGCGAGAGTACCGGGAGCAAGCATGCACCGGTGGCGTGAACAGCAATCTGAAGCTCTTCGCGAGTTGGGCTTGACCGACTCGAGTAACCGGACAATGTAATAACGAAAGACTGCATTCCGGGGATACTTCCAAATGATCGGACTGGCCGCTGAATCGCCTCATTATATGAAGTTGGCTTGCTGACTTGTGAAAGCCCTGCAAGAACCCAATAGATACTAACCACCGTTTTGCCTTGGCGCATGGCTTCATTGTACTCGAATCCACCACGATACCGACATACGACAAATGACGCATTCATGACCACCTTGCCCACAATGTCCTGGAATGAATCACCGAACGGTACATTTGCCACCTTGGCATCTACTGACTTCAGCATATCTGACAATTTCTCTCGCAACAGTGGGGCTATATGCTGCGCAATGAGTACAATCGCGCCTTGCAACGTCTTCTTCATCGCCTTCAATTTCTATGAGCAGCAAAAAACAAAAGGCATGGTCAATATTCTCCACCACCTTAGCAAGCATGTCTTAGTTTTCTCACGTCGTTTGACAGCTTGCGAACGAGTGAAAGCTCTGTGCCAAGTGCTGTCTTCCCAAGCTGGTACACGTGTGCACATTTGCTGAGATTCAGATCTTCCAGCTGCACGTTTGGTTGCGTCGTCTTATTTGGCTTTATAATAGTAGCTCTAGTTGATTTCAAATAAAATGGACCTTCCAGTACGTGACTCTGACGCATGACACACTCTTCAATCCACGTGTACTTGACATGATGCTGAGTCGCCAATCCAGCATGTTGTCCCATATAGGCAACAACACAAGTTGGCAGCAAATACGTCGAGTCTGTCGACGTTCTTGTCGACAGATGGTGGCACCACGCCTCTACACTTTGATCTAATTCTTTTTTGGAGAAGTGAAGCTGCAGTAGTTTCTGGTCTTCTTCTTGTTTTTCTCCTATTTCAGACGTCCACGAGTCTTTGTCCTTCTCATCTTGATACAAAATGTGTGTTGCACCACCATAAACTTCTTTCTTATCCACAATTTGCCCACCAAAGTGTGTAATGAGACCGTGAATGACCTTCCTCGGGTCTTTTCCGATTGTTCCCGCCGAGATTGCAAGCGTCGAGAAGATAAGCGCCGGGTTGGGGCTAAAACGATCCACAGGTAGAAGGCACTGCAGTAAAAACGTGCGAAAGACCCATTCCGGTCGCACAAGAGCCACAAAGCGTTCGTTCCGCTGCTCTACAAAGGTCTGGTAGGCCTTGGGATGACACACAATGTGTGTCATGGCGCTGTCATTGACGGGGTTAATGTCTTTTAACAAAGTAGCACCGCCATCTCGAAGACATAATTCAAGTACAGCTCGTTCGTTAGCTTCCAGCCCCATTGGGTGCACGATGCATCGCATTGACGCGTATAGAGAACGCTGCCGCATGTCACTCAGTCACTTTCTTGGCGGATTGAACACTGGTGACGAGGAAATTAATAAATTACCGTTAGAAACGGAATCAAAAGGATTTCTATCCTGGTGAAATAAGTATTTTATTTAGTATTTAGAAGTAGTGTAGAAGTAGGAATCCTAGAGTAGGTAATCGTAAATATACGAATTGAAACCGAGACCGGGCTAAACATACAATAATTACGAAAACCCACGCGACGAAGATAAAAAAACTGCCGCGACCACGAAGACCAAGCCAGCTACCCAGCGACGACTACGACGACGACGACCACAAGGACATCGAAGACGAAGTAATGGGAAGCACTTACGGCGAAGATGGTGTGGTGAAGTGCTAATTTTGTGATGTGGAGGTCCCAGACTCCAGTTGGATTCGGAGTATAGGCCGTGGGTCAGGGACAGGGGACCAGAGAGACAGGGGCCTCGAAGGGGAGCGACCGTTGGTGGAGGACAATCCGCAGGATCCGCCGAAAAAATCAGTATCACGGTACCGGTTAACCGGTACCAAAGGGAGTTGATCATGGCCGCTCATTGATCGACCTGGCCCCTCGTTGGTAGACCCGGGTCCCTCATTGGTCGACCCGGTCCCTCATCGGTCGACCTGGGTCCCTCATTGGTAGACCTTGGTCCCTCATTGGTCGACCCGGTTCCTCGTTGGTCGACCCGGTTCCTCATTGGTCGACCTGGGTCCCTCGTTGGTAGACCCGGGTCCCTCATTGGTCGACCCGGTCCCTCGTTGGTCGACCTGGGTCCCTCATTGGTAGACCTGGGTCCCTCATTGGTAGACCCGGTCCCTCGTTGGTCGACCTGGGTCCCTCATCAGTCGACCTCGGCCCCTCGGGGTTCAGCCACTCCGGACTGGTTAATACAAGGATCAGACTAGTCGACGCAAGGAATCAGAGCTTCAGGCAAATAAAGGAGTTAAAAGGATAGGACTATATTAAATACTACTCAATTTGCGATCTACGTGGCTCGACTCCGTCACCCAAGAAGGACTTGTTCTAAGCTACTCACTGTTCCGGGAAGGGATATATTTTGGCCCCCGTCGAAGACAGTTGCGTAGCGAAGTTCAAGGGCTCCAGGGTATATTTGGCCTGTGAGCTCGTTCGAGTAGCAACACCCCCCAAGACCCGCTATCGGAAGCGGTCTCCCTCACCTCAAGGTCCGGGAGCAACGTAAAGGTCAGGTGGTTAATACCCCTGAAACAAGGAGGAAAAGGCCAGGGACGACAAGCCCCTGAAGAATTTGGCTCTAAGTCCACTCTCGACAAGGTCGATCGAGTGGCCAACTACCGGCCCACCGAGTGAAGAATATCCACTCGAGGTCCCCCAGGTCTACCTCCCTCAAGGCAGACATCTACATCGTCACCAAGTCCTCCGAAGAGTGCAACCCGCCAGCCGACGGGTACACAAGGTGAGAGAAGGTTCATACGCGGCATCGGGGTACCCCCTCCGACAGTCGGCAGTCCGGCACAGTGAGTGGTTTGGGGTCTCATCATACAATTTTGAGAACCCACTCCACCACAATGGCGGAAGTGAACGCATGCAGATCATGCCAAACTGGACCAAATATGTCCCGACCGAGTGGCCACCACCCGCCGACGTAATCCCGAAGGAGCCAGAAGAAGGTGACTACCCGACGCGCCGGGAGTACGGGGAGGCGGTATACCTACGGTCTCGGGTCATGAAGCAATGGAGGAAAAACTATGGACTGGCGCAGCGCACGACGGAGCCACGGGCGGATACAGCAGGAATCGACACGCGGGAACAATTGGCAGCACGGCGAAAACGTGGCAAGGACCGACTGGGATGGACGAGGAGACGCCGGAAGGGGGGAGGCAAAAGGTTGCCCTACGTGGTGACCGGGAATATCATCCATCCCAATAACGTGGTGCCCAGCACCCAATGAAGAAGGGAGGAGAGCGGCGCAGCCTCACCCATGGAGGACGAGCGGAGTGAAGACGGGAAAGGCGACGAGGATGTCGAAGTCGCGGAAGAGATCGACCTGACGCATTCTGATAGTGACGACGAAGAACCAGTCGAAGTCGCGGAAGAGATCGACCTGACGCATTTTGATAGTGACGACGAAGAATGTGTCGAAGGGACGCGGGACTGAATACTGCAGAACTGCAAAGTGGGGCAACGGGTATCATGGCCGACGGACGTCCGGCGTGTGTCCATGATGCTGAACCCCGACAAGATCACCTTCGAGATACCAGGTCTACGGAAGGAGAAATGCGGATGCGAAGGAAGATGCGAAATCGCGACGTGTCCAAACGCGGTTGAGGAGCAGGTGTGTGAGGATTTCTATCTTTTGTGCGAAATGCAACGTAAATTTGAGTTTTAGTGCCAGCAAAAAATGGGGTTCGACTACTAAAAGTTATCGCAAGTATCGACAAGATTGCAAATAAAGCGTTATGCCCGTCATTTAAATTCACTGCTAAAGTAAACCTTTTTAGCGTCAATTACACAAGCACTGCGTTACTTCAGGACGAGCTTATTAATGGCCGCATCGGCAAATTCCACGCGACGTGAAAGCACTTCCTTAACACGAGCAGCCGACAATGTCCAAGCCACACCACGACGTCGAAGTCCATACACGTCCAGCACGTCTTGAGGAGTGTCCAGATTTAAAACCTCAGACAGTTGAGTCAAAACAGCAAATGCCTCACGTACGTCGTCGTTGGCACCACCTTCACCGCTAAAGAAAGTGCTAATGACACGCACGTCTTTATCAAATTGCAATGCACCAAGCTGGTTTACACGAGTCACTCGAGTGAAAAACCAAGATTCCATCTGAGTAGCCGCATATTGAGCGACTCCCTGCACAATTGCACGGTAATTACTCTGCGAGAGATTCCCACGAAAGCCAGCTAGCAGCGAGCGCAGACCGCGTACAAAGGCGTGTGCAAATGGATCGTTTGCCTCGTTAAACGTGAACATTGCCTCGGTCAGCTCGTATTGCACACCAATGCGTCTCGGTCCAGATGACGACGACAAAGCTGTTGCAGATGCGGCCAAAGCCGATGCTGCAGAAGATGCCGACGAGGACGGTGATAACAAACTGTTGAGGTATGTAGCAATCGTTGGTTCCAAAAGCTTCAAAAGCTTTTTTCGTGACACCACAAGTAGCTGCTTTAGTTCAGCTGATGCGTCTTCGAGTGCGTTCAGACAAGTCGTAATATGCTGCGGCACTTCAGGAAAGGCTTCAGGCAGCTCATGTTCAAACTCGTCCTTCAGTTGTGCGATGTAACCGGAAATTACCTCCAAACTGTTGAGTACAACATCGGGGGCGTGTTCCCTCCGCTCTTCTGACGTCTGTCCAGCAACGTCGGTATTGCTAGCACCACCCACAGGCCCAACAGTCTTGCTGAGCTTAGCAAATTGTTGTTGCATCTGATCACGCAACTGCGCCGAGGAAGCAGCCAATAAGCTGGACGCATCTCCTGGTGCTCTGTCCATCTTAGCAGATGTAGTCATATGTCGGATGCGACTTCGCATCGTGTCTCCAACAACATCACGCAACACGGTGTTAATCATGTTGAGAACTCCGGCCGCGCAGTCGCCATGGCCTGTCGCCAACGCACGCAACCCCGAGTTACGTGCTACGTAAAAAATCTCGTCAATGGCCGATGAAATTGGATAGCAGAGTAGTTCATCGCAGGCATCGACTCCAGCACCACCATTACCCCCATCTCCCGATGAGTAGTGAAGTTTTTCCCACTGAAAAGCTTTCTGAGCAGCCTTATTCAGTAGTGCGTTCTCGAAGAAGCAGTAGAATCCTGCTAACTCCTGTACAGTTTTTCCTATCTCACTTTCATGGATTGGAGGCAATACGGGGTTATCCTTAACGTCAACAGCACTTATTTTCTCACCATTTCCAGCTTCCGTAGCACTAGCTCCTTCTTCATCTTCTTCAGGCACCACTCTTGAGCGCATAAAACGCTCGTACGTTTGCGTGTGCTGGATCACTAGGGCCATTTCATTTAGCTGTTCGTTCATGACGGAAACGCCATCATCCCCGGAACTTCCTGGTGCTGCGTGGACCTCATCGCTGCCACTGTTTCGATTTGACGGCGACAACGGAGTGGTCAAAGTCGACGGTCCAGGCTGCTCTCCATCCGTGATACGTTCATGAAACTTGCGTTGCGCCATGTATGCATTCAACACAGCAACAGCCGACTGCTCCCCTAGTGCGTACAGCTTTGCCACAAAGCGATTCGGGCCATGAACTCGCTCAAAGCACTGCACCAACAACGCCGCATGTTGCTGTGCTTTTTGTGCCGCTTGGTTGAACACTTCTGCAAGACGTGTAAGCAGTTCCGGGATACTAAACACATTCACACGGGGATCTCCGTCCCGCTTCATCGACTCTTCCAGCGACTTTTGCACATGCTCTAACAGCATCACCAGTCCACGTTCTTCGAAGTCTCTTCCCACCACTTTGAACAATGGCGCGTATGTCTGTACCTTGCGGTTGTCTCCAGTCTGCAGTCCGTCATCGAACGCGCCTACAATGACTCCTTTAAGGTCGCTCTCAATCGTATCCACTCGTAACTTGTCAGCTAAATCCAGCGTTATCTGCTGCTCTATACTCTTGAGTGTCTGAAGGAACGTGGCAGCCTCCGGATATCTCTGCTGCTGCATGGCTAATCGGATCCCAGATAATGCGTTACGCAGTGCCAAAAGCTGCGCCGATTGCTTCAACACCACACCCAAACGCGACTGGATCACGTCCAGACGTCGCACCTCACGCGTCATTTTCTCTGCAACGTCATTTGCGTTAGCAACGCGCTCTACAACAGCTCCAGTCTGTGCACAGAGCACAGTCACATCAGGTGTCAATTGACGCAAAGAACGCAGCGAGCGCTGGGCCGCTACTTTTTCCAAAGCTACGGGTGACGTGGCAAACATCAAGGACTCATCATACAGTAGTTTCTGCTTCTGTTTGACAGCAACGAGCTGCGCAACAAGCGCCGCGTGCTGCTCCTGCTGCTTCGTCCGACGCTGTGGAGCTTTCATTATTACGGCACTGTCATATTATGTACAATACCTCAACGACACACCACGTATACATGACATTTAGTCAATTTGGCTAATCATGGCCGAAGTGGCGACGTATGTGGAGTTGTGCACGCGTCTGTCGCGTTTTGTGCAGGCTCATCCACGTGATACGCTCGGCAAAGAGTTGCAAGAGATACTGAATGACCTGTTAGCGTTGTTTTATCGCATCGATTTGTCTGCATTATCAAATGATCTTGAAATTGACGCACCACTTGTGGGTCTTGCAGCTATGGACGATTTGGTCTTGTTGTCGCTGCACAAACTGCTAGGATCTTTCATACTGCATTCATATTCTTTTCTTCTTCAAGAGCATTCTTTCAAGGTATTTTCTCGCGTGTTGCGCCGCTGCAAGTCTCGGATGATAGGGAATAGTCCCGGACAAGTGCAGCGGCGTCTGAACTTTGTGCAGAGCTGTGTGTTGTATCTACCACCACCGCCTGAAGCTACTGATACAAAAGAAGAGATGCCTGATACTGTGACTCTTTCTACTCAGCCGGAGGAACTGAGACTCGCTATTCTGCAGAGTCTACGAGAGTTATTGGAGGAACAGAATCAGGAACCAAAGAAGCAGGTGATACAGCTTCAAGTGGACCAGCAACACTTTTTCGCGTACTTAGTGGCGTCGTTGCTCCATGTGGCACAACGAGATCGTTGTCGAGAGGCTGCGCTGCAAGCAATTGAAGTGCTAAAGTGTGTGTTACTCTTCATTCGGGACCCCCTCACACTTCGGCAATACTTGCCTGGTGTCGCTGCTGGATTTTGGAAAAGTGCAAATGCACCGCAACAAGCGTCCAAAGTGATTGTTGCAGCATTACAGGGTCTTGCAATAGCGTTGGATCTGTGTATCGGCGACGATCATTTGCCAGGAAGTGGTGATGGCAGAATGAAACAAAAGCAGCAAAGATTTACTCTTGAAGCGATTCGACAGTCTGTTGAAATCAATGCTACTGAAAGAGACGATATAGACTCGGTCGATGTAGCGTCAAATGACGATGACAAATGGCTGGAGACAACAGCGATAAATCTCGATCTCCTGCTTTCACGGATGTTCGCTGCTAGTGCCACGGCTGTTGCTGATGGTACTAGTACAGGTTTACCACGCTCTTCCTGGAGAGTCCGTTGTGCACTTGCAAAGCTTTGTGGTACAGTGATGCTCCAGTGCCGACGAGCGCTCCGCATATCCTTTTTTCGGTGTTACGACGAGCTTTTGGTCCTCCGTGGTGATGCTATCACAGAGGTTGCCAAGGAAGCAGACAAGGTGCTCCAAAAACTACAAATCTCGGCTCTTTCTTCGGAAGAACGTTTACAGGTGCTACCTGAGATGGCAGATCGTTTTCAAATGCTGCTTTCTACACTGGTGCTCAAGGTTGCTACGGAGCATGAAGCTACCAAGGTACATCTCGTGCGCACTCTTCGCGGATATGTGGAATTTCTCGGATCTAGTCTCACCCCATACCTTGACGCGTCTATTGAGAGTATTTATACCTCCCTTTGTCGTGTAGTGTCCTTTGCTGCCCTTGACATTGAGTTGGTCGTCCATCAATCGCTGTCAAATCCAGCCAAGTCCAATGAGAACAGCGATAACGCCCCGACAAGCATCGTGGTCTCTCAATTTCAAAAACGATTGCGTTTCTTCAATGAGGAAGCCTCAGTCCGCGAAATATTGGCGATGCTGCGTGAGATCGGGGCCGTCTCAACGCCTGCGGGCTTCATCGACTGCGCCTTCACGCTATTATCTGAGACGAATACGAAGGCCACAGAAACCGGTGGTGCTGAAGTTGTGCTGGTTTTAAACGAGCTGCTACGGGCTTACTGCCCGAACAACAAATGCAGCATCCACGCGGTAGATGTCCATCTTGTCGGCCGTATCCTAGAAGATTTACTGGTGCTGGAGGCATGGGATAAGCACCATTCGCCAACGGACCGTGGTTTAAGCAAAGCGTTTGCGTCCCAATGTGCGCTTATGGTGGAGTGCATTGGTGTATGTGCCGAAATTCTTGGCGCAAAGTTTAAGCCGTTTCTGCTCTATGTTCTTTACCCGTTAGTCGAACAACTGGGGTCGCACAGCGTGGAAGTAGAGCGTGCGGCGTTGGCTGCGTTGGAGAAAATATACCTTTTCACAGGCTACAAGTCTCTTGAGGCTCTTTTCCAGGCCAACATGGATTACTTTGTGGACGCCCTGTGTGCTCGGCTTGAACAATTGGATGCGTACCCAATGACTGCATTTGTCGTTGAGGCTTTGTTAAGGCACACTCGATTGGCGTCCTTGCCGCTGGTCGATGAGGTAGCATCGTCGTTGCTTCGTAGTGTTGATCTGTATCAAGACTCACCTCACGTCGACGGTTTACTACGCGCGCTTAAAAATCTGCTTGGTAGTATTGCACGCGACGCCCAAGAAGCTGAAGGGGAAAAGGTACAAACGCTTGGCGATGACGAGCTGGAAAAATCGTCAAACTCCCGCTCGCTCCTGAGCGATTTCATTCATGAGATGAAGGTGTTGGAGAATGATGGTATAGATGCCCTTGAAATTGAAACAGAGGGCGGCGACGAAGAGAATAACTCTGTTCCTGAAAGCTCTGGTCTCGCAAGCGTGAAAGGTGCTATGCCTCTGGAGTACGATGAAGTCCAATCTGACAGCCACGACGGTGATCAAGGCAACGAGAAAGAGAATACAGCAGCATCAGCCTACCGCGCTCTAGTCATTGATATCATGGATCGATGTGGTTATTTTCTCGTAAATTCGGATCCCATCGCGTGCTGTCTGGTTTTATCTCTCATCGATGAAGGTGTGCGATTCCTTTCCAAACATCGGAGGCAGCTATTACCCCTTGTCGCACGCATGTGGCCCGAAATGCTGCCTCGGTTACGTGTGAAAAACCGTGCTATCATCACCAGTACAGTCCGTGTCATGACTACCTTAGCCGAAGCAGCAGGTGATTTTGTGGGAGACCGCTTTGTTGAGACGGTATGGCCAATTTTTCGATCTCAACTCCAAACCATTCATTTCGACTCGGACGCCAAGTCCCCGCAACTCACACGATCCATGCTTTTGCTCTCAAAATCTTCAATTGAGGCTCCACAAGTCGTGAATGCTCAATCACCTGGATTAGGCACTGAAATGGAGAAGCCAACAGATAACGAACTGAGTGCTGTTAGTATATCACGGAAAACGCAAGAGATTCACCAACTGCTAGCGATTCTGTCGTGTCTGACCATGGTTTGCCAACAGTCGGAGACGATGACCAGACTTGTGCCTGAAATTGCCCGCACGTGCTGCAGGTATCTAAGTCGTTCAGCGCCACGGGAAGTTGTGGAACAAACTTTAGAACTATTTGCAGCGCTGGTGCAACTAAACGGTGACGAAGTGTTCTGCACTGTAGCAGCACTTGCTGACTGGATTCCGCCTACGCCGCCGAGCTCACGTTTTTCAGCGTATGAACCAGACGCAGCTCAGCACTTTTATCAAAGCCATTTATCAGGACTAAGTGGACAAGCTCAGACTTGTCAAGAAAACGCTCGCGTCTTGATGAAACGCTTATTCAGATGATTGTCACTGGACATATACAGCAGAGAAGCCTGCGTCATCGTTTATTGAGCGAGAAGTGATGCCAATATATGTCAGTCCAGAGTTAGTCTGTCGTCTGCTTGCTACTCGCGTTTTCCTGTCTAGACGCCTGCATGTACTCGCATTAGCCTAGCCGAACATACCGCCCATGTTCCCAGCATATGCCATCGGTCGAATCGGTGGGTGCTCCTACACAAAAAACGCACTTGTGAGCAACTTGTTCTTCCAAAACCAACCTTTACCAAAGTAGCCACATTGTAGAGAACGTACCACTGCGACAAATTGCGTGAATCGGGGCTGCATGTCCTTTTCAAAGCGAATGAACGCTCCCTTGTTGCCCATCTGGTCGCAGTAGTTTGGCGCACTGAAAACCGTAATACACTTCCCGTCGTGCTCTACTAAGTATCCCTCATCCTTAACCTCATGCGAGCGTACCAACAAGTCTGCATTCATCACAAAAGCATGTCAGCGCAAAGTACCAATACTAAACAGCAATAGTGCATTAGATCGTACCAAGTTTGTTGTGTTCCAAGAAGGCTTTTGTAACATCGGGTCCGAAAGAGAGACCGATACCGCGTTTGCTAGGACCGCGACCCTGGAAAGGCTGGGGATCGCTCCACATCAAGTCACTCATTAGCCCGCTCTCAGGTGGCTCGTGGTTACGGTCGATCTTCTCAATATCAGCAAGCGTCACATTCTCCTCGCTGAAAAGACCGCCGTGCACGACCATCACCTTATCCTCGATCACGGCTGCAAGAGGCAGCCAGTTAAACACCTCCGTGAAAAGCTGCATGACCGTCTCATCGTACTTGTGCTTCACCTCGCCCTCAAAGCCGTAAATCTTGTTCATGTTCTTTGACTCGTGGTTACCACGCAGCAAGTGCACATGCTGCGGGTACACGACTTTCATGGCAAAAAGCGTCATGACCACCTCAAATGAGAACGAACCTCGGTCGACAAAGTCGCCATTGAATAAATACGGATTAGCTTCGTTCGGCAGTCCATTTAGCGAGAAGATGTTGCACACATCGTAGAACTGGCCATGAGTGTCGCCGCACACGGTAAAATGTGCGTCCGGGTCGTCGGACGGCAGCGAAATGCGCAGCAGCGAAGGCAGAGCACACAGCATCTCCTTAAGCTTTAGCAAGATCTGAATCACAAACTTGCGGTGCAGCAATTTGCCACGCTTAAAGCGATCCATCAGTGCCACAATAAATTCTGGCTTAGTTTGCGTCGCATCTTCGGGGAGAAGCGGGCCATCGTACGATGGATCCACCACTACACGAATCAAACATTATTCACACTATCAATTAGCTGCAACTTGTAACCTTTCAACAACTCATTCACCGTCATTTTACCCATAGAATTGACGTCAATAGTCTCTGAGAGTGGCAAGTTGCGTTCGGATTGAATCGCAGCCGCAAATGCTGCCTCCTTGATAATCTTTTCGCACAACTTGAGCTTCGCACGTGCATCACGATCTTGTGGTTTCATACGTACAACTAGACGAAAATCTTTCACCGCCTTCTTGTGATGTCCTAGCGCTAGTTGCGCCGATCCACGTCGATAATAAGCTGTAGTAATCAACCCAGTAATGTAAAAGCCTCAGTCAGTCCATTTCTTGCCTCGTTTTTCAGTCAAAACTCTCGTAAAAAGCAAGTAGATACCAACCTTTAACATATCTAGAGTCAAGATCAATAGCAGACGATGCGTCATCAATTGCAGAGCCGTAATTCTCGCTCTTGACGTGTGCGGCCGCACGATTGGCGTAAAAGATCGCAGAGGGGGCCAACTCGATGGCTTTCGTGTAAAGCTCCACAGCCATCAAGAACTTGAAGTGTGCCAGCGCCTCATTGCCTTGTACCTTGAGCGCGTCGGCGCGCGCGAGCGTCTCATCCGACACGGCGCAAGGCGATCCCACGGTCACAGCGATGGTAGCCATTTTATTTAATTGCTGGACCATTTTATTTAAAAAAAGGAAGGCGTCTGATTGGCTAATTTACATCTTTTTGATTTTGAATTTGACCCATTATCAGATCAGCATGTACCCAAATCAGACAAGAAAATCCGCCATGGAAAATCCGCTACATGTGACAGTGTCCATGGTACCGTCACGTGTTAAACGTTCGCTAGATTTACGTGATATGATGGACGAACTACCGATGTTAGCAACGCTTAAGGACCACAAATGGATGGACAGACTGCCGCGCAATTTGTTTCGCAAGTTGAAGAAGAACTCGCCCAATGACGTTTCGGATACAGACACGACACTATTATCGCCTGGATTTTTACCAACGCCACGAGTATTTTATACAATTATAATAATTATTGTATAACAATAATTATTACATTACTAACAATAATTGTGTTTTTGCAAAATAGACGGCCAGAGCCATGTCAGTATTGGTGCCTCAGCCAAATGATGAGGTTCTGGAAGCATTGGACGCTCGGTTCTTTACAGAAACTTTTGACCCTGTTGCAAACTTGTTGGTACGCAATGCAATTATGCTGATAAATGGCAAAGAAATTGAGTTTACATAAATGTATGCTTTGTTTCTTGCAGAAAAATCTTCCAGAGAGTAAAAATCAACTGAATGTGTTCATGCGCACAGAAATCAGTGCAGTCGATGTGGCAAAAGATGTTATCTTGATGAAATTGCAAGATGAAGTACGAGCAAATTACAGTTCATTGATTCAAGGTATGAAGGTGGTACAGGAAGTTGATCTCGATTTAATACGAGCACAAATCCACGTTAAGAACGGACGTCGCCTTCTTGCAACAACGAAAAACGATCTCGTTCTTAGGTACAGTTTTTTATTGCTTACTTATTACGTAGTTGTATATTTATACTTTCGTGGTACTGGTACTGATATCGAATATAATGCCAAGCTCTTTAGCAATTGTGAAAACCAAGCGAAACCGCGATCGTGTTAGTGAGGTAAAGTGTGTTCTTTGTGTTTGTGTCTATCCGGTGCTAATTTTTCTTTTTGCAACGGATAGATCATCAGAATTGGATTACAAATTGTCCAGCTCTTTGATGATGAAAAGAAAATGAATGTGGCCCTGCAAGAACACCGGTTCATCACTGCTGTGGGTGTCGTGGTGCTTGAGCCTTATACCACTCGATTTTGTGCTGATTCTGCTAGGTGGAATGCTTTACATAACAGGTCAATATTTGCATAGGCCTTCGGAAAAGGTTATCGCACGACTCGTTGCAGGGGCTTACGATTGTGAAAGATATCCGATTCCGGGTAAACGACTTTATTCCAAGATTGAGGGAGCTGTTTGATCAGGTAAGCTTTGACTCTGCCCTCCTGTACTGGCATGTGGTCGTGTAATTGATTCCTCGAACTGCTGGTTGTAGTCGCTGCGGAAAGTCGCTGAGCACTTCGACCCGCTCGAGTATAAAGATTTACTGCAGGCATACGTCACATTAGCGGACCACTCTGAAAATCTCGGCTTTGAGTTCTCGTCATATACGCTGACCGAAGTGCTGTCCAATATCCCTGAGATTATTGTCCGATCCATCGACGGTATGAAAACTGCGTTTATACGTCGAGTTTTCGAAGCCGTGTCGCCAACAACAACTAAAAATGAAAGGGAGACCAATCAGATTGAACAGATAAACACAAGCAAGAATGGCGAACATGCAGATGTAGCACTAACGCCGGCGTCCCAAACAGTCGAAAGAATCAAGCGTTGCTATGAGCACCTCGCTGGTCTGATGCACACTTACTATTTATTGGTCCAGTGGCATCGGGACCCATTTAACCCGCTCAACGACGACATTGCTTACCTTCATCGCTGCGGAATTGACGATGATGACGATGATGATGAGGATGATGATGATGATAGTGACGATGACCATCATGGGAAAGAGTGTCATCATTCCCACTTTTCAAAGAACCGCCCTGCAAGCAATCGATCGAAAGAGCCTGAGTCCCCATCGCGTCATATGAGAGATAATGGACTCAATCACTCTAGCTCACAAAGGTCACGGTATGATCAAGTCCTATGTGATACCGGCATGACTTTGCTGAAGTATCGCAAGATCGTTTGGGAAAATATGCAGCAAAATGTGCTGGAGATGATTAAAAAGCTGGACACGTCGTATGGTAAGTATGTCGAAGCATGACAATGCAATTATAGTTGTTGACATTATTTCTTTATAGGCTATCAGATGGAACATATTATTGCTCTTTCACTAGCGACGACAACGTTTAATGAGATTGGGGAGGAATTTACCGGTGCTCCCTCGTCAAAGTGAGTCTCGAGTACCTCCGTGCGGTTTAGTGCGTGTGCTAAAAAAGACGCTATTGTACAGGATTGGGTCAGTTCTTCGAGTCAAATGTGAGCAGTACCTGCATGCGTTTCATGACGACAATATTGAATTAGCTCGAATGCATCTGGACACAGAAAACTGGCTTCGCATCACTACACCGTCGACGGATGGTGACGATAAAGTAGGCCTTCTTCGACTGATCGAGAAGCGAAGTGGATACTTTTTTGAACGGAAGAGTCGCAAAGACCTTGCAGTCGACCCTATTTATTTGAGACGAGTGTTTCCATCGTTTCATACCGAAGGAAATCCATTTAGCGCTGCCAATTCGATGGAGTGGCTCTCTATGAAGCAAGGTATCCGCTTTTGCCATGAAACTAATGGCGGCGAAAATTGTGGGAATAAGACATCACCGCCAGAGTATAATAATCAACGACTTCCTGTCATGGACCCTAACGAATCAGAATTCGTATTGACTTCGTCCAGTCTTGCAGGCTTTGTCCGGTGAGTATCGCTTCGAGAAAATGCTGTCTGTTTTCGTTTGAGAAAGATGACTGATCCACACTTGTGACTTTTAGGCTGTGTGGTGTTTACTTGAAAATGATGGAGCACCTTCCGCACATCAGCTGGGATGTGTTACGCTCGTTGAACTATCTGTTCGAGTTCAACTTGTATGTTGTTTTCACCAACTTCATTACGCCAGACGACATCACACAGTTTTTTCACGGTATGCGTGGAAGTTCGACCAAGAACGATGCAACGCGGTGGAATGAGCTACGCACTGCAATTTGTCGTATAGCAGATGAAATTAATGCTGGTGAAGTACTGCTCCAATCGTCTGCATGGATCTACCCGTCGACAACAGACGGAAGTATGGATCAGCAGCAGAACTCGCCTATGTCGAGGAAAGTTACGCTGCGTAAGGTGACTCGAACACCCTCGGCCGTTGAGGAGAGCAATTCTTACGCGTTAGCTGAACGATCAATTGCTTGCGAAGCAGTGGTCGGTCAGTCCAGACTGCTGAATGCTATCAAAGCATTAGCTCGGTCGTATCTTCCTGATCGGTACCTTTGCCTCATGGATGAAATGTATGAACGAAACTACACTGTGGCACGTGAACTTCGCAGCTTCATGCACAGTACAATTGCAACGAGACTTGTGGACATCCCAGCCCTGCTGGAATCAGTATTTGCTGTATCTTGGGACATTACCTACATCAGTGATCAGCACAACGAGTATATCGTGCATTTGGTACAACAATGTGGAGAAGTATGGGAAGGCCTTCAAATTCTGGCGAACGGATCCATTCCAATCGACGCGCGCGAGGATATTTGGGCAGCCATGGTACAAACTATGATAGATACGCTGTTGCAAGCATTTTCGACGGCCTCCAATCCAACCCCTCAAGGTCGTGCACTCATGTTGCTGGACTTGCATGCGCTCCTGAATGGTCTCGATCGGATTAACCATATTAGCTCTCGAGCTGTGCCTCGCGGTCGCGAGCATGTGGGTAATTACATCAAGGCCTTCTACTATGACGAATACGAGCTCTTGAAATGGGTTCAAGATAACAAGGTGGGTCCCATTGTTTTTTCCAAATTGCTTCTGCCGTAAGCTCACATGTTAACGTAAATTGTAGACGTTGTACTCGAAGGTCCTATTTGCCAACCTGCTCAAGAACGGCATCGGATCGACGCTAGAGATTAAGAAACTCCGCGAGCTTGTCTTGGAGATTGACACAATTGTTGGCTAAACGCGCTATAAACATTTATTCTTAGGGACATTTGTACAGGTTACAATTTTCTTCGGCAGCTTCAATCGCCACCTTTTCTCTAGGCTAATCTCTTGATGTCAGGAAAAATTTTTGATCCTTCCTATGCCAAACTTCGGTCAGCGCCTTCGATGTTTTCACCGACCGACGCCTGACACGTAGACCTCTGGCCGTCAACATTACCTCGTTACGATTTTCCAGCAACTCTATTGGTGGTTACTTGCTTACCGCGCCAAAGCAACGCGTAGCTCTTGCTGCAACTGCGGTTGCGGAATGACCTCAACGACGAGTAGCAGCAGCTCATCCGCCCCCTGTTTGCCAAACATTGAGCGCAGGAAATCGACAAAAGCCTGGCCCGTCATCTCTTGGTTTCCAAGTGCCTTGGCTGCTTGCTTGAACTTGTCCACCGTGTCCATATCACCATTCGAAAGCGCATTTACTCGTTCTAGAATCTGACGATTGGCTTTCTTCCGGGATATCCGTCCAGGAACAGCAAGATCGCTCGCGCGGCTTTCAATGTTAGAGAAAATCTTCAATTTTTGCTCTGCTGATGAAGATGCCACAATCACGAAGAATGAGTCATCCATTTGACAAACAAACTAGACCGTCGCATGCTAACGTACCATATGTCTTGGACCGGCGATCAGCCTCTTCTTCTGGCATGCTCATAAGGAGGTTCTGGCGCTGCGACTTGCTCTCCTTCACGTCATCCGTATCAATTGAAGCAACGGAAAGGCCACCCGCAGCACACAACGCCTCACGCTTCTCTGCACTCTTCAGCGAGCGCACGAAACGTAATAAAATCCAGCCTGCAAACTCGGGCTCAAATTCCTTGTGCAAAAACTCTACAAAAGGGTTTGCAGCCGCCGTTGGGTCGTTCTCTTTACGGAAGGCGCGTGCGCGCTTCTTGAACCGCTTCACCTCGTGAACTTCACAGCGAAGAGCAATTTCCTCCTCAATCTCCAATTTGTACATCTTCCTTTTCATATTCATTGTATCTCCTGGGCCCGTGACACTTGTACTCGACGCACGATAGTCTGAATCCAACGAATCATGTCGCTTTCCTATCGAGGACGAGAAAACGCCCACCATGTTCATGTTCTGCGACGTCGGGTCTACGAGTCCACTGCAGTCCATGTGCTGTTCTGCACCAATAAAGTCCGCTAATACCTTGCATCCTGCTCTCTTAGAAAACTCCACGACGTCTGGAAATAGCATCACGCGTTGCATGTAAAAATCCAATTCAGCTCGTCGTTTCTCGAGAAAACTCGACGTATGATCCTGGTGAAAAAAGCACGCACGCGATGACCTGGTGCAAAGGCCACCGTGACCATCATCTTGGCAAAAATCGACTGACGAGCCGCCCGCATCCGATTATCAAAAGCTTGAAACTCGTCGTACGTCTTCCAAAGACTCCATTGAGCCACTTGCTGCGGCTCGTCCTGTTTCTCCTCCTCTTTCTTGTTAAATTGACAAAAGAGCTCATACTGTAGCAGCAGCAGCACAAGAGCGGTATCATTAGTCCTCATGTATCTCTAAACCTTTAAAAATCCTTTTAACAAACGTACTACTGCTGGTTTTCCAGTTGTTTGGGTGGCGTTGCGTACGTGCAATTTAAGCGGTGGGACTCGCAGTAAAAAATCAGGCGGTGTCATGGCGAATCGTAAGAGATAAAGAGAGATCTCGTAGTCAGGGAAAGACGTGATATGAGAGGGACGTCAGCGAGACGAGAAGTTGCGATCTGACGACAAATGAGCTGGCAAATGCGCGAGTCAGAGCCCAGAAATTTACGTATGATAAAGTCAGGACGGTTTGCGGACCTTCAAGACGGACTTTCTGACTTGCGATCAGCTTTGATAAGTCAAATTTTACAATAGTTAACGTTAATGTTGTGACAATATTGTTGTAGTACCCCGTGGTAAATTACGAGTCACGTCACAGTGAAAAGAATTTGTGTTATTAGTATCAGCAATGACAATACATACGGCAAGTATATATTGTCCTACAAAGCACGTTTCAAATTGACTAGTTCCTTGTACTGCCTCGTCCAATACATTCCTAGCGATTTCAGTTGTTTCGTCGAAGCTTTGTCGCTGGTGCCTCGCCGTCGTTGTTACCAGGTCTCTTTCGTGATTCGATACGCATGCGTGCCGATTCCGCACGCTGGCGCGCCGCCGCCAATGCCATGGCACGATCCAGACCCTTGGGGGTTGTAGCTGCATGCAACGACTTGTCCAACAAGTCATCGGTCACGTTCAGCTTTGAGAGTACTAGCGTGTATTTGTCTTCCTCTCCGATGTTTTCTGCGACGTGGAAATACACTAGATACGAGACCCAAGTATCCCACACTGGGCTATCAAGCATATTGATGCCTGCGCGATGAAGATGAAGATACTCGAAAACATCGTCACTATTCTTTCCATCTATCTTCCACTTCTCAAACAGATGCTTTTCCAATTTGGTTGCCACGTTCTTCGCAGCTCCGTCGTCTTTCGCTGCAGCAAGCTCTGCGGCTAGCACATAATATTTGTTGGAGTGTTTCAATGAAAAAAATCTCTTAAGTATCAGCGAATATGGGTCGATTTTTAACCTGTTCTCACAGAAGTAGGTCCAATCTTTCATAAGCTGACTCCCCATAATCGAAATTACATCATCGTTGCCAGCTCCTAGCAATGTACCAACGTCTCCCGTACGTCCATCCTCTGTCCACTTCAGCGCCAGACCCAATTCCAAATGTTCGGCAGTAGATCGTGTAGCTGGGACGTTCTTCCCGGCCGCTAGCATGCTGCGCACCTTTTCTTCGCCGTAGCGAGTTATAAGCGCTGAAACTGTTGCCATTTTAGCGCCTACAGGATCGCGCTCGGTTTTGGATTTTTGTACTACATTTTTGGCCCACATTTTGAAATCGGCGCTGTCCAACAGGCCTTCCATGTCTTCGTCAAACCTGGCCATGCCAGTCTCAAGCTCCTCGGCAGTTTTCAATGTCGTTGGAGCTTCGGTGTCGTTCTCAATAGGTTTTTCTTTTTCCTCAAGCATTCTTTGCAAAGCTATGGCACGTTCCTTTCCCTTGACAGTTCGAGCTGCAGCGAGCCACTTTTTCAGACCTTCGTCGTCGGCAAAGTCCTTCCTCAGCATAAAGAGCACTAGCTCGTTTTCTTCTTCTTCTCCGATTTCTTCTCCGATTTCTTCTCCGGCGTACCGCTTCACCAGATATGAGACCCACGTGTCCCACTCTTGCGTATCGATGCCTGCTTTTTCAAGCTTAAGAAGTTTGAATACCGTGGTACCACTCTCTCCATTTTTAAACCACATCTCCATCAGTTGCTTCTCCAATTCAGTTGCCACGTTCTTCGCAGCACTGTCGCCTTTCGCCACAGCAAGCATTTTTGCTAGCGATTTGTCAGTATCACGCTTTAGTTTATTCGGAAAATATTCCGAAAGTAACAGCGAATATGGATTCTCATTCAGTGTCTCCGCACAGTAATCGATCCAATCTTTCAAAGACTGACTCCCCAAGAATTTGGTTACATCTTCCTCGTTAGCTGCTAGCAATGAAACACCTCTGTAGATATTTCCATCCGATGTCAACTTCAGTGCCAGACCCAATGTCAAATCTTTGGCAACAGGTTGCGTAGCCCGGTCATACTTGCCAATCTCTAGCATCCAAGTCACCTTTTCTTCGCCGTAGCGATTTAAGAGCTTTGATATCTTGGCTATTGCAGCTTTTACACGGTCGCCATGGTTCGCTACATCCATATGCCTGGCCCACTCCTGGAAATTGGCATCCTTGAGCATGCCTACTAGCTTGGGCTCAAGCGCATCGGCAGCTTTCAAGGATGCAATCACGTTTTCAATCGGAGAAACGGTCATATCAAACCCCGCTCTTTCGTCGTCGTCGTCGCCGCCGTGATTTGCCTCCTTTATATTCGAGTTTGACCGCAACTGCCGTTTCACTCGCGTGTCTCTCAGTGGATGCTGCGAAGCAGAAGAACCAGCGATGATCATCCTTACCATAGGCGTCTGACTATTGCTGAGCAATGTCAGTACAACAACTACAGCGAGTACCATATACAAGTACAGATACTTAACTTTATTGGTCTTACAGGCCATTCTGGAATCGACTCAGCCCTGTGGGTCTTGAAGCGAATAATATTGTGATGGTAAACACGTGAAACGAGGAAGTAAGCTTCTAAAACTCGACCAATAATCCTAGCCAATCGATTAGAGCTCCCGCTGAGTTTCCATCTTCAACAAGAAGGAACAGCTCCCGCGATTATCCGGTCGACCGGTCGAGAGTAACATAAAACGTATTGACAGTAACGAAACGTTCTGCTGGACCAGCAGACATAACACCTTTTTCGGCACGCAGGCGTTGTGGACGACCTTCAGCGGACAGTTGTTTCGCTGCACCTCATCCTTTTACCATGACACGATCGTTCCCCACCTCGCAGCTCGTTCTGCTGGCTCGATACTTTGGACATAACGGAGGCACTCGCTCCTAGAGGGAGTTCGCTTCGTGTTACCAGGATTTGCGCAACCGACAGCTTGGAAGATCGTCAAGGATAGGAAGTAACCTAGACGTGCAGCCGGGATCGACACTTGGTTGGTGCCTCTTCCAACACCGAGGATACTTTGCAGACTGCTTATCTCTGAGTCGCACGCTGCGTCCAAAAGGTAGCAAAGACAGTTCGCACTTCCGCTATGGCGGTTGATGACAAAAGTCTAAGCTCGCTGCAACTCGTACGCGAGTTCACTCCCAATTTGCGCCTTTGGGCAACAACAGACAGAGACGGAGACTTCCGAGAGCCAGGGAACTTGTCCCCTTTTCCTTGGATGGGAAGCCTACCATAGTGGGGCCAAGGTAAAAGGAGGGGAGGACTACTCCTCGCTGCGCGCGCTGGGAGGCAGCGTAGCGTGTGACTCGTAAGTAGACAGAGAGAGAAGAACAGACCGTCTATTTCAAACATTAAGGATTGGTAAGATGTCTGGAGTGCTTCTACCAGGACTTCGTCATTCTTCGCCTCGCTGGCTCAATCTGCTGGCTCAATCTGCTGGCTCGAGACGTCGGGCGTCACGGGGGACACTCCGAAAAGGGCACGTGGAATCGGGTATCCAGCCCGAGGTGTAAACAGTGGCTCAATGATCGCAACAAGCGCCGGGCACCACACCGATCAGTCCCGATCGACCGCTGATGCACCTGGACGGGCCGATCAATTCACGTTCTTGGCAAGTTCACTTCGTGGGACCGAGATTCGCGCTCAGCGATCGAATCGGCGTCTTGAAGGCTGACGTAGAATAGCAGGAACTATTGGGGAAAGAGGGAATGATAACCGCGGTCGTCGATCCTCTCCCCCCGGGGGTAACAGGGTTGGTGCTCCCCTTACGGTTCGCACGCTGCGCTTGCCCCCCATAGCGCACGCAGCAGAGGGAAAACCTCCCCCCTCTTATCCTGGGCCTCCCGTTGAAGGGACTTCCCGCCCTGGTCGGAGGGGGCCGGTTGACCGGCTCTTTGAAGGTCTTCGTCTCTTGGCCGTTGTTGCTCGAAGGCGCGAATTGGGAAGTGTGTGACTCGTAAGTAGAGGTGGTACCCATGAGTCTGGGTTGGGTAATGGCGTTTACCCACGACTCAGACTCATTCAAATTTCATTACCCACGACTCGAACCCATACCCGCGGGTAAATACCCATGTTACCCGCGCAATAAACATGCAAAGTTGCGGACTACCAAACCTTATGAAAGCATTGTGAAAATTGGTAATAAAAGTATTTACACTCTACGTCTCCCACGTGGAAAGTTCAATCGGGCAAGCGAAAGCGCTGACAAAGAAAAAAAACTAGTCTCTTGCCGACAAAGGAACGTGATCCTGTGTGTAATAGGGCATCTAGTTACACGTAAACATTAAGTAATATACCTAATGTTTGGTCTAAAAATATCCATGATTACTTTTGACCTGTCACTTGGGTGCGATACACAAAAGTGATCCATCCTCGTGAATGTGATATCCATTGATGGATTCACATGGGAAGGGATGACGCTAGTTGAAGCTAGGCATCGCGACGTCTCAGAAGGATGTCATTAGCGATCTTAATTCTAGATTTAAGCTCATGCGTCAGGATACGCTTCTAAAAAGTCGCCTATCCGATCTATCTATCTATATATATAGCCAATCAGTAGTTAAGTATATATTTAGTTATAATTCATTAAATATAGCTCAGTCTTGAATTTGCTTAAATACCGAAGCACCACGCACGAGAAGCTAAAAAAGCTTCTACGTGACGTCGGTGCCTTCTTGTAAAGGAGTTATTTGCACTCTCGCTCAAGCGAGAGGCAACTGGTGGTACGACTGCTTAAGCAGTCGACCAACCACACAACCACCCTCGCACGCGAAGGTAAGACGGTCTAACCGCTTCCTCGCTTGTGCTGAAGATGTGTGCTAGTAGCACGAGGCAACTTCGTAAAAGTGCCTGTCTACACTGTGTCCTTATCCAATTCTTGGGGCGCAGAATCCTCTCCAAGCTTTTGGAGGGAAGCGAAGTTCTATCTTATCGGTATGTCCTTATACCTTATAAAAAACTCTTTCAGACGTAATTGAAGACGCGAGGATGGCCAGATAAAACATTGCCATCCTTGCAAGTGTCGGGAATTGCAGCTGATGCAGGGCCCACCACTCCAATGGCAACTAGTCTGTGTCCCAACATGAAAAAGAGCAAAATAAGCTTAAGCTTCTTCCTCGACTTTTTTCACTGCGGTCTGTAGAACTCTGCCTTCAGCAAAAGCGAAGATATCTGGCTTCATGTCGTCATCGCACTTGTCGCTATCAATGTTGACAGGTGGCGGAGGCAACATTTCTTCTGATGACCTCTGAAACATGGATGCCGCATCCACGAAAAGCAGCTCGATTGCTTCTGGGCTATGTCCAGGAGCCCAAAATTCCTCTAGCCATTCGTTGAGGTCCTTGAACCAGCTAATATTCCATCTCGGATCTTAAACCGTTGCAAAGAAGTTTGCATCCTGTTTAACCGCCAGCTTGATATATTTCTTGAGTTTGCTTTGCATGACATGCGCCACCAACTCCAGTTCATATGTGCGGTAGACCTTCACCAAAAAGGCATAATGAGTCACCAATACAAATAACAATTAGAGATCAATACGAGCAGGTGTGTCTGATGTATGTCCGGAAAATTTGTTACATGTACCCCATGGGTACCCATGGGTAAGTGGATTGGGTAAAGCCAATTACCCATACCCAACCCATGAGTCTGGGTATGGGTAATTAACCACTGAGTCTGAGTCTGGGTACCACCTTTACTCGTAAGGGTGGTGGTCCGCAGGATATCCCTGGGTGTTATGCCGTCGAAAAAGCGTTGAGGTATCTAGCACCACGTTAGTTCCTATCCTTCACGATGAAAGGCCAAGAATCCGACCCGTTCGCTGAGCGCGAATGCCGGTTCCACTAAGAAAACTACTTCGAGAGTCGTGACGACTCCGTTAAAATCCAGTACCGGTTTGTTTTGTTATGTATAGTAAGCAGCAGGCCAGACACTATTCGTCCTGTGGTGCGTATAGGCAAGTCTGGACATGATTGTAACTCGAGGTTAATGGGAAAAGCAGAGCAAGTTGATCCCGCGGAAGAGGCCAGGGCTTACGTCATGATGGCTAGTTGGGAATCTATAAGTGGTACAAGACTCCCATCCAAGCATCCACAATCCTTTGAAAACAGATTACTCCGAGTGCGCGAGCAGCCCAGCCATCCGGTCAAGACTGCGCACAGATTTAAACTAACCCCGGACTTGGTCAACGGACCTACTTACGTGTCTTGAGAAGAGTGCCCCCCCCCCCCCGTGACGTCCGACGTATCGAACCAGCAGAATGGAAAAACGAGGATGGGGACGATCGCGTCATGGTAGAAGACTGAGGTAACCACTCAATCAGAGATCTTGCATATAGTTTTAACTCCCTGTAATAGAAAATCTGAATGTAACGGGGTTACACGACGGTTGTAGCGTCTTTCCGAGAGTTTACGGTTAAACTCCCCTTTGTATTGCATATAATGCATTTTGATACTTCTCTTAGAGAGGTATTAAGTATTAGCGTTAAGATACGGTATTCGGTAATAACGTATCTTATCGATTAGGATTCGATAAATCGATAACGCTGTACTAAGTACATCATACACAGATGTTTAGACGATACGTCATCCAATAGCAAAGTTTGCATATAATAATTACCTATTATAGTAATTAATCTAGTGTAGTGTACTTAGAGTAGGACTATTCATTAAAACCTGAAGCATAAATAAAATCAGTTCTCATTTTGAGTTAAGATCGCAAGTCGCTCTGACTTGTTCTCTTGTGCACTTCTTGCGTTGGTTCTCTGAACCTTTAGGCTTCTGCTTGTTCTTGCACTCTGTGCGTTGGTTCTCTGAACCTTAAGCTTATTGCTTGAATGACTAAAAGTCTATTTCCTAGTTCCTTAGAACAGGGTGACTTTAACTCGTTTAATTAGTTCCTTAGAACTAAGTGGCTTTTAGCCTTAACTCTATTTAGTTCTCTAGAACTAAGAGGCTTCCAGCCTAAAGTCTTCCTCTGGCTAAAAAGCTGTGCAGCTCCGCTACACTTGGTATCACTCGTAGTCAATCCTACACCTGAGTCTTTGAAGACTGACCCTCTGTGAGGATAGAGAATCAAAATCACCTCTCTGAGGCGCAACGACTCGCGCTAGATATATAATCTGCGTTTGTTGGGCCCGATCAAATCAAGGCCCTTTTGGCCCAAGGCCCCGAGGTTCTAAATGCTCGTCTTGAGGCCTTTATGCGTTATGAAGCAACGCTCCTCGGGCAGGTCCATGACCAGGCAGCGTCAGATGCGCCTACACGGTACCTGTGCCCGATGCAGAGCCAAAGGCTCGCCCACTTGTTTTAAACGTAAAGACCTTTGAGGGGAAGGAGGGAGAAAATCTTCTCCTCTGGATTCGAGAAGTTGAAATGGCAATGGATTCCGCCATGCTTGTATCAGATAAGCAACGAGTTGGCTTGGCCATTTCGAAGCTCGGTGAAAGAGCTAGAGAATGGGCTCTAACGAGCGATGTCTCTGTAAATGCTGCATTCCCCACATGGAACTGCTTAAAAAAATTAACTTGTGTGTTTGCACCGCCTAATCAGTCTTATCGTGTGCGCTCACGCTTCTTAGCTACCCGAAAGGGTAAAAAAGAATTGTCGGACTATGTCCAAGAGTTGCGAACTCTCATTGCTGCTATGCAGCAGAACCCTCTGGCAGAGGAAGTCCGAGTAACCATTTTTATGGAAGGACTTCGTACTGGAGTCGCCAGGACGGAAGTTTTCCGTGTCCAGCCTTCAACTTTCGAAGAGGCAGTAAGCATAGCGTTTAACGCTGAATTTAATTTTAAATCTGCTCGATATGGTCTGCCCTGGTATCAATCAGATACCTCTAACAGGGCGGAACCCATGAAACTCAGCCATGCTGAAGAAGCTGAGCGTCAAGCTTCTGAGCATCAAGGTAACATCCGTAGATGTTACATGTGCGGAAGCACTAGGCATCGCCGCCCTAGCTGTCCGTTGCGAAAGCAACGTTCAAATCGGCAGAGCCGAAACCCTGCTCCTAGCCAAAAGGCGAGCACCGCAGGGGAAAACGTCAACTCCCACTAGCCGCGGGGCACCCTACTGGGAAAGAACTAAGTTCTGTTGAATCTTTAGGAGGTAAAGGTAAACAGGGCTTTGCCCCAGGTGGTTCTATGAATGCTTCCATGGAACAAGAATACAAGCCAGGCTTGTTGGTTGTGTCTGCAATCGTTAAGGGTTTTGAGAAACCATGGTCAATTTAAATTGACTCAGGGGCGTCAATTAATTATGTCCGACGTCGTTCCCTTGAAGGTAGTAAGCTGTATGCTGAGGCGCTAGAAGCGCAAGAGGGTGATAGTATAACCGTGCGTCTCGCAACGGGTGTACGTGTCACCGTTTGTAATGGGATACATTACACACATAGTTAACACAAATAAACAAATACATATGTAGACAGGTGCTGGGCCCGAATAGCGGACACAGCGTGGTAATTTATTATTGGTCTATTATTGGGGGCCTAAAGTCCCAATATGGACCAATGATAAATCAACCTGAAATTGTGTGGTTCCCGAAAGGCGGGAACACTGTCATATTTATTACGACTAAAATCTTCGTAATTAGTACGAATTAAAACCAAAATTAAAATTAGAGTTAAATTTACTAAATACCTAATTTTTGGGCTTGAGTCTTCCTCAACCGCGCGTGTGAAATAGTGACGGTACGTTATAGTCCCGTTACACCTGGTAGCACTTTGTAGTCCTTCCTATGCCCGAGTTCGGATGAGTGTATCGTCGTACTTTGACGCTCCAGATATATTTCTGGAGAACGCGACCTTCCTCCATCTTACTGGTGTTGAGTGGGATGCCCTTAATCGCCTCGAGGCGATATCGGGAGAGGCATTCGTCGCGTCGCTGATGAAAATCAGCGACCCCTGACGCGCAACGTTTCGCCATACATGAGTTTATGGCACGCGAGCTCGCCGAATCCAACCGGCGAGGCTTAACTTCCTCGCGCCCTTCACGTAATGAGGCCGTGAAGATGGAAACCTCCTCCTACTCTGGAGAAGGTAAGGACCGGTTGTCGCTAAATCGATGGTTCCGAGAAGTTAATATCGCCATCCCCTCGAGACTTCTTGAGGCTCCCCAGGCGAAGGTCAACTTTCTTCTTTCCCGCCTCACCGGGAAGGCCAAGGAGTGAGCCCTTGGTAAGCTCGTTGTGGACGAGCACGCATTCCCCACCTTGGATACCATCCAGGACGATCTTCGTCTTGCTTTCGAGCCACCGCAAGAGGATAAACTGGTGCGATCAAGATTCCTGTCGATGCGAGAGGGTAAAATGGCGATGCGCGACTACGTACAGATGGCTAGGCATCTGGCGTCGTGTATTATTACGCACCTCATGGACATGTACACGCAGGTGAATGTCTTTGTGGATGGTATGCGTGAGGGGCAGACACGCTTATCGCACGAGCACGCCGAGCCTGCCACATTGGAGGAGGCATTTGCCATCGCACTCCGTGAAGAGTTTAGGGTCACAAAGGCATATGCCAAACCCTCGGTCGTCAGCGTTCCCCGGCCTTCTGGTACAGAACCTATGGAGATTAACGTGATTGAGTAGTCGGGTGACCGACGACGTGTCATTAATTATAAGGGTGACGCTCGCACCGGGCGTCAAATGGTTTGCTTTCGCTGTCGCAAGCCAGGACATCGCGCGGCAGAGTGCCGTGCACCAGCGCCAATATCGGTGCAAGTAGTGGACGCCCATCATGAGGGTGCTGTACCGGCCGCACGTCCAAAAAACGGGCGGGACCAGTAGGTGCAGGGAGCCCTACTGGCTGGAACGGAGGTCCGGGTCCCCCGGTGGCAGCCCAACCTTCCAGTCCTCCGAAGCTACGCGCACGGATAAATGCCACCACCACGAGTGGTGATTCACGTCTGATTATTGTCAGTTTACACGTCGCCGGTATCCGGCGACCTCTGCGAGCACTCCTGGACTCAGGAGAAACAAATAATTTCTTTCGTGAATCTTGTATATCGATGCTGCCTCCCAGCATTCAGGTCCGTGAGGGACCTGGCCAAGTCGTCGTCAAGTTGGATGACGGGAAACCACACCGCGTATCGCGGCGCGAAGTGTCGTTGCCGTACACGTTTGATGGCTTTCGCAGTAATGATGATTTCTTGGTGATCGCAATGAATTATGCATTCGATTGCATACTGGGCATGCCATGGTTGGCACGTTATAAGCCCCAGATCGACTGGTTAGCCAGATCAGTGAGACCTTGACGCAAGTTCGATGTCAGTGAAGTGTTTACCCATCTCTTGGTATCTTTAAGTGACTGGTCGAACGTCACATTCGTGGATCGTGATTCCACGACACTGGCGGTGCACAGAGCGAGCGATGGCCCTCTCTGCACTGCTTGTGCTGTTCTTCGAGACACAAGTGACAGTGACTCCTCGCTACAGAGCGAAGAGGACGACGCGGTCGAACAGGGGTTTCCGCGCGTCTTTAACGCGGTTGAACAGGGGCTCCCGCACGTGAATGCAGTGGTCGAACCGGGGTTCCCATCTGCACGTATTGTGGTAGAACAGGGGCTCCCATAAGGGCATTGTGACGACGAGCAAGAGCTCGCCAACGAGTGCGACGTGGACGGACACGAGTCCCCACGCGAGAGCATGATGGTCGAACCGGGGTTCCCATCATCACCCACTGTGGTCGATCCGAGGTTCCCACATGGACATATTGTGGTTGAGCAGGGGCTCCCACACGAGTACAACGTGGACGGACAGGAGTCCCCACGCGAGAGCATGATGGTCGAACCGGGGTTCCCATCATTACCCACTGTGGTCGAACCGAGGTTCCCACATGGGCGTATTGTGGTTGAGCAGGGGCTCCCACACGGGTTTACGGCGGCCGAGCAGGAGCTCCCGCATAATTGTCGACGGTCGAGTTTGGGGTTCTCCCGTCTAGTGTTTCCGGCATCGTGGATGAAGACATCCAGTGCCTAGAGGGGGGGTGATGGTTTATCACCTGACTGCGGTTCGCCAGCTTCGAGTAGTGACTCGAAGCACGATGGGGACAACAGCACCGTGAATTTAGCGTTGAAATGTGTCCACGCTATCGTGTACGTGGAAGGGAGTCCACAAAGGCGCCAATATATCGAAGTCGAGAGCCCTCCTCGTGATGCGTCTTCCATTACCAGCCTTCCAGGGCTTTCCTGGAAGCATTTCCTACGTGACCTTAAGGGAGGCACTGTGGAACAAGTGTGTCTAATCACCAACGAGGTGGTTACCGTGGAAAACGAGGAGCATATGGCGCGTCCTCGAAGCGCTGAGCCGAAATCAGCGCGTGAAGAAAGGTTTGCATCACAGTCATGGGAGGCTCTGCGAGAGTCTGGTAACCCTGTCAACGACATTGCTCGTGAGTATGCAGACGTGTTCCCGGACAAGATCCCAACTGAACTTCCTGTGTACCGTGGTGTTCGGCACGATATTGATCTCGTGCCAGGGCCGAAGTATTGTATGACATGGCAGTGGCCGTTGCCTCGAGATCAAGTCGAAGCTATCGACACATTCTTCGAAGGACGCCCCAAAGCGGGTCATGTGCGTGAAAGTATCTCACCACATTCGAGTCCAACCTTCTGCGTGAAGAAGGCTACGGGAGGCTGGCGGAAGTGCATGCGTTTAATAAGCTGAATGATGCCACTATTCCTGCGCAAACGCCTATTCCCAGGAAAGACATGGTGCTGAATCCCATGTCAGGAAGTGTCATCTTCAGTGCCATCGACTTGACCGATGGCTTTTTTACTAGATTCTGATGCTACCGAGTGATATCCCACTCACCGCGGTGAGCACCCCGAGTGGCATGTTATGGGAGTGGCTGGTTATGCCACAAGTGTTGTAGAACGCTCCGGCCACTTTCAATCGCATGGTGTCTCAAGTGTTGAGATCCCTTCGGAACTTTTCTCCAAGTTAATTTGACGACATTTTCGTCCACAGTCGCGCCGAGGGCAACCTCAACGATGTCCAAGTTCACCTCCAACACCTGAAGCAAGTGTTTCAAGTTATGCGGGACAACAAGTTGTATGCGAATCTCAAGAAATGTGTCTTTTGTGCACCGGAGATTCCGGTGTTAGGTTGCTATGTGAGTAAATCGGGAGTTCGAGCTGATCCAGAGAAGGTGTCGTCCATCTGTTCTTGGCCCACGCCCAAGAACCCTACGGACCTGCGCCAGTGGCTCGGCTTGGCTAATTATTTGCACAAGTATACGAAGACTTATGCTGGTTCTATCCAGCCTTTGTCGTCACTCTTGAAGAAAGACGCCACGTGGTTGTGGCGTCCCGAGCACCAAGCAGTCTTCGAAGCAGTAAAGAAGAGCCTAGCGTCAGCGCCAGTCCTGGTCCTACCAGACGACTCCAAGCCGTTATACGTGGTTTGCGATGCCAGTGATTCGCAATCGGTTGTGTCCTCATGCAATTTGATGATGAGGGCCGTGAACGAGTCGTGAGCTATCGGTCTCGACAGATGAAGCCAGCTGAGAAGAACTATCCGGTTCACGACAAGGAGTTGTTAGCGATGCGCTATGCACTCATCAAGTTTCGCGTGCATCTGCTTGGTGAACGTACATTCGCTTTGTATACCAATCATGCATCGCTGTGCACAGCGATGAAGAGCCCACACCTGCCCCAACGGATGGCACGATGGCTCTCTTTCTCCTCTGAGTACAACTTTGTCGTGCATTACAAGCCAGGCAAGACCAATATTCTCGCTGACGCCTTGTCACGACGTCCCGACTACGATCCTTGGACTTCTCTGAGTCGTCAGGCTACTGATGACAAGGAAGATGATGACCGATGTGCAATGTGTGTATCGCTGAACTTAACTCGGGTTACACCCGAGCCGTGTTCATTTGATGAGATCGTCGCAGCGTACAAGGGCGATTCAGATTACGCAGACATTATCGAGTATCTGCGTGCTCCCAGCGATGCTGCACTGGGAGCATAATCCCGAACCAAGTGCGACCACATTCATCGATACAGTTTAGATGGCGATTTGCTTCTGTATAGCATCGACCACTGGATTCTCCTCGCACGGTGATTGCCAGTGACATGGGTTTGCGTGCAAGAATCATTCACGAGTATCACGACGCTCCTGCTGGCGGCCATTTAGGCCGCGAAAAGATGTGTCTCGAGACTTCTTCTGGCCCCACATGTATAAGTGGGTACACAACTGGATCCGAACGTGCGAAATATGCCAGCGTGTGAAGCCATCTCCATCATCACAGGCTCCCTTGCGATCGTTGCCAATTGCAGCAGAGGCATGGAGATCAGTTTCGATGGACTTTGTCTTCGGGCTTGCGCCCGATAGCCAAACTCGAACGGGCACCTTGGTCTTCGTTGACAGCTTCAGCAAGATGACACATCTCGTGCCTGTTCACGCTAAGGTCACCGCGGCAGAGACCGCGGCGCACTTCATCGACGCGGTGTTCCGTCATCATGGCCTTCCAGAAAACATTGTTTCGGACCGTGATCCGCGATTTACGTCCGCATTTTGGACGTCACTTCTCGAGCTCCTCGGGACAAAACTGCTGATGTCGACTGCGGCCCATCCGGAAACGGATGGGCAGACCGAGCGCGTGAACCGGGTCCTCGAAGACGTTCTTCGAATTTACGCTACGTCATTTACAAGTTGGAGTGCATTTTTACCACTCGCTGAGTTCGCACTCAACAACGCCGTACACGCGTCAACAGGGTTGACGCCATTTTTTGTGAATTCGGCTCGTCACCCTCGTGTTCCTACTGTCCTGGCCGTGGGGCGACCCACAACACCTAGTGGCTCCACTCTAGGGGGGATAAAGGTGATGAACAAGGATCGAGTGCAGCTCACGGTATTTTGAGCGCGAATGCAGTAATCCGATCCAAGGCAAAGACGGCCATTTTGACGCCATCAGACGTGGCGTCCCCATTAGCTCGATGGACTGCGCAGACATTGATTGACCCGTCTTCGGGTAAGCGTTCCACTACTGCCAACTACGCGCCGATTGAGTCGGCGCGACCAATTGATGACATGGCCGTGTCGGAATTTATACTCCAACGTCAAGCCATCAACCGGTTTGTACGCGACGCACTACAGTCTGCGGTAGACCAACAGAAGGAGAACGCTGACAAACATGGTAGAAAGAACATGAGCAAGTTTAAGAAAGGCTATCATGTATTATTGTCTACCGAGGGTCTAAGGGATTCAGCGATTACTAACCTAGGCGCGAGCAAACTCGCGCCACGCTTCATCGGTCCATTGAAGGACTGGAGGCAATCGGCGATGCTTACACACTGGATGTATCTCATCATTGTGGCTCCACCCGACATTCTACGTCGGGTGGCTAAAGGAATATCGCCCGGCTACGCTTCACGGCTTGGGTCCGATGCCGGCTCCAGGAGTCCGTAAGTCGATCGGCCTTCCCGTCGTGCTTGACGCGCCGATGGCATCGGGCGCGGTTGCGATGCCGTATGTACACGACCAAGGACTTGGAGCTCCAGAACCCTCACCCGTTCGAGCAGTTCACGGTTCGACTGCCGGGTTTCACTCGTAGTTCTCTCCGCCTGTGCAGCACGCCCAAAAGCAGCCTCAGGTTCTAGATGAGCATCGGCAGCTCTGTTCATGGCCTGATTAACATCTTCCTGGGCAACCAGGAAGCCAGCATTACCATCGCGAGGGCCCTCCTTCGCTTGTTGATGCGGAGGGACAGGTGCGCTGGATTGTAGACCGCATTGTGGGTCACGAGGACCCTCCACAACCAGCACTGCAGTCGGCTCATGAGAAGCGCGCGGTTCCATCCGTGCGCAGGTACCGAGTACGTTGGCTTGGATTCCCTCCCGAGAAGTATACATGAGAACCACGTTCCTCGCTCCTTCGTGACGTTCCAGATGTGGTTCTGTGGTATGAAGCCACGAAGTCGGGCTATTCCAAGGCGGGCGAGCACGCGAACGCTCTCGTGACAAACGAGAGCGGTAAGGAGATCCACGTCGTCGAGAACGAGAACGATGACGCGAACGAGAACGATGTCGTGAACGAGAACGATGCTGTGAACGAGAACGTCGTGGTGAATACATATTATCACGATCGTGAGGCGAGAATCGCGCATCAGGACGGGCAGGCAAACGTGTCGATGCCCTGCGCTGATTATTCCGCGGATATTGACTCCGCCGTCGCGAGTGGTGCTTCCAGCGAGGCGCACCACGAATAACTGCGCTTCTCCGTTCGCTCAGACTTCGCTCATACTTTGCAATCCAACTTCGTTCGCGATCACTGAGTGGAGACTCAGCGATGTGTCGTCGCCATTCGTCATGAGTTGGGCGTGGATTCGAGTCACAAGACTGGCATCATTCATTGGCATGAATGAATCAGAGGCGGTCCGCATTCCAAGCATTCTCACACACTCTCTCGCGTAGCGCGCCGATGGAGCGATCGGCGCGAAGCTCCTCTCGGTTGGCGAGCCATAGTTGAAGGCTGCTACCATCCTCGAGCATCCGATTCAAACGTTGGATGAAGGAACACCAAGAACAGTGCAGGGCTTCATACTCGATTCCATCAAGACCCTTCTCGCGCAGTTTTCCAAATCGGCGGAAGTAGTCCCGCATCGTGTCCAGTGAGTCCGGAGCATGAGCTTCGGACAAGTCGTACAATGACCAAGGTATGAGTTGCCGCGCCATGATGCTGGTTGTTGCACTCCCTCTGATGGTGCTTGGGAGTGCTTCTGGATTGGGTGTTGGGTCTCCGGACATTGCTTGTTCGTTTGTGAGCGACGGTTTTCGACAGTTGAGCACTAACGGTTGGTGAGTGCTGTCATGAGAAGGGGGTGATGTAATGGCTACATTACACACATAGTTAACACAAATAAACAAATACATATGTAGACAGGTGCTGGGCCCGAATAGCGGGCACAGCGTGGTAATTTATTATTGGTCTATTATTGGGGGCCTAAAGTCCCAATATGGACCAATGATAAATCAACCTGAAATTGTGTGGTTCCCGAAAGGCGGGAACACTGTCATATTTATTACGACTAAAATCTTCGTAATTAGTACGAATTAAAACCAAAATTAAAATTAGAGTTAAATTTACTAAATACCTAATACTTGGGCTTGAGTCTTCCTCAACTGCGCGTGTGAAATAGTGACGGTACGTTCTAGCACCGTTACACCGTTCCTGAAGTTCCGTTGAACTTAGGTGTGAAGCTCTTAGACTTCAATAGCGTTGAACGCTGTCTTGTCCTAGATTTGGACTCGAGATATGATCTCATTCTCGGTATGGCCTGGCTGGAACGTCATGAGCCGTGGATCGATTGGAGATCCAAAACTTTAGGCGCAACGCGCAATGTTCCTAGCGAAGCTTTGGAGAGTCATGAACCCACCTTCGCTAGAAAACAAAAGTGCTATTGGCGCGAGCCATTAACTGATTCAGTTAGTGTGCTGGACATTGGAGTGTCTGAGTTGATAAACTCCGATGTCAACAATAATAGTGTCGAGCAGAGCTCAATGACACTTAGTGGAACGGCACGTATTCCGTTGAGTGATACTCAAAGTAATATTGAGACACTGGATGTCGGTAATGACATCGGCTCTCGTATAGAGCAAGTTAAGGTCGATGACCTTGTTAGTAATATTGGCTGTAAATGGGATTTACTGGATGTCGGTAATGACATCGGCTCTCATATAGAGCAAGTGAAGGTCGATGACCTTGTTAGTGATATTGGCTGTAAATGCGATTCACTGGATGTCGATAATGACATCGGCTCTCGTATAGAGCAAGTGAAGGTCGATGACCTTGTTAGTGATATTGGCTGTAAATGCGATTCACTGGATGTCGATAATGACATCGGCTCTCGTATAGAGCAAGTGAAGGTCGATGACCTTGTTAGTGAAGTCACTGGTACTAGTGACCCACTGGGTGTCGGTAATGACATCGGCCCTCGCATAGGGCAGGTAAACGACAAGGGGTCTGTTGACCTTGGGGATGATAATATCCCAAGTACTTTGAAGAGTACGGTCTCGTCAATGAGACGGCAGCGTCGCCAGATGGCGGCTGCGAGACGCAAAGCGTCTGTTTTATCGCATAGTAATGTCAATGACCAGTTGTACACCCTGGTCAACGGAGTGACAGGTGATGTAGATGGTGAGGTTGACCTTGAGGCCCTCCCGTCATTAAATGCTCTCTTAGAGCTAGACGAAATGTCTGTGCATGAATTTCGTCAAGCCTTGAAGACTGGTATTCTATCCGATATGGTGGTCATTCGACCTAACTCGAGCTGAACTCATCCTCGCTTGTCGATGAGACAGTCCTCGAAGATACAAAGGCGGCACTAAGTGCACGTAGTGGGGCATCTATTCTGAAGAACCCTTCAGATCCTACTATCCTCTAGTTAAAGATATTCAGGACGTGGTGTGCTATGATCCACCGTCGGTTCTACCACCTGATAGGGGTGTACGTCATGAAATTGACTTTGTTTCTGGAACCAAATACTGCGTAGCCTTTACTCAAAGCACTTTGTGACGTCGTTGACGAGTTCTTTCGTGCAAAGCACGCGGCGGGTATGGTGCGCGAGAGTAAATCTCCGCACTCGACACCCACTTTCTGTGTTAAGAAACCGAATGGTAAATGGCGTATCGTTCATGCTTATAATAAGCTCAATGCGGCCACTATACCTGCACAGACGCCAATACCTAGAAAGGATGTTCTTCAGAACAATATGGTCTGGTTGTACCATGTACAGTGCGCTCGACTTAGTCGATAGTTATTACCAATTGCTCATGCGAGCTAGCGATATTCCGCTTACTGCTGTTAGTACTCCGAGCGGTATGCTCTGGGAGTGGTTAGTGATGCCCCAAGGGCTATCTAATGCTCCGGCTACGTTTAACCGTTTGGTGACGCAATTGTTTCGACCCCATCGAAGTTATGCACAGACGTACTTTGATGACATTTTTGTCCATAGTCGAGCTGAAAATGGGCGGTCAGATATTGAGAACCATATTGTTCATTTACGAGCTGTGCTCGGGTGCATGTGCCCTAATACAATATATGCTAATGCATCCAAGTGCATCTTCGGGGCCGAATAAATTTCCTTTCTAGGGTTCTTCATTGGAAAACGAGACCTAAGAGCGGATCCCGCCAAGGTCAAAGCCATAGTCGATTGGCCTGTTTTACAGTCTCAGAAGGACTTGCGTAAATGGCTTGGCCTTGCCAATTACTTACACAAGTCCAGCGATAATTACGCTGATATGGCTCTGCCATTATCCAATCTCCTTAAAAAGGATGTGGAATGGTGTTGGCATGCCGAACATGAGAATGCTTTTCAAGCGGTGAAGGATAGCCTTCTTCATGCTCCTATTTTGGCTTTGCCAGACCCTGATCGATCGTTTAGCGTCGTCTGTGACGCGTCGGATTTTTCCATTGGCAGTGCTCTGTTACAAACAGATGATGAAGGTCGTGAGCGTGTGATCGCTTTGAATCTCGCCAGCTTAAAGCTGCAGAAAAGAACTATCTAGTTCATGAGAAAGAGCTACTTGCGATGAAGTATGCTCTGGTCAAATTCAGAGTTCATCTGCTGGGCTCAAAGCCTATTGTGATCTATACCGATCATGCGTCTATACGCATCGCGACTCAGTCGCCGCATCTCTCGCAGAGAATGGCCAGATGGCTGTCATTCTTTGCCGAATATAACTTCGAGGTAAAATGTAAGTCGGGCAAGCAAAATGCTTTGGCTGATGCGTTGTCACGCAGACCTGACTATGAGCTTGCTCATGTTACGACGATTTCGTCTTCTATCATTGATCTCATTCGATCGGCGTATGCTTAAGATGATCATTGTATAGCCCTGCTACATGCTCTTGGCAGTGGTGAGTTTCAAGACTCGTACATTAAATTGTCGGCACGATTACGTGCGAGCCTCCATCGATATTCTATCGAACAGGGGCTGTTGTACAATTGTACAGATGTGGCGGATCCTCCGCGTATTGTGGTTCCTCACGACGAGGATTTAAAGTATCGTATCCTCTATGAGGTACATGACACCGCCATCGGTGGTCATTTGGGCCGTGAAAAGACCTATGGGGCAGTATGTCAAGGTTATTGGTGGCCTATATTATATAAATGGGTGAGCACATATGTGCGTACGTGTGAAACGTGTCAACGGGTGAAACCCTCGCCCCATTCGGCAGCGCCGCTGGCTAGTTTGCCTATTCCCACTGGGTGCTGGAAGTCCATTAGTATGAATTTTGTATTCGGCCTACCGGAAGATTCGCATGGCAATATATATTTGTTGACCGTCTGAAGCAAGATGGATCACCTAGCGGCTGTACTAGACTCAATAGATGGTGTGGGTACATCGGAGCTGTTTATCGATCGAGTGTTTCGCCAACATGGCTTGCTAGTGGCAATTGTTTCTGATCGTGATTCTCGTTTCACGAGTAAATTTTGGAAGTCCGTCTTCCAGGTGCTGGGCACCCGTTTGGACATGTCCACAGCGGATCATCCGCAGACCGATGGTCAAACCGAACGCGTAAATCGCGTTGTTGAAAATATCATCCGCAGTGTTTGTGCTGAAATGCCTAAGCGTTGGAGCTCTATGCTTCCTGTAGTTGAGTTTGCACTCAATAACTCCGTGCACGCCTCTACCGGCTACACCCCGTTCTATGTGAATGGGCTCACACACCCACGCGTTCCGTTAACGCTACCACCGAGTGGTTCAGGGCTTGGTGGGGGAGAGTTTGCCGATCGTCTTGCTGATGTCATCCCTAATACTGTTAAGAAACAGGTAAATGCGTTTCTCGCAACGCGACTAAATGCCTTACGACATGCGCAAGATGCAATGGCTGATAGTCAAGATAAACAAAAGGAATATGCAGATGCTAAAGGCAGATGTTGTATTAATGATTATGAGGTCGGAGACCAAGTATTACTTAATGCTAAAAATCTACCTACCAATGTAGTATCCGCTGTCTTTAAGACGAAGTTGCGCCCGCGCTTTATCGGACCCTTTAAGGTCATTGCCAAAAAAGGCACAGCGTATACGCGTAATTTGCCGCGCAAATTGCGTACACATCCTGTGTTCTATGTCGGCATGCTGAAACCATATCGGGATCCGTCTCAAATAGACGCTAAGGCGCTCGTGCCGAGTTCATCGGCATTGTCGCGGGGCGAATCATCTGCACTAACAGGTCAAGCTGACCCTACACTCGGGTTCGGCTCTCTTCCAGTGACTCAAGACGAGAGTTCATCGACTGCATATCCGCACGGAGGGACCGCACCTCTTGAAGAAGCTCGGCATGAGCATGTGCCGATACACCGGCCTCCTCCGGCTTTGCTCGATGCGCAGGGGAACCTACAGTTCCATGTGGAGCGTCAATTGCAGAAGCGTCGCCGCCATGGCCAAAACCAGTATCTGGTAAAGTGGCGGGGTTATCCCGAGTCGTGGAATTCATGGGAGTTTGAGACTCCCCTTCGGCAGGACTGCCCGTACGCCGTGGACGTTTTTGAGCGTCGTGCGCAGGGTCCGCCTGTTGGCGCTGACGCTTCTCACCAGTAATGGTGAGGGTAGGCGGGTTAGCGGCCTCGGACTGTCGTGGACTCGCGGCTACAGGGGTAGCCGAAACATTGGGCTGCTGGGTAGCAGACGCATAATGCGTTCGTTGGGATTTTAATTTTCCTCGGGCCTTCAATTTAGCGTAATCGTAACGCATCTTCCGCTCAAGTCGAACATCTGCCACATCGGAACTTGCCCGTAGGACCCACATGCTGCTTAAACGTCGCGCATAATGCGCCCAGCGGCTTAAAGCCGTGTCTTCTTCGTCCTCGGTTTCCCCCGCGAACAGAATGATGGGAACACCCTTTATGGGAGAAACTGGCGCATCGCGCACTTGCCTGTTAAGGCGTGCCAAGTATTGGCTTTGTGTAGTGATGTGGGGTTCTAGATATCTTTGTCGAAGTGCCGTGCGCATAGCAACATCCTCAGGTGAAATGGCTTCAGGCCCAATGGTCCAACCAGAAAGGGAATGCCCAGATGCTTCCTTTAGGCGTTCTTCCACCGTAGGTGGTTTGAACCTGTACTGTCGGTGGTCCTGAAGTCTCGCCATATTCTTCGTCCGGCGTTTGGCGCCTTCCTCTTTGTCGATTGTCTGCTGTTGTTGCTCGTCGAGTGGGTTGGTAACTGTTACCGTTGATGATACGTCAGGTGGGTCACGTAACGCTGTTAGCGCATCTGCAGCACCACGTTCAGGGAACGGATTCGGTGCATGACAAGTGTCATCTTTACCCGTGAGGGTGGCTAAAGGGGACCCATCGGGCCCCACAAAGACGGTGTCACTTTCGTAATCAACCGCTTAGACAAGGTCGCCTTCGATAAGGTCCCGTAGAGTCTGTGACTCAGTTCCAGGAGGCATCATTTTATGTGCCGTGAACAAACCGTAAGGTTTTAACGTTCGCTAAAGCACTACCTCTAAGAGGAAAGATGTCAAATGACATTCAATGGGAACGTCAGTCTGGTGGGGGAGGGTGTAACGGGGTTATACGACGGTTGTAGCGTCTTTCCGAGAGTTTACGGTTGAATTTCCTTTTGTATTGCATATAATGCATTTTGATACTTCTCTTAGAGAGGTTATTAAGTATTAGCGTTAAGATACGGTATTCGGTAATAACGTATCTTATCGATTAGGATTCGATAAATCGATAACGCTGTACTAAGTACATCATACACAGATGTTTAGACGATACGTCATCCAATAGCAAAGTTTGCATATAATAATTACCTATTATAGTAATTAATCTAGTGTAGTGTACTTAGAGTAGGACTATTCATTAAAACCTGAAGCATAAATAAAATCAGTTCTCATTTTGAGTTAAGATCGCAAGTCGCTCTGACTTGTTCTCTTGTGCACTTCGTGCGTTGGTTCTCTGAACCTTTAGGTTTCTGCTTGTTCTTGCACTCTGTGCGTTGGTTCTCTGAACCTTAAGCTTATTGCTTGAATGACTAAAAGTCTATTTCCTAGTTCCTTAGAACAGGGTGACTTTAACTCGTTTAATTAGTTCCTTAGAACTAAGTGACTTTTAGCCTTAACTCTATTTAGTTCTCTAGAACTAAGAGGCTTCCAGCCTAAAGTCTTCCTCTGGCTAAAGAGCTGTGCAGCTCCGCTACACCAAACCTCTTTCTCACAACGCGTACGCAAGTTGCAGCTTGTTAAAACAAAGTGCTGGGTCCTGCGTTGCATCCGCATTCTCCGTATATTTCATGTGATCCACATGTATGCGCAGTGCATTCCGATCCAAATTGCATTTTAAACTTGTCATGTTAGTTGTTAATCGGGTAAATGCGGCTTCAGTTCGATGACCAATTGTTGTTAAGAATGGATTTACGTTCTTCCAGATGAACAATGCCAAATGACCAAGGTGCACGACAATGAAGCCAGAGACTTACGATGATTGTTCCTCTTTCTCTGGTGGCACTACCTACACACCAACCACCTACATCAATGTGATGACATCCATTCGGATGCTGATCGAGCAGTGTAGGTATACTAATAAGGCATTCAGGACATCTAGACATTAAGAAACGATCCCCGTAATACGTCAGAAGCTCAAGAATTGCTGAATGAATCCTGAAATCGTGGCGAGGTGGAACATTGAGCTGAGTTTCAAGCCATCGAGTCGGTACAAATATGCTACAACAATATAAATCTTATTATTACTTCGGCAACGTGACGTTCTTCGGCGACTTGCGTGTCATCCACAGGTCCTAGTTGACATGCGCTTTCATTGTTCTACACGTTGTCAGCTTCTGTCCCGACGCCATCTACATAAAGCCAGAGCTCTTCAAGTTCTGAATGTTTTTGCAGGCCTTAAAACCGCTTGGACGTTCTTAGAGTCTGCGTCGCATATCACCAGGTGGTACTTTTTCTTATCAACTTGCAATTTATCTGTTAGAAGTTGAACAAAAAGGACAACAATAGCACACACAATTTAGATGCAAAAGAGAGAGTGATATTTGTTTCGTTATTCCCCTAGCTAGCTTAAAGTCTATATAATAGGATAAATCATATAATGAAACCCCACACAGGTGTTCGGCGTAAACATGATTATTCACAATCAGTCTGTACCAGTATCATGGATCATCATCTTGAAACTTGCCTTCCAACACTCCTCCTCGTCGACACTGTTCTTGACATAACACTTGATCCTTGCTCTGCCATCGTCGACATTCAATCGATTCAATTTAAACCGATCACTTGGCGCAATTCATCCAATCTTGGTGCAGCCAACGCCTTGGTTAGTATGTCCGCTGGCATACTTCCGGTCTCTCGATATTCCGGTTTGATAATTCCACGCTTGGTGAAACAACCTACAAACTTGATGCGCACATCAATATGTTTGGCCTTGGCTGAGGCCCTTTCACCGTCAAGTTGTTTTAAAGCCGCTTGATTATCCACTCGCAGTGGCATCGGCTCTTCGAGCTTTAAATTTAATTCTTGTAACAATTCACGAACCCCCAAAAGTTCTCGAGCCATAAGCGACGCAGCCGTAAATTCAGCTTCCATAGTCGAGAGCGAGACTCCACCTTGTTTCTTACACATCCAGCTCACCGGTATATTATCGACAGTTATTAGACCACCCGTTACTGATTTTCTGTCACACTTGTCTGCAGCAAAATCTGCATCACTATATCCAACAACTTGCAAAACATTTGAATCATCTCCATTTCCAACCATAGAGAGGCGCAACTTTTTCGTGCCGGACAGATACATGGCAATTCTTTTAGCCAACTTCCAATCTCCCATTGTTGGCTGATGGGTCCTCCGAGATGCCTTATGCACCGCAAAAGCAATATCGGGTCTGTTGCAACGTGAAATCCATAGTAAACTTCCAGCAATTGACTGGAATTTTTTCACCGTGATCCCATCTCCTCCAGAAACCGGTAATAATTGCAGCATAGCATTTTCAGTATCGTTCCAGTCCGAGGTAATTGGTACACGTACACCATGTGCCATTTCGAGACCGTGCTCCTTCAGCATGTCAAGAATTCCGACCTCTTGATCAAAATTGTACCCCTTTTCTTCCTCGTATTGGATGCGCATACCCAAAAACTTACGAGCGGGTCCGAGATCCTTTACCGACAACGAAATTAGCTCGCCAAAAAAATTGTCCACGGCACGTTGATCCATTCCTGTGACTATAAGGTCATCCACGTAAACTCCAACAATTAAAATGCGTTGTTTTTTCCATCTGAAGTAGACACACATGTCCGTGAGACTTTGGTTAAAACCAATGTCAACCAACTTCTGGTGCAACAATTTGCTCCATAGTCTTCCTGCTTGTTTTAGCCCATAGAGCGCTTTCTTTAGCTCTAAAACCAATTCATTGTTCCTTGAGACACCAAGCTTGTTCTTTACCTCCTCCGATACGAGCATTCCTTGCGGAATTCGAATGTAAATGTCCAAATTGGCTTCCTTGTCCACTTTCACGTAAGCGTTAGGTACGTCACCATGTTTCGCAGGAACTTTCCATTTTCTAGCCAGAGCGAAAATAATTTTCACGCTGGACATATCAATTACTGCCGCGAAAGTAATTCCATAATTGACGCCAAGAACTTGCTCGTTTCCACATGCAACAAGTCGCGCCTTCAAGCGCTCGATGCCACCTTCAGCATCACGCTTGGTCTTAAAAACCCATTTTGAATTCAGAGCTCGAACATTCTCTGGAACGCGAACGACGTTCCAAACACCGTTGTTTTCTAGAGCTGTCAGCTCTTCGGCAATCGCTTTAGACCAGCCCGTTTTGTTTGAACTACGCATAGCTTCTCCAAAATTCTGTGGATCACTAACAGAAACGACTTGATTGACAACATCATCGTCGACACTGTGCTCGGCCGAAATTGGTCGTGAGTCCGAATTTGTTCTGCTCGCAGACCGTGTCACAACCTTTTTCTTTCGTTTCCACTGAGCATGTTTCTTCGACTTCGCTTTGTTAGAATGACGACTCGTCGTCTCCTCCGTCGTTTGCGATCCGAGTATATCGCCATCGTGGTCATTTTCTCGTGCGAACGTTTCGTCCACCAGACCAGGGTTCTTCTGCAAATACAACTTTTGCACTTGCTCATTTTGAGTCGTGTCCAGCGTCTCAATGTTTTTCACATGCTGAGTAACGACAACCACGTTAACTTTCGGCAGGTAAACACGATACCCTTTGGTTTCTTCGCCGATTCCAACAATAATTCCTTGTTGACCACGCTGGGAGAAATTCTGTTTTCTTGGGTCTCGGTACACCATGCATTTTGAGCCAAAGACAACAATTTCACCGAGTGACGGGGTTTGCTGTGTCAGCACCTTGATCGGTGATGCCCTCCCCGAATTCGCGCTTGTTGGAGCACTATTTAATATGTACGCAGCATATTCTACCGCATCACCCCAAAAATTCAGCGGCAAACCAGAAGCAAATATCATGCAACGAGCCATGTTCATGATTGTCCTATGCATTCTTTCAGCTTTTCCATTGCTCGCTTGATTTCCCGCTTCACTGCGTTGCCTCGATACGCCCTTCTCCTTGCAGAAAAGATCTACATTCTGGTATTCCCCTCCAGAGTCCGTGCGAAGTACATGCACCCGAGCATTGAATTTCTTCTCGAAAAAAATTAAAAAATGCTCAAATTTCTTGGCCGCAGTATCCTTGGTTCGTGCAAGAAACACACGACAATAATTACTCTTGTGATCGACAAAATTAATCATGTAACGATTATTCAATCGATCTTTTGGAGTCATCGGACCCTTAATGTCCGAGCAGATGACTCCTCCAATTCGATCGATGGGTGAGTGACCACCACTATCCTTGTTAGACTGACGATTTTTAGTCTGTTTTCCTTGCGCACAAGGCAGACAATTGATTCGGCACTTGTCCGTTAGACAAATGTCAGAGGATGGATCGCGAGCCAACCTCTCAATGGTATCATAGCTCAAGTGTCCGAGACGCTTGTGGAATTCTATCAAAGTACCCTTCTGAACATCATCAGACACCCGGTACCGTCGGCTCGCTTCCACATTTAATATTGACATGATAGCACCAACAGGTTTCATAATACTTTTCACCACGCGACAAGAAACCACCAAAACATTTCGAATTAATTCTACGTCAAAAGCAACTTGACCAGAATTCCTATCTGCTAGCACGCGTTGAGCACCATTGTATCCAAGTGAGTAGCCCTTTTAATCCAAGTTTCCATACGAAATCAAGTTGCACTTAACGCCTTCGGCAAAATAAACTTCTTTTAGTGTCAGCACTCTTTCAATACCACCCGCCATAACCATCATTGTCACCGAACCCTTTTTGGACACATTTAGTGGCATACCATCGGGTTGAAGACATGTTCCTTGACAAGATTCGACATTATTAAGCCATGATTCATCACTGACCAAATGTCTGCTGGACCCACTGTCTAGGATCCAAACATCTTTAAATTCATCAGACAAGTCATTGACGGCCAGTGATAAATTGGATGATACTTGGGGCGAGTGTTTTCGTTTGGGACACGCGGTTCGTAAATGCCCAACCTCATTACAAGAGTGACATCGGCACATCTCCTTTCCACGTCGTTCCGAAACGGACCCAACAATTTCTTGTCCAAGAGTCTTCTCCCTTCCCACGTTAAATTCGTATGCCTGAGCAAAATGAGCCAGCTCTTCGGCTTGCACCAGGTAATCACTTCTAGTAGGATCAACTTTCGCCAAAAGGACGGTTCGCATTCCTGAAGAAGCGTACTGAACAATATTGTCCAAAACCAAATAGTCTCCACCATTTCCGGTAACCTCAGCGATGGCCGTCAGATACATATAATGCTCTGGCCAACTCCGTTTGGGATCCTTAGGCTGGGTAAATAACCGCATTGCTTGGGCCGGCGTGATACTAGTCTTGAATGCCTCCAGCAATTTTTCCATGACGTACTGTAAGGTGGGTAATTGGCTCCACCACAACGCAACCTGTCTGTTATAATACCTCTCTGCAGTACCAGAGAGGTATAAACCAAGTAAATCAACTTTAACATCCTCCGGCCACATGAAACCACACGACGATTGTGCCAATGAAATTTGGCGCTCAAATCTTCGACCCCATTCCAAAAAACCAGACCCGAGGCTTTTGTAAAGTTCTCGACCATCAAAAGGTCGAATTCCGAGTTTCTTCTGCCTTGCATCTGGGTATCTGACTCGAAATTGTTGCCCTTGTGCTTGTTCATTTAAGCACTGATTTTGTCCTTGCATATGTTCACGCGCACCTATTTCAGGCGGCATACCGTGAACAGCTTGACCTTGGGCAATACGAAACTCATTCCCTTGCCGTGGTCCTCCATATCCAGCCTGTTCATATCCAAAATACCTTGGCGGTTCCACCGGTCTCCTCGGAGTCGTAACCGGCGTACGGGGCGACCCATCCAAGCTATCCATATGCATCCTTGTTCCCTTTCCAAGGGCCGATGCAAACAAACTTGAGTTAATGGGTGGAGTCATGGGTGTATCCACATTTCTTCCACGCCCATCGTTTTCTTCCACTAGCTTCGCCTGCGACTCCTCGAGCCTGTTCAGACGCCCAGCCATCCCTCTCATGAGGACCAAGAGCTCTGACACATCATCACTCCTGCTGGTGGTAACGCCCATGCGGTGGGCGTTACCGGGGTTGCTCTTCTCCTCTAGATCTTCGACTCTACCGACCCCTCCGTGACCGGTGGCGGGAGCTGCTTGCGCATGCACGCCGCCGCGTGCAGTGCCTGCGTGTGGTGCCTCCATTGGGCTCATAACCTGTTAGAAGTTGAACAAAAAGGACAACAATAGCTCACACAATTTAGATGCAAAAGAGAGAGTGATATTTGTTTCGTTATTCCCCTAGCTAGCTTAAAGTCTATATAATAGGATAAATCATATAATGAAACCCCACACAGGTGTTCGGCGTAAACATGATTATTCACAATCAGTCTGTACCAGTATCATGGATCATCATCTTGAAGCTTGCCTTCCAACATCATCTCGATAGATTTTTTTATAAAAGTACATATTACGCCCAACTCGTAATCGCCAATGTCTTCAAAGAGCTTTTTGGCGTCAATGGCTTTCCCGGATTCACATTTGGCGCCAAAACTACCCCATCCCTTGCTGTACAATCTACCAATCGTATGCACGTCATTGTTAATCGCAGCCAATGAAAGCGTCAGATAAAACGTTCCACCAATCAATAATCTTAATGCGAGTCGCCGGAAAAAATACGCATGTGATAAACAGGACCCCAGTCTCCGAATACGGTGCTTTCGACTACCTTCATTGTTCAACTCACCGAGTAATTCCAAGTCACATAGAAAGAAATGGCAAAGACACCTTCAAAGAAAGCAGCAAAGACAGTTGCCAAGACTGGCAAAGGCAAGGGCCGCGGCAAGAAACGTGTGGAATCGTACTCGACTTACATCTACAAAGTTTTGCGTCAGGTGCACCCGGACACGGGCATTAGCAAACGTGGCATGTCGATCATGAACTCTTTTATCAATGATGTCTTTGAACGTATCGCTTCGGAAGCTGGTAAATTGTCACGTTACAACAAGAAGTCGACGCTGTCCAGCCGTGAAATCCAGACAGCAGTGCGTCTTATGTTACCGGGTGAGCTGGCCAAGCACGCTGTGTCGGAGGGTACAAAGGCCGTGACCAAGTTTACGTCGGCTTAAGTTTATGGCATTCGTGATCAACAAACTTTCGTTCAGCGTCTTCGATTGAATGTTTGATGCAAACTGTTTGTCTTGTCGAGACCGTTTTCATTCAGTCGACCCCGTTGTCTCTTTATGAACGATTGGACAACGTGGGTCACATCTTTTCTTCTGGTGTTTATGAACACCACCCCTTTTATAAAAATATTTTAACGCGTAAGTGTGTCTGTGTGTGTTGAAACTGTTTGTCTTGTTCATGAGATATCAATGATATCGTTGTGATTTCATTTGGATCCTTGAAGACTGTCATTAGCTTGGTTTAGCTAGTGGGGGATGTTACCATTATCATAATGATGTTCGTTGGCACGGCCTTATATCGTTATATTTGAACTGTGCAATGCCTCATCGTGTACTAGAATCTCTCATGTGTCAATGGTGCACGACAAGAAGTCATCATATGAATGGCACTTTCACACGCATTCCACGCTACATGCACTCCTTAAAGAATGAAACGCAGGCGCTTTGCCACGCGCTGGTGAACAAGCGTCATAACTTTATCGCCGCTTGTAATAGTAAGGAGCTTCTTCCAGGTCTAATAGGTAAACCGTCTCCCGTGAGCTCGCATCTCAGTAGCACCTTCAAAACCGCCAAGTCATTCGTCCAGGTGTTGTCGTGGTTGAACTTTACTTTAAGATCGCTGAGCATCCTGATGCACTTGCTAACGCGTTATGAGCGAACATATCATGACTGAATATAGATAACAGCGCAAGCAAACTGTAAGACAGTACTTTCGTGCAAGCATGCTATTCGTTTGGTCCTAAATATGAAGAGAGATGTCCAGCATAAAGAGCTTCACGAGCTACTGCAGCAGGTGACGTAAGACCGTACGCGCGTTCAGCTTCTTCAAATGCGTGTACTTCTGGCCCGTGCCAACAAACATGATCGGCTGGCCAGTCTTGTACACCATCGATACCGCAGCACCAACTACAAATGAAAGAATAAGAGGGACGCAACACTGCATCAAGAAAATCATCAGCAACTTACCCTTATCATCAATTGTGTCGAACTTCGTAATGACAATGCCATCAATGCGGTGCGGCTCGCGGCGGTCCGAGTAGTCTGCAAGAGCCTAGATAACCAATTATATAAGTCAGATAACAAGTGCAAGAGACACTGTCGAGCTCACACATTCGTACCCGGTCGAACATTGACAGCTGATCGATACCATCGTTGCCAACCAAAGCTTCTCCAACAAAGAGAACAAGGTCCGGCTCGTTGTTTGACACAAGCTTGGTCAACGCGCGCATGAGCGGCTCGTTATTTTGCATCCGGCCAGCAGTGTCAATGAGCACGCAATCGTAACCATGATCGGCGCCGTACTTGATCGCCTCCTTGGCCACCGATGCCGGGTCTTTAGCATAACCCTTCTGGAACAACTCCACGTCCAGGACCTTGGCGTGTTGGTTCAGCTGCTCAACAGCTCCAGAACGGAACGTATCGCACGCAGCGATCATAACGTTCACACCCTTCGACTTCAGGTAGTAGCATACCTTGGACAAGCTAGTGGACTTGCCAACGCCATTGACACCCACAAAGACAATGCTGTATGCACGGCCTTCTGCCTTTGCCTGCAGAACCTCGCGCAGCACGTCAGTAGATTTCTTCGGTGTCAAGATACGCAACAGTGCGGCCTCTAGAGCCTTGCGCACGACCGTAGAGATGCGCGAGAAGCTCTCCAGCCTCTGACCGACCATGGTCGTGATGACAGATTCGCATAGTTCATCGGCGACTTCCGAAGCCACATTCTTGCTTATCAGCTGTAATATAACGACTAGGTCAGTACTGCCCGCAACGCGCGAAACACTGCAGTTTGCCAGAACCTACCATCTGATGCATGGGGTTGATCACAGGCTCCAAATCATCTCGCTCGAGTATTTTGTTGCCAGACATCGTGCTAAGGAAGTTACCAACACGAGTTTTCGAAAAGCTCCAGCCAGAGTCTGAATCCGCTCCCGAAGAGGCGGAAGACTCCTCATCACTGACAGAAGACTCGTCAGAGTCGCTCGCTTCCAATTTCTATACACACAGCACTATTAGCATATTCGTTGCGCTCATGCGATACCTGGCATAAATGCAAAAACGTACGCCAATGTAGGCTTCACGTTTCTCGCGGAGCTGTGCCTCTTCCTCGTCGGCAGTAATCTGACGTAATCGGACACCATGTTAATATAACATTCTGTCAGCCAAGCCACCTTTCGAAGCCATCTTTACCGTTTTAGAGCGATCCAACGCTTTGGCCTCCTTCTTGGACACCTTTGTGTCGTCCCATATCGTCCTTTGCTTGCCGCCATTCTTCGACTCCTTCGCAGCCTTATCCTTCCCCTTACGACGCGCACCCGATCGCATCGTTCGCCCCTTGGACGAACGCAGTGTCGTCTCGTATTCCAGCTCGACGAGATTTTTGTCCTTTCCATCGGACGGGGCGCTATCATTTCCATCGGACGGGGCGCTATCATTTCCATCATCACTGGACTACTCAATCCCACAAGAAAAAGACAAAAAAACGCATTGCACAACCATCACGGCACATACGTCAATGCAACGGAAGCACAAAAGTAGCAATAAATTGCAGCTCGTACATCTGCAGTCGTCGTAGAGCGCGAAGACAATGCTGTCTTGCCGGCTGTATTGGACTTCACACCTTTGGCCTTGGCTTTCTTGGATGCATTATACCCGCGCGGACCTTTACGTGCATGTTTCTCTGTAAATGTAAGTTCTGTAGCCTTGAGGATCTTGGTGAACTTGGCTTCGTATGTGACGGGCGTCTTGTTGGCGATCTGCTGAGGAAACGTGACGATAAAATCCTTTTTGACAATCTCCAGGAGCTCCTCAATATACAATAGCTGTAAAATCTTCTGGTAGACAACGACAAACACCAGATCCAGTTTGTTTTCAAATACCCATTGCATGGCATAGGCGTTGTCAATAAACTTCTTTTCGCCGGCGCGATCTTCCATCAGCACGCGATTGATGAGGTTATCCACGAGATTATTGTTTAGCTTGCACAGCGTACGTGACCACAAGACAGCCCCTGTTCTGGAAAAGATAACAAAGTGATCAATCATGGCAGCAGATGATGGGGGTGTCGGTTATAAGTTGTGGCGAAAAGATGACGTTGTGTATCCAACACAGCACGATGTGCAGCACCACAATGTCCACCACACACAATGTGCACCACACATAATTGTACGATGGACGTCCTGAATGAAGAGCTACGTACATATTGCAGAGCACTGCCTAAAGTGGAGCTGCATGCGCATATCCACGGATCTATTCGGCCGTCGACGCTGGAAGAACTTTTACATGATGAAGCAACATTGAACGGTTCAGAGCCACGACGGCTCCCAAAAAAGCGAAGTTTAGACGAGTGTTTTACGATGTTCGGGCTGATCCACCAAGTTGTCGTCAGTCGCCGCGTACTCCGTCGAATTGTCGTTGAAGCGGTGGAAGATTTTGCTGCAGAAAACGTAAAGTATTTAGAGTTGCGATCTACACCGCGAGATCTGCCGAGAGATGGTGCCAGTCGTGCAGATTACGTGGATGAAGTGGTGTCAGCACTTGAGAAATGCAATGCGCGACGAGATTTAAACATTGAGGTGCGTCTGTTGCTAAGTATCAACCGGAATCAGTCTTTGCGTCTGGCAGAAGACACTGTTAACATGGCTCTTGAGCGCAAGCACAAGCAGAACTGTCGGCTCATTGTAGGCATCGACCTCAGCGGCAACTCGGAGCGCCCGAATTCCGAGTTCAAGCGCTTCGAAAACGTACTAGAGCGCGCACGAGCGGGCGGCCTTAAACTCACCGTGCACTTCGCTGAGCACTTTGACGACGATGAAACTAATCGGATTCTGGACTTCCAACCGGACCGGCTGGGCCACGCCTGTTGTGTACCGGAGCCGCTCTATGCCAAGATGTTGTTGCTGCAAATTCCCGTGGAAATTTGCCTGACCTCCAATGTGCACACGCTGGCAAAAAAATATTGCAGCGACGTCGATTGCAAGTGTGCACCCGATGCGAAGCACAAAGCATCGGGGCTATGCGTGTGTGGCTTCACTTCGCACCCGCACGGCAAATTGCTCACCGGCGAACGAGGTCAAGAGCAGCAGCATGGTGTCTACCCCATGTGTCTATGTACGGATGATTACGGCGTGTTTGACACGACACTGTCGCTCGAGTATATGCGTGCAGCACAGGCATTCGGTCTGAGCGACGAGCGCCTTTTACATATTGCGCAAGCGCCTATTGAGGCCATCTTTGATCAGAGCCAAGTGCCGAGGTTGAAGAAGATGTTCCATGAGTGAAATAACGTTAGACACACGTCTGATGTGCGCCATATAGTTGACTTGAGGCGCTGGACTAAAAAAAGCTTCAAGCTCGTCTCAATATTTTGGCGCAAACAAATACCACCCTCTGAAATATGCAATAAAGTCAAGGACTATTTTTTAAGTGATTATCTAAACCGCGGTAAAAGCGTCCTTCATTCGCAAATTCTTTTGCACCTGATCAAGTCATGCGAACCTTCATGTCCGTGGGGCTTGTGGCCTTAATCGCTTCTGGCGTCTCTACCCAGTCCACTTCGAACTTGTCGTCAGCCCCAGGGACCTCGTCCATGCCGGCGGAGCTTGCAGCCATCGTTGAGTGCAGCCCGACTCAGCTGGACGAAGCCCAGATGATTCTAACCTCAAACCAGCGTCAGAAGCAGTGCGAAACGACGCTGAATCTAGAGCCCAACACGATGCTACAGGTGACGACGGCCACAGCCACTAAGATGTGTGACACTGCATCCTGCAAGGCGTCGCTACAGGAGCTGTATAACGAGCTGCCCAACTGCCGTTACAATCTCTGGGGTCTGCAGTACTCGGCAAAGCAACTGCTCGAGTACTGTGGCATCACACCGACCAAACTGACCGACTCAGATGCTGGCAGCAGACCCGTTGGTTGGACTGTGGACACGGGTTCTACCTCGTTCGCGCCGGCGGGGGTAGACGATACGTCTTCGACGAAGGGCAGTGGAACCGCTCCCAGCCTTGCGCCGGCCACGCCGTCGCCGCCGGAATCAAGCGCTACGACAACAATGACCACCATTTTGGCTGCGTTAGTGACGACTGCAAGTGTGGTCGCTGCTCTACTAGCCTAAGCTTGGAGTCATACGGATTGCTTCTTTGTTTTCGCATCATACTCGCGTTGCAAGGAGAACAGTCCGACCGATAAACACGAAACATCGAGTTGTTTTCAATGTCTGGTAGTGTTATTTGTTTTAGTAGAGAGCAATGTTCCTCGAGTGCAAGAAAAAAAGGTGTGTCATCTTACCGCTGCATCTCATCATTCAGTAGTTCTTCAGTGAATTCGAGCGCGTCCAGTACCGACGGACGCTCCTCCGGGTTCGTGTGCAACATATCTCGGATAAAATCACAAAACTCGACCGTAAATGCTGTGCCGCGATGGTGTATCATACGATCTAGCTCAGGCGGAAACGACACCTGACCGTTCAAGCATGCCAATTTCATGAAGCCCTGTACGCATTGCAAAAAAAAGCTTCTTAGAACATATCATATAGTGAGATTAGGTAAGGCGCTACTAAACCTCGCGTGGATGCTCAAATGGGCTTGATCCGAATGCCATTGTGTATCTGCAGGATGGAACAGGTCAGGGTATTAGTGATTGAAGCACCTGTGGCGAAAAATTGATAAAAATACATCATGGTACTTACAACACACAACCAAGGGACCACACATCTGACTGACCATCCAGTGCGCTGTCAACTGTTGGTTCGAAAAGTTCTGGTGCCCGATACGGAGCTGAGCTTTTACGGTTTGCCTCGTCTTGCAACTCGAGCGAGTTCTGACGAGATTTCGCTTCTACGTAAATTGGAGCGCAGCTGCCGAAGTCTGTCACGACCGGAATGTACGCCAGGAAATTTTCTCCGGTAGATGACGAGGATAGCAAGATATTATGAGGTTTGATATTCCGGTGGCAGAAGCCCGCTCGATGCAGTGCAAGCACGCCCGAACAAATGCCGTGAAAGAGATGCAATGCGGTGCATTGAGAGAATGGCCAAAGTGGAGACGATGACTGACACGCAGCGTTGATTGCGTCCCACAGACTCCCACGCTCGAAATATGGGACCAAGAAGTAAAACTACATGTTGATGCAGCGTTAAACAGTCATTGTTAGCGATTTCTACATGGTTCAATGGACCTAAAAACCCGTACCTCCATTCCTTGCTGAACGCGTGCCTCTGAAAACTCAACAAGCGGCATAACATTTAGGTGGTTGACGGACTAGACAAAACCTCAATCATAAGAGTGTTATCTACATTGCGCTAGCCAAAAAAATAACAAAACAAAAACTTACACGGAACACTTGGAGTTCCATCTGAACGTCATTCTCAACCTCTTGAGACTGACAGAGGATCCGCTTAAGGGCGAACGTTTCATTCGTAGCCGATGATCGAACCAAAAGAACTTGAGCATATGCACCCTCGGCAAGCAACCGCACGACTTGTACACTAACTCCACCAACCTGAATGCTTCCGTTCTGTTTTCCATCAATAAGTACGACAAGCAACCTGTTAGCGCACAGAGCTCATCCAAGACATACTGCATACACACCTTCGAAACATTGGCGCTAGCATTGGCTATACTTGCGCTAATCGACGAAAGCAAAGAGCCTCCCAACTTCTTGGCTTTTAATGCCGTTTCTGTTGCGCCCTTCTTCACATCCTCGATTGAGATTTTCTTTGCAAAATCGTAAGCTTGTACTGTCTGTTTCCGCAAGTATGTCTGCGCGTCTTTACCTGCGTCGGTCCATTCCGACTGCTGGTGAGAACCTGGCTCTCCTTTTGATTCATATTGATCATCGCGATCAAACCTCGAGCCACGGTCACCATCATCTGTATTTTGATATTCACTGTCTTCGTTCTGATAAATGTTGCGATTCCAGTCACTTTGTTCTTTTCGCGCTTTATCACGTGATGTTGTACGTTCAGTCGATGCTAGTGGTTCTTCATCTGGTTTAGTGCACCTCAATCATCAATAACTAATCCATACCTCATATAAAACTCATTTAAATTAGCTATGTACCTTGCGACTCATACGTTGTCGACTCAAACTCCTCGTAGTCGTCCGATGGATGACTACGACACTCTGCCGTGCTGCCCCCATTGCTATTGGAGCATATTTTTGTCACTCTTGTTCTCTGTGCTGGACCCGAAGACGGTAATGTGCTACAATGCTCTTCGTAGCGCAGGTACTTGACATTAGGCTCTTCATCTAACGGCGTGACACGAGCGAAAATCTTACGACCACAGCACGGCACAGCAGATTCAGGATTTGTCACGTCTAGATATGGTCCGTCTTCACACCGGAAAGCAAAGTGAAAGTTGTTGCCTAGTGGAAACGCCTTGTGCACATCTGCGAGTGTTACGCGACCTCCTGCGGGTGGCAGCGGCAGCACGAAGGCGTTCCAGTTGGTGTCAGGACTGTGCTGTGGCTTGCTTTCCTGCACAGGCTCCAGTTCCTCACCCACTAGTGAGTACAGGACGAATGTTCTCTCATCTTGCGACGCTACCATCGTCGTCCCACTCAACGGAGTCACAACTTCTGTCGCGCGCATTTCCCTGACCAAAAATACTTTTCATAACCTATGAAACTACATATCTAGTCTATTTAAGAGGCGTAAACACGTAAAACAAACTCTTTGGGCTGCTTCTTGTCTCTTTTGCCCTTCTTATTCGACTGATAGCGCACTTTGCTGATCCTTCCAGATCGACGCACACTTATCGAGAAAACTTCGCATGGTCTCTCGCTCCATTCGTGCCTTCTCACGCTGCGCTGCGAAATCCATGACAGTCCCGTCGTCCAGCTCTAGATTGCGAAACAGGGGAAGGTCATCAGCAGAAATGACCCCATTCTTCGCTGATTGACGGGCTTTCGCTGTTGTTGATTGCTTCTTCTCTTCTCCTTTCTGCCTCATAGAGCTTCGTGGTAGCTTTTGTTTCTCTTTAGCGTTTCCCTTTGCTTTTGCCTTTACCTTTACCACAGCTACTGCATGCTTCGATCTTTGATCATGTTCTCGTCGGGGTCCATTACTCTCGATCACCTTTTTTGTTGCAGCTATGCGTTTAAGAATGGTCGTATCACTACTGCTACCCCCATCAGCTTTCCGTTTAAGCACATATCTCGCAGTATGGTCAGCAGGACGTGACGCGCTATGGCCTTTCGTCATCTTGTCAGACGTCTCCTTAGCAAGAGTTGGCGACAAAGCGACCCGCTTCCCATTTTCGTTTGGAATTGGCGCTGGTGGAAAAGCCGCCTTATCAATCGTACCGAGCATGTCTTCAAAAAGATACATATCTCCATCCCAGCTCTTCACTGTGCTATCCTTCGTGCGAGCTACGTAAAAAAGCAGAAAAAGCATCCGATTATCAGTCACCGTTCTACAGAACGCTAGTAGCTAGGCAACATACGAGCGTAGCGGCCGTGAGCCATAATCGACATGACATCCGTCCAACGATCGTGGTTGCTGCTCCATCCCACAAAGTGCACCTTGATCTTCTGAGACTTGAGATTACACTGGATTATTCTGGCTTCTCCCCACATCATCTTCTTGTCCAAAGCATCAATGTAGTAGCCCACACATAAGGCCGTATCTCTCTTTTTTCGCTTTGGTTTTGAGTTTCTATCGCGCCGTCTCTTATTTAAAGTAGGTTTCTGTATAGGTGCTTCAGCTGCTACTTTGGCTTTTGCTTGCTTCTTCTCTGGCACTGCAACTGATCCAGATTTAGACGGCAAGGAAGCTACAGATGACACAGTAGACGGCGCCGTACTCAGCTTAGATTCAGTCTTGGAATCGGATCTGACCAGTACGGAAGATTTCAAAAAGGTGAGAATATAACAGTACAAAAGCTTGAAAAAGGCGTCAGAACAGCAGCGTTTACTTCGGAGTATCAGGAGCCGAAGAAGAGACAGGAGGGAGGTTCACGGCCATGACGGACTTGGACTTCTGGATGGCTCGAAAATACTTGGCGTAATCAGTCTTTTATCGCGACTCATCAAGGAGCATCTCGAGGCTGGCGTTAATGCAATATGGAAGGCTTATTCAAGTTGAAATCGCTTAACCTGGTATTTATGATTCCACGATGGTAATCGATTCTTCGACTGCAAAAATCTGAATGTGCGCAGTGTCGATATCATTTTCGCTATCCATTGACAAAGACGGCTGAGGCAGCAATGCAAACCGGTACTTGACGCGAATGTTGTCGACGATCTGGTAGTTGATGTAGTCAGGGGACGTCCACCGACGAGTCTGATACTTGCTGCGAACGTCCACTTGTAAGACCTCTTCGATTGCAGCCACAAAGTGATCAGGAGCGTTACGATAATGTACGGATTTTCTGGAGAGCTTGTGGATCGCCGATTTCAACATGTCTGACTCCCACTCAATTCTGGTGATTACAAAGCAGGATTCGTTTCGTAAATGCTTCATACGAGAGACAATAGTACCAAACTCCTGTCCTGTACACGTACTCAATCGATGGCTGTAAAGTGGACACCCAAGTAGCTACACATGCGTCAGGAAGGCTATCATACGCTACATAATCGTCAGTACTTACATGAGAAAATTACGACAAAACGCAAGTCAGGTCTCACCTGAAATATATGGCTTAATGTCCAACACTGGAGTGTTATCTAGTAGGTCGACACCAGAGAGATACACCGTCCGTTTACGAATATCAACGTGCTCAATTTTCGCCAGCGTGATACCGATTGGGTTGGGGCGGTGAGGTGACCGGGTACAAAAGATGCCTACTCGTTCTTTCAGCATTGGTGGAGAAATCTTGGCCTGTTGCAATGACACAACACATCAGACCGCATATACATATAGTACTACCAGAACCATAAGCACGCACCCGGAAAGTATGACGATGGCTGTCCGATCGAAGACCCTCGTGAGCTCGAGTATTCTTGCCGTTCGTATTTTGATGGAAGACGAAGACAATCCAGACATGACTAAAATCTTCCAGTCCGCATAAAGTGTCGGGCGATATGCTTCGTTGAAAGATAATTTGTGCTCGTGTCGATGGCGCAAGCGAGCCTTGACGAGGTGTTCCTACGATGAAGAGATAAATGACAGACGACGTCAGCAAGTTTCGAAACACTCACCTGATGAACATTATGTCATACGCAGTACCTAAACACTCTTTGAAGCAAGAGCGGACAGTTCCTACGGGCTGAACGAAGCAGGCCTTTTTGGTGTCAAGCTTCTCCTCCATCACACGTCGCAATTCCTGGTACGTGTAGACACCAGTCAATCCTTTCAGTCAATGCAAATAGATATCACTACAATTGACAAACCTTCTCTGCAGCAATGCGGCCTCGCCGTTCTTCGGCTCGAGCTTTCTCGTTCTTGGCGAGATCGCGTTCCAGTTTCTACAATGATGAAAAAGAGCGACAAGTAATGATGACACTTTATTGCTCGCACTTGCATCATTTCTTTACCTGAATTATCTGGTTAAGATCTGAAATATCAGATAGAGGCTGTAGTTGTTGCCACAAGATCCATAACAGCGTGGTTACTTGCAGCGTTAACACCACAGCCTCCAACTTTATACCAAATGGCATCGTAATTGCTACTCAAACTACTTAGCAATTCATGGTGAGCATCCTGCAGCGCAAGTTGATTGGCTATTATTACAGTAATTGTTATAAAGATTAGGTCTTTTTTCGAAATAAAGATAATTGTTTGTATTTTGTAAAACAACTCTCAAATTGTGTAGGCCTTATCGTATGTCGAGGCCACCAACAGGATAATGCCACATTAGGGACAATAAGACATAATGTTTTACAAAAGATGGCTGTTTTGTAATTTGTATCAAGCTGCTTCGAGGGTCACAGTGATGAAGTGGTCGCGAATCTACTAGGAACTACTGGCGGACAGGACTTTAGGTGCAGCAGGCACCATTATTATCAACAGACAACATGGGTACACAGCCACTCATTTGTATTTCTGCTTTAGCCTGAGATAAGCTTAAAAAAGTACTGTGAGTGTAGGGCCGCTAAAACCATTTAAAACTATTTAACGATAGACAGCAAGCGAAGAAGTACGTTGCAATCGTATCAAGTGCATGTGGTGTACACACGTCCGGCTTACACGACATTTCACTACCTCAAGCAATCATAGCTGCAATATTCATGCAGGGCACGTCAACTATCCGTCGCCAAGTCTTTGGCCAGAATACATATCGGAGCGATGTCACGCTATCAACATTGTTTTTTCAAGCACTCGACAAGTCAATGGTGTAAACATTAGCGAAACTACTGAGTGAGGTTTACACCCCTTTCGTTCACTAAGAGTCTACACCATATGGCAGTTTCCTAAAGTATATATCAAAGTTTGTAAAGCTATACTCAAAGAGTGTGTAACCATGTACATAAGTCAAGGTTTACAATCCGACAATTGAAAAATAGTCTTACACCACGCGAATGTTCTTTTGTAGCGATTCCTTTGTACGTAATGGACTGTCCATCAAAACAGTTGTTTTGTTTATTTTGCCACCACAATGTTCAAACAAAATGACTCACAACCACAAAACTTAAATTTTGTTCCCAATGGACAAACAAAGCGCCATTGTACTGAGTGTGACTGCAGGTCTGAGCGTCGGTTACTTCCTGGGCAAGACGCAGTCGGATGCTGCAATCAGAGATAATACAGAGGGCAAGTCGTTATCCAAGGACTTGAATGAGGTAGAACGCCTCATTCGCCCCAACATTTTGGCGCTCACGCCGTACCGCTGCGCCCGCGACGATTACAATCAAGGTAATGGATAACGCGGCTATAAACAATTCGTATCGTAGTGATGTATTGATATACTTTACTATCTTTTGCTTGTCGTGCAGGTATCTTGCTGGATGCCAACGAGAATAGTTTGGGTCCTCCTCTACAAGGCTATGAACAGCTGATAGCCATGGAACTGGAGCGTTATCCTTGTCCATACCAGCCGGAGCTAAAGCAGGCTATTGTTGAATACAGGTCGGTCGATGCGTGCTTAGAGGCATTTGTGTGTGTCGCAGCGGTATTGCTCACTATGTGATGTACCTGCAGGAATCTCAACTCCACGGAGAAGATCAGTCAGGCAAACACATTCCTGGGTGTCGGAAGTGATGAAGCCATTGACTTGATCATCCGCGTGACTTGCACCCCTCGCGTGGACAACATCCTCATTACACCGCCAACTTATGGCATGTACAGCGTGTGCGCCAACATCCACGACGTGGCCATTGTCTCGGTGCCGCTTCAAATCGAGGCACCGGTAGAAAATCTTAGAGGATTGTTGCCTGACCTGCCGCTGCCATCCTTCCATATTGACCCGCAAGAGGTGCGCAACGGAAGACGATATCGACAAATAGCTGAGACGCTAACCTCTTGTATGTCTGCTGCAGATTCTAAAAGCCGCCACTGCGTCAACAAAGGTAATCTTTCTGTGCAGCCCCGGCAACCCTACGGCAAATGTGTTGCGCTTCGAGGATGTGGAAACGATTCTGGACTCAAAGGTTTGAAGTTGATCGGTTAGTTGGCTAGAAATGATGCTGTGAGCCTCACGGTTTGTTTGTGTTCGAACAGAAGTACAAGGGTTTTGTAGTGGTCGACGAAGCGTACATTGACTTTGCTGACCCCTCTAGCTTGTGCACGCTGGTGAACAAGCACAAACGACTAATTGTGCTTCAGACGCTCTCGAAGGGCTTTGGGCTTGCTGGCATTCGTCTGGGCATTGCTTTCGGCGACCCGAAGCTTATTCAAGTGCTTAACAACGTGAAGGCTCCGTACAACATCAGCAAGCTGACGTCCGATGTTGCACGCAAGGCTTTTGCGAGCCTGGAGGAGCTACACAAGAGCGTGAATCTCATTAAGAAGGTATGTGGGAGTCTCATGCTACGTTACTTTTGTGTAGTATCTAACTCTTTTGCTGCAATCACCACAACATAAAGGAAAAACACCGGGTGATTAAGGAGCTGCAGAAGCTGTCATTTGTGCGCCGCATATATGCCTCAGACTCCAACTTTGTGCTTTTCGAGGTAGGGTAAAATCGAATTTGCGTACATGTCTGGATAATAATCAAAACGGTGTTTTGATTCTGTGCTCTTGCAAAATAGATTCCTCACGCGCTGAGCGTTTACCGAGAAATGGCTAGTCGTGGAGTAGTCATTCGCTATCGCGGCAACCAGCATTTGCTTAGTGGATGTGTTCGAGCTACGATCGGATCTCGCGACGAAAACGACCGAATGCTTGAGCTGCTTGTGGAAGTGTCGGGTGAACAGTGAGGTAGAAGCAGAGTTACTGTTTACCTGTTCGAGTAGAAGACGAATCTAACGTACACGAAACCACCACATCTTTTGTCAATGATTGGTTGGTTCTGTTCGCGTGGCAGAGCTAGTGCTCGTCTCGATAGTACCAACAAATTGACACATTCTTCAGCCGCAAAAAATGTAGTAAACGCACAACTGCGTCCGCCCGCACAGATTCGTATATATTTGTGTACTTGTTTGTGTCAAACATGACATTACGACCCTTATCCGCGAAGCAAACTCTCCCTCAACGGATCATTTGCATCAAAAGCACTGTCAGCGCCCATAACCTTGCCAAAAAAGACACCACGACCTCGAATGGGCCTCGAAGTTGCGGACAAACCACCTGGTGTTCGACGGCGAGGGAGCCGGCGATTAAAATACAGCACCGACAGCGCTGGAATAATTTCCAGGAGAGCATAGAACACTACCACAACAAACCAAGTGCTGTGGTCGTGTAGCTGCCTTTTCTCTGTGGACAAGAAGATTTGTAGCGCGCAACGAGTCATGAAGCAGGACGTGCCGACCGGTGTCATAATCGCCAACTCTCTCAGCTTCCTTGACCGAATTTCCCGTTCGACTGGCACCGATCTGTTCCATCAGATTTGATATCATTTAGTTCAAGCACCGCAACGTACTTTATTCGAAGAATCTGCTGTACCCACCGTAATTCAATGTAAGCCTTCCTTCCAAAGTAGATGAAACCAGTGGCGATAATCAGAAAGATCTCCATGTTCAAAATAGCTTGTGATCTCGTAAAGAATGCATCTATGACGCAGACACAACTTAATTAAAAAATGGCACATTCAACCAATCAATCGGATCAAGACATACGCTCGTTTCGCCACACCGACGCGTAGAATACCCAAAACAATACTTGAATTAGCAGCACAACCTGTTTGATATAAAAGGATACGCTTTCGTCAGTATAACGACGTTCACACACGAAAACAATACCTGCTTCTTATGACCACCAGTATATGCTGTATGTAATCACTAGACGTACCACAATAAAGTATCGAATGGCCGGCTTAACAATTCCTGTCAACGTCAGTAGCTTGTCAACTGCATTGTAGTAAACCTCTGCCCAAAATTGAACCAGCAATGCATAAATTGCAAAGAAAGCCAAAATAGGTACTTGATCCAAGACGTAAAACAAGTCTCGCTCAGCTCTAGAGCATTTAGACTCCTTCACTTCTCCAGACAAACCATCGCACCAATCGAAACCCACCAACGTCAGAAAAATCGACCGAACTACAGTCAACACAACCATAACGATCATACATTTAGCTACATCATCAGATTGTAATGATAAAGGCAAAGTACGAGCATATTACGAGCGTACCAAGTGTAGCAAAGAACATGAGTACGTGAATCATCTTTTGAACGGTCCAGGGACGATAACGACAGCAATTACGCACGAACTGGACGCCTGCTATGCATCCCACGAGTGCATAGACGATACCATCAACAAGAAAAGCGGCTCGTACACCTCGTTCTTCGTCAGTCAAGCCACTGCCGTCAACAACTCGTGAGACCCATGCCGTCATAATTGAAAGAACAACTGTCACTATCTGTCAAAAATAGCGATCGCACATTAGTGACCTACTTGCTTTTTGATTTTTTGACAGAAAATAATGACCGAGGCAAGCGTCGAGCTACGCAGTGAGGACGTACGACAATTATGGAGCCTCGCTTGTCTGCTAGCAGAGAAGCAATTGATTAATCAGACAGCAATGTGTTTGGAGGTGAGCGAGTTATGCTCAAAGATAGCGAGAGAATGAGAGAAAAACAATTAATTTTACCGTTATCATCATGCAGCCTTTGTGTGCAATTGATTGCAGCACACGTAGCGCCGCAGAGCAAGAGATTTTAGTACAGGCAAATGTACTTTTTGCTGAGCTTTGCAGTGTGGCATGTAACAATCGTAAAAAAGCAGACAATCAAGATTTATGGACATATCGTGTGATCAAGACGGAGAAATGTGTCCATTCGGTTGATGCTGCTATAGCACGAGGAGTTGTTTGTAGTGTACGTTGTAAATAGTGGAAGTGTGATTGCAGTAGAAGTCGCATTGCTGTGAACTGATTACAGTGCATTGTATTGTGCAGCAAGTGAATAAGCTGCGACTATTGAAGGCAAAATATCTTCTTCAGCAGCAGTTGAAGGTAGAACGGTCTGTAAAGTCCAGAAGAATACTGGAAATTTTGTCGGAGGGACTAAAAATCTCTGTCGAAGGCGACGATGTTGCTGTTGTCACGTTTCAAAAGTACTTTGAGGTCAAATTGAAGGCGTGTCTGGTGAAGATGCACGCTGCAACGGCCATGGCAAAATATGCCAAGGACAGCAAAGGCATAAATCACTTTGCAGACAATTTGTTGTATATACGAACCACACTGCCAAATTGTATCCACAAGCATTTTTTGGTAAGTTTGCTGTTCGGGGAAGGCTTGTTACTGGTGGTGCAGAAGTATTGCACTGCTGACTTGTGATTATTATGATAGTTGTGGTTGGTAGAGGCGACATGTCACACAGCGATCTCATCTTTTCATCCTGGAGGCATTGCAGAAATGAGTCAACTGGTCGATTTTGGCGAGGAATTTTTTGATCGAGTGTGTCAACAGGAACCTGTTTCTACAGACTTTCGCTTGCACCATCTGATTAGTATGGGGTTCTACTATTTACGGTAAGAGCATTCTTGTTGGAGCCAGAAACTTGAGCTATCGTTGCGAGTAAATTTGACAGTGACGTTATGATCCTGTTTCACAGGACAGGCAAGGTAATGAAAGTGACGCCGTTACTGGAACAAGTCAAGATATTAACACATGGTGATAAAAGCAATGGTGACCAAATGCCAGCGGAAAATGTCAAGGAATCGTACCTGAGCACAATTCTGGACTCGATGCGGGTGAGCGTTGTGGCATACTCTAATCCCAAGGAAGCATGCGACCTTGCCATGACTACTATTCTCGCCGCCCAAGCAAACTTGCAGACGTACGCCCAGTTTCCAGCAGTGCGACTTATGCTCATAGGAACGCTGTTCGACATGTTACACGTCTACTGCCGATTGTTGAACTTACAGTGTCGATACGCTGACATGGGTGCTAGCATCGTACAGATGGTTGCATTATTCGTGACGTACCGGGCTGATCTTGAGCGTACCGTACTTTATCGTTTCTTCCTCGCGCGCTGCCACACGCTGATTGCTAAGGTACGAGGAGGATATCGGATGAGTACAACACCGCTTTTGAACATGCGATCATTACCACTAACCAACCAGTAAATGTGTTGTGTTTTAATCTCCATTATGTAGTATGCCGCAACAATCGGGAAAGTGAAAGACGCATGCGCCCATTTGAACTTCGTGGTAGACAAAGTGCTTCCTGTCCCCACTGTTGACGAGACATCATATCCTGACGCATACTTAGCCGTATGGGTCGACGTGCTTGAAGTAGCAACATATTGTTGCGGAACGGGTACTGCAGAATCCTTGTCAACAAGCAGCAGTAATTTGATGCGTGTACAGATAAAGCATATCTACCCGAGCCGAAAATTGCTCGAATGGGTCGCTCGTATTTTCGTATTAGACGGCTTGCGACACCAAATACATCAATGCTGCAATGTTGAGTTGCGAGCAAAGGTACGCAAAGGCACAGCTGAGTTTGTATTCCCTCACTATCTACGCTGACTGTGTTGTGCACTCTGTTCGTGACCATCAGTACAACCTTGCACTGGCCAAGTGGATGTGGGCAACGAAAAGCCTGTCAGATATTGCCAAAGAGGAAGGGAGGTCACCCTTTACTCAGCACACTGCACTGGAGGAACTTCGTCCGAAGATGTTTGCTCTCTTACATGAGGCTCTTCAGCGCATTAATACGAGTGTGTCATGTTGCGAGACCACGTCCGAGATCATGGCAATCTTTGGACCGCAGCTGGTGGCCATCGGCGACGTGGAGCAAGGAGAAAGTATACTGAAGAAGGCCATTCGTATTGCCCTTCACAGTAAGAATGTGCTGCTGCAGACGCGACTTCTTGCGAATGTGGTCGAGCTTTACAAAAGCAAGGGGCAGACAGCGGCACAAGCGGCTGCAGCAATCAAGTACGAGAAGAAGCTGGCAGTTTTACAGCGCCGTATTGCGACAGCTCAGAACGAAGGTGATACGACTGCAGCTTTATTGCGATGGACTGTTGGCAGTAGCAAGATCACAAAGACGTCAAGAGCCTCATCACATGGAGAACCAAACTAATGTGATGTGACAAGGGGAAGCAAGATCGATTGCAAGATATTGCGCTGCAAACGACGATCACAATGTGTCATTTCTATGCTAAGTCCAGTGAATCAAGGTGTTGTCACTTTTCAGCCGTCTCTTTACAGACGTGCTACTGCACCTGCCGTATGTTTGACCGCTTGAGCCATTGGTACGCCTTGTGCTTTCATAGCGTTTGCACATGAAGATCCCGTCATTTCTGCCTACGACATTGCAAAATGCACATGAGTAACCATTCAAACGACTTAATCATCGACTACCCCATGTCATAGATGAAAGTATCAATGAAATCACACCATAAAACGCAGCTCGTTCTGAAACGAGACAATAAAGTTGCCCACCAATAGATCAGCCATGTATTGTAGTGCCTGTGCCATTCCCTCTTTCATCGTCACGATTTACCAACTCAACACCGGTATTGTAGCAGGTAAACATGTTCATGTGGTACAGTGTACCACTTTGTCCCAACTATTGTCTCTGGCGCTAACTGCCAACTTGAAGAACCTTTTTTTCTCGAGTCCATTAACCATTTTCACTCCATGCGCCATCAGTACGACAGTTTTACTTTCATCTTAGTATTTGTATACCGCATGTAACAGCAGTACCGGTATGTCGGTATTTGTAACCCATCGTACTATGTCTGACGTACTCACTTGATGGATAGGAAGCGACTGTGCGTGAAGGTCGTAAGCGCTCGAAACCTCGAGAGTCCTCAGTTGGTGGACGCCTATTGTGTCGTGGGACTTTGTGAGGTGAAATCCAAGAAATACCGTGGCAATTACCGCTTAGCTAGACGTTCTTTGACCGTGACAGGTTCCACTAGCCTTTCGTGGGCTCATGTCGCGGAATTTGTGGTGCCTGTTCGGCCTGCAAGCGTGAGATTGATAGTGCAAGTTTTTTGTAAAAAGAATTTCTTCTTTGACATGTTCCCGTCCAGTTGCAGCAATTTATCCGATGAAGAAGAAGAAGAAGTGAAAGTGATTCAAGAAAAAACATTGTCTGCAAAGGAAGAGAAGAAGACATTGACGTCAAGGCCGCAGACTTTTGTGAATGGATGGAAACGGATTCATGATAGTGACAGTGATGATGTTGTCACGCTTTCTGAGGAGGAAGATGAGGACGTGGATGAGATTCATGATGATGAAGAGGATGACTCGCCACTAATTGAGGAAGAAAATGCCGGTGTAGTTGGAAATTGCAATGACGAGATGCTGGGTGCTGTTGAAATTAATTTGAGCTTGTTGTGCAAGTCGTCGAGACCTGTGACAGACTCGTGGTATTGTTTGGGTGGCACGAGAACGGGAGAAGTGAGGATTCGAACGATTTGGTATGAACGAGGGGTAAGACCCCTCACGGCGCAGGATCGTGACATGCTGTTTGAAGAGCATTTGAATCGTTCGATAGCGAAACCTATGAGTGACTTTTACGGATTTGCCATACCAGAAGCTGCTAGGAAAGACTGGATGCACTTGCGCTCGTACCAGGATTGCCGAGAGGAAAGACGCGTTGAGGATTGGGCGAGGCTGTACGGCACCCAACTATCTGAACGTCTACGACGCTGCTCATACAAGGAAAAAGACACGGAAGAGAAAGCCCTCCTCATACAGCTAGCTCGAGCTGGCATTCCACGGCACTTACGAGAACGAGCGTACATGAATCTCTCCGGAGCGGGCGAAAAGCAAGCGAATGCAGGTCCGAACTACTATATTGATCTTGCCAAGCAAGCAGAGACGATCGAGACAGAGGCGTCTCGCCAAATTGAGCTCGATATTGATCGTACATTTGGACACTCCCAAACGACAATATGCTCCGATTCGGGACGTACACAGTTGCGCCGGATTCTCAGGGCTTATTCTCTTCGGAACCCGTCCGTTGGTTATTGCCAGGGATTGAATTTTATTGTGGCATTTCTGATGCTAATGGCGAATGAGGAAGCTGTTTTCTGGCTTTTGAGTGTATTTTGCGAAGATTTGTACCCAGGCTACTACTCCCCTACAATGGATGACATCCAGAGAGATATGTTGGTGCTTAAGCAATTGATCGCTGAAGAGCTTTTGGAGCTTAATGAGTTCACGTCGGAGGTGGGGCTTCCGTTAGAACTCCTGGGCTCTCAGTGGTTGTTATGCTTGTTCACCACGACCTTCCCCAGTGAGACAGTATTCCGCATTTTTGATTGCATCTTCACAGAGGGCCCATCTTTTGTTTTCCCTGTCATCATGACGCACTTGCGGCGATTGGAGCCGACATTGTTGGGATTGAGTGAGTTCCATGGTGTGCTGTCGTCGATTAAGGACGCAGAAAGCGCATGCGTTGATGGCGATATGTTTATGAATGCAGTTTGCAAGGAAGCGGAGAGTATCACCGCCATTAGGATTCAGAAGCTTCGCGAGGATCAATGTGGGTCTGTGCGCTGCGAAATGGAACGAGCTGAACGTGCCCGTTCATTCAACCAGCAGCTAGCTATCGTTTACCAGATCCCTGCATTCTCAAACTATGCAGTGGGACTCCTTCGTTTTTTCCATGAGGAGGCGGAAGGTTCCTCGCGCTCAAATGTTGCCTACGTATTGACCATGCTCTGTCATGGTCTCGTTTGGCTTGCGGAGCACTCCAAGCGATGGAATCGCTAGGGACACGTCCGAAAATGTTTCCATTGAGGTATATCGTCTCTATTGTATAAGCCATGCCGATATCTATTAATTCCACACTAGCTGTAGCAAGCGGGGTTGTAACTCCAGGTTATGTAATATGGCAAACAAGACATGAAGCGAATGTGCCGTGTTCCTAAGTCATGTTTTAAAAAGCAGTCGAATACTTTCTGCATCGTAAGATAAAGAGTCATGATCAAGTAAGTAGTCACAGTTTGCGTGATTGACTCTTCATCTTATCCTAACAGTACTATAGACGTGCGCTGTGGCATCTCCATTATTTCTTGCCCTTCTTGGTGGTAGCCACCTTCTTACCTCCCTTCGCCGCAACTAGCGCCTTGCGCTTCTTCGCGCTACCTCCAGCGCTTGGTAGCACCGTAAAAAAGCTATCAAGTCGTTTCTGTGACTGCGTATTCTTGGATTTTTTCAGTCGCGTAATGGCTGAGAGCACCCGGTCCTCCTGGAAGCCGTGTTTCTTGACCAAAAAGTCTAGCAGCTCGGTCTCCTGTGGATCACGCCATTTAATCTCCACCTCGTTGGCGTCGACGACTTCCGGCTGGGTAAACATTTCTCGTGCATTCTTGTAAATGGGATTTTCTCCCAGCCATTCATCCGGAATGACCACACCCTTGCTCTTGTTTTTCTGCAGCGCCTCAATAAAGTTCTCAATGTTCTTGTGCTCCTTAATACCTGCCAATGCTTTCTTCGGACCGACACCACGGATCGAGTCACAGTAGTCACAACCGCACAAAATGCACAAGTCTACGAACTGTTCGGTCGTCAATTCCAGCTCTTGGAGTGCACGTTCAAGGCGGATCTCAAGAATCGGAACCTTCTTGGCCGGTGATACCGTTAAGCGACGATATAGAACAGGCACACCGAACGTCAAAGCATCCATATCTTCCGTGCCTGCAGCATAGACTCGTCCGCTCTTGGCCAGTGCAGCACAAGAAGCTTCAGCTTCGCATGGAGCCGTAATATGTGGCACTCCCATGAGTTTTAGCAACTCCTTGCAGTCTTCATTGTGTTGAGGTGTGGCACGCACCAACCGTTTGTTGAAGCGGTCAATATCCTCGGTAATTCCCTTCTCCGTGGCTTCCTCGAGCGCCTTCTGAGCTTCTTGACGGCGATCGCTTCGTTTGGCCAACTCACCACTCTTCATAACAGGCGGTTTTCCGTCAAATACATACAGGGGCTTAAGTCCATTCTCCATCATGCGAATCGTACGACTAAACATTCCCTGCAAATGAGACGTCACTTCTCCATCTGCATTGGTCAATGCTTGGGAGGGACCGCCACCATCAGCTGAACGAATAGCAATGAGGAATTGGTACAGAGCCATACTGGCATCAATAGCCACAGCATGTCCTGCCAGTGCTGAAATTTTTTCTACCTCTTTAATGCAGGACGGAGCCTCCTCCTGTAGCAGTTTCATCAGACCTTTGATTCCCATGGTGGTTTGAGCTCAAGAAATTGAATGAATTTTAGTTCCCGCCAAAAAAATACTTAGTAAATGTATTGAAACTTTTCGTAGAAATCGGTATGGTACAAGCCGATAGGCGTCCTTGGAATACTATCGTTTCCCAGGACACCTATCGGCTTGTACCTTGACCCATTTGCAATCAGTAGTTCCACTTTACATTGCGAGCAGATACAAATGCGAATTCTGTGCAGGTATAGTCGTGACCATAAGCGTCCGAGTCCGATGCAAGCAAGCTCACTGATAGCACAGATTCGGGGTTTTGTAAGTCTCTCCTTAGCCATTGAACATGGCCGCATCCAAATGACGTTATGACTGGATCACCAATGATAAAGCCATTACGCAATATACTGCAACGTAAATCCTGTTGGTTTGATCTTGTTTCCAACGTGAGATCCTCAACACGAACTTTGCCGTACCCAAAGGAAAATCGAATATCGCAAAAGCCCATATCGTAGCATGTCTTGCGAATAATTCCCACACCCAATCGGCGACATTGCACCAAACTACCAACTGATAAAATGGCTGACGGTGTAAGATAAGCCTCTTTACTCCAGGGGAATTTTACCTCGATGCGTTTGTCGACAACTCGAAGTGCCGTGATAACCCCTGCACCGAACCTGGTCGCAATGGTACTTCCAACGTCTGCACACATTCGCAACAATGGGTTTTGAGCAGCCAAAAGGTTTTCAGAATACGACAATCTTGGAAAACAGAGTATATGGTACGTACACGCATCTGGAACGAATATGCTCGCTTCATTGGCAAAACTGAGACCCTTGCGGAAAAGCAGAGTCTTTGCGACCTTTACGTCGAGCAAGAACCTGTTTAGGAGACCAAACACGTACTCAGACGACGACGCACTGGAGTCTTCTGCCAAATACCGTGCTGTGCCGTCCCAGACGGAGTGTAGAGTCTCCAAGTTCGTCTCGATGTCTTCAAAAGCTGTCTTGATAATCAGAAGCCGCTCCCTCATTACAGAGATAAACTTGCTTTTCATTTGGTACTGCCGTGGCTCCAAGTCCTCATCATCTATGCTGGAATCATTTACACCACCCTTTGACATGTCTCGATTTGGTTTGCTGGACCGCTGCCTGATCGCAGCTAATAGCGCTGCTAGTGCGTGGCCATTTATCGTTGATGACCCGTTCTGCTCAACCCCGCTAGTATCGTTGGTGAAGACACGTGTACGGTGTTGCTGGATAGATTCTAGTAGAGCCGAATGGACAGGAGTCGCACGGTTATCTGGGCTTGATGTCGGTACTTCATACTGCTTGCTAGCAGCTAGACCAGAAACTTGATGAACCTCGCTACGTACTTGCCTATCTTGAGCTTTGTTATTTTCTGCTGGTGTTCTCCGCGACTTGTCTGGAATACAAGTCAGAGCTGCTGCATGAAAAGTATCTTGCACAGGCGAATCTTCGTGTAAACCTCTTGGTTGTGATTGAGCGCTGGCGTCTGCGCTTTGGTCCACACTTCTCTTGGAACGGATGGCAGAAAAAATAGATGTCTGTGATGCTCTTTCGGTGGCGTCTGAGTTAACTTTCTCTCGATGACGACTACGAACTGCAGCTAGTAGATCTGTGCGCTGGCTATTCGATGTGGTCCCAACAGTATTAATTTGACCCGGTGCATCATTCATGCTAGTTGTACTACGCTTTCGGATGGCATTGAGTATAGAGTTGCGTGACTCAGAGCTTCTACCTCGCGCGCTATTTGCCACCTCGTTCCTCTTTATCATTCCTGCGCGTTCAGAAATCAATGGTGAACGATGTCCCGGGTGTGTCGGCTGCTCGAAACGAAGCTTTCGAACAGCCTCAGCTTTGTTGAATCGCTTCAGGTCTTCAATCATGTCTTCTTTGATCTCCTGCTCAAGCTTGGAGATGTCGTGCTGCAATGCTCGAGCTTGAGAGTCGCACATCACATTGGAAAATCGTCTTGCCTCACAAAGTGTACTGAGGTCGTTAACAAAGAGCAAAACATCACCTTCGCCTCGATCCTACATGCAAATGTAACATATTTGCACATAATATGCTAGTTTACACGCTTGTTGAAGCAAGCTAGACCAGTAGAGAACGCGCTTACGTGAATAAGCTTGATGATGAATTGGAGCAGCGTCATGCTTCGATCTATAGCCTTTGTCTCTGAAAGCTAGCGGGACAACATCAAAGCGTATTTGTGGAATTGCCGTGCACTGTGAAGATCAAACACTTACATAGGAGAACGCACCTTCAAAAGAGAAGCAAGGGTTATACCCTGTGCACCTTCAAGTTCGGTGCCGGTATTTAAGATGTTTCCAATTGCCAAAACCAATTCAAAACACCGGGCAAGACGTTCACTATGCAGAACTTCGTAGCACGCCTGGATGATTACCCGAATACGGTTGTTCAACTCCTGTTGCTGGTGTTCAAATTGTGCAGCAAACAGCATAACATTGATCTGCATGCACAACATCCATATCGTTAGCATAGCAATACATGACTTTCGAAATCAAGCACGTAGTTTTTACCTTTTCCGTCACTCGAGGAATCTCACACATCTCTACGAGGAACTTTTCCGAAGGTTCCAGATGTGATCGAGAACCTTTAAAATTGGAATAACGCTTTGCTTCCATACTATTTGGCGCGATAACTAGCAATTTCGTTAAGCGATCGACTGAGAGATACTCGAAGTCACAACGCTTTAGCGCCGACAATATGGAGTCAGCTCCCCCAAATGCTTTGAATTGACTCAGCCCGATTAAAATGTTGTTAGCTCTCCGTGAATCAAGGGCTGAGAATTTGGCCTTGGCTGCGGTATTCTCCTTGGACCCTGAAGGTAGCACTGCTGTCCTGTTCCCAAAACGATGCTCCAGCTCGCGAAAATCCTGTGAGGATAGTGTGATCGGAGCAGTCTTGCGTCTTGCTGTCATACGAGTCCAAATAGTTTCATTGGCCTTCTCCAGGCTAGTCCAATAAATTTTACGAAATGTGCTGTCACGTCGATCATAACATCGACTGTCTGAGCACTGTTTTCTCCTTCAACACAACATACAGGAAGTCAGGTCGTGTACTACATTCCATCACTGTAACAAGTGTAAGTACCTTTCTGCTCTACCGACATGGGAAACATCGCTTCCGTCAGGTCCCGCAGCAAAAATGGCAACTTGTTCCGAAGGCATTTCGTCTGAGGTCATTTTCTGCGTCACTGCGCTACGTGGAACACCAAAGCTAAGCATCTTGAAGTACTTATCCATTGCAGGGTCTCTTCGAAGTGTTGCATATTCTGGTTGCTCGCGACCATTGCCAGTGGCTTTGCACTTCATTCTCGCAATACGCGTTCGCTTTTGCACATGTTAGATACAAAGTAAACATAACAGCGGTTCACATCGACTTCTTACCTCTTTCTCTTTTTCTTTGACAAAGCATCCGTCGCAAACTTTAAGCTGGGGGACCTTATCGTTTCTTTTCACGTAATGTCGTGAGCATTGAATACACACGATCTTCTTGCAGCACGGACATTCATGCTGTCGACTAAAGAAGGAGAATGGAGTCAGGCACTGATCGCAAGCTTCAACACTGCCTTCATTTGACAGCAGACCACCAACAATATACGACACGGGTTTGGAGAGAAGCGAGGAGCGAAACCCCATACTACCTTCCTCCTTGTCTTGGTTGCCATCCTCTGTGTCGCACCCATCTTGCTGCCGTTGAAGCGTTACTTCCGTCTCCTCTTTCTCATGTAGTGACGCCATGAATTTATCACACCGTTCATTTCCAGCCCTAGAAGCATGATTCCACGAAATAGATCGTGCCATGTTTAAGGACCCTTCCCATGCTGTCTTGTAAGCCCTTTTATCAGCAGATATGCAGCGAATGTGCACTTGTTTAGAGCGAACCATGGAGAAAGAGTTATCAAGCTTCACAGCCAGACCACCAACCGGGTCAGACTTGAACCGTACAGACACTTCCACCAATTCGTCTGAAGCCGATAATTGCAGTGGCCGTGTCACGTCTTGACCAGCGTGAGTGGTAAGCGTCAGTAAGATGTCCTGCGTTTGGACTCGTAGCTGCGCTAAGAAAATTGCTCCACTGCCAGAAAGCGAAAGCAATTCAAACGATGCATGCCTGGGTTTCGGTGCAGTGCAGCGCAGCCACATACATTCTGTTAGCTGAAGCAACGCGGTAACAGCTATGTGAAAGAAGACGTACCCAACCACAATATCTTGAAATGGTTCTTCATGTAGAATATACCGAGGTACAGTACAATCTTCAAGATTCTTGATTTCATCAGGATCTCCTTCAATGAGTTTTACCACGGCGCTATCGCCTTCCAAGCCATCTTGAAAAGCAATTTCGTTGCCAAACAGTGGAGCCTCTGGAGCACACTGCTTAAGGTTCCGCGGAAAGTCATGTTGATCTTTTGAGTTACACTCATCGGGTGGATACGCGGCTAGTAGGAACGTGACTCCATTCAGGGCACTAATGAAGGAGGCGATTTTCCGGGCATCGTCATACTTGTACATAAGAGCTCTAGGCTCATAGTACTTTTCCACAACCGTTCTCCTTTTGCTAAGATTCTTTCGTTCACCAAAATAAACACCGTGGAATAGACATCATCAGAATAATCGTTAGAAGTGACGGATTGTTTTCAGACGTACCTCAAACGCGCGCTGTAGAATGCCCTTGTTCAAAGCTAGCAGCAAAAAGGAACGTGAACGATTCCATCCTAGAAACTTTAGATTCGATGGTGGCGCTCGTGCTTGTATTTCCGCCACGATCCCAAGGTCATCACGTAGTACATACTGTGTCTCCAGCAAGAATTCGTAAAATGGTGCTTCTGGCCACACATCCAGACATTCTTCCTACATTGTGTTGAATACAACATACTCAACAATCGATCTCCACTCGGATGAGCATGTGCATCTTCTGGTCGTACCTTAATTCCATTACACAGAATAGCTTCCAGTACCAATACAAAGGATCGAACGGCTCCTTCATGCAGTGGATTGTCAGGTTTTGCGGTAAAAATTGCCACAATGTCCATCACTGTCTGCTCCAAAGTAGCCATCATACATTTCTTCTCCACCTTGATATCATCATCCGTCATCACACGCTCCTTCAATAAAGTCTTCGCCAAGTGAGGAAGTGGCAATCCTGCCGCCGTCCTCCTCGCTTTTTTCTGCAAACGCGACTGCGATTCTTGCACCGCCAGCTCAGCTACTGCAACCACACGCCTAGACGCTACAAGAAAGCGATATTGAACTTGTTTATGCCGTATTAAAGAGTATAAATTGTCCCAACGCAAAGTGTAGACTCTTTCGGGTTTAATGTCATTGAATTTACCTTCCGCCGTGGGTTCCAAGGCATCAAATTGCAGTGACAAAGGCGGCGTTGTATCATTTGTACTAAAGCCTAAAGTAGGTCTTTCGGCTGCTTTGAATCGATCCAAATATTGCACCACAGCGCCATTTTCCAACAATTCAAAGCCAATATCATACTCCTCAAGCAGAAATTGCCACACCAAACATTCCTGTAGATCATTCTCATCTTGCGCTGCAATAGAAGGTATAGATATAGAAATATCGGCAACGCTTCCTCGTCGAACATTCAGCGAGATCCACGCAGTTGTTTGCAACAAAAAGGAAGTAGCCGTCACAGGCATCGGACCCTTTCCTTTCTGCTTTTGTGTCGCGAAAGAAATTGAATCTAAAAAAAGCGACTTGTGAGACAATTTTATTGTAGATGGGTAACTCAATCTGTTTTTGTCCAATGAAAGGATGGGATCGATTATTAGGAATACGCACGACAAATATACAGTGACTGTAATCATTTTTTGCGTTTATATTTTCTACCAATCATTTAAGCTAACATTTACGTACCAGTTGTCATGGAGGCGACAAGTATCTACCCGAATTCAGCGCCTGTGCTCGCTAATAATGGACTTGGGATTACTTTAGCAGGCAATGACCCCGACCATGTACCTCTTGATCCTAATCTCGTTAATGATCCACGTAGACGATTCGCCTTGGACAGCAGTGCAGTCGATGTGAATGGTGTCATGCGTCTACATGTGCGCAATGCTCTAGGCTACGCGTTCCTACGACCTAATCACGTTAACAAACTGCGAAGCTCATATGTGGAAAGTCGTATTGTAAAGGAAATGAACTGGAAAACGCAAGCTTCGTTCTTCCGACATAATTACCGTCACTTTGTGCCACATGACCTGATGATGAAGCTGTTGAAGGAATGCCCGTACGTTTCGTTTTCGGCAATGCAATTGTCTACACTATTGCTGTAAAACGAGGTGCAGACTGACGAGTTTTGATGTGCTTCAAAGCTTACAGGAGGATGGTCAGAACATATCGAAGTGGCAGGGCAACGCAATCGCAGGAGTGGATTGTGGGCAGGACGGCCACGTGGTCTTTTATCCTACAGGGCATGTACTGCAGCAAGCCTGCGCATGGTATAGCAATGGAGAAGCAGAGGAAGATATACCATGCTCGAGCACTGTGATCGAGACAGGTGCTGTGATCCGGCAAATTTCAGTAATAGGAAGCAAGGACGTGTATCATTTGACAAGTTCTGCAAAGATATTTGCAGCTTTTCGTGGCTGTACGAACTGCACAATTATCGCAACTCCTGCGCGTGTCACGCGTGACAATATGCGGAAGATGCAGGCCAAGGCAAAAATCTCGTTGTCTGAAACGATAAACCACGTAGCTGGTAGCCCACATGCAGAAGCTGAAGTGGCCTTGGTCACAGCTGATGGTATTATTCGGTGGTGGGACCCCGAAGGTGGACTTCGAACTGCCAACAAGAATGTTAATATGCCAGATCGCTTGCTGCGCTGCGAATACTCCAGGTACGGTGGCAAATTACCTCACCTTTATATGTATGATCTAACTGTGTGTTTGTTGTTTGTGGTCAAGCCATCCCCGCGTTCTTTGGGCAGTAAATCGAGTTGCAGTTTCAGCTTTAGATCTTCGGCAACCAGCGCAACACGCGGGCAAATTGTTTGATGTGGCCGGCTCAGGTACTTACATTACTATTTACGACGTGAAGCGCAAAGCAAGGTACGGTTTGAGAAGAAGGCAGCTCCGAGTGTTCCAAATATTGATGTTGCTTGTCGTTGACGTTACTTGGCTTACCAGCAATCCATTCCAGTTTGTTGTCGGCACTGGTGTCTCTATCGAGCTTGTGGATAGTCGCATGGCTAGGCAGCCCCTTGTGTCGTGGGTCCAACCACTGAGCTATTCGGGCGAGTCGGAGTTTTCGTTTGGTGCAATTGATGAAGTAGACATGTCACGAAACGCCACTGATTCACGTGGTACGTAAAGTAACTTTTGATGGCACGATAACAAGTACTAATATCATCCAATGTTTTCGTAAAGGTTACATCGTTTCAAGCTCAAAGCGACCAAAAGTAACAACACTCTTCCCTTTCGAGCGAAATCGAAAACGAAAGCGGCGTGGGAGGGTGTTATCGCTGACATCACTGCGCTCCAATGGAGATGACGAGTACTCAGAGATTCCGCGTTCAAGTATAGAGCAGCTTGTTGCTTCCGACGCAACGTTGGATTTACACATGGAAGATGGCGGGGAATATACCAATCTGACGGGCATTTGCGCGTTGCGCGACGAAAATTCGGCATCTGCGAGCATTTATCAGCTGAACAGTTTGGGCGACTTGTTTTCTCACCGAGTTTCGTTTGGCCGTTCTCCAACAAGGGCATACGAGGCCGCTGTTCAGGCAGAGTAAGTCTTTTCGCAATTCTTGACCGCCACTGTTTTGCTTGAATGTATCTACTGTCTCTAACATACTTTCGTGGCATTGTACGAAAAGTTTGCCGTGTGGAGTAACAGCCCAGGCTGATACTATGGATGAATCAGTCACAAGCACTCTTCCAATACCGGTGGATGCTATTTTGCCTGAGCATGATACTGAGTCGATGCAAAGGTTCATCACACTTCCTATCAAAGTGCTCCGACGACAGTTCCCACGACTACCAGAAGATCGAGAGTTGTCCAACGAAGTCAAAGGAAATGAAGCAGCGGCCTCCAACAGTCGGAGAAACAACGAGAGTATAACAGAACGCAGCAAAGCAAAAGCCGTGGACATGCACAGAAAGTGGCGACGAAATCAAGACAATAATGGCAACGCTAAAACTGGCGGAGCCGAAGAACGATTCGCCATGACAACGCCTTCCGCATGTTTGGACGAGAACAAAGACGACACGATGATCGCTGGTACAAAACGCTCGCGAATTTTTGACAAGGATGAACTAGTCAACCGACTCGTCGACGTCAGTGACCCATCAACCTCACTGTTTCGGCTGCATCGTTATACTCTTGATGAGCTGAAGATCGAGCTTTCTTCGTCGGAACTCTTGCAGCTTCTGCGTTCAAGCAGCAAGTTTCGGACACGAACAGTGCATCACACGTTTCCAGCAGACACGTTTCATGTGCGCAATCCGTCATTACCAGGGGCTGATGCCGTGCACCACAAGAAGGATGATCCTCGTTTAGCTACGTGCACGTGCGAATTAAAGTTGATATGCTCCCAACTTCCGTGCAAGTCGTGGGCCTGCATTATCCCACATGCGGTCATCGTTTCAAGCACATTAACGGATCTCCACTTGGACACTACAGCTCCTTCATCGGCCCCTAGACAAGAAATGCCGATCGATTTAGCAGACATCATTGTTGCAGCACAAGCTGTATACGACGATATGTCCGAATCTCTATAATTTTTCCGTCTTGTACATATATTTCTATTAAATTTTCGCTATACAATGAGGTATTATTACTCGTACTCTACGAAACCTACAAAATGAGCAAGAAAATAGTTATCGAGGAGGAGGAGTATGTGGAGGCACTCGAGCAGATTATCGAGCGCGATTTCTTCCCAGACCTTCCGAAGCTTAAGAAGCAGACAGAGGTGTGTTTACTACGACGCTAATAAGCGCTTTCTAGATGCTATTTTTGTTATATTAATGACTTTTCTAATATGTTGTAATGTGCATTGGAACACAATGCAGTTGCTACAAGATGAAGAAGAGAGTTTGGCATGGACAGACACAATGCTACGCGTTGCGAGAACTAGAGACAACATCTCTGTGCGAAGCAATACAAGCGGCTCAGGATGGGATCAACCTACTGAACAGTCAGTTAAAACTGACCTGGAACGGGACGAACAGGACCAAAATGCTGGCGGCGATGCCAAAGCTTTGATGACACTGAATCACTTTGTGGCGACCCACACTTCAGAGGACAATGAGTCGTTTAATCAACTGCAAGAAAAAGCAGTGAAAGATCATCAGCGACGGTACCATTGGGCGTTTGACGATGACGATGAGAAGGGCGATCCGAAGCTGCACTTGTTGGCGGATGGGACGTGGATTTCGCGCGAACAGCGGCGAATTGCAGATGAAGCGTGTGCATCAAAAGGCGAGATGCCAATCGCTTTTGAGCATTGAAAGACATTGGCTCACCATGCGTGTTTGTCGACTTTTTTCAGAACCCAAAGACGAGAGACCAAGCGCTCCAGAGATGTGGAAGTTTCGTGCAAGAAATCCGCTTTTGTTCTCACCTAAACTGGAAGCAACGCGAGATATCTGCGGGGTAGGTAGATGCTGTCGATAATTGGTTTGAGTATGGTGCTGACGTTGTTTGGCCTCTATAGATCGAAGCTGGTTCCAAAAGCCAGCTTTTACTTGAAAATGGACGAGTATCATGCTTGGGAAAGCCTCCAGGGGCGAGGAAAAAGACAGTATACGCAAACTCAAGATTTTCTTCGGAAGATGCACAAGTAAGTATATTCGTTGGCTTAGTACACTAGACATCATTCTTATCGAAGGACTCACGATCAGTTGTTTGGCAAACTCCTGTAATATGTTGAGGTTAATCGTGAAGGAGAATCGTCATCATCACAGAAGGAATACCCATTAGTTCCGATGACGCCGCTTATTGCACCAGGTATGGATGCGAGTCCACTGATGACCTGGGGAGACATTGAAGGCACGCCAGCGATTCTAGGAGACACACCAGGTACGTGTACCACAGATTTGAGATTTCGCATGAAGCATTCTAAGCTCTTGTCGCTCCTGTATTTGCAGCCCGAATTTCGAACACACCAGGCTTTGAGTTTCAAGATACGTCACGGCGAGAAAAACTTGCCAATCGGCTGGAATCAAAAGTTGTACGTAACCCTCGACAAAGTGCCGAGATGGTAACACGTTTTTCATTAAGCTAAGTTCCTCTTTTTGCTGCTTTGATCTAGCGTCATCGCGGTATTAACTCGCGGCTGCTAAGGATCAAAACTCCGTCAAGAAAGCGACTGAAAGCCGATCAAACGCCAGTATCAAGCAGTGTTCGCTCCGGCATTCCAAGTGTGCGGTCAGTTCTACAGACGCCGCTAGGCTCAGATGCGCAGTTAAGAGCAAGCTATTCTACACCTTTGCGACCTCCGCGCCATTCATCCAAGACGCGCAAGATAAGATACGGTCGATAATTAAAGCACAAAGTCGAGCACAAAAGGTTTGCTAGACGCATTTATCAAGATTTGATGAACCGGTGTCGTGTAGCAGATGGTGACAATAATATGTCATTTAAGAGTAATTATTAGGAAATTATTGCACAAAAGTTAACGAAGGCACTAAAAAGACTTCTAGCTACGCTGTGATTGGTCGATGTAGAATTGTAGCGTGTGGCTGTAACTGATTTTCCTTCCCTCATAACGTTTCCAGATCATCGTAGAAGCACTAACAGAGATAATGGCCAGTAAGGGAACGTCGCTGTGGCGCACGGCCGGTGTGTCATATCTGCAGTATGTGAACCAGTCTGCGGGCGTACTACGTGCGGCCTTGAAGGAGCCTGTTAAGAGCACCGTGCAGGCGCGATCCAACGTCGAGTTTGCCAGCTTCAAGTGGGCCAACGGTGAGCGTGGCGAGCGCGGTATGTTCATCAACTATGAGTTTTATTTAGTTGTTGTTTTTCCTATCATGTAGAATGACAGGGTGATGTTTTTCAGTGAACGTGGACTCGATCAAGACGATTGCTGAGGCTTTTAAGAAGGCGTAATAACATGCTGGCGATAGCAACGCCATTGGTCGACGTTAGTCGACATCAAAAGATTCTCAAGGAAAAAATCACATCGTATCATTGGACTGAGGAGGAGGAAGGTGGACCGCATCGTTGTCTCTTAATCTATCATTTGCTGGACGAAGTGTGTCGTTGGTGACGTCCTCATCCTCTTCTTCTTGTTTTCAGGACGAATAACTAAAATGCTTTGAAAGGCTCTTTGTGGCCCAATATGTTTCGCTTCATGCTTTTGACTTGCTTTTTGATGGCTCTTCGTGAGAAGGGTTATAAATGGGTGAGTATTGGGGGCAATAGCAGTGGGGTTGGACCAAACGATGTGTCGCCTGATACAGAGATGATGATGGAGTTGAAACCAGGCATAGTATTGAAGGTCGAGCCTGCATCACGCTCAACGAAGCATGAAGGTATTCATCGAATCGCTGTCGGCACTTAGTGCAGATACGTATCCCATTCCGCCACACAGATGTAAGACGAACGTGTGTACTTGCGACGCCGATAGGAGTCCTTTGCGTACTGGAACCCTAGCACAGGTGGTAGAACAACAACTGCAAGTCCAACACCGGCGACTGCCGCTACAGCTGCGACACCAACAATCGCTGTCTTTGTGACGACACGCATTGGTGCCCAACAGCCATACTTTAGGCTTTTGGAGCGCAAGAAGCTCAGCAGCAGACACAGAGTTTCATCGTGGTTATGCCACGGGCGAAGACAAGACCAGCAGAACTCTTCGTCGCACTGAAAGCACTTCATGTGCGAGCAGCCGCCTTGCTTTTCGATGACAGTTTTGCAACTGGGGCACCCTCGCACGTTGTGCCGCTTCTTCCAATGGCCAAAACGCTTCTCTACGTGACGGCAAGTCGGTATCTTGTGAAAGTCGTCACCGCATCGCATGCACGACTCTTGTTTGCATGTCTGGCATTTGACCCTACGCGTCGACGAATTGAGTGGCTCATCCAAGATAGCGCAACAACCTGCACGCGGACAAAAGCGGATGCCAACCCTCTGGTTTTTGAGAAATGTTTTGTACTTGCCGAATATTTCAGGGGACACCAAGGCTTGAACAAGCTCCTCGGACAATGGGTTTTTGCACCGCGGCGCCGGACACACCATCTTCTTCTGCGATACTTCGCCTTCCAGCACCTTATACTCAATATACCAGCGCGTACAGCTGGCACAGAAAGATCCACAACAAGAAACACACGCATGAGCCTGAGACGCGTCCAACTTATCGAAGCAGATCTGGCACTCGCGCTGTCCAATTGTGTCGAAGCCGTCGGCCATGACATTGCTGGGAGCGGACAAACATATGATAGGTATATCCACTTGCTTTGGTTCGTATTCTTCTGTCTCTGAGTCAAGATTACGCCCGACCAAGACACACGTACTCGGTCGGTGGGTATTCGAGCGACGCAGCGTCGGGATTGAGGATCGACGCTGTTGCTCCTGGAACAGCTCGAGCATTGCACTCTTATGCAGTAGCTGAATGGATCGTGGAGCTTGAGAACTGGGCAGTGACACCTGAAGTTGTTCCTCACTGTCCAACTTGGAGAGACTGGAGCGCTGTGTCTTTATGTAATGCAAATGAGACTTGCCACAAAAGGTTTGTCGGCGGATTGCTATCTCCATTTCAGCTCTCTCTAGTGGACGACGCTAAAGATTAAATGACTTACTCTGAAGTGAAGAGCTTTGAACTTTCTCAGAACTCTTGATTAAAACGAGTGCGACCCTTACCGCGGATACAAATTTATTAAAGTCACGGACGCAAAAATCATATGACACATGCAGAAATTGAAGGAATGTGGGTTGAAGCTGCGGGAGAGACGCGGATTTGTGGAAAAGTGGTACACTCATACATATGGATTTATATATGAATAGTCACCGAGTTTGTCTCTTATACTAGTGGCTATTGGGTTGACACGAATGACGTCAATATCTGAAAGATCGATCTTCATCCCACCTGCAGCTCTGGCGCGATACAACTTGGAAAAGAGAAAGAGCTCGGATCTCTCTTTCTTGACTGCAGTGTCACAGCGATAGCAAGCTTTTCTGGAAAGGTGCCCCGCCAAATTAGCAAGACCTTGACGGGCGGGTTCGTGAGTACCATATCAGTCTTCATCGACGTCTTCTTGTCCGACGCGGCAGCTGAAGCTGAAGTGTGTTGACGTGCTTTGTCGAACGGTAACGTTGGCGAAATAGCACGAATGAAAAACGAATTCCTGGAATCAGATACGTTTACGACGACGTAGGTAAGCAAGCGACTAGCATAAAGAGACGTCTAATATCAACACTCCACCACGACGGTGGTAACTGTCCATTCATATAATTGCGTTTGTCACACTGCTGAACGCAGACTGAAATCTAGGCCGAGGCTAATCTTTTATATTGGTGGCGTCGCGCAATGTTTAATCGAAAAGATGCTGATGTATCGTTCCCGAAGAAGTATACATCAGCACCTCACTAGTCATCTTATTGCTTGTATAGGCATCATGCCGATCTTCTAGCAATTCTACATAGGTGCATCTACCTGTGCCTAGTCGTCGCCTGCGAGCCAACACGGTCAAATTTCGCACCACAACCTTATCTATTACCTCCATATAACTAATGACGCGAAAATGCTGCCACCGTGTTGCAATATTACAAGCGGTCAAGCTGCCTGAGAACCACCATGCCGCAAGCAAGCATCATTCTCAGCCCTAAAGTTACCGTGTCATTGTTCATAAAACAGTCGGTAGAGCGACTATCGAATCCAACAACCTATGGACCATTTGGTCCTGGCCAATCACAATATAATTGATTGTGTGTAAAGAGCACACATAGTAGTAATACGAGTACTATTTTAACAAAATAGTACAATGTCATTAAAGCTAAAATAAACTATTGAAGTGTATTCATTAAAACCGGTACATTTATACGAAAGCTGGTGGTGAGCAGCCACAAGACCATTTGATTGACCAAATGATGTCGCCTTCTACCAGTACAGGCGTGAGCCTGCTGCTCGTAGCGGTCAGCGTCCTGTTCTACCTGTCAACACGTAATCGCACACTGCCTGATTATGCGCCTGCGACGTTGCATAAGGTAAAGAAAAGTCATCACAAGCAGCAGAAGAACGACAAGTTGAGCGAACCCAAGCCCATGACTGTTCGCATCCTGTACGGCACGCAGACTGGTACTTCCAAGAAGATGGCGGAAAAGCTGGAGAAGACGCTGTTTGCACTGAATATTGCCGGCTTTCACTTTCAAACGAGTGTTGTGAGCATGAAGGACTACGATCAGGACAACTTGGAGCAGGAGGACATTGTAGTAGCCATTCTGTCCACTTGGACGCACGGCAAACCGCCAAAAGATGCGCAAATGTTCTGCAACTGGATCAAAGACATGACACAGGACTTTCGTGTGTCGAAAACTTGGCTTATTGGTGTCCCACATGCTGTTTTTGGATTGGGCAATGCGGAGTACGATGAGGACTACGGTACAGCTGCCAAGAACTTAGACCGTGACTTGGCTGAGCTGGGTTCACCGTCACTTGTGGCGTTGGGTCTAGGCGACGACAATGTCGATCAGTTTAAGCAGTTTGATGTCTGGATGGACAACTTGGTTGCTGCTATGTGCGAGTACAGTTCGGAGAAAGTGGCTGCTGCATTAAACAAAAGTGGAAGCCCGGTGAAGGTTGGTAAAGCTGGAAAGAAAGAGTGGTTGTCACAGAACGAGTTCCGTCGTCAAAAGAGATCCGAGAAGGCGAAAGCTGCTGCAGCAAATGGCGAGAGCGTTGAACTGAATGAAGAGGATCTCATGAATGAAGAGTTCTTGGTGGATGAGTTCTCAGATGACGAAGAGCAGAACCAACAGAACACTAATGATGACAGTGGTATGGTGGATGTGGAAGACATTGGAAAGTCCATGAAGGAGTCCGAAGCGGCAAGCAAGTCACGTGAGATGGTCACCCCGATGCAGCGCAAGGCTTTGACGAAAGAAGGTTACAAGATTATTGGTACACACAGTGCTGTGAAGCTCTGCCGTTGGACGAAACACCAACTGCGTGGGCGTGGTGGTTGCTATAAGCACGCATTTTATGGAATTACGAGCTACCAATGTATGGAAACTACCCCTAGTCTGGCATGTGCCAACAAATGCGTCTTTTGTTGGCGTCACCATAAGAACCCGGTTGGTCGTGTGTGGCGCTGGAAGACGGATGATGCCGAGACACTTGTCAAAGGCTCTATTGAGCGTCACCAAGGCATGATCAAGGAATTGAAGGGTCTTCCTGGGTTGATTCCTGCACGATGGGAGGAAGCTTTTACGGTGCGTCACTGCGCGTTATCACTTGTAGGTGAAGCTATTATGTATCCGCAGATCAACGAGTTCTGCAAACAGCTCCATGACCGTCACATTTCGTCATTCTTAGTTACGAACGCTCAGTTCCCCGACAAGATTGCTGCACTCGACCCGATCACGCAACTTTATGTCAGTGTTGATGCCGGCACGAAGGAGTCACTGCGTGCTGTTGATCGCCCACTGTTCAAGGACTTCTGGGAGCGGTTCCTGGCCTGTCTGGAAGAGCTCAAGCACAAGGGCCAACGCACGGTGTACCGTTTGACGTTAGTCAAGTCGTACAATATGGAAGAGCTTGACAACTACGCGGAGCTCATCAACATTGGTCAGCCTGACTTCATTGAGGTGAAGGCCGTAACATACTGTGGAAAGTCAGATGGCTCTGACTTGACCATGAAGAACGTTCCGTGGCATGAGGAAGTGCGCGGGTTCTGCTCGGCTCTATGTGACCGTGTGAGTGGAGATTACGCTCTGGCATCGGAGCATGCGCACTCGAACTGTGTGTTGATCGCAAAGAAGAAATTCTGTCGCGATGGGGTGTGGCACACTTGGATTGACTATACGCGTTTCCACGAGCTCGTTGCCAAGTTCTATAAAGATGGCGCGCTGTTTACAGCCGACGATTATACTGCTCCCACGCCGCATTGGGCACTGTACGACTCGAAGGAGCAGGGTTTTGATCCCGTTGAAACTCGGTTTCGTCGTACGAAGGACGGAAAGGTTACCGAATTCGCCTACCAGTCTACTGAGTCGGGATGTGGTTAAGCTTTTGCTGGCGATAGAACTGAATGATCCATCTTTCGCGTTGCTCAATTGTTGTTTATTGTTGATGCAGTATCGTTCTGTTACGACTATAAAGAGGGACGCAAAGATGAAGTAGCATCAAGTACTCCGTTTTCCGGGGTTGCAGATAGAAATGTAGACAAAATGTGTCTGAGCGCAATGTTTTCGCACCTGGTCGAACTTGCGGCACCGCACTCCACACAAGTTGAGGGCTAAGCACGGGCAAATACATGATATCGTACGTAGTATTGGCGAATACCACCTTCTGTCTGTAAAATCTTGTCGGTCTCGTCATTTGCAATTTCACGAGCTCAACTCAAACTCAATGTATCATTGCATTCCAAATCTCGCCCACGGAAAACTTGTGGGTAAATGAGCATAGAGTACAGTATTATAGATTGAAAGCCTACCTCGGACACATTGCCAAGTAGTGATTATGTCAATGATGGCTGTCAAGGTCTGCAGTCTTGCTAGATTCCATTAGTGAACAAGGTTTCTTGACCACTCTTGGTCCATTTCAGAGTACCCGCCCTTTAAGGGTGTAGACAAACTGCTTCTCGTTGTTTAAGCATTTGTTGCGGTAACTCCTTGCATTTTAAGAATACACGGCATGAGAATATGTTCGTGTCTTACACTGTGACAGAATCTCTGATGTTAGGATCATCGGATCTGGATGCGCTTCAAAACATCTGTCTCGTCTTCTGATCCAATTGTCGGTCAAAAAACACACGCTGTTGTGTCGACAGTAACGTTCTGTACAAGTTTGGTGGTGTTGTCTTTAAGGGAGTACGGACCTGTTTAAAAAGCAGACCCGATTGTGCAATTCATACCGTTCCAAGAACAAAATGTTATCTTCTTCATCAATTTTTGCAAAAATTAAATGGCCCTGGCCACTCGACGCCTTACCAAATTGGCCTCACAGTTAGCATCTACGTCTGGAAAAGAGAACTCGCTCAGCTTTTAAAGTATTCATGATTAGTCGCAAACTTACATACTTTCGATCGAAATCGTGATAAGAAACCATAGTTATTGTGCTTTAAACATTCTACTACGGTAGAACAGCAAATCTCACAAATAAGTAAACGGATGCGGCTAGCGAAATGTATAGTAGTATCCTACATCTCTCTCTTGCTCTTGCTGATGGAATCTGGTGCTGCCACCCGGAGAGCGGGTCAATGTAAATCGGACGATCAACTCAATGAATCGAGCACTGTTGGAATAAGTTGAAGAACAGTGGAAGTTGCTGGCAGTTGGCAGTGGATGGCAAGGCATGTGAATGGCAGTTGGTGTGCTTCATGGTTGAAGGTATGAGAGGGGATTCGTGCTGACGCAGAGTCCCAGGTTGTACTTGCCAACTGGCATAGGCCACGAAGAGATGTATGTTAGGACAGTAGGGCTTGTGTTGTATGGTAAAAATGAACGACAGTTCCGAAATTGCATCGTGTGACTCAAGTGCATATTACAAGGGTTATGAGCCCAACTATGGTTCCTCAGGATAGCGGACAAGGTGTGAAGATGTATTCAAAGGATGGCATGCCACGTAACTTTAAAGGTCAGTACTGGCATACCTACAAGGAAATGGCGATGATGGCGCTACAAGACATCGACCAAGAACTTTGGGATGTTGCATGCGGTCATATCGGCCGGAAGTATCTCTTAACTGATGAAGGCAAGGCCAAGCTACAAAAGCTTGAAAGAAGACTTCGACGAGAGATTATGATGTCACTTTCGCCAGAGCTGGCGGAACTCTATAGGACGGAAAAGACAGGAAGTGCACTGTTTGCAACACTTTGCAAGCGGTTTGAAAAACGAGCAAATACAGTTGCGACTTTTCACGCTGTGCAACGTCTTGAAGAAGAGCTTCGCCGAATGCGATATAATACTGACATTGATATCGAGGATCATTTGCGTCAGATGAAAAACAAGGAGCTTGAACTGGCGGATTATGGAAGCAAGCTCTCGTTTACGACAATGATGATGTATACGCTACAGAGTCTACCCAGCACGATACCAGAATTTGGACTGATCCAAACGCAGAACTGGTGTGGAAATTCACCAGCTAAAGATATGGACGAGTTGGAGGAGCAGATTCGTGCAGCAAGCTCAAGGTATCAAATTCGAAAGTCAACTAAGGGATTTTCACATGGAGGGTATCTACAAGGAGAATATGCAGGGTCAAGAAAAGTGGACAAAGCGAGAAAGAATACGATTGGACGGGGAGAGAGGAAGGACACCAGGTCTTGTTACAACTGCGGCAAGACAGGACATTTCAAACGTGATTGTAAAGAAGCAGTACGAGAATCACAAAAGCCACGCGTATGTTTTGCGACACAACCGCAGAAGAAGGCGCAGGCGGTGAAAAATTCGCGAGGTCAAGATAAACAAAATACATGCGAGGTAGATGTATTGAGGTTGAAGACGAAAAAATTGTCGGATCCTTCAATACCAGCTATCTCGAATTCGCAGCGAATGACCATGCGAGGAAGTGGTGCTGCAAAACAAAAGTTGAAGGGGTTGTCAAAACGAATTAATCACTGGTGTTTCAACACAGGTGCAAACGTTCACGTGTCAGCAAATCGAGAAGATTTTGTTGAGTACACTCCAGTTTCATCTAAGTCGGAGGTTAGCCTCTCCGGTATATCAACAGCCCTTCATGCACAAGTGACTGGAATGGGTACCATTAAAATGGTTACAAAAGTTGATGGGATAGAGAAATGTTTTCTCCTGGACCACGTGTTGCATGTTCCAGATGCGGAACACGGACTTTTCTCTCCAGGAAGGGCAGTCGAACAGGGATTCGAAGTTGACATGGCTACTTCAAGCACGGATTTTATGGTCTACTATCGTGACCAACCGCTTATTCGAGCCGAACATCATGATGGAACGTGGGGATTCTCATCATATCGAGTGCTGAACTCGATGCTCCCTCTGAATCCACGGAAAGTGGAACCGCATCACTCAGATCATGCGGAAAATTCAGTCGTTGATTCTTTTGTTGTTGGAACGTTACCTCAGGCAGAAGCAAAGTATTCAGCGGCAGATGGACTGGCTACTTTGAAACTTTGGCATCAGCGTCTTGGACACACTTGTGAACAGTATTTGAAGACAATGGTTGATCAAGGCTTTGTCCATGGTATGATTCTGACGAGGCGGAAATCGTCTCCGTGTGACGCATGTCATGTTGGTAAACAGCGTCGCCAACGTCGAAACAAGAAGAAAGAGAACGATATCACAGGTCTCAATCAAGTTGTGTATGCTGATCTTCTTTTTCCATCGAGAAATAATGGCACCAAGTATACGGCAATTCTCGTTATCATGGACGGTTATTCGCGATACTTGACAGCACATCTTCTGGCAAAGAAGGACGCAGAAACGTTGAATGAGTTGATGAAAAACTACGTCAATTGGGCCGAGCGGCAAGCTGGCCGAAGCATCAAGAAGATTGTGCATCGTAGTTGGCATATCATGGAAGGACATCGCACGTTACCGGTGAAGATTATTCTGACGGACAAAGGTGGTGAGTTTGTAAACCACGATATCGATGCATGGTATAACGCACGAGGAATCCAGCATGTGCAGGTTGGACCAAAAAGTTCTCACATGAATCCCGTGGAGAGACAACACCAGTCGCTAAGTGACATGACGAAGGCGATGCTTCGAGACTCTGGTTTTTCACCCCAGTTATGGCCAGATGCTTTTGACTATGCTGTGTACCTCAAAAATCGCGTTTACAACAAGGCGGCGAACTGCACACCGTACGAACGCATGTTTGGCGTCAAACCAGATCTTCATCATATTCGTGTGTTTGGGGCACTCGCGTATGTTCACGTGCCAAAGGGTCCAGATCGTCCACGACACAAGGACAATGCGACGATCGGATTTGTGCTGGGGCTCCGGGACGACCAGGTGGGGTACAAAATCTATTTCCCCCACGAACATACTTGCAAGTGGGCTGCAGACGTAGCCATTGATGAGTCTATTGTCTACCGTGATCGCCATCAGTACACCACCACCTATGTGCCTCTCCTGGATCGAATTCGTTTTTCTCCCCACGACGGCGACACTCGCTCTGCCCCGGCGTCTGTTGCTAATGGTCCTTTCTCTCCAGTTTTTGCAGATAACGAGGCGACCGGTGTCGACGCATCCGTCACGGGCGATGCCACTTATGATATTCTTGGCACCGAGGCGGCGGATGGGGATGGGATGGTCGACGGTGATGGGATAGTCGACGGTGACGACGGTGACTACGATGTTGATAGCATTGTCGACGGTGACTACGGTGGTTCTGCCCGAGACATCCGTCGTGATGACATGGATAGTGCGTATCACGACGATGATGCTGTTAGTGGTGACTCCAATACTGATGTTGATGGCGCTGCCGAAGATCAGGATTCTTTAGATACCAGGAGTGATGATTTGGAATCTATTGCGACACCAAGTTATGTCAGTGTTTCAACGTTTGAAGCAGACGTTAGTGTCGAAGACACGTTGCAAGACTTGTCGAACATGAAATCGGGTGAGCAGATCGCTAGGGAGGAAAGTGAAACAAGAAAGAGGCAGCAGTATAGTGATGTACCATCAAACGGTGATGTCTCATCAAATATGAATGATGATAATACAGCGATGTGTCGACGACGTGCAAGTCTGAGAGAGGCGGCGAAGCGACACAAGCCGAATAGGTACAAAGATTTTGTTGCTTTGACCACACACGCAAGAGTGCTGGACAAACTTGGCCAGTTTATTTGTGCGAGTGACGTCAGAATGCCACGGAGCACCAGAGACGCTGGACGGTCAAAGTATGCAGATTTCTGGCACGAAGCTCAGCGTGAAGAAATGGATGCAATGCAGCTTAAGAATGTACTGGAAGAAATTCCTAGGGCTGACATACCACCAGAAGCCAAAGCGATTAAAACCATGTGGGTGTGGGCACTTAAAACGGATCAATACGGATATGTAATCCGTTTTAAGGCACGCTTGGTTGCTTTGGGAAATTGGCAGCGGCCTGGTATTGACTTTGGTGAGACTTTCTCTCCTGTAGCACGTATGTCAAGTTTCAGGATGACGCTTGCATTAGCGGCAGAACTGAATCTCAAGGTGTACGGTGGTGATATTAACACCGCGTATTTAAATGCAACTTTAAAGATACCACAGTATGTGAAATCGATTGACGGATTTCCATGCAGACGTAAGGAACACATGTATGTGGTGCGCAAGGCATTGTATGGCTTACGTCAAGCTGGACGTGAGTGGAATGATGAGTTACACAATTGGATGATGGAAAATGAGTATCAAAGATGCTTAACGGAACCGTGTCTATACTATCGTCAGGACACGGATGGAACGATAGTGCTGGTGCTGGTGTACGTTGACGACATTTTATGCGCAACAAACAACGAAGCAGTCAAGGTTGACTTATTTGGAAAGCTAGCATTGCAATATGGTATCAAAGATCAAGGTGAGCTCACGGAGTATCTTGGTGTCGAAGTGCAATCGAGTCAAGATGCCATGAAGATAAGTCAAAGAAAGTACTCACGTGAGATTCTACAGAAGTTTCACTTTGAACAAGCACATGCAGTTGGAAACCCGCTTGAGACAAAGCAAAACCTAATGTGTGCAGAAGAAAAGGATGACATCGATAAGACGTTTGATTATCGTGGTGCGGTGGGAATGTTAATGTATTTGACAACATGTTCGCGACCCGACTTGGCATATGCAGTGGGTCAGCTTAGTCGATTTGTAGCCAATCCGACTAAACATCACGTTGGTTGTGTGAAACGTGTCCTTCGATATCTCGCTGGAACACTTGATTATGGCATAGTGTACAAGCGTGCGCAATCGACTCAGCATCCAAAGATTGTAATTCAAGGTTACTGTGATAGTGACTGGGCTTCAGATGCTGCAAACCGAAAGAGTACTGGAGGTTTTGTTTTCTTGCTTGCAGGTGGTGCAATATCATGGTCGTCAAAGCGACAGCCGATCATAGCCTTGTCAACGGCCGAGGCTGAGTATGTGGCAGCATGCGAAGCTACAATGGAAGCGATTGGAGAGCGAAACATTGTAAGTGAAATATTACCAACTATTCCTGTTGAGATGCACATTGGAATTGACAGTCAGAGTGCATACGTGATGGCGACAAATCCAACTTATTCCCGTCGTACGAGACATATCGAGTTACGCTGGCACTTTGTTCGTGAGCAGGTCAAATTAAAGAAGGTGATTCTGGAAAAAGTTGCTGTAGGCGACAATCCTGCCGATTTATTTACGAAAGCACTCGATAAGAAGCGTCTTGCACGGTTGTCCAAGTTAATGGGCGTTCAGAAGGAAGATGTGCGAGATGGATATCTCGAGAGAGGCGTGTTGGAATAAGTTGAAGAACAGTGGAAGTTGCTGGCAGTTGGCAGTGGATGGCAAGGCATGTGAATGGCAGTTGGTGTGCTTCATGGTTGAAGGTATGAGAGGGGATTCGTGCTGACGCAGAGTCCCAGGTTGTACTTGCCAACTGGCATAGGCCACGAAGAGATGTATGTTAGGACAGTAGGGCTTGTGTTGTATGGTAAAAATGAACGACAGTTCCGAAATTGCATCGTGTGACTCAAGTGCATATTACAAGCACGACGATACCAAACAATTGACCATTCCGGCAAATTACTCTGTAGGTAAAGGTTCATTTAAAAATGTCATCAGCAACCTGCTGTCGTTAAAAAGATGGGAAGCCTATGTGCTACCACTGCTTCGATCTACAGGGATACGGACGCTGCATTGATGCGGTTACACCTTGACGAACTTGCTCGAGGTTGTTATACTGTGAGCACGTCGTTAAACAATTAACGGATGACTTTTGCTAGAGCTTGTTTTGTATGCGAAAGCTTTATGAAAATTGCAGAAGCTACATTTTTCCATAAGACCGTATCGGAACTGGAGCTTAAGTTTGGAGCTGCAAATCACAAATAAAAGAATAATCATAATTCTTACATAAATACATACAAATGATACATATATCGTTTATGCTCACATATAAATTAGGAAAGAGCTATTCATCCCGTTGCTACGTGGTTTATCAACCACCTTCTCACAAACCATCAACCACCCCTAATTAATATGAGTTTGATTTGGTCAGAATGCCATTTTTATTAGAATAGGATAATCATTTCAGACAGTATTTATCACCCATTAGATACGGCGGTATCGGTAATACCGTACCTTATCGATTATGGGTCGATAATAGATACTAAGTACAGCTAATATCCGACTGGTGTGTTAGTCATTCAATAGCGGTAGATCTTACTACAAGGAACGAAGTAGTTTTGGTGAATCAGTCAGTATCTTTGCTAAAGAAAGTGGGGGTAGCGCTGAAGTGGCGTTTGTAGCATCGCGTCACGTTCTTCGGCCACCTCGCGCGTCAGTCGTTGGTCCTGGTCAGCATGCGCTCTTATTGTCCTACACATTGTCTGCTTCGGTCCCGACGCCACCTACATAAAGCCATAGCCCTTCATATCCTGATTTACAATATGTCTTTGCAGGCATTCAAACCACTGAACAGTCTTAAGAGTCTACGCCGCATATCACCTGGTGGAAAATTTCCTTATCAGCTTTGCAGTTCATCTCCCATAAACTTTCCTACGAAGTACTTTACGCCCAACTCGTAATCGACAATGTTCCCGGGAGATTTTTTGGCGCCCACGCTATTGTGAGGGGCTGAGTGAGCACGAGGGGACGCATTCACGAACTGTTGATCGAGAACATAACGTTGTTCGATGAGATCCAAAAAATAACAAGTTATTCTTGGGTAGATCCTCTAATTTCCTGTAGATGGCTATTGAAACGCTGCTTCGACGATCGCGAGCGAGGTGAAGCAGGTGCTGGCGGCTCTATCTGCTGCGATACCCTCAACTATAGAACTGGACGGTTTGCCAGATAGACCAGACACTATTTCCCTTTAGCTTCAGCACGACATTTTGCCACATAGAAACAACTTTCGTGCCTACATAATGCAACGTACAAGACGTTCCTCAATTATCCATAACGACATTGTGTGCCATGCCATTCCAACTGTATTCGCAACTTAACCAAAAACCCCTGTCGTGCATTCTGCATCCTGCCTCCGCGACCGTATATATATCCCGATATATCGACTTCATCGACGACACGGGCTTGAAGTGCCCTGCCGTCTGAATTTGCTGAATTACCGACCAAGTGGACACGAAAGCTATGGTGGGTAGACCGACAACCTCATTTGCGTTGGGAGCCAAAGTGGACAATGAGTTGGCGTCAGAATTAACGTATAATGCTGGCAGCTTCAAAGATGCACCATGCCCCAAAAATAGCAATTAAAAGTTATGGTTATCTTGTAACATCTGGTTGAGTGCACTATTACGGAAATTCATTCTTACCAATAATTGTATCTTAGCTAGAGCCGCATTTACCCGATGGACTAACATGACAATTTCGAATACAGTCCGGATGCATGCCACCAGAATGTAGCGCGCATACATGACGTATGCGGAAAATGCGGATGCAACCAGCATTTTCTTTTAGCAAGCTGTAACTCGGGTACGAGTTGTAGCGAGCTTAGAGTTCTGTCGTTAGCAGCCACAGTCGAGTCCCCTATAGTAGAGCCAAAATATATGGTCAAGATGGGGATGCCGTTCTTCTTACTGTGCGCGCTTCGGAGGCAGCGCAGCGTGTGGCTCGAGAGATGAGCAGTTCGCAGAACTCTTTGGTGCTGGAAGGGGCATCCTCGCTGCACGCCCAGGTTAATTCCTATCCTTCACAATCTTCCAAGCCGCTAGCCAGTAAACCGCGCAAATCCTGGTGATGTGAGATTCAGTATGCTGTTACCGCGCAAATCCTGGTGAAATAAGTTTCATTATACTGGTACCGCGCAAATCCTGGTACCACGCAGCGAACTCCCTCCACGAGGGAGTGCCTCCATTATGTCCAAAGTATTGAACCATCCGAACGAGCTGCGGGGTGGAGAATGACCGCGTCATGGTAAAGGAATGGGATGCAGCTAAACAATCAGAATATTGGAGCATCATCATCATCTTTAGATTATTTATTTACTTGCAAAAAGAGTAAAGGCTGTCCGCTGAAGGTCGTCCGCAACGCTGCGTGCCAAAAAAGGCGCTTTGTCTGCGGGACTCCCGCTTTTGCAATTCCTTCCAGACTTCTTGTTGCACAAAAAACTGTCAATATGTTTTATGCAAATAAACTGGATATTAAAAATTTGGTCGGAATGCTTTGCATCTAGTTGCGCGCGTTGTTCCTTCTCACTTCGTTATTCGCTACAAGACCCACCGGGCTCCAGAATGGCCTGTAAGACCAACAAAGTTAAGCGTCGGAACTTGTATATGGTGCTCGCTATCGTTGTTGTACTGACATTGCTCAGCAATAGTCGACAAACTATGGCAAGGATGATCGTCGCTGGTTCTTCTGCTTCGCAGCATCCACTGAGAGACGCGCGAGTGAAACGGCAGTTGCGGTTGAATTCGAATATGAAGGAGGAAATTCACGGCGGCGGCGACGACGACGAAGAGAGGTTTGATTTAAACCATTCTCCGATTGAAAACGTGATTGCATCCTTGAAAGCTGCCGATGCGCTTGAGCCCAAGCTAGTAGGCACGCTCAAGGATGCCAATTTTCAGGAGTGGGCCATGCATATGGATGAAGCGTACCAGAGACACCGTGTAAAAGCTGCAGTAGCCAAGATATCAAAGCTCATAACTCGCTATGGCGAAGAAAAGGTGATTCGGATGCTAGCGGCCGGAAAGGATGACCAGGCTACGCAATCTCTTGTGGAGCAGTTGGAATTGGGTCTAGCACTGAAGCTGACATCGGATGGAAATATCTACAGAGGTGTTTCATTGCTAGCAGCTAACGAGGAAGATGTAACTAAATTTTTGGGGAGTCAGTCTTTGAAAGATTGGATCGACTACTGTGCGGAGACACTGAATGAGAATCCATATTCGCTGTTACTTTCGGAATATTTTCCGAATAAACTAAAGCGTGATACTGACAAATCGCTAGCAAAAATGCTTGCTGTGGCGAAAGGCGACAGTGCTGCGAAGAACGTGGCAACTGAATTGGAGAAGCAACTGATGGAGATGTGGTTTAAAAATGGAGAGAGTGGTACCGCGGTATTCAATCGTCTTAAGCTTAAAAAAGCAGGCATCGATACGCAAGAGTGGGACGTGTGGGTCTCATATCTGGTGAAGCGGTACGCCGGAGAAGAAATCGGAAAAGAAGAAGAAAACGAGCTAGTGCTCTTTATGCTGAGGAAGGACTTTGCCGACGACGAAGGTCTGAAGGATTGGCTTGCTGCAGCTCAAGCTAACAAGGGAAAGGAACGTGCCACAGCTTTGGCAAGGATACTTGAGGAAAAAATAAGGCCTATGGAGAACGACAGCGAAGTACCAACGACAGTGAGAACTGACGAGGAGCTTGAGTCTGGCATGGACAAGTTTGACGAAAACATGGAAGGCCTGTTGGACAGCGCCGTTTTCAAAATGTGGGCCAAAAATGTAGTACAAAAATCCAAAACCGAGCGCGATCCTGTAGGCGCTAAAATGGCAACAGTTTCAGCGCTTATAACTCGCTACGGCGAAGAAAAGGTGCGCAGCATGCTAGCGGCCGGAAAGAATGTCCCATCTACACGATCTACTGCCGAACATTTGGAATTGGGTCTGGCGCTGAAGTGGACAGAGGATGGACGTGTGAACGGCGTTTATACATTGCTAAGAGCTGGCAACGATGATGTAATTTCGATTATGGGGAGTCAGCTTATGAAAGATTGGACCTACTTCTGTGAGAACAGGTTAAAAATGGACCCATATTCGCTGATACTTAAGAGATTTTTTTCATTGAAACACTCCAACAAATATTATGTGCTAGCCGCAGAGCTTGCTGCAGCGAAAGACGACGGAGCTGCGAAGAACGTGGCAACCAAATTGGAAAAGCATCTGTTTGAGAAGTGGAAGATAGATGGAAAGAATAGTGACGATGTTTTCGAGTATCTTCATCTTCATCGCGCAGGCATCAATATGCTTGATAGCCCAGTGTGGGATACTTGGGTCTCGTATCTAGTGTATTTCCACGTCGCAGAAAACATTGGAGAAGAAGAAAAATATTCGCTAGTACTCTCAGAGCTGAACGTGACCGATGACTTGTTGGACAACTCGTTGCATGCAGTGAAGACTCCCAAGGGTCTGGATCGTGCCATAGCATTGGCGGCGGCGCGCCAGCGTGAGGAATCGGAACGCATGCGTACACAAAAGAGACCTGGTGGGAACGACGGCGAAGCACCAGCGACAAAGCTTCAACGAAACAACTGAAATCGCTAGGAGTGCATTGGACGAATCATTACAACAAGGTAGTCAATACGAAGCGTGCTTCGTACTACGAGTTGACGACGAGGTTCTAAAACGAAGACAAATGCTGGACGGATTCTAAATCACTGGCTGGAAATTGAAGTGTGAGTGATGTTTTTGATACCAAGTACAGAACAATGAGATATTTCAGGTGTAGATTTTCAATTTCAATAGCTTTCTTTTCTTGATTTCTTGAGCTGTCACCATGTACCTATAAGTCTTGGTAGGGTAATGGCGTTTACCCACGACTCAACTCGCTCAGATTTCACTACCAACGAGTCGGACCCATACCCGCGGGTAATTATTACCCATGTTTACCCGCGCAATAAACATGCAGATTTGCATACTAGCATCTAATTTGTTTTACTACCGAAAACATATGAAAGGGAGAAAAATATTGTAAAAATATTGGTCCATCTTGATTTATATGGTGTTGTTCCCGCAGGTGTATGATCAGATTGGAGGTACCAGTGCCATCTATACACTTGAAAGTTTTCGGACATTTGTTGCACTTGTACCAACTTGCTCTTTTGGTCTGGCGATTCCTGTCTTTTTTCCTGGCTGTTTTTTTCCAGTGTGAAGTGATTGTAAACCCAAACTTTCTTATACCAGCAGAAGTGCCCGACACAGTACTGGTTACATCCTGTGTGACGGGAGTAACCGAGCTAACATAGAGCATTGGGGTGATCCAGCAATGACAGCATAAGCAGCGACAGCAGTAGACCCATCTCCAGCAACGTCTTCACAAGCCGCATCTCTAGCATCAGCAATGTCGGCTCCAGCAAGGATTTCACAAGTAGCTCCTTCGGCAATGACAGCACCAGCAGCGACAGCAGTAGTAGTCGCTGCTGGTGCTGTCGTCAAGACAAAGAGGAAGATAACATACTGCTCGCTTACCAAGGGCTTATACCCTACAACCCCTCATCATGTTGTATCGTGTCTTTCATCGTGTATCTCAAATCTCCTCATCCTCTTTCCAAACGTCAGTTGGTTGCTCTGATGTAGGCGTTTCGCAGTGCGATTCCATTGCGGTTCCATGCGAAACGCCAACGCCAGAGCACCCTTACAGGTATACATGGGATCGCCGACGTCGTACTCCTTGATCATTCAGGACTTGATCGAGAAGTACGACGCCGATGATCCCATGCATAATGTACGATGCATAAAAATAATGCAAGATCTGTTGAATGCTAGAGGTGCACAACCTTGATGATTTGATAGGTGATGAACGGCTACTTCGGCGACAGCCGGGGATTCTTTGAACGAGTGGATACTGGGTCACACACGACTACCGCTTCTATTTTCTTTTCCATATGATTAATTCGCGCTGGAGTCGGCAAATAGTTCGTCATCCCGAATGCTTCTACAGCCGCTGCATGTGTAACGGGCTAAAAGTTTAAGGTTTCGTTAAATAACGAATACTTAACGGGCAGGCCTAAATGGGTACGAGTTACCTTAGGCCTGCCACTTGGGTGTGGCACATCAATATGACCCACCCTCGTGAATGTGACATCTATGGATGGATTAACATTCAACGGGGATGACGCCTAGTCCCAACTGGGCGTCATGGTGACGTTACAGACGGACGTCATCAGCGAGCTTAAATGTATATTAAGCTCGCACGTAGGGATACGCTTTAAAGAGACGCGTATCCGATCTTTACATTTAACCAATCAAATTCGAATTTACTTTTAATTATTTTCTATCAAAATTTAAGTCAGACTTAAATTTACTACATTACACTCACTGCGCACAGGAAGACTGCAAACAGCTTCCGCGGTGCAGTCAGTAAGGTGTTTGTTTCAAAGTTGGTTGCGCTTTTTGCTTAGAAGCAACCGGCAACGGTTGGTACTGCGTTTTTTGTTGGAAAGTGGCACTTCGTATCTAGCCGAGTACTAGATGTACGCCGGTGAAGTCTTCTAGGTAGTTCTAGAATAGTCTATTTAGAGGTAGTTCTAGAATGTTCGATGCATAGGTAAACTGCCAGAGGCTGCTGAACTGAGTAGGATCACTTTGCGATCGGTAAGCCACTGAGGAGGCCCGCCGCCGCGGGCCGAAACGCGTCTGGCACGCGTCCGTAGGTAAAGTTATTTTGTCATGCTTCTTAAGTTTCCAACAATTTTAGCGCCGACTAACACCACCACCACTGCACGCGGAGGTAAGACGGTATAACCGCTTCTTCACGCTGCTCGAAGGTGTGTGACTGCTTAGCACGTGGCAGCTTCTTTGAAGTACCCGTTTACACTTAGTAGCACTAGTAGTTCTTCCCACGACCCGTCTCTCTGAGCGTGCGTGTGAATATGTGGTGGAGTGGATTCTCAACAGACGTGAGAGAACCACAAACACGCACAGCGCCGTACTGCCGACTTACGGAGGGGGTACCCCGATACCGTGTAGCGTCAACCTTGGTCTCACCTTGTGTGCCCGTCGGCTTGGCTAGTCTTGCTCCTCGTTAGACGCAGAAGACTTAAAGACTTGGTCGTGTGCAATATTAGCAGAACGGTTTGGATCATATATGGAGGGACTTGGGGGCCACGAGTGGATATGCTTCACTCGGGCCCAGGGTTTCTTGGGCTCAATTGACTGGGTCGAGAGCAATGCACCTGGTACTACGTACCCCTTTCGGTGTCTAACTGTTTCTTGGTCCTTAGACCCCTTTGTGTTCTTCCCCGTAGGGAAACCTCTTCCTGTAGCGGATGTTGGGTGTTTTTGACACTTACATGACACCTCAGGCCAACTATCTTGAGGTTCAACTTGCGTAGCTTGAGCCGTTTAACACCTGCTGACGTCGGGGGGGGGCAAAGGATATTCCGCCCGGAAGAGGTGGAGCGACGTAGAAGCTAAGAGGAGGCGCTTGGAGCTGCCACGTGTAAAGCAAATTCGAGTGTGTTTATTTATCTTGTACTTTGTATGCTTTTTCTTGCCTGACCCTAACCCTTCGCTCTGGATAGTGCCACGTTGTCGCCTTTTGGAGGAAGAACTGGCTCCTTGGTACCTGTGTGGTGGAGTGGGTTCTCAAAATTGTATGATGAGACCCCAAACCACTCACTGTGCCGGACTGCCGACTGTCGGAGGGGGTACCCCGATGCCGCGTATGAACCTTCTCTCACCTTGTGTACCCGTCGGCTGGCGGGTTGCACTCTTCGGAGGACTTGGTGACGATGTAGATGTCTGCCTTGAGGGAGGTAGACCTGGGGGGGCCTCGAGTGGATATGCTTCACTCGGTGGGCCGGTAGGTGGCCACTCGATCGACCTTGTCGAGAGTGGACTTAGAGCCAAATTCTTCAGGGGCGCTTGTCGTCCCTGGCCTTTTCCTTCTTGTTTCAGGGGTATTAACCACCTGACCTTTACGTTGCTCCCGGACCTTGAGGTGAGGGAGACCGCTTCCGATAGCGGGTCTTGGGGGGGGGGGGGGTGTTGCTACTCGAACGAGCTCACAGGCCAAATATATCCTGGAGCTCTATTCGCCCTTGAACTTCGCTACACAACTGTCTTCGACGGGGGGCCAAAATATATCCCTTCCCGGAACAGTGA